ATAATGCAAGTGGGTCCCAGAACCTCGACCTAAGCCAAAGGGGGATGCAACCTGTAAAGAAATGAGGACTCGCGACGTAAAAGCGAAGTCGGACAACAATCTACGGCAAAGTCACGAAAGTCAGAGATAGAAAGCTAAAGTCACGATGTGATCGCCAAACTCGTAGGCAAAGGCAAATTAAATCGCAAAGGGGAAGGAAACTATCTGTGGGGGTAGAATGCTATGGGGAAATGCAGTATTCACCGTCTCGATGAAGTCGCAGTCAGTCTAATGCAAAAGTCGTAGTAAGACTAGCACAGATGGTATATTGCTATATCACTATGTTGCTATGTCACTATTGCAGTGTCGCAGTTCACTATCGCAGTCACAGTACACAGTCTCGAAGTATTGCAGTCTCGTCATGTCGCAGTGGGGTATATCGCAGTTCAAAGTCGCTATTGCAATAAATGCAGTTTCTTGGTGATCTGGAGTGAAGGAGGAAGTCTCTTACTGGTCTTCGATGACAATCGACGTAGATACAGCAGGCATTTATAGAGGGGGAAATAGGGAGAAAAAATGCGAAAGTCACAAAATGTCAGACAATGGATCCTGACATCGGAAAGAGTTGCAATGGTCTAGGACCAATGGAAAAATAGGTAAAGTAAGTGGGGAGGTGAATGTCATATGTTAGTGATGGAAAGAATGGTAAAGTAGAGAGAAAGCAAAGAAAAACATATGTTACTTGTTCTGAACCACATGGAACCCTCAAATGGCATCTCCGATCCAGCACGAAGGTAGGGGTCTTGAAGGGCAAGGTGAAATGATAAAGGGAATGAGATTTGCAAAACAAGGAGGTGCAACCATCGAGCGACACCGATAAGTTAGCATGACAAACCAGCGAGTTGGGCAATATCCAAAGAGGCAGCGCAATGTTGGGGAAGTACAGACTTAGAAGAAAATTGGCCAGGGCACATCAGATGAGACCAAAGGGCAATGGGTAAGTAATATTCAACAGTGAGGAGATGCAAGAGGGTGTATGAGTGATGAAAGAATGTCAAATCTCGATGAGAAGTTGTGAGAAATCGAGCAAAGTCGAACGAAGTCAGAAAAGTTTGCAGAATGTCGCAAAAGGGTTGGATGCATTTCAGAGGCTAAGGCATAGAGTAGTGAGGTCTGAGTGATTGCTGAAAAACATGTCTTCAGAGGCCAGGAGGTCTGGGAGCGTATCACCATACTATTAACATCTATGTTTCCTTTCATGAGGAGATGCAGAGTTGTTAGAGAGGCAGAAAAGAGAACTATTTTCACAGCTGTTTCATCAAGAAAAAGAAGTGCAGTTTTTTCTTTGCCCAAACTCTGTCATTACGATATAGCAGGATATTACCATAGTATCCCGCGAGTTCGTACTCATTGATTACGATGAAATCATGTGGGTGCAGGCTTGATGGATAGGAGACTTCTGACTGACCAGATTGTTAGATCGTACTTTGTTTCTCATTTTCATTCATTCAACTCATATCGGTTGTGTTGGGACATTAGTCATCTTCTGTTATTATAGTTGATGGTCCGAACCCCTTGATCTCATGCATCCCTCATTGATACCAGTGGAAGTACAGTGAGGAAAGGATTTTTGTGCCCGTGACACCAATATGATGCAGACAAGTGATCACATAATTACCTCCTTCAGCTTCACGTTCAAATTACTCAGGATGCATAATTTGGCTGTCTTTTAAACTTCAATGTTTCTTGATGCAGCATGACAGAACTATATAATATTTTATATTATCTTACTGTACTCAATAGATCACCCATTCAGTGCTACAGATGCAATGATGCAGTCACATGCACAATAGATTTGTCCCTTCATCACTGGTCGACAACGCCTCACAGGCCGCATTATTTATGCATTCTTCATGATGTCATCTTATGTTGAGCAGCTTAGGGGAGGTATCTCACATTCTATCATAGAGACTTCCTCATAATGGACATGACAAGAAACAGGTCAGCTCAGGTGAATGTCATGTATTGGCAGATTTGCAGTAATAGGAGGGTCGTAAACAAGAGACATACTGGCAATAATTCTGCAAGGAGACAAGTACAAACATGACAGACCAAATATCCTGTATCTACAAGAGCCTGTGAGGGTAGCTAGTGCAGAATCTGCATACCAGAGGCACAAGACTGCGAGTGACCATGATTGTGCTAAGAGACTGTGAGTGACCATGATTGATCTAAGAGACCACGAGCAATCATAATTGTGCTAAAAGACCATGAGCTGACTAGAATTGGCCGTTGATGGACTTAACCATCACACCTCTGCACAGACCGCTGTGAAGACTTCCAATAACAACAGTGCAATATACAGGGCAATATAATCTAACAGGGAATGAGTTGCATCGCATTAGACATGGATGTAAGCAGCTTTGAAGAAGGTAGTAATCAGATGAGCATAAGAAAAATATAGAATACATCACCAATGTACATCAAGAGAAGTGCAGTACTTCCCATCTTACATGGCCCATTTGACCCTAATTAATTCAATTCTGAAAATGCCTCCCTGATTTTGTCCAACAACAACTCCTCGATTACTAGGTTGACCTGTGTTGCAGTCTGGACTGAGCACATACTAGAAAAGACAATGATGTTTAGACCTGGGAAACATGATGCCAACTGAATGATTTGGCTTATAGAGTGCAGTCAAAAAGATGCAATTCCGATATTGGGTCAAACACCAATGTCGGAATTGCATCTTTTTGACTGCACATACCAGTCTTTGTTGACGATACCCCACTTAAGGTTGTCGGTTCACCGAGAAAACGTTCGTGAAGTCTTACAATGTTTCCACCGTAACGAATCTTATCTGAATGAGACATGTTAAGATTATGTCAGTATGTTGTAAAGCGAAAATGCGATTATGAGGATAAGGATAATTAGCTTGTCAACTCTGTTTGGTCGACGGCTACGAGCGTGAAGAACAGCACTAGTAGCTGCGGACCAAGAAGTCGACGAGCGAAGATCGCCGTACAAGAAGAAATAAAGTGCGTACAGGAAGTACAGAAGGAAAGAGAGAGAGGCGTTGCCAGTTAACTGTCTAGCAGGGAGCTGGCGGGGCCGGTCGGTCGGTCCGCACGGACGGTCAAGGCCGCGCCGTTGTCGCGAAGGAAAACTCAAACACCTCAAACGTCGAAGAGAGAACGGCGGATAGGTCGGGGCATTCCTCGTACATGGAAGAGCGCGAACGTTCGGACAGCAGACGAGTATGAGCACTTACAATGGCCGCCCCGTGCTATGAACGCAGCCCACACCCGTCATCCCTCTATGCAACATCTCCTCCTCCTCTATAATCCATCCCGGTGCGAATGGCAGTCTGTGAGCTGGAGGCTGAGCGGGCGCGAATCCGCATCGGCGTTATCGATGGCGGGCGATGACAGGGCAGGACGACGACAGGGCGAATGGAGCGGTCAGGAATGGAGCGGTCAGGAATGGTGAGGAGCAGGAATGGTTGAGAAGTATTGTGATCATGGTGCGGGGCTGTACGACGTTGAACACGGAGAAAGACCCAGGGAGCTGTGAAGGAAGAAAGCCAGGCGCAGACGTTGGTATCAAAGGGGTGCTAAGCGCATCCTGATCCGGCAATTGTCCGGCAACGTCACCACCATCGACCACATGCACGGGGCGGCCTAGGTTCAAACGCCGAGTGACCGTGTCCCCCTGCAATTAGTATCCAAAGTTCAAGATTATTACCCCGCGGTTGCTTGCCAGGAGTACGAAATATCTTCAGGCAATACAAATATAATTTGACGTCTCTGTTAGAGGGACACCGGGTATCATTCCAACTCATCTCACATAAACCTTGCGGTGTAATAGGTCCTTCGGACATCCACAGGTAAATGTTATGGAGGGGATGACAAATGGAAAATCCAGGGAGGCTCCTCCCCCTCCCCGCACTTTTTCTCCAGAGGACGGTATGAACGGCAGCTTACGTACCCCGAGCGAAGGACAGCGCTGTATGGTGAGACATACTACTTAATCACCCTGACTCTAACCGAGTGCTATGCGACTCGCTTCCGCCAAGGGAGCTGTCATCGCAGTTGGTATTCAGAATCAGCGACACGCAGAACCACCATCTTCGTGCTTAGAAAGTTTTTGCGGCAGAACGTCATCGACAATAAGGCTGAGTGTCACGCCTATCGTTCTACTTTTTTTGTGTTGTTCCAGGCGGAATTACCGACGCATCTATGCTGGGTTAATACACCTTTACCCTTCATAGGATCATCCGCTCATTTCCAGCCAGATTGTGCAGTGTCTTTCCATCCGGCCAAAACTATCCCCCCTACGCCGCTATTTCAAAACTTGTTCTATAAGCATGAGAGATCAACCTACCTGATGACAGGGCGGTAAGAAGTCCAAGTACAGCACCTTCGACGAGACCAGGAGAGACGATCGTCGGACGAAATAACTGCGGCGTCAACGAAACGCGAAATGACCCTAATAGTCATCCTCAGGTTAGCGTCTCTATTATTCCCTATCTGTATATCCGAGATGAATATAGTGACGTTTCTCCTTGTTTTAGCTGTACCCCCTCGACCGTAAGGCGGAACATTCAAAGTTTAAGGGCCTTGTTCTCACGTCGTTGCTCCTAGCACTGCAACTTATTCGGATGTCATTAAATAATTTGACAGAGGACAGTGGAGCTGCCAGTGGTCTCAAGAAGTAAAGTCGCGTCTGCGGTAAATTCAACTCCGACCACGGAGTTGCAAGCGTGCCGCGAAGGCGACGCTTCCTTTTCAACTGAGACCATCGTTGACGAGAGGCTTCTTGGTCCATAAGAGTACGTCCCCACTATGTTTACATTGAACTACCTTTAGTTATTATCGTCCCTACATACACTAGTACCATGTCTACCATAGGGCTACGCCCTCGCGGACAATAAACACATGAGGCAAAAAAAAGAAAGAAAAAAAAGAGTACGTCCCTCTCTTCTCGTTTCGCGTTGAGTGCCGAATTATCCAGGACTGATCATGCAGCACGATGCTCAAATGTTACCCCCAGAATTGGTCGACTTCGTTTTGGATCAGCTTCGGGATGACCCCGCCGCGCTCATTGCCTGCGGTCTCGTGTGCCGCAGCTGGTTGCCCCGGACGCGCCTTCACCTTTTCCGCTCAATTATCCTTAAAGATGCCGTCGGTTATGCCGCGTTTGAAAAGCTCCTCAGAAGATTCCCATATCTTACCAATCACGTCAGGCGCGTCGTGGTTGTGAAGACGCATTCCCGGCCAAGTTGGGTCGACGGCGAGATGCCTCGTGCGTTGGTTAAGCTTCCTCGTGTTGAGCATCTCGAGGTGGCCCAGTCGATGGGCAAAATATTGGATGACACGCAGTCGAAGTTCGGCTTAATCTGTGCAGCCTAAAGACGATTTACCTGCGAGAATCCACGTTCCATCCAGGAGATCTCTTGCGACTCATCGCTGCATGTCCGCAACTGCGCTCGTTGTCCACCTGGCGATCGTATGTGGTAGACGATACGTGGACATCCTGGATTGTTGTTCCTCCACATACGCACTTGGTGTTGGACACGCCTAGGTTTCTCCATTATACTGAAACCGTCGCGAGCCCTTTTCTGGATGGAAATGTTCAGCATCCGCTACGCAGGCTTGAAATATCTGTCCCTCCTTACAGCTCATCTACTGCTTTGCAAGAACTCCTCAGAAAAGCCGGCACGCACTTGCAGCACCTTGTGTTCTGCTTCGTGAACGCCCGGCACCTCTATGACAATCCGCCATGGACGCAGCGTTTTAGCCTCGCCGACAATCTGAGCCTTGCGACGCTGCACATCAGGAGCGAAGTGCTATTCTACGATGATTACTACCATCATTACACCCACATCGTGGATATCTCACTCGCGCTCTCGCTGATTCAGCCTGTCCATGTCCACCTCCAGCACATATACATTGACGCCATGGCAGCTCAGCTCCTGCCTTATACTCTACCCTCCCCAGTGGAGTGGACAGAGGTGGATGATGCCTTGGTTCATGTTGCTCAACAGTGTCCGCAATTGCGCGTTATTTTCCAGACGCTTGAGCCGGAGAGAAGTGAGGAGCGGTTCTACTTGGTATGGAATGTTATTGCGGACGGTCTGCCGAAGTACTTGGCCGCGACCGGGCGGCTGGGGGTTATATATGGCAGCGAGTGGAAGGAGGATCCTGAGTTTGGTGGAGCCTTAAAAGGTGATGTGTCCGAGCGATGGTCCAATGTGTTAGATGCGCGTCCATTCTTCGTTTCCAGAGTAGACGTACACAATTTCAGACATATACGTAAGTACTCGTAGCCTAGCGGGGTCTTACGCTTCCGCCAAGCAAGGAAACTTGATGTACCTTGTACATCGACATATGTGTGCGCGTTGCGACCAGATGAGATAGTTCGGAGCTTGAGAGTGCACATTTTGTAGCCAGCTGGCTGCAGAACTGCTGTAACTCGGGGTGAAACCCCTCTGAAGTTATTGTACAAGTTCTTGTGGCCACTTGTCCCTTCCGATTTCGAAGATGACGTTGAAGACAAGATGTAACGCGCCAGGGTTCTCCTCGCAGTGCTATGATGCGCAATGTCACGGATCATGCACATGTGACTTCACGTGAGTTGCATCCCTGTCGCCGCTGTGATGTGAAACGCTACAGGTTTTTTTCTGAGTGCAAATTACGACGTACTGAGGCGTCAATAATTATAGGTCTATGGCGTATCCCTGCTGCCGCGGAGTTACGTATACGGACGCCTCCCTAAATCACTGTTGCCCCGGCATAGTCATCCAGTGCCGTCTACCTGTCAAAAACCGCGATCACCCCTATGAACGAGCGCTGATATTCAAGGAGTGCGCATACCTTTGCGGATTAGTAACTGTTGGTCAACATCAGCCGGTACGACAAGCGGTACCACGCCGATAGCAGCAGAGACATAAACCCCCTGATTGGAAGGAACATATCAGTACTGTTACCTTTCCAGTCTCGAGCACCGACCGGCCAAGTTTGCGCATGGAAAGAGAAAAGATTCTTGAAATGCGACACAAAGCAAAGTTCAGACACAACGGAAGGAAAAAAGAAACGGCTTTCCCCATACCAAACACCGCCAGCGCCAGTTGGCAACAATGCTTGCGGCCGCCACAACCCGAAGGCCGCACCCTGACACGGAGTGCAAGGGTCACATGCACAGGCGGGTATGTGAGGCGCAGAATCATGACCGAGCGCACCCCTGCGGGAGAATGGCACAGGTCAGATGGCACAGTGCTGAGAAAGAGGGATAGCTGGCTGGAGTCACCTCACGCACAGTGGCTCAGTTTTTGTACCCACACGACGAGTAATCCTTAGGTAATCGTACGCACGTGCAGATCGGGAATAGTGTCCATTGTCTAACAGACTTTGACACCGCTAGGAGTGGAGCGGAGGGCGGAAACATAGGTGATGATGAAGAACTGCAACCGAGTAGTCGTTCCAGAGCCCATTAGCCTATGACCTGGTGGAGTGTAGGCGAAGTCGTTTCCCAGAGGGAGACGGTGGTACGTAGCTGTGTCTACGCTTGTCATTTGGTACGGGACAATAATAATTGCTGCACGTCGAGTAAGCATGGAACTCCCGTAACGGAGAGGAGATGAACGCACCACACGAAATTGGAAAATCTCTGCTGCGGAGGGGGGAATGGTACTTCAGTCGTCAGTAGATTTCCAGCATGGACGGTGGTAAAGCAAGCGCCGAAACACCGTTAGACCAACGAAGTTTATCTCGCCAGGATATGTACATGTGCGCCCAACGCAAAGGTAACTCACACAGTTCATTTCTGTCTCCACTTGAACGGTGCAGCCGTGCCCGGGAGGAGGCCTTCATCTCACATGCGTCGTCCGCACAGGATGGGCGTAGTATACCACCTAAAGGAATCCAATGTCCAGTCGCGTTCGACAGTCCACCGCCAGTGACATTCTGGTAGAAGCATGGTCTTATATGCCGAACTGCCGCATCTTCAGCAGAGCTCACGCTAAAGTAGTCTGAGATTACGGGGGTCACCGGACCATCCTGATAGCGATGTTCAATTATGCTCAGCCTGCGGGTTCTACTGAGCATTCATATCAACACAAAAACTCACGGGGACATCATGATATCCAAACATAGTCCGAGTGTTTTGCGCCAGGTCCGCTTAAGTTCTCGGCGGCACACCTTGGCTAGAAATACGTAGATTTGAAAAAAGTTTGTTGCGTATGGGACTTACGGTGTAGGTTAGAAGGTGACAGCGCATCGATGGCAGGAACGAACTGGACACATATCGATATCAACCGCAACTACAAGTTAAACCTCAAGTGACAGATCCTTGTTGAAGAAGCTGCTATCAAGGGCACACATGATCTCAGTTGCCACAGGAGGTGTATAGAGCACACTGGAACCTACAGCAGCATCAGAATGGAAGTATCGACGGTTCAAGCTACACCATCCGATTACGACGAACCACTCACCAACGTGCCCTCGTCCACCTTTGTGCACTTCCCTGCAACTTTGGGTTATGAAGTTACTGCAAGCGTTTCATCTCCAGTCCCTGGCCGTATCAGCCAAGTCGACCACGCCGACTAGGACCGATATCAGAAGTGATAGGCACACTTATTGTAGTGATAAAGGGAAGGCCAGTTGGATCCGAAGTCAGTTGCGTTGGACATCTGTTCAGTCTAATTTGGCCCAGGCATCATTGATGGGCATCCTGAGGTGACCGCGCCATTGTCCGAGAAGAGTGCTACCTCCGCAATGCCCAAAGATTTCAAAGTAGTGGTTGGCGTGTGCGACTTGTTGTAGTAATATCCCACTAGCTTTGTATCCGGTACTGCGATAGCCTGGTTGAGAAATTCAGAATCGCACCATGGGGCCCTCACAGACCTGGGCCTTCCAGAGAGGCGACAACGGACGTTGCATAATTCCCAGGAGTCCCAAACATCCGAGGCCGTGCTTATGGATGAGATCTAGAAATGCCTCGAAACATAAGGCGACCATAGCCTAGGGGTCGATTGTAACTGCTCAAAAACACAACTCTAGATCGATGTCGCTGTTCGCGTCGTACGACTTACGAGTGTTAAGAACGAAAGCTCTTCGGTCGGTGCCATGGTCTATAGGTGGAACTGCACCGCCACTGATGCACATTCAAATGTCTGCTCTCGGGTTGCTGTCTGCATACATCGTACATCGTTGGAACGATAAGTAATACAGGCCGAGACCAATATCAAACCGAAGCACAACTCACCGCAACTACAATTCCGACCACAACCGTAAACCATCACCATCTTGACCGAACCCCACTTTGGCCATCCCACCCCCTCTCCCGATGGCGATGTGCCTCCTCGACATCCTGGCGATTGAATACATCGCCGTACGCGCCCCCGCGCTCGTCCACGCCGCCGTACACCGTGCTGGGCGTCTCACTGCCCGCGAGTTCTCTTTTCCGCCTGCGGATCAGCTCCTGCGCTCGTGCGCGCTCAGAGGACTCGCGGGTCAACCGGGCAAGCTCTGGCGGCCGCGTGACGCTTGGTGCAGCGCCCTGGGAATTTGACTGGGGTTGTGATGCAGATGCAGGGAGGGCGCGCCGTGCTGGCGCGCGGTTGCTGCTAATCGGTGTGCCAGAACGAGCGGCGAGCTGGGTGTTAATCGAAGTAAGCGGGTCATTCACGGACTTCCGGGCCAGATCGCGCAACCTATCGAGATAATCCCAAATAAGCGTCTATTCGACAGAGCGGACGAGTGGAGCTCAAAAAATGTAGGCGTACTTGCGGTCGGGATTAAGCTCCCTGCTCTTGTCGGGGTCGCGATCTGAGTACCATGGCTTCAAATCTTTCTCCGCAGGCGCGAGCGGGATGCCCTTCTCCGTCTCTGCGGGCTCCCTCGGTCTTCTCGCTACGGGTATCAACTGCTAAGCGTCCAGACCATCAGTCGCCAGCGCCACGCCCTCGCAGCAAAAAATGAAGTAGACATACCCGCTCAACGTCCTCGAAGAAGTTGATGTGGCCGCCCGAAATGAGTGATGAAGGCTCCGCTCGAGACTGAGCTTGAGCTTGAGCTTGAGCCTCTGCGCTGATATCCTCGTCATCCTTCCGCTTCTTCCCCTTCCCCGCCCCGGCGCGCTGGCGCAGTAGATCCATTCGTGCCTCCGAGTCCTACGCGAGATGTCAGGGTCGAATCGCCAAGCAACAAAATAAAAGTAGTCTACGTACCGCTAGCATCATGCGCCCCTCCTCAACCGCCTCTGTCTGGCGCGCCTCCTCCTCATCGCGTCTCACGCGCTCGATGTTGTCCCGCCGGTAGGGGTGATACGACTTGTGGTGTGCGATGTTGAGTTTCCCCATGGCGTTTCGTATTAATCAGCGTGATCGCGTTGCGGTGTACACAGCAGCAGCTGCAGCGAAGCTCTAGTAAGTAGTGAATTTCGCAGCGACGGGTCTCCGCCGAGGAAGTTGGAAGACGATGATCACTACGCCAGGTCCGCGACCAGTCGCTTACGTCAGTCGAGAGAAATCGGCAGATGCCGGCGACATGGAACTTTCCGTTCATGGAAATGCTTGCCCAGGGATGTTTTCAACTGCGGAACTTTCATCAACTGCTACCGAGGTCCAACCAGCAATGGTAGTACACTAACCCACAACACTGCATCAGGCAAATCGTTGATAACAACAAGAAGCCAGCCTCGAGAGCTCGCTATACGGACCGAACCAAGCAAGACAGCAAGGGACGAATACAAAGTTAAAGCATGATAGATAGCAAAGCAGCCTCCTCGAGGCTCGAGCCGCCATTACGGGAAACATATACTGTGTAATCTTACTCTAGGATCAATTTCGAATTACTTGAGGGCAACACTCTCGCGGCAGAAGTCCAGCACGCACTGCGTGCTGTGTCCGTTTCCATGGAGAATCATAGTGTTCCTGACCGAGTGATGACGATGGTGCGCGAGGGTCGCCGAAGGATGTCATCGGACTCGTAGGACTGGATGCGCTTGACGAGCTCCATTCCGGAAACGACCTCGCCAAATACGACATTTCGCCGGTCACACCATGGGGCAGGGGCGGTGGTGATGAAGAACTGTGGCGGGCGTCAGTTATCAGCGTCAGCGCGACGTCGCGGGAGAGAACACATCAGTGCGGTGTAGTAGCTCACCTGAGAGGAGTTGCTGTTCGGGCCGCGGTTCGCCATCGAGAGCAGTCCCGGCTTGTCATGGCTCAGCCGGAAGTTCTCGTCTACAGGAGCACAGCCATACGCTGAGGGAGGATAACGGAGACAGCGGATATAGTCCACCTACCGGGAAAGCGAGACCCGTAGATTGACCTTCCACCACTCCCGTCGCCACCATCTATGTCGCCGCCTTGAATCATGAACTGCAAAGAAACGATACTCAACAATCACGCAGGAGGGGAGAACGGAGAAACTGCGAACCCCAGGCATGACGCGGTGAAAGCTGGAGTTGGCGTAACCATAACCATGCTCCCCTGTGGCCAGCTCACGGAAATTTCGAGCAGTCATTGGACAGATGGAGTCGAAAAGCCTGAGGACGATGCGGCCAGCTGGCACGTAATCAATCGAAACTTCAAACTGGAAATCGGACGCGGGGAGTGCACGTTGGGTTAAGAAATTTGCTGTGCAGATCGCAGTGGGAAGGGCACTCACGAAGACATCATGTCTACTAGCAGCAAATGCAGTCAGCATCGAGCAGCAATGATGAAAAAATCGGATGGGCGCACGCTGCCATGATTGTGTACAGAGGTGAGCGGGATGAAAATATGGGGGAGTGGAGGAGAGGAGATGAGAGAGAAGGATTGTCCATCCATTTTTTAGAGCTTGGGGAGGTGGCACTCGCGAGGGGAACCAGGAGGTCAGGATTAGTTTCCGGCAAAGTCCGCAATTTGTCGTGTGACGGGAAGTTGCCGGAGAGTTCCCCCGCCCGGCAGAGAACGCCATTAACTTGTGCGGAGATCGTCCGAGATCTCTTCCAGCGCAACTGCTTGTACTTCGCTGCGGTCGTGCGCAGGTGTCGTAAACCTGTCAACGCCAAATTTTCTCTCATTTCATTTTCTCCTTTCATTTCTCCCAGGTGGCGAATGGGAGAAACTGCGGTTTGCAGAACATCGATGGTCCGCCTTCTTTCATCCACTCTGCACATGTATGGCTAATTCCTTTGATTAATTGATGAATTCTCGTCCTCCCACCCGAAGCACCGTAGCGCGACGGACTGCTGAACTGTACAGTATGTGACATCATTGTCAGATGCATGTAAGTGACCATCGACTTCTTCCCGTGCTTCGCGTCGTTCACTCTCACTGCACATCTAGCTGCACACAGATTCGCTTACATCGCAATGTCATCACCTCGCGCTCCAGCTTATCTAGATGGGTATCTGCCCCAGCTCCAGCATTACGTGTCGTCATTGCACTTTGGGCTAGCTTTGTTGTTGCTCGACATGCCTTAATTTCCGTCGATGGCGCGGAACCAATATCGTCCCTCGACATAAAAAAATTGTGTGCTATCCAGCGTCAGGTTAAGCGCGTCGCAAACATCGGATGGGCGAATCCCATCTCGTGAACCATCACTTGGTGCTGGACGTGCATGTGCAGGTACACGCAGTGTGAAAGGACGAATATCATTACCGACGACGCCGAGCCGCGCGCTCACCCTGACAGCGAAGTCACCCAGATCCGTCTTTCTCGCGCTACAAAGAACACTGCTCAGAAGGGCGGCTGTCAGACCAGGAGACTGGAGACAGTTCACTCGGTCTCGGTTGTTTCATCCTCCAAGTACAGGTCGAGTACCAAGCGCTTCTCGCCTGTAATTCTGTGTGGTTCGACATAGTTTTCCTCCAGCGAGAGGCCATTGTGGACTCTGCACCACACCCGGTTACTCAAGATAAATTTCGACCACAGTTCTTGCAACACATACGCAATATTTTCGCCTCATGGCTATTTGCGCACCCGCACATCCAACTGCAGCTTTCGCACGTGTGGGTCACCTCAATTACTGAAGCCCCCCAGACAAACAGTGGGAGATATCTCCTCCGGTTTTCCCCATTCGCTGGGGTGGTACTCACGACAGCCGCTCCCGGCGGCCATCTCCCAATCTGCGTCTTCAAACTGAGCAGCTGCTTCACATAGGCCGTCATTCTGCGATGCGCGCTGGAGCATGCCATATGCACCCGCTCGTCCGCTCACCTCTCAGCGACCCTGTCCGTCGCCATCGTCTCTGTGTTCATCAACAACTATAGATACCCACCTCACGCCTGTGTCGCAAGGGCCGGTAAAGTTCACACGCAGCGCTCCCGGCGGTGACCACCGGGCTCGACTCAGAGAACACGCTGCGGTCTCGCGGCATGTTGCGACTTCGAGGTCAATTGCCGTGAAGATTACTCCGGCAGTTCCATCTACTGCATTGTCAGAAGCCAGTGCGCTCGTGGCGGAGATATCCGGGGGCGCAGCTATGCTTCTGGCTCCGTAGATCTCTAACTTATGTGCAATACGCCACTCAGCGCGGACCTATTGTGCAGGAACAATGTGTTTCGCAGTAACTCCTTCCTAGCAGACTCGGGGCTGATGACATGACTGTGCTAATAATTACCTATCAACTCACGCAACGCCTGCGGCACGATTGGTGAGCGGAACGCGAATTGGAGGATAGGCCTTCGCAAACATGCGTAAGTTCACCTGCACTTGATGCATTCCTATGCGCTATCTTGGGCGCAGTTCGTCTGCATACTTGTGACGCTGATCTTCACACTTCTGCCGGCTCGCCCTTCCCATGATCATGTCTTGGAAGCAGCATTGGCACGATCAGCTGTTTGTAGGCGGTGCACCCCAGCTCGTGAAAACCCGCTCCGCACGGTAGGTCCCATTGTTCTCCTTTCGTCGCAAAAACTCCTTGCATATGCTCAACCAAAGTGAGCGGCAGCACATGTACAGCGCTGCAGGGTATCCATTGTATACCTTTTTTGCTACTTTTTCAGTGCCATCAATCATCACGGAAAGTTCCGATACAGCGCGGTCGCCCCAGAATTCTCGGCTCTCATATGTGGGCGTTTTGAGCTTAGCGGCAATGGCACCCAAATGGCACCAGCGGAATGAATGCTGGACGGGAGAGTTGCAGCGCGGACGCTTTGTCAAGCCGGGTCCTGGACGCTCACTAGCGTTCATGAAGCGTTTTTGTACATACCCCATTACCGCATCCCAAACTTGGACAGATTGATTATTGAACCCATTTGAATGCAGACTTATCTCTCTACCATACGTGCAGACTCAATTCTCAACACATTCAATACCCTCTGAGGTGACAAAATCCTGAGATGCTTGCTGCGTCCTTAGTTACATTTCGTAATATCTGTCTCAGCGCGGGAATTGACACGGTCGTGTACACTGTGGTAAGTCGGACACGCCGAACTGAAAGATTGTTGTGTATCATATGATCGAATTGCAGGGACGTAACTCCTGTAGATCGGGATCCCACGCAGAACCTTCGGAGCCCGCGTTTGACAGATATTACGCAACAGCAGGAGAAAAACACAAATTTGCTGCGTACAACTGCACGAAACGCATTCTGCCCCTTGTCATGAGGGATCTCGACCCAGTTGACCCGCACTGCATTTCGGTGCCAACGGACCCCAACGGCCCCGATGGGTACAGGTGAACATATAACTTTAACCCTTGCGTGGGAGTAGCACTTGTGGCGTTGTGATGATCACCAAGTAGGGCGACGCTCGATGCGGATCGGACTCCCTGCAACAGGAAGGGAAGTGACAAGATTCATAGGTAAGTGCTTGGCGTTTCCTCAAGTAAAGGGCGTTGAGCTGCTCCGGGGACATTTTAGTTCTGGTACTGTAATGGGCATCACCTGAGCTGTCCGACAACGGGATTGAGATGGTTCCATAAGTCGTCGCTCTCGCCTCAGGTCCGATGACGGCTTCCGTCGACGCACAGCATTCAACTTCTTCGAAGCTCGGAGCTATCTTCAAGTGTAAGTTCACCGCCATTGAAGGGCGAGTTTGATCCTCGGAAACACAGGAATCCACGGAAGAAGCTCGATCCGTTCCCTTTAACCTGTCACGGAGAGAAGTCTTAGTCTCAGAACATAACTTGACACAAGATATGCTCCAGTCAGCAACCATCAGACCGCCGCAGTCCGCGTCGCGCCACTAGAAGTTTTTCAAAGTACAGTAAGCACAAATACCATAAATAGGTAGGTCACCCACAGAACAACCTGCTGAGTCTGCAGAAAGCCCCGATCCAGTCGCGTGGAAGATGTGTACCCACACCGCCGCCACAGCTTTGCCACAGTGCAATTTGTCAATCAAGAATTTCGAAAAGGGAGAGCACGGTAACTTCGTTAAGCGGACAATGAGGCCGAGGACCGGTCAGATAGGCTCAGGATTTTGCCTACTCACCGGTAGAATGAGACGGCGACCAGGACTATGCTACACACGTCGCCGGTCCACCGGGAGCAAATTTACTGCTGAACAGACCGTGTGATTGAGAGAAATACAAGGATGGGTAATCACTCTTCTTTACGAGGACGCCGCCTTACTCGAGACGGTATATCTGCAAGCCGTCATCTTTAATGTTACATGCGTTATAATTTATGACGGTCACGAACCTCAGTTTGAAGCGGCCTCTCGTTGACTTCGTCGAAATAAATCTTTGAGAAATTCGTGTCGATATTCGAAAAATTTTCGGCGGTTGCCATTGGTCCTCCACGTTGTCGGCACGTTGCGTTCCTTCCACTCCGATCCCATTTAGGAAACTTCTGAAGTTCGATTTCCAGGAGGCCAAGCCTTCAGTCGAAGTGAATATGAGTAAAATCCAAGAAGACAACGCCACGATGAAGGCTTATCGAGTACACAAAAAACACCGAAGGATGCATCTAATCTCCGGCCACTGTCCTCTGAATGCTCAGGCGTACAAGATTAGCCAGGAGTTGGTGGAGGTTGAGAAGGAAGGAAACCGATGTCCGCTAAGCAACATCTCTAATTCATAGCCATCTCCGTGACGCCGGCATACTAAAGCAGAATAAATCCATAGGACCACTGGCATCTATCGACTTCTCAGATGAAGACGGAGGGAAGCAAGAAGTCAATATCTATCCGGAGGGGCACATGATCATCGGTCCTTGCGGAAAGTAAGATGATCAATTTCCAGGTAGGGCTGAGATAAGGGCAGTGGCATTGCAGGGAAGGAGGGAAAATGTCGTTTTCCGATATTCGCACAGAGTAAGCTCCCGCAGCACGCGAATATCCATGGAATCAGAATTCTCAGTTCCTTGGACTCACACGAAAGACAGACAGATTCACTGTGTCCGTCGGAAGGACGTTCAAAATGCAGCCTCATGTTTTTAAGACCTATGGAAAGTGCGAACAGAAACATCGGTAACACTTGAACTGCCATTTCGAAAGTTTGTGGTTTTCCATGTGTACGTATCGATCACTGAAGCTCTGTTGGTCCTTAGCAGCGTTATGCTGTCACAAAGAAGTGCATTGCCCATTCGACGCAAGCTTCGTGTATTCATGTCCGCACCCACGGTGCATGGGTCACCAGACGCGAGCACACAAATAGAGACGTGAAAGCCATATGACCGGAACTTGGATTGCAGCTGTTATTAATGCATGACAGCAGAGAAGTAGCCGACCTGCTGCACCCATCGATAATCAGATATGCTACACACGGTGCGTACGTTTACCTTGCCGGCGACGACTGAAGCGATGGCTCAGGAAGCCTCAACCAATGGGAGACGTACCCAGGATGAGGAACCAGGCTTTGTGCGACGGGATTCGTGCCGCATCTCCATGTGTCGTCTCCTTGATGAACTTGCATGTCTTTCACAAAGCGACGCTGGTAACGATGTGTCAAGGGTATTCTAGCGCCTTGCATGAGAACAAACCATTACGCGTGGTTGTCGAACAAGGAAGACATCCGGTTGGTAGCTTTCCAGGCTCGTCCGTAAACCCAGAACCCATCGAAGAGAAATGAGATACCATCGACATCCAATAAATATTAGAGACAGAATGACAAATTACCCAGCCTTAATTTTGCTTGAATAGTCCATGTTGCGACCGGTAAGGTTATATCGTTCACTACGCTAGGACTTCGTCCCTATATCCACCAGATTATTTATTATGGTCTAATCAGCCGATAAACACTCTACGGAGAACTGACAGGTGTTGTCGAGCAATACACCCGTGTAAGCTCGGCGAGGGACAATTCACGCCGCAGGTATCATCTTGTAATAACATTGGCCATAAAAACAGGGTCATTAGATCATAGTTTAGAGTGAAATTAGTATGTACGCTTGAAGTGCACATTGTTGGTCGTAGACGAACTTCCGTGTGTGTCACGCGATCTGGGGCCGGCGCCGAGGTGGTGCCGCTACTTGCTTTCTCACCATAACATTCAATCTTTGAAGATCAACTTGTTCGTCCTGATCTGCGACAGAGAACTGTACAGACATCTGTGAGGATGCAGCAAGTTATGAAGGCAATCAAATGTACTGCTGATAGTAAGATCATGGGCGACGAAGTCGTCCGTTTCTTGATACTTGGGGTGAGGCCCATTTTTCGCCTTCTAGTTCTTTGACCTCACGTTGCTGCAGTTTTAGCTTTCCCGCTGCAGAATCAGTGCAGATGGAGTACTTTAATTTCACACTTCAAGAGGCTGAGGAAACGTCTCACGTCAGTCTTCCATGGTACTCTCATTCCCGACCGCAGCGTACAGACACTGTCCTGTATTTGCCATTTTCACTAGTATCACATACTACAACGATGTTGTTCTCATTGTGACAGTGCATCTCGAAGGCACCTTCTGTCTTACGTGTGCGTGATCGACCGCGATCCTGCGCCCCACAACTCGCATGTAGATGCATCCTCCTCACGCCGTGCGCTGGTACCTTACTCGAGTTGTGGCGGTCGCAAGGGTATGCTGTCGATCCAATCATGCGGCGTTGGGTTCCGGTTGATTTGCCTGAAATTGATAGTTCTACGTCTACTTCATCGCTGCAATGTGGTGACTCATCGTCTAGACCTAAGGCGATCTTCTACTGGTACTCAGTTCGCTGCACTCCCTCCAGGTCGCTGTGGCTGTTGATTCCGCCTCCCAGACGTGATTGTTCGAGACATTGACCGACTTACGTCTGGATGATGATCTGGTTGGGGTATGTCCGTAATCACTGCGAATTGGACACGATGACTAATGCCTATGTGGTCTTCATACAACTAGCTAAGGAAGTAGCCAAGTTCATGAGCGCCCACATGTCGCTCCCAAATTTGCGGCTGCCATTTTCTCGAGGACTACAAGTGATTTGGTGAATCATCTAATCGCCCTCTACAATCCGGTGCCAATCGCCGTTACATCATACCAGCACGCCATGAATTGATGGGCCTACGGGTTGCCAGGCAATCGCGCAAACCCTCTGTTGTGTTGAGAATCGAACGTTGCAGATTATTGTGAGTTAACCTTCTTCGGGATCGAACAACCAACTAGAACGGTGGTTCCCTCCCTTACAGTCTGATGTGTTGATTAACGCTGTCCTATCTCATAGCTCCCGGTAGCGAAGACAGGCGTTTAAAAGCTTCGTGTAGCGCGCCATCTGACCTGCAATTCCCTCCCCCCCGATGGTGCATTCTATTGCGGTATTGCGATATACTTCAGAGTGTCCGCTGCGTTCTAGGGAGTTTGTATGGTACGCTTGCAGCCGTTCAAACTCCTTTTTACTTTGACGCTCAGTGCACCTGACGATTCTTCAGACGCCCTCACTTTGTATCTTCAAGTTCTACAATACATTTCAGCGTCATCTTAAGAGCGCCACGTCCATCCTACCTCCCACACTAACCCGAACCGATCCCACGAACATGTGCGCTCCGCGTGCGTGCCCTAACCTTATACTTTGTATATTAACTATAATGTTGCTGTTCATGTTCTATCAACCTTCCGTCTCCTGCCAGCTAGGCCTCCACGCTGAACCATGTCCAACGGATCCGTATCTTTTCTTCCTTCTCAGGTCGACGCGCCTGTTTCTACGAGGCCACTCACTACCTCCGCGTCCCCGTTCGATCTGCTCTACGCCGATATCGTGCTCTTCTTCCAAAACTGGAGATATCTCCCTGGAATAGTCCTTCCCCTCACACCAACGCCTTCCGGGCCACTTGACGAGTTATACCCTTCAGTGGCGAATCTATGGGCAATCTCTGTCCATGTCGTCCTGATCGTCATAGAAGGTGTTTACATCCTGTCTATTCCTCTATCGCCGTTCTTCGTCAATGCAGCTTTCATCGCGTACTCTGGCACTGTCCTGATTATCGTGTATATGATCTGTTTCCTTTTGAACAAGGGTGTAAGCGGGGAGTTTGTGTTTAGCGATGAACATTTGCTAGAAGGATACGAGAAGAGGGACGGGGAAGTCTGGGTATTTGTGAATGGTGTCGCCGTGGGGTAAGCGCAGCGCCTAACACTTGTCCGTTGATCGAGCTATACTTATCCGGCGCTAGAAAGCACTGGTTGAAGAGCAACGTGAACAGACTCTCGGAAACATTCCGCCGACGCATCATCGGCGTCCACAATCCTACGTGAGCGTTAGTCTCGACGGATGGATCGAACCAATACTAATATAGCGTGATCACAGCGGCGGGATCATTTTTGACGTCATCCAATGCCTCGTCCAGCGCGACTTCTCCTACGACACGCCGGACGTGCGCCAGAGCTACGCCTACCTGAAAACCGCGCTGCTCGACCAGTCCGTGCACAAAGTCGTGTTCCTCGCGCACTCGCAGGGCGGCATCATCGCGTCCATGGCGCTCGACTGGCTGTACGCCGAGCTCCCCGCGGCGGCCCTGTCCAAGCTCGAAGTGTACACCTTCGGCTGCGCGGCGAACCACTTCAACAACCCCGCGCGGCGCGCGTCCCACGTCCACCCCTACGACCGCCAACCCAACGGCACGTCCCCTCCCGCTCCCACGAACGGGCACACGCCGCACGACGCGCGCATCGTCCCGCACATCGAGCACTACGCGAACGGGCGCGACTTCGTCTCGCGCTGGGGCGTGCTGCACTTCGCCGCGTCCGCCTGCGCGAACCGCTTCGCGGGGCGCGTGTTCGAGCAGCGCGGCGCGAGCGGGCACCAGCTGGACCAGCACTACCTCGACACGATGTTCCCGCTCGACGCCGCGCGCACGCGCGTGCGCGAGGAGAACGCGTTCATGGACGCGCCGTGCGAGGTCGATGCGGAGCTGGTGGTCGCCAGGGAGCAGCCGGCGGCGGACGCGATTGGCCGGGCGCGGCGCAAGGGGAGCGGCGAGGAGCTGCGCCGCAGGTACGTTGACGCTGCGCGGGCGCAGGCGGCTGCTGCGAGGACGATGCGGGTGAAGGACTTGAGCCGGCTTTGGCTCTACCGAAACGGAGAGGTGCCTGAGCATATCCCGGCGTCCCCTATAGCGAACTAGGCTGGAAATGTCCCTGATACGCCGCTGAATGGATACATCTACGTTCCCATGTTGTGATCAGTCTCTCAGGATCTGTCGGCCAACAATCTAACCTTACATGCACGCACGTTCGCAAAATCGTTGAGCACCTCCGGGAGTTAGAACGCACGATATTTAGCAGACTGTGATGAAGGGACCTTGTCGACAACTCTACCGAAAACATCCATTGCATAACGTACATCCCCTGAATTACAGTCACCGAGCAAAACACATACGGGCGAGCACAATATTAGCAGAGCAATACGATACGGTACCGTAAGATGAAAAAAAAGATTCCACCCCAGCAGCCCAAAGCCCAAAACCATCGCACCTACTTACTTCCCACAAACCTTCACGATATGCTGCCTAACCCTCGGCCACACCACCCCCGCCGCGCGCTCGCCCATCCAACAATCCAGGTGCCCAAACCCATCAAACACGTCGCGCTCATACCTGCCCCGGACAAACGCGTTCCGCAGCGTCGTATACGACACGTCCGTCGCGCTCGGCGCATACACCACGTTCTCGCTGCCCGAGAAGAAGAAAATCGGCACCCCCTCGAGCCGCGCCAGGTTCGCCTTGTCCACCAGGCTCACCGGGGGCTCGTGCTGGTCCGGCGCGCGGGGCCCCGGCCACGTCGTCACCACCCCGCTCGTGCCCATGTGCATCAGATGCGAGAGCGCGCGCATCGACACCCCGCCGAGGAAGTCGGACAGCACCGAATGCGTCTGCGAGTTCAGGTTCTGATGCGACCAAAGCCTGTATCACACAATCAGCACCAGCGTCCCCGTAGCACAAACGGACCAAACGTAACGTACCTCCCGAACACCAGCTCAGACCGATGGCACACGACCGAGTTGCATATCTCCTTGCGCGGGCCCACGGGGTAAAATCGCAGCGCCTGGTTCATCGCCTGCTGCACGAGCGAGTCCTCGGGGCTGCTCGTGCACGAGAACCAGCCCCCGGCGACCTTGCCGTAGATCGCGGTGAGCGGGACAGGAAGGCTGGCCTTGACCATATTCACCCGCGCAAAGTTCGGGTTCATAAACACGTTCGACGCCGTGACGCCCTTGATGCGCGCAGCGGGGATCGTCCCGTCCAGGAGCCCCATCGACAACGCAATCGAGCCCGCACAGTGCGCGATGACGTACACCTGTGGATACCGTTGTACGATGTACTCCAACGCCGCGGCGACGTCGAGCCGCGCGTCGTACGTCGTCCACCCATTCTGCGCAATCGGCGTCCGCCCGACGCGGTGCGTGATGCAGAAGCACGTCGCGCCGGAGCGCGTGAAGAACTCAATCGCGTTGACTTCCAGAGTGGGCATGGCGAATATCTGCTGGTCGACTGCAGCGCCGGGGACGAACAAAATCGGCACATCGTTCCGGATCTGCACCGTGCTCGCGTCCCGCCTCACGTCAGGCTTCCACATGTGCAGCGTGGTGCGAACACCGTCGGCGGCGGTGACTTGGGTAGTCTCCGCCGGGGGAGTCTTGGGGATAAACCCGTTGGGCGACACGCCGGGCCACTGGAGCATGCTCAGAGGCGCAAAGAGGAAGTTCGCCGTCTGCTTGGTGAAGTACGTCAAGAACTGCCCCGTGGCCCCGAGACGACTAAACAGGCTGGAGCCCGTAGCAGCAAATGTCGTGAGCTCACTGCTAAAGCCGAGGGGCGCGATGCGCAGCACCCCGCGGGCAACCACGCTCTTGTCCCTGGGGCGCGTGATAGTGACGTAGAGCGTAGACGTCGCCTTCCAGGTGCGCCACACCGAAAACGCGACGGACGGGTTGACGACCTTGTACCCGTTGAAGTGCAGCACCTCGCCCTCGACGCTCAGCATATCAAAATTGTACACGAGGTTCTGCGTGTCGGGCGCCCGAGGATCATTGCTGAAGAGCTGGAACGTCCCGCGGAGAACCATGAAGGGGTGCTTGCTGAGAGCGCCGCAGGTGAACGTCCCGGTGAGCATCGCAGGATGGTCAAGCTGATGCACCACTAGTGATGTTGTCCATCAGCACACAAACACCGGAGGAGAACGAAAACTCACAGGTACGGACGTCCCACCCATGGACGCTCAGGAAGAACCGCGCAGAGCTCGACACGCCCCGCGCAGCGTTCTCCGCGACGGTGAAGTCTTCAATATCGTTGCCCACATACATGAAGCCCTCCATCACCTCGGAGAACTGGACGCCAGAGCTATCACCAGCCTTCGCAGAGTTAATGATCTTAATAGCCTTTTTCAGGTCCCGCGTCAGGTCGAGCCGCCGCGCCGGAGGCCCGGTCAGGTCGAGGAGCCCGTTCGGCGTGTCGTAGTCGATCTTGACGCCGTTCTTCACGGCGACATGCTCGACGCTCCGCTCCGCCAGCGCTGTGATGGTCGCGAACGGGTTCACTCCCAACGCAGTCGGAATCACGCTCCCGTCCACGCAGACGAGACCGTTGTGGTGCTCCGTACCATTTCCTGTCAGGAGCTCACCATACTGGGTCGTCGCACCCTGGTCCGCGGTGCCATCGGAGCTGAAGTTCGCCCCTCCAATGGGGTGGACGGTGATCTACCACAATATCTCAAAATACAATCCCAGAATCGATCGTGAATCTCACGCACCTCTTGCTCGTCGAACATCGCATAGAACGGGCTGTTGATGAACGTCCCGCCCACGGCATTCGTCGCCTTCGCCAGGACGCCGTTCAGATACTTGACGTGCTCGCTCCGCCCGACACCGAGGAACTTGACGAGCGGCTTCCCCTCACCGTTCAGCGTCAACGTAGCCTGGTTGCTGTCATGGCTCATGATCAAGTACACCTGCGTGCGCTCCGTGCTGCCCCCAGATGTATACGGACCAAGGACCTGGCTGACTTGGCGGGAAACGAAGTGGCGAAGGCGCTGTATGGGCCCCCATGGCTTCGGGAAGACCTTACCGGGCATAACGTTGAGCATCAACTGCAGGTTCGGAACGAGCGCCTCGGGGACGGCGCCCTCCTCGATGACGAATCCATCGAGTGGATTGGCCTGCGCCCGCCGGTCAATCACGCCTGTGATCGTGGGCCCGACCGGGCGCGCGGGGTCCACGTATGCGCGTCCAAGTGCGTGCGCCTCATAGTCGGTGTTGTACCCAAACGCGAGGATGTCTCCGTTCCCGCTCATCCCCATGCCCACGGTCCGCGACATCGGCAGCCCAAGCTGCTTGCTCCGAAGTAAAATCTCCGTCGTGCCCAGCGTTCCGGCTCCGAGGAAGACGAACTTCTTCGCATGCACCCACATCAGCTCCTTGTCGAATAAACTTCGGAACGCGCTTCGGCAGGTGCCATGCCACGCGAAGAAAACAATGTATCCTTCGCCGTTCGGCGCCTTCTGGACATACCGCACCTCCGATTCACAAAAGCTGCGCATATACGAAGATTAGGCGTGAGGCACAGAGCAGAGAATGCCGATGCTTACATCTCTGCGCCCCAGTTCCAGGCATCGGATAGGTAATTGACCAGCGTGCTGCTCTTGCTCCCGTCGTTCACGCCCGTCGAGTCCATACCGCTGCCCGTGCTCGCGTACATCATCACCCCAGTCGAGTTCGGGCCATCTTCGAAGCGTGTCGTCTGCGGCGGGCGATAGAAATTCTTCTGCCATCCTAGCTTCTCAGCCTGAGTCTCGAGGAGTTTCAGCTTGTCGAGGGGAGGGTACGACTCGGGATAGCTTTCGGGCTGGAGTACGGAAGCAGCCCGTTCGTAATCTGGAGACGAGTGAGCGAAGAGAAGATAACAAGCGAGACGACGACGCACATTTGTCAAGGACAGTTGGATCGTTCTTGATGTCCTCCGGCCAATCTTCCTTGGAGAGTGATCCTTTGTCGGCCTCCAGGAAGATGTTCGCGTTCAAGAGACTGGTTCCTCCGAGGCCTGCGACGAGTCGTTCCGAATCAAGAACCGTAAAACTAGCAGAAGAAGACGCATATAGTCACCGTTTCCGACGAAAACGTTCTGTCCCTCGCCGATGGTGAGATGGTAGAGGCCCATCGGATCGCCCACTTCGACATATGCGCCTTTGGTAGAGGCAGAGCGGCCCTGCACACGGACGTTCGGCGCAGCCTCGGCCAAAGTGCTCGGGTACTCCCCGGCTGCGGGAAGTGCGTCAACAACCAAACCTGCGGACGAGATCGAGACCGGAGACTCACGCCATCGCTCTTTTCCCCGCTCGAGCACGCACACGGACTGGCCGCCCCTGGCCATACGGCTGGCAGCGACACCGCCGCCGTACCCGCTGCCGACGACGACGACATCGTAGGTGGGGCGCAGGAGCTCGACGGGCTTGGAGATGCGGGGGAACTTGCGGGGGGTCATGTGCGGGTGGTGCTCGTCGCCCGACCCGGGGGCGAAGGCGGGAGACTCGAAGGCGGGGCTGGTGTTGAAGGGGTCGGGGATGACGGCGTTGGGGGTCGAGGCTTGCGAGGAGGAGCCGTCGTCGGACATGGTGGGGGAGGGAGAGACGAGGGCGTCTGTGAGGACGCCGAGCAGATGATATATATAGCTGGGCGCGCTGGCGACAGATGGAATGGAGCTTCGGGAAGGATTTTGGGCAAGCTCCTGCATTCAGTAGCTCGTGCCACGGCGCCTGGAAGGCGCAACGGGCCTGTCCCATTTCCCAGCCGTCCTCCTTGGAGTGCCGCAGCACTATAGTTGTCGCCGAGACGGGCGATGAATTGCATAAGAAGGCGTAGGGACCGCGGAAGGCGTCAAGGACGAATTGCGGGAGACAGGCTTAAGCTGGACAGACAGTGGATGTAGGTGGGCAGGTAGACATGCGTTCAGCGCGTCCGTGCGATCGGATCTGTTCCGTCAGATTGGCGCCTTACCAGATGCTTCCGAATGTGGCAAGTTCGTCGTTTCGCGGCAGTCCTAGTCAACCTCGGGACTCCCACTGCGGGCGTGAGCGAACAGAGGAGTACGGGATTGGCGGCAGCATGTTGCTGTCGACTTTGGAAACCTCCCTTATCTCTGCGTTACATTCCAGCGCCTCCGGGTGCGCTTCCATCAGGAACAAAGTTTGACAAGTGGACGCCGGACGACTCTGCGCGAACCTTCCCCAGATCTGGAGCCCATAGCAGAGGTAGCTTCCGCGATCCACCAGCTGCCGAGCGTCCGTTTACGTTGTCGGGATGTCGTGTAGCGTCGGCGAAAGGTTGCGCCGCTGCGCCGACGACGTTCATGGTGAGATGTAGTGTGCTCCGACTGACATGTTGACGACGCTCGCTCACCGACAGGGAATGAAGCGCCGCAGAAGCAAGTTCCACCGAGAATTCTCGTCATGCACAGGTCATCAGCGGGACGAAACGCTTGACATCCGAGGAAGGAGGGCGCGCGACGGCGGATGGCGCGGAATATATATATGTAGCACGGCGTCCATGCGAGCCACCAGACTCCGCGATGCGACGACCCGAGAACGTAAGCTTCCTCCCGGCCCAGGTCGACGCCGCGCTCGCGTCCCGGCCGCTCACCGCGACGATTTCGCCGCTCTACCTCTTCCTCTCCGACCTCGTCCTCTTCTTCGGGAACGCCTTCTACCTCCCCGGCATCGTCTTCCCCCTCGCACCCTGGCCCTCTGGCCACCTCGACGAGCTCTATCCCTCTCTCGCCAACCTCTCTGCCATATCCGTGCACCTCTTCCTCGTCTGTCTCCAGCTCGGCTTCCTCCTCTCCCTCCCCCTCGGCCTCTTCTTCGTCGGCGCCGTCTGGCTACTCTACTGCGCCGCCGTCTTGTTCGCTGTCTTCCTCGTCTGCCTCCCCCTCAACGGCGGCCGCAACGGCCAGAAGGTGCTCAGCGACAGGCGCATCCTCCATGGCTGCGACCCCAAGGATAGGGAGTCCTGGGTGTTCATCAACGGCGTCGCCGTCGGGTACGAGCACACCCCTCCCCCATCATTCCCGTCTCGCTCACGCCCCCGCCAGCAAACACTGGCTTCAGAGCAACCTCGACAGGCTCTCCCTCACCTTCCTCCGGCCCATCACCGGCGTGCACAACATCACGTGAGTCCCCCCCCACTCCGCGCGACTCCCTCTGACCCCGCCCAGCGCCGGCATCGTCTTCGACGTCCTTGAGTGCCTCATCCAGCGCGACTTCTCCTACCACCCGCGGGACGTGCGCCAGACGTACGCCTTCCTCAAGAACGCCCTCCTCGACCCGCACAAGGACAAGGTCGTCCTCCTCGCCCACTCCCAGGGCGGCATCATCGCCTCCATGGCCCTCGACTGGCTCTACGCCGAGCTCCCGCTCTCCGCCCTCCGCAAGCTCGAGGTGTACACCTTTGGCTGCGCCGCGAACCACTTCAACAACCCCTTCAGGGCCGCGCGCCCGGGCGACGCCGCGACCGACGCGGAGCGCGACGACCCGCTCCGCGCGCGCGTGAACCCCGACTCGCCGCTCGCGGGCAGCGCGCGCGCAATCCTCGGCGCGCAGCCGGGCGCGGCGGCCAGCACGGCGCCGTTCGACGACGCGCGCGCGGTCGCGCACGTCGAGCACTACGCGAACGAGTGCGACTTTGTCGCGCGCTGGGGCGTGCTGCACTACGCCGCGCGCGCGGAGCGCTTCGCGGGGCGCGTCTTTACGCGGCGCGGCGCGTCGGGGCACCAGCTCAACCAGCACTACCTCGACGCGATGTTCCCGCTCGACGATGGGCGCGCGGCTGTGCGTGAGTATAATGAGTTTGTGGATGCCGAGTGCGAGGTCGATGAGGCGCTTGTGATGCGCCGCGAGGAGCCGGAGGTGGCGGAGATGGACCGCATCCTTGGGTCTGATGGGGACGGAGAGGGTAAGGAGACGGTGGAGGTGGCGATGGGAGACGGGAAGGGCCGGGTCGGGCCGCTGGGGAAGATGTATCGAAAGGCGACGCGGGCGCGGGCGAGGGCGGCGCAGGGGGCGCGCGTGAGGGACTTGAGCCGGCTCTGGGCGTATAGGAACGGGATGTCGCCCGAGGATTGATATTGAGTGTTGGCGCGTGAGTGTTCGTGTTGTTTGTGTTCTGGACACGCTTGGTCGTCTGGGATGTGCGTTCTGGATTGGTGGTGAGCAGGTGCCAGGCATCGTTTGCGGCCTCTCTGGATCCGAGTGGGTTGGAACCTGTGGGCCTCTGTGTGATAGCTAAATTCAAAACGTTAGACGTTTCTCGACGAAACTCACCTCCCGGTATTTGTTCGCGGAGCAGCAGTTTAGTGTGGGACAAACGACCTAAACCAAATGCGGAAGCTCAAGCGCTCGCCGGAGAGCCTGTGTGCGAGAGTTCTCGCACTGGCATGCCCTGGAGAGAGCTGAGAAGATCCTTATGAGCTCTTTCATGGCTTGGGGAACATGTTTATGGTTCTCAAGGGGTGACATGGTTGCCAGCATCTGATGATGGAGGGTTGACCGCATATTGACTGGTTGCCCAATTCGGCCTAAGTCTGTTTGTTCCGCACTAAAGCGCTGCGCCACAAACAAAAATCGGGAGGTGAGTTTCGTCGCAAAACGTCTAACGTTTTGAATTTAGCTGGAACATGTACGCCACTGTGACTGGCACTAGCGCGGAGTTCTGCAGCGCGGCGCTGAGTTGAACGGCGACATGTTCGTAAATGTATCATTAATTAATAATCGCGGCGCTCCAGTCGGTCGTGCGGATACCACGGTGTGCGATGTGTGCAATGTGTGAAGCTTTGAAGCCCGGTGAGAACGTCGATAGTTTGCGTTGGACTCTTGTCGAACCGGCTGCTCGGCGCTCAGCGCTCAGTACTCAGTACACTGGACTTCAGAACTGAATTTGCCGGTAGGATACTTGTTGAACAGTGGCAACGATTCGAATATTCAAATGTTCACTCACAGCGTGCCCCCGGTGAATCCGCGCGTCACAAGCGCGCAGGTGAGCCGATGCTGCTGCTTATATTAATATTATGTTACTTTCCGCACTCCGAGTCCGTGCCTGTGCATTCGACCTGTCGACTCGTCTTCATCACGGCCTCTGGTTGTCCTTCGGGCTGCGAAGTTCAGCGTCTGCGCGGTGCGTGTGGACTCCAGCTGACGTTGTGCTTTTCCTCTCAAACCGCGTTTCGGATTGGCTGTATGCGGAATGGACGCTTCATTGGCACAGAGTCCGTCGAGCGGAGGATGACAACGGCGTGCGGGTGACGACGGCGATACCAGTAGCATGCATGGCGATCGGGAGAACGCATCACTCGACGGCGGAGGCTCATCAGCAAAACTAGACGAAACTTATAAGGCATGATAAGCCCTTGTAAGGTACATAAGACTCGTATCCTGCCGAGTTTTTCACCGGGCCTTATAATATGACCATGAGAGTTCGGAAGGGCCATAAACCTGGCAAAAGCAGGCATCCTTATGAGCCTTCCGAAGCTTCCAAAGCCTTATAAGGCCAGATGTGTCGAGGGTTCATTTTCTGAATATGATAGGGAATTTTCACGCATCAAGCATATGCAGAGTCCTGTTAACTATAAAGAATATATTCCAATATTATAACTACATGAAAATATAACAAGACTGTAGAATAGATATCGACCCGCACACTAAATGCACCGAAAACACAGAAATAATGACCCCAGGAGCATAAATTGTAGCGACAGGGCCTGTCAGGAGCGAGTTGATGCCGATCGCACCCCGACAGGGCCGCCGCCCGTGCACCTATGCACCGCGCATCGAGCTGCAGTGCGACACAATAGGCCCGAGCAGCATCAAGTCTTCCTGCAGATGTGCAGTGCCAGGGAAATGAAAGGGAAATAATCAGATAATACTCCAAACATACCTGGCTAGCATAGGCTCCATTCAACCTCCAAATCCCCATTGGCATTGTGCCGGTGTATCTAGAGCGAAGATTGTCAGACAGCATCCATGAGGGACAGGATGTATCTGCCAATCCGAAGCTCAGGCAGAGTACATGGAGACTGCGAGGCACATCTGTGGGTACAAAGATGGCCCCGCATGAGAGTGTGATATGCAGTAGCTAGTCGAAGGGAACAGTGGAGGCAGGAAGAGAGAGAAGAGGATGCCGACGTGAGGTGACCAAGCAATTTTGATGAAGTTCAACATTTGCAGTTGTTTGTGAGCCATCATAGGCCAGGGGTAGTCAGACTGGCAGAGAGTTGCGCAGTTACGGGAGGCAGTACGGAGGGTATATGTGGGGGTCAGCAGCGAGATGGACGCTCAGAAGGCCTTGCAAGGCCTTCTGATACGCCATCAGTCTTATCACGTGTTCCAAATGCCACCAGGGCATAGCAGATTTCTCCACTTTTGCTGATGCTCGAACTGGACGAGGCACGTTGTTCGTCGATGTGACAAGCCGCATCATCGGCGAGTCAGGCATACTACGAAGGTATGTTCTTCTGCCGTATCGTCTCACTGGAGTTGCAGTCCCTTGTGGTCTTTTGCTTGCCTCACTTCAAAGTTTGTCCACGCTGCTCAGCCGGATGGAGACGACGGGGCAGGTAGGTGTCTCCTGGGCATATATTGACAGCCCGGGCATGCCAGCCTTACAATGTCAGTTTGTGCATCTTCCGCCGATTCCGTGCCCACCCTCTCTTCCCGTTCGCTCGCGACATATTCAGTGGATTTCCTCCGAAGTGCGTGCGTTGGAATTTAGCCCTCCATCGCTCCGGTGCCGCCGCCAGCGGTCACGGTGTCTCTACACAGATGCGGGGGCTCAGTGTTCTCGAATCCCCCAGTGCGACGGCCGTGTTCTCCTTCAGCTCGATGACATTAATCGTGCATTGGATAGCAATTGGAAGTGAGTCAGGTAACACACACCTACCATATTGGGCAGCGACCCCTGGCGGAGAACTGACTGAGCGTAACCTACTCCTGTTTGTCACCAAAACATGTACGTATAAGACAGACTAGATCATGACTAGGGACTCTGTATCTTGCAGTTCCCCTCGACTGTCCTCAAAATCAACCTTGATTTCACATGACTTCGACTTTACCGCCTCTCCGCGACCACTATCTACCCCCGGGGCCTACTGGCTCGAGTCCGGTGAATGACGATTTCTTCCGCGCCCCGTACTCGGAGACCAACGCTGAGTATCAAGATTTCTGTCTTCGTAGAGAGCAAGATGCGAAAGTATGGGCACCTTACAAAGATGTGCCATTCACTGCAGATGTGGTCGATCACTGGCCCCGTCCCCCGGTCGAGTTGGTCTTGCTGTGCTTGCATGAGGATGCATCTCCTAATCGACGTCCTGTTCCTGACAATGTGCGAAACAGCGCATTTACCCATGAGGACTGCAAGATCACCCTTAGCAGGGCCCACCCACTGCAAACTGAGCCGCGAAAGTGGTCACAGGTGTGGCGTGGGTGCATAACAATGTCGAATGATGATGGACAGGATGTCCAGGTTGCTCCTGTATTTCCGGAACCATGGGAATTTATTCCTGATGGTGACAATTGGGGGATCAATGGTGGAGAATGGTTAATGGGGGCGCAGCAGGCGAGGAGGGAGGCATGGGCATTTTTGACTTTGCATTCACTTCAAGGTACGATACTAGTATGTTCTACACTGCAGCGATCTCCCAGTCATCTGGGTCCAGTTCATACTTGTGAAGCTTCAATGTCTTGTCTGCAGTGATGGCATCAATTGGGTGGTGATACTTTACAGTGAAACTCAACATGTCATAAGTTGAATTCCACCGTGTGACAACATCCCTAGAGATCATGCAAACAGAGAGCTTGTGGCGCCGGCACATCTCCTGCCAGGCTGGCAGCACAAGTGTGCTGGAGTGAATAACTGCAAACACAAGCTGACGGATCTGTGCTGATGTCAGTAATGGCACGTACAGATCATCTTGGCTCTCACCTTAGTTAGAGTAGCATGCACCTCCGCAGTCTGGTTGAGAAGTGCCTCGCGTGCCTCATGGTCCAGTTCTGTCAGTTTGTCTACCTCCTCAGAAACTTCCTCATCCAAATCAGATACTTGCACAGTGCTGCTGTCATCGTCATCATTGCCCTCATCTTCATCGTCCAGATCCTAAAGTTCAGGCAGATCATCGAACTTGTCATCCTGCATCTCAGATGGCTTTTCGAGTGCTGAGTTGAAGGGCTGAAGCAGTGACTTTGCAGAAAGCTGGAGAGTATGGCTGAAGCAGCGGGCGCGGTTCGCCTCCTCAAACGAGTTTGGCAACTTGGCGAGCTCAGATGTCTGCTTGTCATTGGATGTTGCATTGTCGCCATTGAACATCAGAATCTGTGCAAGCGTAATAAGTCCTTGGTCTGAACGAAAGAGAACATGTCAGGGACATACCTTCTGCTCTATACCAAACCTGATTAGCATTGCGTGGAATTCCCGAGCAAGTGTCTGGCCTGTGTGTGACTGAGATGGTAGCAATCAGTCATAGTACTATTAGTATGTGAGATAGCGTACATCCGGGACTTCCATGATATCCAGAAGGAAGGAAAGGGGACGGCCTTGGAACTCGAGATGCACTGTCCAAGCAATGAAGGCATGATGATTCAGTGAAGTCCAAGCATCTGTGGCAAAATTGAGCTGTCCCGGATGATCCTGGCCATAATATCAGCAAGGTTCTTACAAGATTACAAATAATCTGAAGCCACATACTCACAATAATGTCCTGATGCGCTCGCGACAGCACTCGAATGTGCTCTTAATGTCATGCTGCAAGGTCATGAAGGAGGGCAGGGCAAGGATCGGCCAACCCGCCATCATAAGTTCCTAAAATTCCCGGTCGGAGACGATCTTGGCGGGGCAGTTGCTCTCAGTGACCCACTTGATGAGGTGCGCACTGATAGGACTATCAGCACTGATTCATACTGGAGATAGAAAAGGGAGGGACTGATGCACTGTACTTCTGAATTTGTGTGGGTATGGTGGGAGACATGCACCGGCTGTTGGCCTTGATGTGCAAACATCGCAAAAATCAAGCCATCTCTTGGTACCTTGTCACCTTTGATAGTGGCTTCGACAGCAGCAGCCCCAAAACAGCTGATGGCATGCATCTTGAGGTTCGATGTTGATGCCTTGTCCTCAGTGGGTTCTTGCACTTGCATGCAGCACAAGGAAAGAAATGACACTTCCAGCCATTGTGATATTCAACTGAAACACTCGACTTGAAAAATGAATATACCGGGGAATGCCACGCAGCTTGTAACTGCCCTGCAACATAAGTCATATTGGCATGTATAATATCAGCCACATTAGTGACCTCTTACCCAGCTCCTGCTCATCTGTTTCCTCCTCAAAACCACTTCCGATGGATGCCGACAGCGAAGAACGTCTGGATATATGGTTACTTGGCTCTGGTGTCCTCTTTCCCCCATCAGCTATGCCCGTGCCATCAGAATCACTCGAAACCTCCACGGGTTCAACCTCGGTGCCATGAGTCAAAGATCTGAAAGAGGTGCGAGAAATTTTCAAAGACAATATGGACTGTCAGAGGTGCTTGAGAGGACGGACGACAGCTTTCGCACCAGCCTGCAAGGTCTTCTTGACTTTGGCGGCCTTGCACGAGATGTGAGACTGGACCGAGTTGTGAGATGAGGATGTATTGCCAGTGTGAGGCTTAGCCTTCACCATCGCCATCGAAAAGGGAGTAGACAGCCCACAAACGAGAAATGCTATGGGCTCGATTTAAATATGAGCATGAAAAGGTGTGCATCATCCAGATTACCAGCCTGCCCCACTGCTCGCCGCTGACCAGATGAATATTGAGCAGATACAGTACACGACAGACTAGAAATGACTCACAAAATCATAAGACAATATTGAGCACGCAAGCAGATAAACATCCTGCAGATCGCTGTCCACGCAATCGACCAAATTCAGTGAGTCTGGTACATTCTGCCAGAATGAAACTGACATACAGGTATTATGAGACATGCAGTCTCCTCACATTGTATACACTCGTAGGCTTCCGTACATCGCAGTCTGGTAAAGAATCAATTTGTATATCCCTCTTGTACATTTTGCTAGATTTAAAACCACTTACCGAAATCACAAGACACGACCAATCGCAAAGGCAGATAAACATTCTGCCCATCGCGGTCCCATAATCCTGCAATTTTGTCAGTTGCACATTTCAGTAGAATCAAAATCACATGCATAAATCATGAGACACTGCAGATCACGCGACGGGACAATGCAGTAGACATTGTGATGGATGACTGTACTGGCTGTCGTGATCTGCAATCTGCAAGTTTAGTCAGTATCATAGGTTTGCACAGATTGAAATTCACTTACAAAAATGACAAGACACTGGCGTGTCTCAGATCAGGCAATGCGCGAATGTACTGGATGTTACAGCCTGCTATCGGCCAATTTTGTGAGTATCGCGCGATCTAAGTATTATGATACAAAAACTCACCGACAGGGACTCTATAGCCAATATACCAGAGATTTGCTGCACTCACTAAGGGTGCCTGCCCTGCGAGAGGGGACGCGCCTTGGGCCACATGCGCGCTGGGCCTATGGTGATGTGTCTTGATCACCATAGACTGTTGTGACCTAGTTTCTGTCAATGTGAATGAGAAAGTACCATTCTACTTGTTGTTGACTCACCTGCCAGTCTTGCAATGATCCATGTAGGGCCTTTTTGTCGAAGTCGACCCTGCAAAGTGGCAGGATGGTAAGAGTCACTAGTCATAAGCGGCGTCTAATCAAGTCGGGATCTCAATCCAGCGCTCGTATCAAGGCGCCTAACACAGTGCTTTGAGACAGTGTGTCCAGCATTTTTGTAGCTAGAATCTTCGTTCTTTTACTGATTAGACCCATTCGCTTACTAGACTTCATCAAATGCGCACTCTGGTGTTGACCCTCAGCCACGGCCAGTCAAGGCACATGGATTTTGATGTGTTCGCGCAGTGTGTCAGTCACTCACCAAGGCAAATGCCTGACTTTGTGCATATGATATCAATGCATCAGGAAAACCCAACTTTTACTTAAAGATGTCCTTATGTGACTTAAATGCACTTATAGGCCTTAAATAAGGTAAAAAAGAACAAAAAGTCCATAAGTCATATTTTCTTAGAGGCTTAAAAGTCGACTTTTGAGAACTTATGGGTCTTAAATAAGGCAAAAAAGGACAAAAAGTTGGAATAAGCCCCATAAGTAAAAGTTGGGTTTTTCTGATGTGCATACATGCCCATTGACGAGCTACCCTGGCGAGTGCTCGAGCTCATCAATGACTCCCATTTTGCATGGCCCACCGAGTGCATTGCTAACAGCTAGTGTTGTTGGTGGCTTGGCTTCTAAGCCCAAGCCAGGCCAAGCTGAGCCGTAGAAAGCCCGGCCAAGCCTGGCCAAAGCCATCTGGAAGCCTTGCCGCTGGGCCTGGCTTGAGAATGCTCAAGCCCGAGCTGAGCCCGCGACCCTGGGGCTTTTGGCGCTATGTGCAGCAAAAATACAGGACTGCCTAACCCAACATCCAGCCTCATTCACACCTCACTGCTACCTTTGCTGGCACTCCTGGGCATACCAGAAAATTCCTCACTTTCACTATGACAACCCCTTCTGTGATATGCTCTTTTTTCCCCCAAAGGTGAGTATCTCCATGAAGGTATGATGATATTGAAACCCTTATGAACATTCATAGACTGGCACAACTCACCTATAATGCTATCCTAGAGGCTGCCAGTCAAGTTGAGCTGTCAATTTCTTATTGATCAACTATCTGAGTAGGTTACCTAGTAGCTACATACAAAATATTTTTTTTCTTCAGCAGGCCCTGGCTTGAGCCCAAGCCAAGCCTGAGCCAAGCCCAAGCCCTATCATCAGGCCTAGTTTGGAGTTTGATGAAGCCCAAGCCTGCTAAAGCCAAGCCAAAGCCAGGGCGTTCAGGCCAAGCCAGGCCCTCAACAACACTACTAACAGCCACAAGTGTGAGCATGGCAGGCGCAGCATTCGGCGTTACCTGCGCAGGGCGTCCTGCATCATGCTGTCGATCTCATCTATCTCTTTGACAACGTTCCCCTACCCTCCATCGCCACCGTGTGCGGCAATGGGTGCCCAATGGATTCTGGGCCTGAGTGTTTCTTCTCGTCCAACTCCAAGGCAGAAGACAGCGGTTCGGACTATGCGAATGGCGACTTCAGCGAAAGCGAATCGATCGAAGAGTAGGCAATGCCTCGACGATGACTGGACGTACTCGCGCATGCGTAATGCACGTCCATATGACTGCCAATCCAGTTTGAGTTCGGGCTTTTGTCTGCAGGTCGAGCCCGCGTAAGTACTCTCTGTTATCGGTATTATTTTCTTAGCTCATTCCTGGACCTCCTGCTGTATGTCAACCCCGATGAAATGCTAATGGACTCAAACCCAGGCGTGCAGCTTGGCAGCGTGGAGGTCGAGGACCCAGATGGAGTGGGCAGTGAAGATTGCGAGCGAGCCTGTCACTGTAGTTGCTGTTGTTAGGCTCAATGTGGATTGGGAGATGGAGGGATATGACTGCACAATGCTCGTGCTCCTGCAGCGCACAGATGAGCTCATCTCACACGTCGTGCAAGTGAATGCACACACGATCATTGTCACCTAGTTGGGCTCTAGCATCACCATGCCTTGGGTGAACCAGGTGCCCGCCATCCTAACCCGCCAACAGTGTAAAACCCGTCATACACCACACACACCGCGGGATGGGTGAACAGTATGCGCGGTGTACACACTAACCAGACCCTTACCCGTACCCGTATATACCTTATATAGTATACCGTGGTGTGATCCGCCACCCATGTTAGTCACTACTCATGGAGAATCTGTGTTTGTACATGTGATGGAGTTTGTCGAAGGATCCTCCGGAAAAGCAGTGGATCTCAACAAAGTATCAGAAGTGCAGCTCAGGATGATCATAAGTTATCCTTTTTCAAAATGCATTAATTGCATTTTCCATTGTCATTCAAGCTTCTTACCTCTCCCAACTCTAAAGGCGAGCGCGATGTCTTCTGGCCTCCACAAGATGATTCAGTGCAATGTATACCACCCTGACATTGATCTCGGGAACATGAGCATTAGGCAGAGTGACTCAGACTTGGATGCCTACCCAGTTGTATTAATCGATTTTGCTTTCTCTGAGCCATTTACTCATTCTCCAGCATATGTCAGATACCCCATCATCAGGTAAGTGCCTCTGCCAGACTGTGAAATATATATACCATAACTGACATGTTGCATGAGCAGAATTGTGTCCATCCTTCAAAGCATGGGTGCAGATCTCTCTCTGGTGGAAACATGGTTCCTGGATGGGATGCACCATGGCTTGCCCTGGAGTGCGCTCTTCACAGGTGTTTTCAAGGCTAAACCAAACTGGTTTAATATTATGGCAAACAGAGAGCTGACCGCAGCTGAGGATAAGTCTACTTTTGTGCCATTCCCCGATTGAGTGGATGTGTTTTTCCTCCTTGCATTGCACATTATGCTGCCTCATTTGGCACTAGTTTATGAGTGATGTGTCATTACTGTTGCTGTTGCTGCTGCTACTCGCTCAATGCAAGCTCTGTCTCATCTGAGCCAACATTTGTTTGTGTGAATGCAGGCATTGCTATTGGTACATCAGATAATTTGTATGGTTGTGGAAGGATTGGCTGTAGTGCACCGGATTAGAGGTTCAATTACTTATACTGTGTTCTATTATGGCGGAGATTATGATCACTGATAAATGATGTAGAGCCCTCCGCGGGTTACCCTTCTCCTTGCACATATGTGTCACCTCGAAATTTGTGTCCTCCCGCATGAACTGCTTTCTTTTCCTATAAGTTCGTGCTCATCATTGCTCACAATTCGCACTCTGGATCTCACTCCTAGTGAGAAGACCCTTCTATTTTTTGGGACAGTGATGCGCCCATGCCCATGCCAACCTCCTGCTACAAAGTGTTCTCTGCGCCGGAGGGATTAGAGATTCATCTCGTACGTGATCGATGCAGATGGAAATGAAGCAGATAGGCTGAACAGCAGCCATGCGCTAGACAAGTGTTAGACACTGTGCTTAGTACCCAATGGCGAGATTGTTCACAAATACCCAGACTCACCTGTCCCTCTTCTCATATCCTTCCAGCAAATGTTCATCGCTAAACACAAACTCCCCACTTACACCCTTGTTCGAAAGGAAGCAGATCGCATACACGATGATCAGGATGGTGCCAGAGTATGCAATGAAAGCTGCAACGATGAAAAATGGTGATAGAGGGCTAGACAGGATGTCAACACCTTGTATGACGATCAGGACGATATGAATGGAAATTGCGCATGAATTCTCAGCTGAAGGGTATAATTCGTCGAGTGGGCCAGAAGGCATTGGTGTGAGGGGAAGGACTATTCCAGGGACATCTGGAAGAGCACGATGTCAGCGTAAAGCAGATTGATGGGGGATGCGGAGATAGTGAGCGACCTCGGATGAATAGTGGCATCGTCTTGGGAAGGAAGAAAGGATACGGACCCACCATCCGTAGTTCAGTGTGGAGATCCACCTGGCTAAGATGAAAGGTTAGAAATTCGCAATGTCATGATTAATGTACAAAGTATAAGATTGAGGCACATGCGCAGAGCATGCGTGTTCATGAGGTCAGTCTGGGTTAGTGTGGGAGGTAGAATACATGTGGCGCTCCTAAGATGACGCTGGAATGTATTGTAGAAACTTGACGGTACAACGTGAAAGCATCTAGTGCTCTGAGCACTAAAGTGAAATGGACCTTGAAGGGCTACACGCATATCATACAAAGTGTTTCAAATGTAGCGGAGACTCCGAGATATATTGTAATAGAATGTACCATCTGGACAGAGGGAATTGCATGTCAGATGGCCATGCAACATGAAAAAATTAAACGCCCGGCCTTGCTACTGAGAGCTATGGGATAGAATAGCATTAACTAACACATCAGATTGTGACGGAGGGAAGCAGGAAGCACCATTCTGGTGGTTTTTTTGATCCTGAACGAGATTAACTCACAATAATCTGCAACATTTGTTCAAAAGAGCCAGGATCCAAAGCCAAATTTTTAACACGATGAAGGCCTTGCACAATTGCCTGGCAACCCATGGGTTCACCAAATCATGGAATGCTGCTATGATGTAATGGGGATTGGCACCGAATGACAGAGGGCAACTCAATGATCTGCTGAGCTGCTTGTTGTACTCGATGAAAGGCAGTGAGAGCGACTTGTGGACACTGATAAACTGGGTAATTCCATCAGCGAGTCGTATTAAGAGAATGTAGGCATCAGCTACTGTGTCCAAATCGCAATGATTATGGACATACCTCAAACCAGATCATCAGAGACAAGTCGGTCGAGTTCTGAAACAATCACGTCCGAGAGACGAAATCAATAACACAGCGGACAGTGGAGGGAGTGCAGTGAACTGGATTCCAGTAGAGGATCGCCTTCAGCTTAGACGATGGATCGCTATACTGCAGCGACAAAATAGACGTAGGACTACCAATTTGAAGCAAAACAACCGGAACCCAACGCCACATGATTGGATCGACTGCATACCCTTGCGACTGCCACAACTCGAGTAATGTACCAATGCACGGCGTGAGGAGGATGCACCTACATGCAAGTTGTGGGGCGTAGGATCACGGTCGATCACGCGCATGTAAGACAGAGGGTGCCTTTGAGATGCACTATCGCAATGAGAAAAACATCGCTGTACAGACTTAGTATATGATACTAGTGAAAATGGAAAAATACAGGATGGAGTCTGTACATCACGGTCGCGATCGGGATTAAGAGTAGCATAGAAGCTTGATGTTAGACATTTCCACGGCCTCTTGAAGTGAAGCTTTAAAAGGTACTCTATCTAACTGTAGCAGAGAAGCTAAAACAGCATCAACGTAGGCAGGCAAAAAATGGGTCTCACTCCAAGTAGCAAGAAATGGACGAGCTTATCGTTCATAATCCTGCTATCTATGAAGGGCCCCAGCGGACAAAATTATCCACTTTTCGTAGTAGTGTTTGATTGACCAGACTCCATTTTCGCTCATCTCTTGCGTTTTCGCTGCACGTATCTCGGTTTCAGTTAGATCTGAATGTGACAGATGTCAATGCGCTTGCCTTTCCGAGAATTCACCCAGTCTTCAAGCTTCAAGCTTCAAGGCTGTACCTGTGGGACATACTGTGCTTGTCTTCGTCTCTCTCACCACTGAGCTGTCGTTATTTGTCGCAGTAATCTGATATCTACGGCACCACAGTTGGATTAGATAACTAAGATTCTTGGTACTCACACGATTTCAGAGTCTCGTAGCCTTTCCAGTAGTCAGCTTGAAAAGCATATTAATGTCTAAGGTTGAGGATTCTATGCATTATAAGCAATCTACCTATTGCATTGAAATGAGTAACACTCTTTGATGTTCAAGTAAGTAGTTTCTTCTAGTAGCCACGTCGATATCACACCCAGTGAATTCGAGCAGCACTCGTGGTTGAATGTGTATTTCTTTGGGGAAAAGGTTCAATCATACCTAAGGCTAGATTAGTTCTCTACTCAGCCTGTCATGACTAGAGGTGAGTTTTGAGAGAAGGTCATAGCTCCATACCATTGAGTGACTTCCTACCATGGCACACACAAATCTGTCTTCACATCATAAGATATAAATGTCTCTTCCTGCTACACATCTTCCAGTGTAATAGCATCCAGTCTATTGAAATAGTCTTATGATAACTCCAGATGGCGGGGTCTTGAGTCCGAGTCGCTCAAGCGTCCGCCGTAGCGTGGGCCTGTGCACCGTGCAACTTCTAAGTTTCCACCATGAGCATACATGCTTCAGTGAATATAGAAAGAGATCATTTTAGACCCATCTACCACCGTCCCCCAACACTGCACACACTGCTAGCACACATACTAATGGATCCTCGTGCATACACAGCACCTACCCCTCACGGAAGCAGTGTAAATACTCGACAAGCTTGTTGTCCACACCATCAAATCATCGCATGCTAATGTGCTGCTCGCAGATTCCAATGTCATGATGCGCCACGATGCAAATGCACCGACGTGCTCACCTCGTACATATGATGCGTCGCGCACGCCGCATGCGTTTGTATATCCGGCCGGTGCATACTAAGCCAGTGGTGCAGTCCATGGGTGATGGACTGATGTGTGCCATACATGGGTCGAGTACTGTGCAGGTGGCAGGCCCATCAAGTATCAGCTGGAGCAAGACATGGTACCTCAAAAAATGCACCTCTACGTGCGATGTAACGGCTCACATTTGAAGTGACTGCGTCGACCTGCCGGCAGGGATGCTGGTGGACCTGCCATTCCCACGTAGGAGTCTGACGGTGCATTGATACAGGTGTTCCTCCAGGGCTGAGAGTTGTGGGGGTGTTCTTGGGGAGGGACCATACCATAGTATATCTGTGTCCGCAGAATTACATAAATGCAACAGTGCATAATCTCGCAGCTTCAATGTTTCGACACCTGAGAGGAATGCGTGTGCATAACAGATTCGCACCAGTGTCCAATGTAAATGAGTTCAAAATGTGATATCCAAGTGAAAATGTAGATATATATCAAATATACATTACCTAAGGGATCACCTTGAAAAGTATAATCAGCTGAGAACACAACATGGAACCCAGAGACAAGTGCCACAGGCCATCTTGACTCCGTTTTCGCCGTGCCGACTTCAATTGTGGTTCGTCGGTCACATTTTCACAGCACATATCTCGTTTTCGGTTAGATCCGAATGTGACAGATGTCACTGTGTAGTGGCACCTAGGCTATGGCACGGTCGTCCATTTCTCCACTGTTTCTTGCTGGCCTGCGGCACTTGTCTCTGGGTTCCATGTTGTCTTCTCAGCTGATTATACTTTTCAAGGTGGTCCTTTAGGTAATGTATATTTGATATATATCTACATTTTTACTTGGATATCACATTTTGAACTCGTGTGGACACTGGTGTGAATCTGTTATGCACACGCATTCCTCTCAGGTGTCGAAACATTGAAGGTGCGAGATTATACACTGTTGCATTTATGTAATTCTGCGGACACAGATATACTATGGTATGGTCCCTCCCCGAGAACACCACCGCAACTCCCAGCCCTGGAGGAACACCTGTATTAATCATGCACTGTCAGACTCCTACATGGGAATGGCAGGTCCACCAGCATCCCTGCCGGCGGGTCGATGCAGTTACTTCGAATGTGAGCTGTTGCATTGCACGTAAAGGTGAGTTTTTTGAGGTACCATGTCTTGCAGCTGATACTTGATGGGCCTGCCACCTGCACAGTACTCGACCCACGTATGGCACACATCAGTCCATCACCCACGGACTGCACCACTGGCTTAGTATGCACTGGCCGGGTATACCAACGCATGCGGCGCGCGCGACGCATTGTGTGTACAAGGTGAGCACGTCGGTGCATTTGCATCGCAGCGCATCACGATATCAGATTCTGCGAGCAGCGCATTAGCATGCGATGATTCGATGGCGTGGACAACAAGCTTGTTGAGCATTTACACTGCTTCCATGAGGGGCAGGTGCTGTGTATGCACAAGGATCCGTTAGCACGTGTGCTAGCAGTGTGTGCAGTGTTGGGGGCCGCAGCTGTGGTTCCCACTTTTGTATAACAATAGCCCAGGTAACTGGGCAAGGTGTTGTTCACTACTCACCAGTTATTGTCAATTGTCAAAGTTATTGTTAACAACAGTCTGAGAGGATTGTAATACAATAACAACTTGTACAAAACAACTTGCACTCAGCCAGGGTTAAACCCTGGTCTTCCGGACACATGATTACATAAGCACATGCCGCACACACAATCTACCAACTGCTCCATTGAGTCATATATTTTGCTCAGCCTCAATTCTATATAAGGCTACTGCCTTCTCTAATACACATATGAGAATCTTTTGTAATAACTACTATATCCTGTTGTTACTGTTGCTTCTAGCAGTGATTGATGTCTTTGTTAATAAGTTTTTGAGTGCCTAATATTAAGCATTTCCTTTTTAGTTGAGTAAATATTCAAATAAGATTAAAACTGTAATATCAAAATTTGTAGATGTAATAAAGCTATTAGAGGGGTGAAATAAATAGAAAAATGTAGGCAAATATCTATTAGAAGCAACAGTAACAACAGGATATAGTAGTTATTACAAAAGATTCTCACATGTGTATTAGAGAAGGCAGTAGCCTTATATAGAATTGAGGCTGAACAAAATGCATGACCTAATGAAGCAGTTGGTAGATTGTGTGTGCGGCATGTGCTTATGTAATCATGTGTCCGGAAGACCAGGGTTCAACCCTGGCTGAGTGCAAGTTGTTTTGTACAAGTTGTTATTGTATTACAATCCTCTCAGACTGTTGTTAACAATAACTTTGACAATTGACAATAACTGGTGAGTAGTGAACAATTCTTCCCCCAGGTAACTGGGGTATTGCTATACAACAATGGCCACCACTGGTGGGGGCCGGTGGTAGATGGGTCGAAAATAATCTCTTTCTATATTCACTGAAGCATGTACGCCCATGGGGGAAACTTAGAAGTTGCACGATGCGCGGGCGCACACTGCGGCGGACACTCGAGCGACTCCGACTCAAGACCCCGCCATCTAAAGTTATCATAAGACTATTTCAGTAGACTAGGCGCTATTACACTGGAAGATGTATAGCAGAAAGAGACATTTATATCTTATGATATGAAGACAGATTTGTGTGTACCATGGTCAGAAGTCACTCAGTATTGTACGGAGCTATGGCTATGACCTTCTCTCAAAACTCACCTCTAGTCATGGCAGGCTGAGTAGAGAACTGATCTAGCCTTAGGTATGATTGAACCTTTTCCCCAAAGAAATACACATTCAACCACGAGCGCTGCATGGCATCGAGCAGCGCTGCTCGAATTCACTGGCTGTGATATCGACGTGGGTACTAGAAGAAACTACTCACTTGAACATCAAAGAGTGTTACTCATTTTAATTCAAGCAATAGGCAGATTGCTTATAATGCGTAGAGTCCTCGACCTTAGACATTAATTTGCTTTTCAAGCTGACTACTGAAAAGGCTATGAGACTCCAAAATTGTGGTATGAGTACCAAGAATCTTAGTTATCTAATCCAACTGCGGTGCCGTAGATATCAGATTACTGCGACAAATAACGACAGCTCAGTGGTGACAGAGATGAAGACAAGCGCAGTATGTCCCGCAGGTACAGCCTTGAAGCCCAGTGGAAAATGTGTCTTGCGAGATCGCAGCAAGTCACACGAGGTCGTGGCTGTGACCAGCTGCGACCAGCCGCGAGAATTTGGACTATATGCGATCTTGAGCGAGCTCAATCAAACGTGGTCGCAGGCTAGCACAGTGCCAAGTGGGAGAATCGAGGCATTTCGCACCTACTCGAATATTAAGTCGCTGTATAATAATTGTATTGTCGTGATTTAATACACTGTGACTACACTTGACGTCATGTGAGCACCCTCGCCATCGTGCGAGCTCCTGCGACATCGCGCGATCTACTTCGACCTGCTCCGCTCACGCCCCCACTCCCGCTCTCGCCATCGCCCCCGCTCCCCCTCCTGCTCCCACCCCCGCTCCCCCTCCTGCTCCCGCCCCCGCTCCCCCTCCTGCTCCCGCCCCTGCTCCCACCCCCGCCCCTGCCCCCACCCCTGCTCGTACCCCCGCCCTCACAACTACGCACCCCTGCACGCACGCGCATGCCCACCCCCCTGCCTGCGCACGTACCCGCACCCGCGCACTGACACGCAAATCCACACTCTCCCACACAAAGCTGCAGGCCTCCTTGCATTCACCGTCGTCCCCATTTTCACACCTGGATGCTCCCCAACACCTGTAATATAAGTGGAGTTGGTGAATATGTGTCGTAGCATAGATAAAGAATGAGATAACAGTGCCTAGGACATGCTGTGAACACGTTGGCGATGCCATACCTCAGAAGCTGCGGTGTCAGTCAATACGAAACACTGAGGTAATCGAGCATCTTTGACTTGCACTCTGCGAGCCCCTGCAGCAGTGGTGGCAGACTGTCACGATGCGTCCTTGCTGATACAATGCACGGTCACGTACCTCGTCAATAGCATCAGGATCAGAATAAGTCCACCTCTGGCATTGGCACTCCGCCCGTCCCCCACAGCATAGGCAATCCCTCTGGAATGCCCCTCGTATTACCCACCCGCTCCTCACAAAAGGATGGGAACAGCTCCCTGGGCACCTTCGGCATGCGCTCCTTGTCTTCTGTTCTTCGTGCATGTACTCACATCTCCACCATGCCCTGCAGGTCAAGTCCGGTCTTGCACAGATGCTCAAGGTGTGTCCTCAGCCATGCATGTGGCCCAGTGATGCTCATATCACCATAATGCACAGGGTGAAGTCATCATGAATGTCATCAACGCAGAACAGGCACGATGCTCTTCAGTGTACTTGACTATATGCACTTACCTTCCCCCAGGCGCGCATAGCTGAGGAGGCTGGCCCGTGCGCCATCATGGCTCTCGAGCGAGTTCCCGCTGACATCAGGAGAGAAGGTGGCATCACACGCATGGTCAGTCCCTCTCGCTCACCTGTGCGTGATGCACTCATCGAATGTCGCAGAGCGATCCCCATCTCATCAAAGAAATCGTCGATGCCGTGACTATCCCCGTCATGGCCAAGGTATGCATAGGACACTTTGTGGAGGCGCAGGTGCCTACTCTCCCTCCGGGCAGCTGTGCGCGCTCGAGCGCGGCATGACCGTCGCGTCGAGGCAGAGAAGGAAAGAGCGACTGGATGCAGGAGGACAAGAGCGCAGACGTAATAGTGACACGAGTATGGTGACGCGTCCATGTCTCTGTCACATGATGAGCTCGGCGTGGGTGCAAAGAGATGATATAATTCTTATAAGTGCAAGCACACTGAGTACACTGGGCAATGTACAGTATATAGCTAATCCAGACACGCGTGCAGGCAAAATTCGACAGATGGCGGCCTTACGTCGGGCAAAGCGCGATTCAGACGGGACATGGTACAGGATCGACGCATCAAATCACAAGATCTCTCACACGTGTTTGACCAGGTGAGATCTGGTTCGACCTCCTGCGATTAGTGCTCCGCAAGATTATTATTATAATTTATTATAATTATAATTAAATTAAAAATATGATTAAATAGTCTGGGACCAGATAATATTATAATTCCATTATATTACAATATGGACATGTTATTTAATCATACTCGGAATACACGACACGTGATGGAGTTCTAGGAGGAATCTGAAGAAATTGTGCTCCAGAACAGTTCTTTAGAGTTGCAGCTATTTGTGGGAAATTCTCGTAACTGACTGGAGCGTATGTGAGCCCGGACATACCATAGAAGGGAATGTGATGTTCCATATCAGGTAAGCCTACCTCATCAGAAGGTCACCTCCAGGCACCAAACTCTGAATATCAGGAAAATTGTCCAATGATCCATACCTGGGGACCTTCCCAGGGCAATTTTGGGCTCACATAATACTGCACTGACCCCTTTTGAAAAGGTGTGACTGTAATGAATTATAATAGAATACTTTAGATTATATTAGACCACCATTAGATATCTGGCTAAGGTCTTCGAGTAATAATACATAATATTATTATTTGCCTTCGTGGCGTATTTAATCATAATTGCGGAGCACTACCTGCGATAGTCCAAGTCGTGCCGTGATCTGGTGCGTCTTGGTTCGTTCTTGGAATATGCGTTTTTCACTGGGCTTGAAGCTTGAAGCTTGAAGACTGGATGAATTATCGGAAAGGCAAGTGCGTTGACATCTGTCACGTTCGGATCTAACCGAAACCGAGATACGTGCAGCGAAAACGCAAGAGAGCGAAAACTGAGTCTGGTCGACCAAACACTACTACGAAAAGTGGATAATTTTGTCCGCTGGGGCCCTTCATAAGGCACTTCAAAGCTATCAGCAGTACATTTGATTGCATTCATAACTTGCTGCATCAATGCTGCATCCTTAGAGGTGTCTGTATAGTCTTCTGACGCAGATGAGGATGAACAAGTTGGTTTTCGAAGGTCGAATGTCATGGTGAGAAAGCACATAGCGTCTGTTTGGCGCCCGCCCCGCGGTGGAAGCTGTCCCCACGGCCTCCGCTGGAAGTCACCCAATGTGCTGTGAATGCCGTTCATTCCGGCGGTTTTGCCACCAACTGCGTATTTTTCCTTCCAGACCTCTGCAATTCATGCTCGCTCTCGAGAGGTCTGAGTCGGTTTTGTATTTCTCGGCTATTCTTGTCAGGCAAGTGGCTGCCTCTGGAATCCACAATTATTGACGACGCGGGGGGCTGCGCTGGGCTACAGTCCTTGGCCGGATGCAGATCGGAGGTATGTGCCCGATCGGCTGATTGACGAGGGACGAACTAGATACACTTGAGCGGCCAATGACTGGTCCTGAGGCCTCTGAGGCCTGATGCCTGAGTGACCCTCGTACCTTGGACTGAGCGTATCGTAAGCACCACACCGCAAGGAGACAACGCAGGAGTGTCATACTCGACGCATACCCCCAAGCCCTCCCACATGAGGCTCTCTTATACCGCCCGTCTTTCCTTTCGGAATGAGGTCGCGCAGATGGTAACATGTAGCGTAGAAACTTTTACAGTGGATGACATTCAACGGGTATTAATGGATTACAAAGACAGTCGAGAACAACATTGCACAAGATCTGAATACGTTTGGGAGCCTCCAGAGTCTACGTCGAGATCCATATCGTCCGGATTATATCGTACAATTTCCTCGGGCACCTCCGATAAAGCTTGAAACCACTGCGGAAATTGAGTAGAATAGAACGCGAACAATTGCACGAACGGAGCGCCTTTGCACGCGCGGTCCTCCAGCCATGCATTGACGTCCGCCATCGGGATCGCCAACAGGCGAAGTAAAAGGATGGTACTATAACATACATGAAATTCAGTAGAATCACATCGGCGACGTCATAAATATCGAGGTAGTACGTACGATGACATAGAATTGGAGATGTTCGATGCGGCAGACCTAGCACCGGAGTTCCGCCCAAACACAAATTCGGTGAACAAGACGGGCTGCGGGGTGCCCCGGCGGGCGAGGATGTTGCGGGCGCTGATGTCGCGCACTACGACGCCACGTTTTGTGGTTTTGTATAGGCACGACAACCATCCGTCCATCTAGTGATATTCCAGCTTGAGTGGAACCACGCTGCAGTCAATAGTTAAGGCATCGAAGCTCACTATTTGCGAGACCTCGTCTCGAGGCCCGGTACGGACAGACGTCGTCGCGGCAGTCCGACCGGTGACGAACTCCATGACATGGGCAAGAGCGATTTCGCCGTGGGGGAGTTGTACCTGCAACAGAAGAGTGAGAAATGAATACCGAGAGGGTGAGACAAGCTAACGGACCTTGATACCATCCGAAGGACCAGGGTATCTCCTTTCCCGCTCGGACAGTCGTTGCCAGAATTCTAAGTATAACAAAAGCATATCGTACCCTGAAGAGCGCTCATACGTTGGTAATCGTCAGCCTCAGACCGTGCCATTTCAGCGCCCGTATACCATTTCATCCACGAGTGGGGCGATCGAGAAGTAAGGCGCTCTCCAGAAATATCTTGAGGCGCTCTCCAGGAATATCTTGATCACTACCATCGATTCGGTGGCGGACTTGATCGCAGTAGGGTATGACCCTTCCAGCCTCACTGTCGCTCGCCAAACTTGCCCCCGCACGGCCGTTCCTATCCAGAGGGGATTTGTCAAAGTGATCATGATGTCGGCGAGGGCTTCCTAAAACGCTGTGCAATACATCATCTGGGGCAGCGCACGATGCCGGTAGAGGTGAGACTCAAAAGATATATTGTTCTATGCGAAGCTTGACGGACACCAGCGCTCGACGATTTTTAAGGGGTACGGACGGGCATTTTCGATGTATTCGTGTGAGGCTTCTACATGACGGCAGAGACGCTCGGCCGGCTCCTTGTACTGTGCTTGGTTTTGACAGCAAGCTCAAGAGGTCCATTTGAGATAGGGCAGCAAGGATGGCGAATTCGCTGGTCAATCGATTATTTATGTCTGTGTAGGCGTATTTATGTTGCATCCTGTTTGCGGAAATACTTCATTGCAGAAGAGTCGCATGTCGATAGGTTGACTGGCAGAGGAAAGTGGTTTGGACTGTATGCAGACAGTGAAAGGCAGCGGTGACCGCAGAGGGACGGGTCGTGGGAACAAGCTTGTTGAACATCGATATAGATCCGAGTCATATCTCTCTTGAAGTTGCGGCATCTGCTCGAGTGCGAGACCTCTGTTCAAACGTTCAAACGTTTATCGACATCTCGAACAGGTTGCTGACCAGTTGAAGGTGGATCGTGCGTGTGAGCCCGTTCTTGACTGATAATAACTCTGTAACAGCCCTCAACGTTCAACTCCTTATGCTGCTGGGTCCGGTCGTTGAGTGCGCGCGTATGTCCATCCCACAAGACGCATAGCCAAGTATTTTTTAGGGAAAAACCCTGAGAAAATTCATGAAGTAAAGCACGAGAAAAAACTTTGAAGAAAGCATAATGAATTTTCGTGGGAAATACCGTGATTGCCCAATCAGCAGCTGAGAATCACGGTTTTTCCTGGAGAAATACTTTATTCTTTTTCCAGAGTTTTTCTGTGTGCTTTGCTTTAACCATTTCTAGAGGTTTTTCCGCAAAAAATACTGGGCCATGCTTCTTGTGTCCTTGAATCTCCATTCGGCATGTTCCTGCGGTCACAGATGCTGTACTGCGGCCTTGGATTTTCTCGATCGATTACTTTCCGCCGGCTTGGTCATATTACTTATTAATAATTCGACAGGAAGAAAGAGAGAATACACAACAAGCAAAGACCTGTCTTCCTCATTTCGAGTTTCGAATTCGCTGGCCGATCGATTATTTATGTCTGTGTAGGCGTATTTATATTGCATCCGCACCTGTTTTGTCTGCGGCTTTCCTGGTGGATAGTTCAAGATTCTCAGGCATGGACCCGGGTGCGCATCCTACTATGCCATACCGTTCAGTCGGCGCACCTCCCTACTCGGCGCACCATATATAGGCAAAAAAAAATGCATTACGCGATGCCAAGTGCCCACATCCAAGCCCAACGGTGCTCTCTGATTGGTGGAAACCCTGAAAGTGCCGATTAGGGGTGCGCCGACTGAGCGGTATGGCATAGTACTTATCATCTTCGCCTTTGCTACCTCACCGTTACAGCCGCAACGTTAGTGACGTTCATGAACAGCCATAATCTAAGAATATTAATGGCCCGAGAAAGTCTGAAGACGTCTCAAGATTTTGCTGTGCCAATAATGGTACGTTTTGCGCTGTATTAAAGGTGAATTCTGTAGCTGGCAGGTGCGCCACAGAGCGTCAGCAAAGCGGTAGATGACCTGAGAGAAGCAGGACGGTCTCGTAACGAGCCACTCCAACTCCGTGTGCTGACAATATACAACTCCGCATCGCTGACTGTGCGTCCAAGAAAGCTCTCATGAGCCTGATCTCGTTCCCCGAGGCAGTTATAAAGAGACGACGTCGACTCGGACTGCCTGCCTAGCTTGTATGCAGCCTCAGCTGCACGCACTTCCTTCGACAATGTCCACCACTAATGCGCGCGCAGAAAAACTTCTCGCCGTTGTGGACCTTGTAGTAAATGCCGCTCAGGTGGTGATACAAGAGTGGACAAAGGAGGACGCTACTGGTGGTCAGAACGCCCTCCCGGCGTCCGTAGATCTCTTCAAGGCTCAGCGCACCATCTTGGCTGCCTGCGGCTCCTTCACTGAAATTATACAAGTACCCCAGAGACGCATCCTAGAAGTTGCTAACCAATACTTTGAGGCTCGGGCATTGCACATCGCGGTCGAGCATCGTGTCGCCCATCACCTTGCCAAGGTCGACCAGGCTGTAGGAATGCCCATCTATGAGCTCAGCAAGGCCACAGGTCTCCACCCGGGAAAGCTTTGTGAGCTGTCTTTCCCTTGATGGTCGCGACTTGTGACTGACGACTGCATTTAGCGCGCATCATGCGGGCCCTCTGCTCCATGCACATCTTTGTCGAAGTCCAAGACGGATATTTCGCCAACAACACGGTCAGTGCGACGCTCGCCACCAACGAGGCCCTTGAAGCACACGTCCTTTTAGGGTGAGTAATCTGCTATCGTTGTTAACTCTGGCTGACCGTGCTTAGGGCTTGGGTTTGTCATCCGGCCTCGGCAAAGCTTCTGGAGATTGTCGGTGATCCTGTAAAGGGTTGGTCCAACTCTGCGACCGATTCCGCCTTCCAGGAGGGACATGGAACCAAGCTATCTTTCTTTGACTGGCTCGAAGAAGGAATTATACAGCCAGATGGTTCTGTCAAACCGCGGCCCGCCTTGGAACGGTTCACTGTCTCAATGGTTAATACTAGTGGCTTCGTCGGAACCCCGCCCTTCTACTGTGAGCCATAGTTGCCGCTGTGGTTTTCCAGCCTTTGATAATGCTCGTGGTACTGGCAGACTTTCCATGGGAATCGCTCGGCTATGCAACAATGGTTGATGTAGGCGGTGGCGTTGGTATGTTTCATATTAATGTAGGACGAGCTTGATCACTGATACGGTATATGGACAGGTGGAATGAGTTTCGATCTCTGCAATCACTTCCCACTTCTCAGTTTCGTCGTCCAGGATCGCCCTGCCGTAATCGAGAAGGCTGAGCCTGTGTGGCAGCGCGAACGGCCAGAAGCGCTCAAAGCTGGCCGCGTCAATTTCATGCCCCACGACTTCTTCACCGAGAACCCCGTGAAAGGCGCTGACGTGTATCTCCTGCGCCACATCCTGTAAGCATTCTATACTCTGTCCGGCCTCTCTCAGCTCTGCTTAGCATCGTAACAGCCACAACTGGGAAGACGACCGCTGCGTCGACATCCTCTCCGCCCTCCGCCCCGCGCTCTCCCCGCACTCGCGCGTGCTCGTGGTTGACATGGTGATGAACACGACGCTGGGCTGCCCCGAGATACCATCCGCGCCGTTCCCGCTGCTCGCAAACTACGGCACTTCTATCCGCTTCGCTCACGAGTCTGACCTGATGATGATGTCCCTGTTCAATGGCGCGGAGCGCGTCCCGGCCGATTTCCGGTCGATCGCTCAGCGGGCGGGGCTTGAAGTATCCCGCATCTGGGAGTGCCCCGGAGACTGCGTCATTGAGATGCGATTGCCGTCCGTGAGCCAGTAGAGAGAGCCAGGTTTATGTTGAATCAATTAGGTGGAGATGGGTGTTGGCTCGTCGACGTTCGACGTTCTTCTTTAGCCCGTGTACGAATGCATTGTGAGTCGTTGTGCTTTGAGTCTTTTGATTGTAGAAACAGTTACAGGGTGTACGAACTCGTTATATTGGTTGTCGTGCCTTGATGGGGAATGAGTCCACGCCAATGTCGCGAACATGAGCATCAAAGGCATGTGCTTACCTCTCGTAGACCAAGCGCAAGTAGCCAGTATTTTGTCGGGTGACGGCGCTGGCGTACCTGGAGTACTTTGCACGAAGTTGCGTCGAATTGCCGCTGCCACCGCTGAACGCAGCGCATCTCGTCCATCCGGCAGACAAGCACAACCAGATCACAGAGCCTGATAGTTAACAATAGCAAGATCCAGGTCCGTAGATACACAAGAGCACGACACGGAAATCCCGCTGTTCCACGCGATCGAGATTCGCCCAAGTGATGGGAACTCAGGGCGAGCTCTATGCATCACAATCGAGAAAAGACGACCGCAACGCAGGAATTGCCCGCGACTGCGGCGAGGACTCCCACCTCGCGGCCGTGTGCACCAACGGCAGTCATCCAAAAGGCATCGCGCACAAAGGTGAAGCACTTGCGTCTCGGTAAACGGTCATAACACCAGATAGTCACATAGACCGGGAGATAAATTGAGGTGGTGAGGTCTGATTCCTGGCGGACGGCTGGTGTGTCTTGGGTCAGGCTGATGACAACGCCAGAACCGAAGACGCACAGATACGAACTCGTCGTTGTAGTCGACGATAGCCATTCAAGATGGATCACTTCCAACGGGTGGAACATCGTGGCTGCAGAGTAATCAGGTATAGTATTATCAGACAGGTGATACGTCCTGAGGTGTCTGCGAATATTAGCTGCAATACATTGGAGAGCCGTTTCGTACGCGTGTTCTACGAGTTTCCATCGCCACGAGAGCGTAGGAGAATATATCGTCCGACAAGTCCTCATGAGAGGGGAGATCTTCCGAGACTATCTCTTGGCTCACTTCGTTGTTCAGAACATTCCGGTGCAGCTTGCGGTTTGCTTCCTCCAATGACGATGGATCTGCAAAACAACGCATCATCAAATGAACGAGGTGCCGGAGACTCGTCTTCTGATTAAGGATTGCACTTTTAGCTTCTACATTTTCAAGCTGAGCGTCCCAAGACCACAAGTACCGCGGTCGTAATAAAGTAAGCAGGACGACATGACCAATTTGAATCGATTCGACGTCGAGTCTACCCATAAGCGCAATGTAAATCGACACCGCCAGATCCCACCAGTATTTCCTGGCATAGAACTTACGTCAAAAATTTGAAATCATAGCTCTCAAATATTCAATTGCAAAGCGAGTAGGACGAGACGTGACGAGGGTGGATTATGTCACGTGCCAGTGACTGTCCGCGTCCAACGTGTTATCTCCAGCCGCCTAGGCCCATAAATACAGCCTCTAGTTAGCGGAAGACAATCGTTCCTTTCTAATAGAGGCTGAGATCATGCGCGACTGCCCTCTGAGGACCGCCCCGTGGGAATATCGTGCCGACGGCAATTCGACGCACGAAAACTCGACCCCCGCATCATATTTAAATCACGGAAAAATTCTCAATAAAATAGTTACATGTTTCTCAGCGGGTCAGAGTTTCAACGGACACATGGGATAACGGGAACAATGTCTTGCACAGGGAATTCAGCGGGGAGGCGCTACATGTCGAAGTTCAATCTCCTCCGTAAATGTAAAGGGATGCCGTGACAGCCTGTCAACGGCAATGCCACTTCGATGTTCCCACGGGGCGGTCCTCAGAGGAACTACCAGCCGCCAGCGCAGCGCACAATCTCCTTCATGGCCTTTGGGATGCAATCGTAATCTTTGTCCTCGCTGAGAATTACTACTAACTCTCAGTCGACCGGTGCTGCTATCGCATCGCACGAGGGCGACATCTCCATTCTTTTCGTGACGTTTTCGCCCAACTATCCAAAGCCACGCAACGGCGCTGGATCGATACGCATAGATTTCTCAAAGACCACGGGACCCGGCCCCCGTCTCGCGTGCGAATGGAGCGCGTGCTGAGTAGGCTGAAGCTCGTGATTGTTGTAGTGCTGCAGCTAACGGTGAATGGCGAAAGCTTCGAGGCCGATATCGATGACACGAGTGAGTTAGTTCAGCTTTCAGCTATGCGTGTGGTGCTGCTGATGTGGATGCTCGTGCATGGGGCGCATGGGCGTGGAGAACGGCGTCCCTGTCTGTTGGGCGGTTTGGCGATGTGTTAGCGTTACCGAGGTACTCAGATAGCAAGATGTTTTCTGGTGGGATCGTTCAGAGCCGTAGGCATGCTCGGGGTACCGCCGGCAAGTGCATGTGTTAATCTTGTGGGTGCTTAATGAGTCGTTCTGAGATTTCACGTGCTGCTGTTTAGTTCTGCACGGATCAAACTGTCAAGCAGCGTGAAATTTTTTACTATACCGCTCTAACAACAGCGATTCCTTACGCTCTGCGCGCAACGGGTCGAGCGACAGTCGAACGATGAAGCGCTCTCACCAAGTGCACGTATTAACATCGTACGTGTGGTAGCTCTTGCCTAAGCATACCGGGAGAGTCGTGTGTTCATTCAACGAATACTGCTCCACATCAACGCGATGTCTGTCAAAGCATATGATTTCGTTGATGAGAACGGTCCGGAGAACAACATCATCAGATTGGCCCTGGCTTGCGAGTCTGAACTGCTTCTCGACGCGGCCCAAAAATGTGGGGTGTACAGGTCGTACGTCCTTCTAGCACTCTTCATTCGACTAGAAGCAGAGAGGATTTAGCGACGGTTTTCACCTGTCCTCTCTGACTGACTTTGAAGAGCAGCGCTTGATCTCTGTGCTAACTGTTATAGGTCCGCTCAACCACATAGTCTGTCAATGTCTGTCAATGTCATTCAGAGCACTCAAAACGTACCCGAGCTCACCCCGTACACCTATTCTTCCCAACCCCGTCGCCACATGACTTACGGTATCTTATTATGAGAGTTGATTCCGGATTTCTCGGAAAACCTCCGTAGCTATGGGCGAGGTTTGCCTACTAGGTCAGGATGCCTTGGAAGGTGTTGTACCATCTCTTGGGTGAGTCAACTCTCTGTCCTCGTAGTCATGAATACGGAGTGACAGCTACGGATGATTCATACTAACACTAGTATTGACATGCGATATAGCGACAGATTTGGTGATCCATAGTTTCGCAGCCAATATGTCTGATGTGGTTCCTACTCGGATACACAGGCGAGGGGAGTCATCACAATTGACGCTAGACTGCGACCGGCGTACGAGTCGATATCGACCAGCTGACCGCTGGCAGGCGTTGGCATATTAATTGGCGCCGACCTTCGTTCCTCAGATCTGGACATATCTTGCGGCGATCGGCGGTAGTCAGCTGAGGAGCATATGGTGAATGATGGTGCTTGCGCTTCTTCTTCCTGTGGGGATGATTCTCGCGATGAAGCGAACCCCGCACACTGGAGAAACAGCCACTAGTGGCGAGATTCTGGTCAGGAGGGTCGCACGACCATGGCCCATCGCGCCATTTCTCAAGCTTTTACTGACAACGGTGAGCAGGCGCACGTTGAGCGTGCGGAGTCCAAGACTTTGTTCCCCGCTCGAGCGGGTGGGGCACACCGATCATGCGGGGGATCGTCCGACTAAGCCAAATATGACTTCCAGAAAGATTGTATGTTTCCTTCTCGTCATGTACGTTCTCCCGTATGCTCACATGCGCACCCGCTCTCCCATTTCTCGTCTACAACGGATCTATAAAGCCCCGCTCACGGCTTGTCCTGCGCAGACGTGCCTGCACCGGTACCCAGCCATAGCTATTATTTTTTCTCCGCCATGTCTGCTTCTCTCAAACTCGGGCGGCTCGTCTCCCTCTGCCTCGCCAACGCATTCGGCATCATAGGCATGAGTCTCGGTATTGACGCTCTCGTCAAGTCCAACCGGCAGAAGACCAAGGTCCGCCACAGCGTACCCGCCGGCACATCGGTGTCCCTCAACACCAACGACGTCCTCCACTCGGGCATCGTCAACACCGTCGTTTGCGGCCTCATCGCCGGCGTGTCTTTCATTGCCCTCGTTACCACCCTCGTCTCCGCGTCTCCTCACCGCGCGCTACTCCGCCGCGTGTCCTCCGCCATCCTCCTCTTCCTCTCGACCTGGCTCTTCGCGACGCTCATACCCTTCACCGACTTCGTCGCGAACCGCCAGGCTAAGGTCAAGGCCACGCTCGACGGCATTTCCGTGCCCCAGAGCGTCATTCAGGCCACGCAGGCAAAGATCGGGGTCACTGGCATCTATCACAAGCTCCTTTATCGTGAGTGTCTGCCCCTCCGTCGCGTGGACCTCAGCTGTAGAGCTGAACGTGTGCACTGCAGTCCGCCTCCAGACGATATTCCACTGGATCGTGTTCCTTTTCGGCGTACTATCCGTGGTCTTCCTGTACGCTACGGAGCGCAGCGCTGAGTCCGCGCGTTACCCGCCCGCGGCCGGCGACGCAGCGGGTTCTATCAGGGAGGTAGATGACAAGCCGAAGGAGAAGGAGAAGGTGGGCGTCCAGCAGGTGTAATTCATCGTGGACGGAGGAGCGCGGTGGCGTAATTCTTAAATTCTTAATGTGAGGCGAGGTCAGGATGAGGGCTCTGAGTCAGGGCCTTTTGGGGTCGATATACGCGGCCGATAATTTTCTCGCAGACATGGATGGAGGATGGAGAATTGTTTAAGATCACGATTTGCAATGTACCTTGTCATGAACCGGAGTGTTTCTAAGCCTGTCAGACTCGGAAGTCGTCCAAGTCCAGTATAGAGCAAGATGTCAAAAAGATGGAATACGCCGTTCGGTGTAGGCGAACCTCGTTGTTGACCTACTTCTTGAGCATCGTAAATTTAATTTATGGGACACAGGGTACACACAGCACAGCGAGAACAAGAAAGCATTGAAAACCCGAAAAAAACGCCGACGTTGGCGTCCAAAACGACTATGTGGAATCGCTGCCTTCGCCATCAATGTCACCGTCCTCCTGGTAGTCACCCGGCGCAGACCCATCTTCGTAAAAGACTTCCTCAGGTTCATCTTCTTGTTTCTGGTAGTCGGAATCAGAGTTGATGCTAATGTCATCGTCTTGTTCTTCCAACATTCCGTGCCACGTCGGATTCTTCTGGTCCAAGAAAATGAACATCTCCATCCACGGGTTTTCTGGTCAGCGAGCCAATCTCCTGCATGGTCACGCCCATCTGACGAAGGATGTAACCGAGCCCGAAGAAAGTAGTCAGTAAAACACGAAAAATGATCATGGCAAGCTGCGTGAGTCGGAGACATACATTGCAATCACGAGTTCTACCTTGTCAGAGAGCTGATTAGGTCCAAATTTCTCAGTGACAGTGCGCCCGCAAAGTCAATGAAGATGACAGGCTGCATAGCGTCCACCTGAATAATTACGTTGCGAGCCTCGACGTCGTGCAGTATGACTCCGCACTCAAGAATAGCATACAATCCTGGCGCCATCACGTCGGCCTAGGGATAACGAGTGGAAGCCACTTCGTAAAACGATGATATGCACTAGACGACAAATGACCTCCGCAAGACATTCACAGGCCAGGACGTGATCGCCAGCCCGAGGGCTACCATCAACGGACTCTATCATGCGCGCGTATGCGCATTTGCCGTTAGGCAACTTCACCTATAGGTCCGCACTGACTATACTTCCATAGAGCACGTACGCGCGAACCGACACCAAAGAATCCATAGGACCACGGGATTTCTTTGCCTGATTAATCTAGTTAGCACGCAATGGTAGTACCAGAGCAACGTGTCTCGCAACGTGCCTTGCAGAAGTCGTACGTTTCCGTAGGCCTCCGCCTCTGTCTTCGCAAGTCGGCAGCCAGTGCCCTAATAACCAGAACATGGTCCATCCTCGTCGATGTATTCGGGCTCCTCAAAGGTGCTTTCCTGGAAGAGCTTGATGACCGGTGGAACGTCTAATGGATCCGCAAAAGGTCCGCCAGCGTTGTTTTCGGGCAAGGACGCAGGCAGGCACTATAGCATGCCATACTTGTGGCAATTTCTTGACACCACTGGCAGTCTGGATTGGACGCGTGAGCTTGATCGCAAAGGCAGCCGATTCCTGGATGAATGCGCCACCGCTCAGAGTCTTGGGCACAGGATGATAAGCGGGAGATAGAGAATTCGGATGCAACCATCACAAATAGAAGGGATGGCCAGTGTCGGACAATATCGACACCGTATGGAGATTCGGATCTCAGGAATTTTCTGATCCATTTTATGAAAGCTGTAAAGGCGTCCGTCCTGGTCACCTGGGCATCGATGATGGAAAAATTTGCAGAGAAATAAAGCTGATGCGTGTGTACTCAGTGACAAATCCGCGAGTATAGGTTCCATCGTGGTTGTTACATAAACGCAAAGAAAGCAGAAGAATACAGTATGATGGTCCTTGGAACTATAAGCGCCCGACAACTTTAAAGAAGCGCCCGGAGGTTGCAACCCAGAATAGAAGCTGTAGTATGCGCCACTCGCAACGGTGATCATCCACCGAAGTGGAGCCGATGAACAAGCTCCTTTTTGTGAACACTGTTCTTCGACCTCGCAATGATAAAACGACAGTGAGACTTACTGTCGTTTTGTCATTGCTTGGCGGTGTTCTTTGTAAGTAACAACTTACCACTGACATGTCTGAAGGGGACAACCGCAGTGTTGGCTGTGGCGCGCAGCATATTCCACGCCCATCCAGATAGTCGATGTGATTGATTCTGTTCCCGAGTTGTTACCCCTCCTATCGAGAGAACACAATGAGAGTGCCGTATAGTTATGTTTTTTTAAATTCGTGTTTGTTACTTGGTGTATTCTGACGTGGACTTTACCCGCCGCCTCTCATGACCAATGCAACGACCAGTGTCCATCCAGGAAGAACGATCTTTCCCGCTCATGCAGGAATCCGGAATCTCCTGGGTTAGTTCTCAATTAGGACGCTCTCCAATAGGACGCTCTCCAACGATCGAAGCCATGAAGTCTCGAATCCTCCCACCGGTAATGACGAAGATGACGAGAACGATCTATCTTCAGAGGCTCTCGCTGTGCAATTGGTTCACTCCAACACAAATTTACCTGTTCCACGCATTCGCAGAATTATTCCTGGTGGATACCGTTTCATTGTCGTCGATCACATTCACGGAACCCAGTCGACCACAGCGTGGCCCAATCTGTCGTCGTGGTCGAAGTACAAGGTGGCTTAGGCGATCAGGGGATACATCAGACAACTGCCGCATCCACAGCCCCTGTCGTCTGCCCGGTCCGCTAGGGCTGGGCCTAACACCTCAGCGTCACACCTTCGGACCACGGAGCAGAGACACTTTCCCCGACTATGCAAGGTTGCTTCGTTGTCAGAGTTCACGAACAAGATGCTCTCCACGACGATTCGCGTGGCCGAGCGTTATGGTCCACCGTTCACAGGTTCCCGTGCTCCCTTTGACAGCTCCGACCCCCTCGTTTTCACACACCACAACCTCAACATGCGCAACTTCCCCCTCGACCGCCTTGGAAAGGTCCGGTTGCTCAATTTCGGATGGCCTGGCTTTCACCCCCCAGTGTTCGAGTACTATGGGATGCGCCAGGCGGCGATCAACGATCGGTCACCGAAATCATGCATGTATTCTATCCCCTTCATGGCTGGTATCTACTTCAAAGAAAGACTGGTTGTATGATATTAGCGGCGTGATGGCAGCATACAGGTGAAGCCGTGCGAAGTTCCGACAGTCATGGCCCACGAGGAACACACATTCTAATGTTCAAAGTTTTCCTGGGTATGATTCCCTTCGACAAAGCTGCGGGAGCGGTGTACGTTAATGTGTACGTGCTAACTGCCGTGACTACCTGTACCTCTGATAAATGGATCTGCACGTAGATGTGCTCGCATCGTCGGTGCATGTAATTGCAGAGTGATTATCATGATTGTGTTATTACACGATATACCACGCAACTTGCACATCATCGGATGCAGTATCAGAGTATCAAATTTTCTATGGCAGCAACAGCACAGCAACAGCGAGAACAATACAACACTAGAGAAAATCTGAAAGCAAGAGACAAAGTACTTCACGCATCACGCTTGGTTATCAATGTCCTCATGATCGTGCTCGTGCTCGTGCTCGATCTTGTTATCTCCGTCGGATTCACCACACTGAATACTAGCATCGTCTTCACTCTCCTCAGACTCACTTTGCTCGGTTTCGTCTTCTTCCCCAGAGTTAACATTGAGGCCAATCAGCTCGTCAGACAGTCCATCGAAATAATCGAACCACCCTGGGCTCCTGTTGTCAAAGAATGCGAACAGATTCGTCCATGGAACACGTCGGCTCTTGCGGTCCTGAAGCCAGTCAGCGATCTCTTGCATGGTCACGCCCATTTCACGCAGAGCGCGAATTAACCTAGAATGCAAAGAAAGAAAGAAGCGAGTGTTAAGCAATGGTAGAGAGGCAAGGATTGAAGACTCACAGCGCCATCTCATTATCTACCTCCCATGAGATCCTCCCATTATCTATGTCTCTCAACGGTACCATGCCTGCGAAATCAACGAAAACGACTGGCTGTGCAGCACCCAGCTGGACGATCATGTTGTGTGATTTCACATCCCTCTGGATTATGCCGCACTGGAGGATGCTGTGAAGGCCCGATGCCATTGCGTCGGCCTACCCAGTAATCAGCGCTTGCGGCCATTTCGGTGCACGATAAAAGCACTCACGACTTCCAATTTCTCGTCTACACCGAGGTCGCGGAGGAAAATACCATATCCTGGGAGCCCTTCGACGAACTCCATAACATGAGCAAAAGCCTCTTCGCCATTAGGCAATTTCACCTGAGAGCTTATCGTAATTAACCAATGATATCTCCCCGATTGGTGTAAATTGACCTTGAAAAACCCATAAGACCATGGGACATCTTTCCCTAATCATTCCGGTCAACAATAGAAAGGTATGGTGATTGCATGACGCACCCTGCAGTGATTGCATGTTCCAGTAGGCCTCTGCTTCAGCCTTGGCGAACTGGAATCCAGTGCGCCACGTGCCCGAGTCGATGCCTCGTTCATTGAAAAACTCAGGCTCATTGAACATGCTCTCCTGGAAAATCTTGATGATGACGGGTGCATCGGGTGCATTCGCACACCCTGGGAGGACCGAATCAACAGGGCAAGCGACATTCAAGTTTGCTTGCCAAACTTGTGAACAGTTCGGTGACCCAGTCTGGATCGGGCGCGTCAGAGCGATGGTGATGACTGCTGATGCATGACTGAACTTAAAGGATTCGCTCTGCAACATCTCAGGCACGGTCCGATGGACAAGAGACAAAGATTCGGTGTTCATCCATGGAAAGTCCAACATGGGCCATCGTTCGATGATAGTAACCGAATATGGGAGGTCAGAAAGGATGTACCTCCTTCCGACGCGATAGTCTGCGGCCAGGCGATCCATGAATGTGTCATAAGCATCCATATCCTTCGGGTACTCTCCACGGAAAAAATCGTCATATGGCAAGCCAACAGTGGATGAACGTGGCAGCAGAGCTAACAGGGTGGGATCCATTTTTTTCTGTAGGTGGGATTGGAAAACACAAGCAGGTTCTGGAGTGCATGAGCTCACGCTGGGAGATGTGATTATATAGTTACAGAGCTAGCGCTTGTCGGGGTAAGCAAACTACCATAATTTCCTTTTTCGGTGAGTCCTGGAAAAACTGCATTGTGGCGCACGTACTATACCGAACGTTTGTTCTGTTGACAATTGCTGTCATGCACAACTGCCAGATCGATACCGGTTGTTATGACATCGATCTGCTTGTGGACTCTTTTCCTATGGATGGGAAACCCCCGTGGAGAATTTTTGCTCAACGTCGCCTTCTGATTCTGAAGTTATTGACGTTGGGAAAGCATAATGTATGATACGTAGGTCACGCTGTTCATAGTACCTGTGATGGTCACTGACCACGATTCTCGTCAGTGGAAGATGCGTGATAAGAAGCCCCTGATGTTACGCTCAGTATGTCCTTATGATGCACGAGGGCTCGCTATTTATTTTGACTCATCTGCGGCATGATTGACTATTCCGCTTTCTGTTATTGTTCATCCACTAGCCGGAAGGCACTGGGTGATAGTTTCGGACAATACAGCAACTGCGTGGTGGCGATTTCTGGAACGCCCGATATCAAATGATACGCATATGCCAGTGAGTCACGCATGCTGTCGCACTGGTAGATCCTAGATACGCTACCTTTTTTTCTCTAAAATTTGAATATCTTGTGGTGCTGAAAGGGGGATGCTCTGCAGCACTTATTAGGGCTTGTGCTGCTTATTACGCTATGCATATGGTCAGGCGGGCAAGTCATGTCGTCCATTCTGACGAAAGAAATTTCTCATTCAGCACTCTTCTGTGTGCGCTACGTTTATTGTGGCACAACGCCTGTACGCTTATCTCACGCTTATCTCGGCTACCTCACCTCTTGTCAACATGCTTCTTTTTTAGTGTGATGTAGCAAACTAGCCAACCAGCCTTCGATAGCAGAAGCATGTTGCCATGGCTTGAGATGCGTCACTCAAAAATACTGGCACTGCCTCTTTTACTCGTCTAAAAAAGGTCCAACATCTGTTCAGCATCTCCACAGTTCCTGTACTCCCCTTTATCTTCGCAAACACACATATCGATGTCCCGAACTACCCCCACTCGGTAGCTTGAGCATCTGTGGCGACACTTTCGTGGTCTCTGCTCCCAGGACAATACCATCGCCAGCTGCATTGACCAACTCACACAGGATGTCCGGACCGTTACATTCTTCAGCCCTGCTGAAGCATTGGTACTTCTATCGCTGCTCCCTGTCCGATTTGAAACTTTGCAAAATTTGAACCAATTTCTTGCCAAGTTCTCGCAGTCTACTCGGATTCGCTCAATGATGAACATCTCCATGTCGGCATCCCATTTCATGGAAGAACCTCTTGCCGACATGACGCAGTCAACGAAACAACGACGGTCCAAAAATAGTACTGTGTCGAATCGAGCATTTGCTCTCGATCCTATCATGTTTCGTGACCTGTTCGCCAGAAGTGCTGCTGGGAGGACCGCCCGCTCTGACTATGCTGACTACAAGACTGCTGTCGCTGGTTTAGATCAGGAAGCACCATTCTTTTTCCATCAAGAATCAGTCAGTTGCTATGCGGAGCTAGAAGGAGACGTTGCGTAAGTCTTATTGACAATCCTAAAACCAAGTGATTGAACCGTGTTCTGCAGAGATTTTTGGGTTGTCAACGTTCTCATCCCCGTTATCGTTGTCATGAACACCTTGTTGAGGTACAATTTCGAGAAAGGCCTTACGACAACGCTTTACCGTGTGGGCTTGAGAGGGCAAATGCCAGTCCGAAACGTGCACAAGAGTTCAAATGATCAATGTTAGTTTTTCTCGCAATTCACCGGCAAATAATTTACAAACTCAACCTCCTCCAGTGTTTGTTGCAGATCATGTATTGGTATTGCACAAACAACGCCGCAGTGGAGGATGGGACTCCGGCACACCATTGGTCATATTTGAGGAAAAGGTGCGATATGTATCAGATCTTACACTAAAAGACTTTGAGCTTTCCTAGCGTAGGTCGCAGGAACGGTTCGGCGACATTGGACCAACCTGAAGCACATGTGTGAAGGCAAATCTGTCGTGATCAGCCAGGGTTTCAACCCGGAGCCGGCCAAGATGATTCCCCAGGTCCGGAAGTGAGTTGAATTTCCATTCCATGTATTCTGAAGCGTATTTTGAACGTTAAACTAACACAGAGATGTTGCTCATAGGTATGTTTTCGGTTTGAAAACGGTATATGCCATTGTATCGGACGGGTTCGAATATGCGGCTATGGTGTGGGACCGCCCTCGTGGATGGAAGAGTGGCAAAAAGAACTCTTTTTGCGATGATTATACTCAACGGGGGCATGTTGAGATGAATTCGCATGGGGCCAAGCTTCATATAAGCTCTAACAATCCCGCCACCCTCAACACGGAGCCCCCCAGACAGATCCTGGGCTTCTTCTGCTGGTCGGCTCTGCGAGACCTTAACGCTCTTCCCTGAGGGAAAGGCACAGACCGAGACGTTAGTATTCGATTTCCCTGCAATGATGTCGTCGCTGGATGTGCATCTGCCCGTTCTATGTCTCGACTAATGTCTGCTTATATCTACTTACTATGAAATACGTTACCCCGAATGCAGTGTCTGCTCCAACTTTTGCACGCAGCTATCACTTGTAATAGACCCGCCTGGTCTATCTTCAACGAACTTTATCTATAGGCCTTATAGAAAACTAGGGCAACATAAGTAAATTCTTCGCCATGCAGCTGGCAGGATTCTTTCGGCATCTTCCGAACCTGCGAGTTGTTGGACTCCTCATCCTTGCTTTAACCGACCGCCACCATCCCATTGGTCTCAATCACGCAAGTGCGAACGAAATGGCTACAGAGGAGTGAGTTCTGAACACTGTATATCATTCACAACTCTCTAGAAGGCTCACTTCTGCAAGTGGCATACCGCAGGGTACGCTGTGGCGCATTGCGTACACCGTGCTCATCTGGGCAGTTGACGGGATCGATTTTACCTCTGAATTGCTATGGCCCAGGACAGAACAAGAGTTAGAGACTAAAGTGAGTACTATATACCTATCTGTATCACAGGTATAAAATGGAGGTACGTCTCAGCCATCCCGGTCCGACCATTGGAGTGACGACGAGATAATGCGTCGAAGAGTCAACAACGAATACAAGGAGAGATCGCATTATAACATGGGTGGCCATTCTATCAGACGAATATCTGAAGACGTGATCACGAAGAATATTTGGACCGATCCGGTCGTCAGAGTCCACGAAGAAAAGACGGATCCGCCTGCAGAGGCTCTTGCTCTGCAGTTGGTGGCATCCAGTACGACGATTCCCGTACCCTCCGTGCGCAGAGTGATCTTTCGTGATGGATGCAAATGCATAGTTATGGATTACATAGAGGGAACCTCACTGGCTTCATTGTGGCCGAATCTCTCCCTGTGGTCCAAGTTCAAAATCGCATGGACAATCCGACGCTACATCCAGCAGCTCCGGTGTATTCGCAGCCCCCGCTCGTTCATTCCTGGCCAACTTGGCCTTGGCATGAAACCTAAATTCTGTAGAGGAGCCGTCTTTGCATTACGCCATAGAGGCCCTTTTCCCGACTACGCTTCACTATCCACTTTCATGAACGGAAGGCTCGCCATGACCATTGATCTGTACGAGCGGCAATTTGCGACCTTCCATGGCTCTCGCGCACCATTTGACGACTCCGAGCCCCTCGTGTTCACACACCATGATCTTAGCATGCGCAATTTCCTCGTTGGGGCGGACGGGCGAATATGGTTGATCGATTTCAGCTTGTCTGGCTTCTACCCGCCATACTTCGAATATTTCGGGATGTGTTACACTGCGGTCGAGTCTCAATCTCCCAAGTCGTGGCGATATCTCATCCCTCTCATGGCCGGTCCCTATTTCTGGCAGCGAGAATGGTTAAAGCACAATAGGTTTGCACTGGCGTGGTATGAATAGAATTTTAGGGTGTGGGGATTTTGGTGGAAACTACATTATATATCCCGGGTTGCCTCGCGGTACGTCGTTGAGGTTCAGTGCCTTATGTTAAACAGTCTCACGATGTGTACGAGTTCCTCGTCATGTCTTATGTAGCTATAGCAACATGTTCTACTCCACATAAAGCTTTCGCGGACCGTTCGGGTGAGCTCAGCACTATTGCGAGAGGATGCGGGCCAGAAGAGCTTTGCAACCCTGCCACATTTTTCTCAGTGACGATACAAGATCCCCAGCTGTCGAACATTCATGCAAATAGGACATTTTGATTTCATGCGGGAATGACTGTGTTTGTGTTCGGTTCATACGTCAAGTACTGTTAGTAGGTGCGACTTAGTTCCCCGTTGAGATAAGTATTTGACCAGGTGTAATCCCGGCCTGCAGCTCTGTTTCCACCAGATGCTAAACATTTGTAGCGTTGCTCGTTGGCGACATTCGACAAGATCTTCCAAAATACCGTGTATCAACGAAGGCTCGGGCAACAACTGCACGTGTGCAAGATTTTCTCTTTGAACTCTCTGGACTGCACGGCACGTCTGTTGCTCTTTCCCCTCACTCTGCTAGCGGACTTCTAATTTCGAGCAGGACAATTGAAATGTGTCAATGTCCATCTTTGGGAACTTTGGATGGTTCCGTTTTGCCCATGACGTCGACTCACATTACATTCATATCTCGATGGTCAACAATCGTTTATTCCGCGGTGTCGAGAGGTGCGATTGAGGCGCTTGAAGCTTCCAAATATAGACATCCCAATTTGGGCTGATGGTGTGCTCAGTGGTCATCAGATGCTTCGTCGGGGATGCGGCACTACCTTCTGCTTGGTAATCATCTCTAGTGTGCCATCAGCGTTCAGAATATAAGTACTTGTCCGGAATATGGGATCAGCGTCCGGTCCTGCGTTCTTTCAAAAAAGCTCAAGGCCCTCCGGATGGCGTCGATCAAAAGCGCGCGGACCTTGGAAGATACCTCAGAAACCGCGCCTGCGGAGCCCAAGGTGCCTCGTCGGGATTTTGAGGAGCAGAAGTCCGACGCAGACACCCGCACGGTCTCCGCCGAACAGGACAGCTTCCCGGAACCACCTACACCTTCGCCGCCTGGCTGGGATGGTGTTGACGGCGGGCCTCTCGGATGGGTGCAGGTAGTCGGTTCGTTCTTCCTATTCTTCAGCTCATGGTGCGTGGATCAATGGAGACTTGCAAGCATGCACGCACAGCTGACACCGGCACCAGGGGGATCGCCAACACCTTCGGGGTGTACCAGACGTTCTACGAGGAGGATATGCTCCGTACCACCTCGCCGTCGACGATAGCATGGGTGGGATCGCTGCAAGGCTTCCTGATGATGGTGATTGGCATCCTCACTGGTCCTATCTTCGATATGGGCTATAGTCGGGCCCTGGTCTGGGTCGGAACTTTCATGGTCGTCTTCGGGATGATGATGACGAGCATCGCGAAGAAGTACTGGCAGATACTTCTCGCGCAGGGTGTTTGCGTTGGGCTAGGTGCTGGCTGCTTGTTCATTCCTAGCGTCGCTATCATCGCGACGTATTTTGTGAAGAGGCGGTCTTTCGCAACTGGCGTGGCCGCGAGCGGCAGCAGCATCGGTGAGTTTCTGTCGTTCAGTACATATCACAGCTTCTGATGGAGAAACAGGCGGTGTCATATTTCCTATCGTATTTCACCAACTGCAGCCGCGTATTGGGTTCGGATGGGCAACGCGCGTCATCGCGTTCATCTCACTGGGTACTCTGTCGATTTCTCTCGCTGTGTCACGTCAGCGTACTGTCTCGCAGTCGAGGCGAAAGCTCTTTGACCCTACCGCCTTCAAGGATGTTCCCTTCATCCTATACACTGCCGCGATGTTCTTCGCATTCATGGCGATGTACACCCCCTTCTATTACATCAGTGCCTTCGCATTGGGCAGGACGGGTGCAGACGTCACTCTGCAGTTCTACTTCCTCCCGATCATCAATGCCGCCTCGACATTCGGACGGATATTTCCGAACTTCCTCGCCGACCTCACGGGACCGCTGAACATGCTCATCCCCTGCTGCTTCGCGACGGGCGTGCTCGCACTCTCATGGATCTCGGTACACAGCGTGGGTGGGCTGGCCACGTTTGCAGTACTCTACGGGTTTTTCTCTGGCGCGTTCGTCAGCCTGCCGTCGCCGACGCTCGCATCGCTCTCGCCAGACCTCAAGAAGATCGGCACGCGCATGGGCATGATGTTCGGGATCACCGCAATTGGGCTCCTCATCGGCACGCCCATCGCAGGCACACTGATCGACCTCGAGACGGCGCAGTTCGTACACGCGCAGATATTCTGCGGTGTCGTCTTGCTTAGCACTGTCGTTCTCCTCGTCGGCACGCGGATCGTGTCCGCCGGGCCTAAGCTGTGGGTGAAGGCGTAGGCTTTGGCTTCATGCGCCCAGAGTCAGATATATCAAAGTGTCCATGATCCACCGAGGTGAGGGCTGTGTTACATCGGTCGCCGTTCAATCTTCCTCTTGCAACATAGAGTCTGAATCCGTGTTCCAGACCGACTCTGAGTCCCTGTCCGAGTCCGCCTCCACGTTGTATCTAGTGTCCGACTCCTCGGTGAAGATTTCAAACATTCCGGAGATTGTGTCGTGTAGTACTTGAACAGATTCACAAACAGTGCGCCCTTGTACGGTCTTCCAGCCAGGCCCCGATGTCAGCCATTGAAACAGCAAGATTGCGGGGGGAAGGGGCAACCCCATAACATCAAAATGAATATTCATTGACAGCCCAGGCATAATTGTACGGATAGCGAAGTAGTCGAGGCACAGACGTTGAAACCACCATAGCGATATCTCCCTCGAGGGCTTCGACGCCCAGACCGGTCAAAAGCCGCATGAATGCGAAATCGATGAACACAATGGGGCACGGCAAACGACCATGTTGTGACAGGAAACGTCTGTTTGCACGACACCGCATTTGGTGATATTGTAGAGACAGGATGCCATCGCATCCACCATGGAAGCCGTGAGTAAGCGTGCAACAATGAAAGGCTCAGAGCGCTCTAGTGATCAGATTTCTTGCCTAGGCCAAGTATGGAAAGTCATCTTCTATCCTGGTCGGCCCTCGACAAACGTAGTGACAGTGTGTCGCGACGAACCTGAAAGAATCCGCAGGACCACGGGTCTTCTTTTCCTCCACATAAAATTCAACACTCGCAAGACCGACTCTATTTATATAGCGAATGTTATGCACCTTGAAGCGAGCCCATACTTTAATACGCGAGGGCCTCAGCTTTTGCCATCCGAGCGCCAGTAAGTCACAAGCCGCCGTCAATGCCCTTGTCGTCGAAATACCCAGCGGGAGGGAAGATGCTTTCTTGGAATACCTTGATCACGACAGTAGTCTCGGTGGCAGGTGCAGGATGGTAAGGACCTACCAGCCTCATCTTCGCACACAAGACTTGTCCCCATTCTTCGATGCCGGTATGCAGAGGCCTTGTCAACGTAATCGTAATGTTGGTCAGCGGCTGCGGAAACGCTCTATGGCGCGTCATCACAGGCAGTGCGCTATGACTGAGTATTGGCGGAGTTCTTGTCCACGCGAAATTGAAGGAACGCCTTCGCGCGACGACTTTGATGGGGTATGGGTGGCGAGTGGCGACGTCGTTTTGAAGCTTTGAATTGGCGGTAGAGATGTTCGTCCGACTAAGTCTCGTGGAAGAACTTGTTGGCGACCAAGTGCGGGGCAGTGGTGCAAGTAGTAGAGCAGCCAGGGGTTCATTGCTGTGGTAAAGGAACCCCTGAGCGCGAATACCAGACTGGCAGATCCCAATCAGGAACTCCGAACAGGGCGGAAACGGCTTCAGACGAGAACATTGTGGCGCATGATCGGGGAGAGAGATCGATGTGGGGTCAGATCGGGTGGTGAGGCGATACACAACTCGAATAGCCGCCGTGACTGCTTTACAGAGTATTTGAAAACCTTGACGAGCGCCATTTTCTTTTCTGTCTTCGACGAGAGCCCAGAACTGTAGTTATAGATGCGTTCTTGACCACCGTGCATTGTTCACCCAATGTCGAATACCAATATGCTTGACTGAGAAGACCTCGTCCTAGAACTAGGAGAAGTTAATACTATCGCCCGCCAGCTCCGTCTGACGAGCCGCCCATCAGCAAAGACAAGATACAAATTTGATTAGCAGTTACTTGGCAGACGGCAGGCACATGAAGCCACCAGAACATATCGAACAGAACTCAATCAGGCCACCCCAATGAAACCGAACGTTCTCTCGACCTTGATTATTCAGTAACAGCTGGCAGCAGACAGCGGTTGAAAATCTTCAAGACCTCTTCAGCTGCATGATCGGGAGTGATCATGCCCGTCAGAGCCTTGAACCACCTTGGTGACTTCTCAGACTGATACACGAACATTCGGCTCCAAGGTACACCGCGGGTTATCCCGTCCTTGAACCACGCCTCGATGGTGTCTAGCTCCATGCCCATGTCTCGCAGCGCATACACGATCCTGTGACCATATAATATGTCAGCGACAACAGACTAGTGATACAATGGAAGCAGCACTGACGGGAAGACACCGCAGTCAAGGTCGGCCTCAGTGAAAGGCTGGGCAAAGGCGAAGTCGATGGAAACGACTGGGTGGGGGTCACCCGGACTGACAATGAGATTGCTGAGCATTATGTCATCGTGGAGCACGCCACACTGTGTCATGTTGTAGAAGTCTGAGGCCAGCACTTCTGCCTGGACGGAAGAGTAAATCAAGGGAATAAAATGTCGAGGTGATTTGGTACCAGAGCCCAGAAATCCGTTGCAGTCGCATCGCCAAATCTAAGTTCTTTTCCAGAGGATCCTTCTACAAACTCTATTACATGCACGAAAGCGAGTTCTCCGTGAGGGAGAATAATCTAGAACGCATCAGCACCATGCAGAAGTGAGCCTGCTCACAGACAAACCTGGAAAATGCCATATGACCATGGTATCCGTCGTCCTACGCCCGCCTCAGTCGACGTCAGATACAGAAGGCCCGCAGCACAACGTACCCTGAAGCAGTTTCATGCGCGAAAAAGCCCAAGCCTCCCATCTCGCCTGTTGAGCACCGGTTAACCATCCTCCACAATCGATGCCGCCCGCCTCAGAGTGGTATTCAAACGGGTCCGGAAACAAACTCTGCTGAAATATCTTGATAACCACAGGAGCGGCCTGAAGGACGTCGTCCGCAGACGACATTTTCATGCTCCCGCGCCACACCTGTGACCACTTCCGCGTCCCTATCTGGAGTGGATGAACCATGGCCAGGCTGATCTTGCCTTCGCGCAGAAATGCCTCGTGCTGCACGAGCGCAGGAATCGGGCGATAATTGTCAGAGAGTGGATCTGCTGTCAAGCAAGGCAGATCGAATGAACGCCATTGCTTGACCACACCGGCACTAAACGGCGTGCCCATGTATGGCCGCCATGCCCTCGCGTCCTTCTCCCGACGTTCGCAGAAGCCGAGATATTCTTGCCGGGTTTCTGGGTATGGGGAAAGGAAGAAATCCTCATTCAGGAAGATCGTAGAGGTTAAGAAACGGTCATGCAGAGTTAGATGGGTAGAGTTCATGGCGAGAAATGAGCCGGGTATAAAGATAAGCAACTGCCACGTACAATACTTAAACTGTGGTGTTGGTTCAAATCGAGCAGTCACGATCGAGGGCCGATCTGGCGTTTGAGTCCGCAGATGTTCACAGATAGCCCTAGCACTACTCCAAAGCAGAAAGTCCCATCGCTCAAGATGATTTTCAGCTGAGGGGAACGGAGGTGACAGACGCGTTACAGTACGCGAGGCGTGACATCCGGCGCTCGTTCAGCGCTACGGCTGACCCAACTAATTAATGAAGGCTCCAAATGCCTACGAAATCTGATGAGTAGAAATATATAGGGACCAATCAAACATGGTACACAGCGGTAGCAATATGATACACTGGAACATCGAAGTTCAATTCGAGGCAACAGTTGACTTGCAAGTGCACAAATACAGCTATTCCAGAGTCGCGGCACAGATGGAAGCCCCTCACCGCGCCTCCTGCTCGACCTCCGGGTTAAGCGCAATGAATTCGTCCGTCTCGATGGCGAACAGGTCATACCACCTGGGCATCTTCTCGGTGAGGAACGCGAACAGCCGCGTCCAGGGCGCGCCCCGGTGCGCGCGATCCTCCAGCCACGCCGCGATGTCGGACATCTGCACCGCCATCTTACGAAAAGCACGGATCAAGCTAATTGAAATGTGGTCAGCGGAGCGGATTCTTTTTAGCGGCAAAGCAGGACTTACGACGCGACGTCGTTGGAGATGTCCCACTCGATCAGCTCGGGGTCCCGCACCGGGCCCACACTTGGTGACCGCAGCGACTGCATGGCGGCGAAGTCGACGAACACGACAGGCTGAGCGGCGCCTGGCCGGATGATGATGTTCTCGCAGGTGACGTCCTTCTGCACGACCCCGCATTTGATGACGGCATACAGGCAGGATGCCATCGCGTCCATCTGTCGCGAAGGGATGCGTGAGGAATTGGAGAGAAAGGGAGGCTTGGGACGCGCACTACTGTCCAGAGGTCCTGGCTGGTGCAATTTCGGAGGCGGGTGAGCCCCCCGGCCTTCCCATCGACGAATTCCATGACGTGCGCGTACGCGAGCTCACCATGTGGGAGCCTGACCTACGAAGTGGTGTGAGTTCTCGTAAAGTCGCAGTCTAGAGCTCACGTAGACGGACCTTGAAGAATCCATATGACCACGGAACTTCACGTCCTACGAAGACATAAATACGCAATTAAAATACAGAAGAACACTAATCGCATACCTTGGAGTGACATCATGCACACGTATGCCAACGCTTCCGCTCTCGCCTGCTTAGCTCCGGTGCGCCAATACCCTGATTCGATACCATCCTCGTCAAAGTACTCTGGAGGACGGAAAGCGCTCTCCTGAAATATCTTGACCACAACGTGAGCACCTCTATCCGACTCTGAGTTCGACGTAGCGTCCTCATGAGGTGCACACCAGCGCAGGTTAGCGCACCAGACCTGCGCCCACTTGCAGAAACCAGTCTGAAGAGGACGTGTGAGAGTGATAGTAATATTCGCGTCCTCCTTCACGAACGCCCCGCTGCACATTTCTGGAGGTACACCACGGTGAGCGGGTGATCCAGAGCCCGGACTGAGCCACGGGAAATCGAGCGAACGCCAACGGGCGACGACATGAATGGGATAGGGGCTACCAGCACGTAGATATGGTCGTGACGCCTCTGCATCGTGCTCGAGACGTTCTGCAAAAGAACAGAACGCATCAGGGTCGCGGGGATAGTCGTGCTCGAAAAAACTCTCGTCCAGGAGGGTGGGCGTGGGTCCATCGGGATGTAGGATTGAGAACGTAGAGTCCTGCGCTGGCGACGAGGGCGAGGATTGGGTGGAGGTGGACATCCTGCGTGGGTGCTGCACGATTTGTATAGGAAATCGAAGAGTCACTCAGAGTAGGTGACAGGGCTAGCGAGAACTGGGTATCGGGGCTGCAGCTGGATGAATCCCTGGTGCTTACCTCTAATCCTCAACACTAGGCACTGTTACTGGTTGATGCTCGTAAGTCGAAGTACTGGTATTTCTTGAAAGCAAAAGCAAAAATTGGGAAAGATGGCGGCGCAACCGTCGGAGAATGAGGTCACCATTGGGCTCCGTTCGAGTTCGAGTACGGAGCGAGTCTGGGCCTGAGCGTAGATCAAGACATGCAGGAAAAAGAATTTTGTGCGATCATCCTCAAGGCCTCAAGTATCGACCATAGCAGAAGATATATGCCCTCTGAGGCATGTCAGGGGAGAAAGTCGCCCGAGAAAGAGAACGTTCTTGAAGCGATGGTGAGGAGCAGAGGAACGAACTTCGGGCCGGTCACACTTCGCGAGACGTCACGCGCCTGTCACACAGTGGACGAATCGCGACTCCAAGTCACAAGCCAAACGGTTGAACTCAAGTACTCACAGCACGTCGACATTCCCTCACTCGCAGTGTTCAAATGAATAGAACTAGAGAGCTCACACTGGAAGACGTACCCGTATCCTCAGATTAATACGCAACTGTTTCCCCCCCTTCGATCACTGCAGTACTACCTCCCTTATGCCTTCGCATTCTCGATTAACATTCCGTGACCTACCTTATTTAAGCTTGCCAGACGATGATTTTTTCCGCGCCCCATACCCTGCGACTACTTCTGAATACCTTGCATCTTGCGATGGACTCAAGCAGCACGCGAGCGCCTGGCATCCATCCGATGCTCCCTGGACAGCGGATATAGTACAGCGTTGGTGTTCCCTTGATCTCCTCTGTTTGCGAACAGACCTACTTCCATCTGAATATCGCCCTGTTTCCGAGATTGTGCAGCACGCTTCGTTTACACAGCAAGACCAGGAGGTGATCCTCGCTATGGATATTCCCCTCCAGACTGGTCCTCAGAAATGGGGACAAGTCTGGCATGGCACCATGACCGTGCGATCACTGATTAGAACAGAGTCGACGCAAGATCTTGCACCGGCTCCTGTAGTTGTAAAGATTTTCCAGGAGAGTCTGTTTGAAGGTCCTTCCTTGTTCGAGCCTGAGACAGGCATCGCACAAGGAGGATGGCTGACTGGTGCCCAGCAGGCGCGGCGGGAGGCGTGGGCGTACTCCACCACGCGATCTCTTCAAGGTACGTTGAACCCCTTGCGTCACCTCTGACAATGGCTAATGTGTGCATTCGATAGGCCGAGAGGTTCCCTGGTCGTATGGTATGTTCAAGGTTCGTGGACGTCCGGTTCCTACGCTTCGGCATCCTCCTCATCGTCTGATTTGTGTTGTCACAGTTCCGGTTCTCACATGGTGAGCTTGCTTTTGCACATGTAATGGAATGCGTGGAAGGACAACTCGGGAAGAATGCCTCCCTTCACGATCCTTCTGAGGCTCAGCTTTGGCTACTGGTATGTCCTCATCATGAGTTACCGGTATGCTCTCTTACTTATATTTATATACACCAGGCGGACGTTATTTTGTCTGGCTTCTGCAAGATGATCCAGTGTGGTATATTGCATTTCGACCTGAGTCTGCGCAACATAATCATCCGACTTGGGTCCAGCTACCCTGTGGTGTTCCTCGACCTGACGTTCGCCTTCGAATATACCGAGTCCATGATCGACGACGGGGTCATTCCGTAAGTAGCCTCATCTTTGCTCTGCAGGTGGCGTTGTGTGGCGGGCGGAAATATTTCCTACAGGCTGATGATTGCCCTGCGGGACATGGGGGCCGACATGTACGTGATCAAAGCATGGCTCGACGACAGGGTCCACAGCGGCCTACCCTGGAGCCGGATGTTTGTGCGCGGATTTGAGCTGCGGCCGCATTGGTTTGACCATGTGTCGGATATCGTGACGCCTGAGCATCGGAGGGAATTGTTTGAGGGCCCGCGCTTGAAATTGCCATCCTCAGTCCTTCGGTTGCTCGGTGCTCACCAAATAGATGCCTCGTCCTGTTGACGTCGCGATCGCGTTTCTGCTGGTTCTTCTGTTCTGTTGTGATGTGCTATGTCCGATTGCTGAATGAAATTGATGGTCTCTGTTAATTCAACAATTCACTGCCGTCGGCCAAGTGAATGACATACAAAACTCGTCTTCGTTCACAGTCGTCGATGGTCGACGACGCTAGCGCTGTGATGGTAGCGAGTCTCGGTGACTGGCATAGGATCTGGGGTGTGCAGAGCAAGGACATATTGGAAGCCTACACGGCATGGCTAACTTACCACGTTCAATTGTATTGAAGCGGTTGCTTTGGCACGGCAAGGGTAGCGCTCGACTCAGAGCGATTCCGTGAGGTGTCAGACCTGACATATTTGACATACCATGATGAGCGGTTCGACGCGTATAAGTTCGTCTGAGATCCACGTAAAAATGATCCATGCTGGTCGCATTCAGTCCGATTCAGGGACGTAGGGCCGCAGAGTGACGACGGCTATATCGTATCTTACTTATCTCTTCGACCGTGGACGAAGACGGCCGCCGGTCCATTTCGTTTCATGACAACAACATGGCTTCCGGACGCACGAGTCAGACTACATTCTAATTTTCAAGATACAACGATCACCCGGCCTGCGCAGCGCTGCCCTTCAAGTTTAGCGTGCGCTTCAGGAACTTGTTCACCTTACATTATTTTCCCTGAGGGAGCCTCTATAGCTAGACTGCGACGCGTGGTAGAAAGGCTGGCTCCGGAGTTTGAGGGGAGCATTATCTGGGAGACTGCATCGAATCCCACCATCACCGGAGACAGCGGGCAATATCGCACCTGTGGACATTGTGGGAAAATTCTGCCTTACATTGTACATGTATGACCGGCTCTTGTTGCCTGCGAAAATTTTGCCTTACATCCTTTCTCAGCCAATCAGGTCGCGAGAATAAGCCTGTTTACAAAAATGTACAACTGTCTGACATTCTATCACATATGTACAATGTTAGATGGGATATTTGCACAATATTAGATGTCCAGATATAGCTCGCCGTCTCCGGTGCATGAGCGACAAGTAACGGCAGGTGATGCTGTGAACTATGGTGGCATTTAGGTGACGGTTCAATTTCTGACATTGCCATCAGCTCATCGGTTCGGTTGGCTGTCACCTCGCTCGATCAGCGTGGCAAAGACCCTCGCCACTTCCCCCTCCAGTATACACACATTGATCGGCACTCTAACTATAGGTGTAGTGCTATTGGGTCCTAACTGAGTTTGAATTGACTTACTGCATTTGGGCCAGGAGACTTACTTGTTTTGGTGCAGAACTTGCTGACTAATCCTTGTGCCGCACATTGCTTCAGCCAGGGTACAAATATGATATTCAAAATGCTGCACTCTCTTGATAGTTGGCATTTTTCTGTTCATGTTTAAACACTGTACATGCCGTCTGAATATGTTTACTGTGATCTCACTGCATTTGAGAAATTTGTTAACTTTCTCCAGCACAAAAGGTGTTTTAGTCCTATATGCCTATATTTACCAGCTTGTATATTGTGCCAGCATGCTCTATTGCATGGGCAGTGCTATGCAAATATTTTTGTATTATCAATGTACCTGACAGGTTAGTACATATATTTTTGTGGCCGTGCAGCGCTGAAATTTCTGAGTAACATTCAGACTGCCCACAAGTTCACTATTGATTCACTGAATCCAATAGGCATGCATTCTTCAACATACAGATCTCGCTGTGGCAAAAGGTAGCACTCTAGCACTTAGTGAAGCTCCCAACTTCAGAGAGCCTGCAGAGCATTGGTTATGCTCATACTACAAATATAACAAATGACAGCAATGATCAGACTAGGACCTCCGGCAGAAAGATTTGATTACATTGAGTGCCCAGCCTTAATTTAAGGTCTTTTCAGACAAGCAGAGAGCCTGGTTAAATCTTGTGCAGGATGTCACTTGAAATGAGGAAGACAGGCCTTTGCTTGTTCTGTATTCTCTTCTTCCTCTCGAATTAATTTAATTAATTTAATTACATTGCCATGTGCACTACACCTATAGTTAGAGTGCCCATTGATCACTGAATATTATGCCTGACGTTTCAGTTGGCGCATCCCTCTACTTGGCACCTGCTTATAATCTCCCTCTACTTTGGTCTCTCCTTTCAGCAACATCGTAGGTATGCTCTATAGTGTCTTTATAGTCTTTTCGAGCTTGAACAAGGGTGAACGGCCGAATATTGGATGAGTTCTTTATTTTGTGCATGTCATACTTTTTTGTCATACCAAATAGAATTTACGACGCATACAAACCCGACCTCTACAGCGGAGACTGCATCCCTATCCTCACCAAAACAAAGATCAAGTGTCCGATCCATCATCATCATAGTGACAACACGCACACTGCCCAAAGATAGTTGCGTCTGCATGGAGACCGTCACTGTAAACGTCACCAGCAGAAACACGGCACAAGGGCCACCCACCGAGGCACCTGTCCTCTTCGTGCTCCAGCCCCCAAAGTCGAATGTCAGTAATGAGCATTCGTGAGTCACACCGTTGCCCGATGCATGCCAGCCCGATATATCTGTCTCGTCGATGACGACGCCGTGCGGCGGATCACCTTCCTGTAGTTCAGACTGGAATGCGGGGAAACCAGAGCGTCGGGAAATTCAGCATGTGAGCAGGGTGGGACCGAAGAATTCGGAAATGACCTATGTTGGGAGGAGGGCATTGTTGTACACTACGCTCAGGGTGCATTCGGGTCAGATGTAGAAGGAAGCAGCTAGTCCAGCACTACACATGCTTGCTGAGGATGATGTACACCCAAAGTAGACCAGATTGTGCAGTGCTATGAACTGCCTGGACCGGGGTTATAACTTCAGTGATGCCACGCAACCAGCAGATCGGGATGCGTACAAGGATGATGACCAAAACAGAAACAATGCTACATGGCCATCAGTGCTTCATCACCGTGAGCTCATTCAAGAACTGGGAGATTCCACTTGGTTAATGTCCACCGAGAAGCATCCTCAGTGGAACTTACACTATTCGTTCTGCAAGTAGCATATCGTCACAGCTACACGGCAGAGCAGTAATATGATATGCACGCACCTTCGCACCACTAAATGATTCGGGCGATGTCTCGCGGTTGTATAAGAATACAACTCACGTGTTCAAACCCGTCTGATGACTCCTGAGGAAGAACACCAAGGAGTCAGTGACAAGACAATCTATGAGCATGCTCAGGCACATTCGACTGCATGGGGTAGTCTAGCGTCTTCAGGAGGGATGTCTGCACCAGCCACCCGAACCGATCCCTGATGATCACCTTCGGGTTACAGTCTCACTTGGCAGCCCATGGAGCCCTGACCAGAGGTGTTGTGATACTTACTTTTGTCCTAGGGAATCTGCAACTGCAGATTGACATCGCCGACAATGTTCGGGAAAGTACAAGCTGTCCTTCTTGTACACGTGCTCGATCGCCATCCCTCCGACCTCGATGCACACGGCCATCCCTCGCTGCAGCTACGATGAGATCAAGATATGTGAGCTGGCCCGCATTGATCATTGCGCCGACATCGACAGCGGGCACGAACCCATTGTTCGCATTCGAGAGCATGGATTCTTGGCGCAACTCCTTCATGCACTTATTTGCCATCAGTTACATGCTGAAGTGGAAAAGCAAAACATGGACCAACTGGTACAAGGTCTGAGTTGTGTCCACAAGCATGGAGACATTCCTTGATGACACCTACAAAACTTTGGAGGACCAGATGACACATTTGGAATATTTGAGGACAATGGTGTTAACAGAGAAAAGACCAGCGAGGATGGTGTTACGCGGCAGCGAAACACGAGCATCTAGTCGAGTCGTCACGAGACAAGGTCTTAGTCTAAGACACAAGTCCGTTCAAGTGACACTTCTGGCGATGTCCTTGCACTGAAGGTCGATCAGAGTTCGTTCTTATGACTCGTAGTAGCTGTCTGCTACTGACGGTCGATCTCGGTCAAAGGCAAGTGAAAAGCTGGTTTAATGGTAACCAGGTCGAGATGGGGATCCAGCTTGACAAGGTCATCTACTTATACAAAAGGTATCCGCAGTACTACGCAGTAATGCAGGATCGTTCATTGGCTAGATAAGGTGAAACGATGTCTAAGCAGGGTAACAGCGAGGAAGTAATATGTATGGGAAAGCTGAGTAAGGTCGTGAGAGATAATTAGTACTAATGGGGATAACGAGTCGTGTATCAGAACGAGGTAAAGATGAGGCATACATGCACGTCTTGCATGTGCGATAAGAAGAAGGTCCGGAGTTGGATCCGGTGTAACCCTAGACTAGGGGTTCTGAACATCTGGATAAAGAATCGGAGGTTGCGCTCCGATGAGTCACGTGTTGGATCACGTGGTCTGGTAACGTAAAGGGAACAAGGAAAAGAAAAAGAAAAGACGCACCACAAGTGAGGAGCGTTGTAACAGATGGGAGACCATGCATTATGAAGTGGTGTTGGCATGCAATGAGACGGCAAATTTAGCTGTAATTTCGAAGACAATTTGCAGTAAATAGGGAGAATGGGAAGTTGACATGGGTGTCAATGTATGAGTTTGCTTCGTGCTTTTGGTGCAATGACATTGCACCAGCTGCAGTTGTAGAGAACGGCTCATGGAACTGGATGTCTTCCGCAGGTCGTGAGCACCAGCCTAAGCTTGAAACATGACACCTATGTGAGGACGAGGTGGGGAAGAGACTGATGGTGAACAGTTTCTAGCACCAGTGGATCCGACACAGGGAAGAATATTGGGGAAGGTTGTAGCCATCCAAATGTTTGAAAAATTCGTTCGTCGATCAACAAGCTTCATCTTGATCGCTCAGCCCCAGTGGAAAATGCATCTTGCGAGATCGCAGCAAGTTGCACGAGGTCATGACTGTGACCAACTGCGACCAGCCACGAGAATTTGGACTATATGCGATCTTGAGCGAGCCCAATCAAATGTGGTCACAGGCTAGCACAGTGCCAAGCGGGAGAATCGAGGCATTTCACATCTAGTTGAATTTTAAGCCGCTGTATAATAATTGTATTGTTGTGATTTAATACAGTGTGACTACGCTCGATGTCATGTGAGTACCCTCACCATCGTGCAAGCTCCTGCGACATCGCACGATCTACTTCGACCTGCTCCACTCATGCCCCCCGCTTCCACTCCTGCCCCCGCCCCTGCTCCTGCTCCCGCTCCTGCCCCCACCCCCGCTCCTGCCCCCGCCCCTGCTCCTGCTCCTGCCCCCACCCCCACCTGTGCCCCTGCCCGTACCCCCACTCTCACACCTATACACCCCTGCCCGTGTGCGCCCACCCCCCTGCCCACGCACATACCCGCACCCATGCACTGGCATGCAACCACACACATCCACACTCCCACACAAAGCCGCAGGCCTCCTTGCATTCGCTGTCATCCTCATTTTCACACCTGGATGCTGCCCAACACCTGTAATATAAGTAGAGTTATCGAATATGTGTCATAACATAGATAAAGAATGAGATAACAGTACCTAGGACATGCTGCGAACATGCCAGTGATGCCATACCTCAGAAGCTGTGATGTCAGTCCATACGAAACACCGAGGTGATTGAGCATCTCCGGCTTGCACTCTGTGAGCCCCTGCAGCAGTGGTGACATCGCCGTGGCTGCGCAAATTGTCGGCTTATCTGTCAGCAGCGATGTCGACTGCGGCGATATGAGACTGTCACGATGTGTCCTTGCTGATACAATGCACGGCCACATACCTCGTCAATAGCAGCAGGATCAGGATAAGCATGCTCCAGACTTGACACCTCGTCCAGGTTGAAGTATTCTCCACTGTAGAAGGAATTCAAAGCCTGCAGCGCACGCGTGCCATACCCCATCTGTCACCTCCACAGTCAGCGGACACATCAGAGGATTACCATCAGGAAGACGAATGCACATTCACATAGTCCGGATGTGTCGTAATGCGCACCACACATGTGCCAAAAAGCAAACTTGTTCTCCTGGAACTGCTGCGAGATTAGACAGGGAATGAGATGTAGAACAGTTCGTACTGTGTGGGGTGCGGGCAGCTGTGCGCACTCGAGCGTGGCATGACCATCACATGGAGGCAGATAAGGCTGTTGAGCCACTTCTCGACGGTGTCCCCGGCCACATATTAAATCGGCATCTCGAGCTTGATCTCACGCAGTGTACGCGCTTTCAGTGGTGCCTTGATGATGGGCTTCTTGGAGCTTGAGCTTGCCACTGCATCGTCTTCGCTCGCAGCGGTGTCTTTAGTAAGCGAGGGGTGGGTGCTCTCATGGAGCTGTTGGATGAGCTTGAGTGAGAGTAATCGGCTGATATAATAAGCATCGTGCTCTGGAGGTCAGAGCAACTGGATGCAGGAGGACAAGAGTGCAGATGTACGGTGACGCGTCCATGTCACAGTCTCCGTTACATGATGAGCTCGGCGCAAAGAGATGATATACATAAGTGCAAGTACACTGGGCGCAAGTACAACAAATAGTATATATAGCTAATCAAGACATGTGTGCAGGCAAAATTCGACAGATGGCCGCCTTACGTCGAGCAAAGTGCAATTCAGATGGGACATGGTACAGGATCGACGCGTCAAATCACAGGATCTCTCGCACTTGTTTGACTAGGTGGGATTTGGTTCGACCTCCTGCAACAGTCCAAGTCAAGCCACTATCTGGTGCATCTTGGTTCATTCTTAGAATATGCATTTTTCACTGGGGCTCAGCACTCAGCGTTCATATATTCCTTCAAGCCTCAAATGCGCGAAACTTGTCGGGCACTTGGATCCCTTGACTATGTTGATTCAAACCATACTGTGACTCGACACTTGTATACCAGACCAAGAAAATACTACACTCGGTGATGAATCTGAGAGCCGGAACCAAAGTCCTCACGGCGCTTCTGTCACCCTCATCTCCATCTCCATCTCCTGTTCCCCCCAGTTACTGGGTCATGAGGCTGTAATAAATCACTGGAAGATGTGCTGTCCAACCTTGATTCTACATCCTCTTTTATGGGACTAAAAGCAGAGAGCCCGAAATACAAACAGTACCTGTTGCATTCATGTTCATCCTCAAACCGTTCGAAGATGTGCGCGAGATTCCCCTCAGCAAAGTTGTTCATGTAAGCTGTGTAAATGTACCAATATAAGCCATCAGGAGAGTCAAGAGTTCAGGGAACTTACTTGCAGGTAATGACTTGACAGTCAGTTAAGAGCATGTTACTGCCTGCTCATCCAACATATCCTCATTAGCGAATATGTGCAATCTTAGAGTCCTACACTGTCCTTATACCTTACAAAATTATGCCCTACCTTCCAGAAGACGATCTTCATCTGCATTCAGAATCACTGCACTCAGCTTACAAGCTGATTGGAACTCCGAAAACCTCTGTGATTGACCGCGTAAATGAGCGTTGCTTTTGCACCCAATACTAGCCGTATTCTTTCCAATACTTTGCATTCATAGGAGTGGGCTAGATGACTTTGTACGATCTCTAGAACTAGCCAAAATCATTATGACCATGAATGGTGCATTGCTATTTTCAGACTCTCAAGCTGCCCCTGCCATACTGGTGCACCCGCCACCCATGCTTTTGCACCCAATACCAGCTGTATTGTTTGCAATACTTCACATTCATAGGAGTGGGCTAGATGACTTTGTATGACCTGTAGAAATAGCCAAAATCATTATAACCATGACTGGTGTGTTACTATTTTCTGACTCTCAAGCTTCCCCTGCCGTACTGGTGCACCCGCCGCTGTCTTGGTGTACCTGCCACTGTCTTGGTACACCCGCCGCCATCTTGGAGCACCCACCACCATCTGACCAATTGCAAGTTGATTTAGGTTGACTGAGCATCCTCGGTGTGGGCCTGTCGTGGTGGCAGGCAATGATGGTCATCTGGGCCCCTGACTTCCGGATGATATGGAAGTACCCACTGACTGCAGGCATCAGGAGTGGAGGTGCTTCATCCTCAGAGATGACTGGGCAGATGCAGATGACCATGTGGGTGAGTATTGCTGCCTACTCACAGCACTGTCCCCATCTCACACTAAGGCCCGCGTCTGCAGGTGACATTGTCAATGTCATTGACACCTTCGAGCCAACTCCATCATCATCGTCAAGCGGACCCATGCTTTCAATTGCTGTCTCCGCGAAAGTCAACCTATTCATCCTACACCCAGATATGCTCATCACTGCCCCAGTGCGGGCGGAAGGTGCTCATGTCGAAACTGACATGGCGCTCACTGGATGTGACACATGTGCTCATGTGGGGCAATATGTTGCACGAGGTGATGCAGATGTATCCAGCAGAGGGGCGCTGGTATGAGCGGTGGGTGGATGCTCAGATCACGGATGTGGTAGGGCGGGGACTCAGTGAGCTCATCAGAATCAACATGAGCATCGATCAGGCGAAGGTTGGGATGAAGGCCTGGGCAAAGGAGCTGAAAGTGTTTGCTGAGAAATACATTAGCCAGGAGCCGAAGGTAGATGCTGTCCCGCTAGTCATTATCTTAGTCCTAACTATCTGCAGCCTAGTGCTGTCTTGATGAATATGTGATTCTCACAATCACATACATCTCTGCTTGCTATATCTCAGCTGCATGACGTCGAAGAGGACATCTGGTCCCCACGATGCAGCCTAAGGGGCAAGGTCCATGCGTCGGTACCAGCCGTGATCTTCGAGATTGATGGAGAGTCAAGTCCATTCATGAGAGCTGCACCAATGCACACTACGCAGAACTGGACGATGCCGCTGGAGATTAAGACTGGCCGTGCCGTGGCCGGGATGGAGCACTGCATGCAGACAATGCTTTACACTCTCTTGATGGCGGAGCGCTACAGGACCGAGGTGCCGAGTGGCCTGCTGTACTACACACAGAGCGAGGAAGTTGTGCATGTACCCGCCACACGGAATGAGGTGCGGGCATTGCTCGTAGCTCAGAACGACATGGCTGGTTACATGATGCGGTGAATTCGGGGCTCCAGCTCACGACGAAACTTGGCAGACAAGAAACAAGGCAGCACCATTGAGGACCTTGAAGAATTACCTCAGTCAGAGTCGTTCTTGCCTCCTACTATCGACGACGTGTGGAAATGCGGCAAGTGCTACGCCCTCGACACATGCATGCTATATCACAAAATAAGCTTATTCTCCACATGTTCTGCTCCTTGCTACCAGGCCGTCGAGAACGTTGTCGACGAGACATCCCCCATCGCTGATATCTACGCACTGAAGAGCACACTTAACACTGACTCAGGCGGCATTCGTTTAAAAAGTGGGAGGCACTTATCTGGAGGAGCAGGATATCGTGCGGCTGAAGAAAGAGCTACATCAGGAAAACCTCACTTTTCCTTAAAAGGGCACTTAAATAACTTAAATGGACTTATGGTCCTTATTTAAGGACATAAGGACAAAGAGGGCCTAAGGCATATTCCCGTGTCTGAAATTCGACTTATTTGAACACTTATGGCCTTAAATAAGGGTTGTCAGACCCAAAAGTCTAAATAAGTCCATAAGAGAAAGTTAGGTTTTCCTGATGTATGGACCGTGGGTGGAGAAGAGCACGAGGCCATGGCAAGTAACATCACTGCATGTGTTCCGATGTTTTTCAAGTTGTTCCACGGGATGCGGTTCCACTTCTGACACTGATCCCATCCCTGCACATGCTTATGGCCTGATGGTGTGTTGGTATTTGGGCTGGAATTTACACCATCTATCTTGGATGTTGGCTATGGTACGAAGGCCACGTCGCTCCGACACTTGTGTGCTCACTTTCTAGGCAGCATGTGCCCTTTTAGTGGAGCTCGTGCTGTGAGTTATGCAGTGGCAGATTTTTTTTTTTGGCTGCCAGATATTATGTGGATGACATGAAGTAGTAGAAGAGCTGTAATAGGAGTAGGCTGAGGCATGCATATATGTTTACCGTGAAGGTCATTACTATGTACACTATCTGCCCAGCCGCGGCTACTCTATGAGATACCAAGCTCCTGTTGCTCGCCCCGACAGAGTGACTGGGGGTTTAGCATGATGACCCATCATGTTGACAGGCAACTGAACCAATGACGGGGCGCCAGTCTCAGAAATTGAACCGTCACCTAAATGCCACCATACTGCCACCATAGTGAACGGAGACTTGGCGGCGTCACTTGGCGGTGGGCCGGCCAGGTGGCGCGACGGTGGCCCGGGAGGGAATTTTTGCACGTGACTACGTACGCGATCAGATGTTATGCCCCACTTAGCGACGTCAGATACGGATATCCTGAGTCACGAAGAACGTTGAAGCAGAGTATCTACAACTGCCTTTGGGAGACTACACGCGACGCAAGGAACAACGTCCGGGCCTCGAGCACTTCCTCGGCTTGCACCTTGTAAGGGAGAATCTGACATATGTGTCCAGCAGACATATGCTTACATGGTTTGTACTAGGTTCTAGCTGGTATCCTACAAGTACTATGACGACGACTCCCAGTCGGCGTGCTGGCACCAGGTATCAACCCCATGCCGCTGAACTGACCTCTCCGAGCAGGCTCAATGCCGGCTCTATCCAGAATTACAGTCCTCACACCTCTAGTGACCTTACTCGAGCGCAGCTCAAACACGACCTCATCGGTTACACTACGTACCAAGTAGACGGCGTACTGGAGAAGATCATTGACTCCAAGCTCTCTCGCTTCCCTACTACGGATTTCGTGGATGGCGTATTTTCCACAATTCGAGAGAGACATGTCCAAGATCTGGGAAGACTGGTTATGGTTTCTAAGGGAAGAGGCGAGGAGGAGGAGATGTACGATCCCCTGGTATGTTCAACGATCTTAGGTCACTTCCCAACTTCATTTTGCTTGGACTGTCCAGTCCCGTATTTTACGCACAATCGAGGGGGCGGGGAAGCGTTACGGATGCCCCCGTTCCTACAATCGACAGTTTGTCAGCATGAATGATATTCCGCCAAATGAAAAAGAATCAGCTCTTCCTACGCAGAAGCCAGACTTCATTCTTGCGGAAGTCCCACCTCCCAGCTCGCGAGATGTAGATCTCACGGACGAGCTTGATCCCCATGACATACTGTGGCGACAAGCTGCAAGTTTCATCGAGGTCAAACTTCATTCAATGGACACTCCAATTCCTTCCAAGCCTGACGCAAACTACATCAAGGCTCTCCTTGCTCAGGGAGCAGATTACGCCCGCATCACACTTTCCGCACGTCCCTTCCAACTCTTCGTCTTAGGCATGCTCATCTTTGGCACCAAATTTTGTGTGGGGATGTTCGATCGTCGTGGCGTCACATTGTCCAAGGAATACGACATCATCACTGATTCGGGATTGAGACAATTCATACGCGTGAGCCGTCGTTTGTTGTGCGATTTGTCTGCGACAGCTCTCGGTCACGATAGTACCGTGGAGCTTTTGCCAGGGCAGACGTGTTACCAAGAAGAGTACCCATCTTTCCGGGTGACCATGGGTGGATCCGATACACGCGAGTGGCGAACAGTTGGTCCTCCGATCTGGTCATCTCTGTCGTTGCTCGGCAGAGGAACGTCCACCTGGAACGCATTCATGGGTAGTCAACGTGTCATTCTGAAGGTTGCTTGGCGCTCTGCAACACGCATATCCGAAACCGAGATCTACGACAAGGTGCGACAATCCCGACTGCGGGGAATTGCGGAGTTTGTCACCGGAGGAGATGTATTTTTCCCTGGACGCATGCAGGCTATCAAAGTCAGTATAAGCCGACTACGTGGCTTCTCTGAAGTGGACAAGGATGCTGTCTTGCATCGACTGACGTTAAGTACTGTCGGTCGGCCTCTCTGGGACTATCGTTCGGAGGAGGAGCTCATCCTAGGCTTTCGTGCGGCACTAATTGGTACATTCAACGTTCCTTATGCATGAATTCTGGCCGACATTATCGACAGGCCATCAGGGATTAGTTTCCTTGGGTATACTGCACAGAGATGTCAGTGCCGGCAATGTCTTCCTTCCGTACCTCGATGACGAGGACGATGTGCCACCAAGGGGTTTCGAGGGCTTCTTGGCTGATTTGGAACTGGCTTCGCTGCCAGCGAAGGCTGATATTGAGCCTTACGTTGCGGTTCCAGTACGAAAGCTGGAACACACCAGCACAGGCGCTTATGTAATTCCAATCCCTTCAAATGAACTACCCCAAGAGAGGTCCACTCATTGGACATTCAAGCCTGGCGTCTCGGCTTCCGAGGCAGCTCCTGGCCCGGAAATGGGTGTATGTACCAATTGGTTTATTTGTTTTCGACTTGACGGTGCTCATGTAAATAGGGTACAGCCATATTTATGGCATTAGAGCTTCTGGAGGCAATTAAAAAAGGCAAAACAGTCGTTCGGGATGTCCACCACGACCTGGAGTCATTCGTATATGTCCTGTTCTATGTGCTGTACAAAAGGATCTTGGCAGGACCCAGACCCGCAGATCGCCAGGATGATTGGAACGAACTAAAGGAAGAGTACTTCGAGATATTTGCTGGTGCTACAGTGTCGCTCATCATTACTGGGCGGAACGGCTTGATCCGTACGGGTCCCACGGAGCTGTTGAGTTGGCTTAACAGGACACATCAGACACGCTTGTCTGACTTCGCGTGGATATGTAGCCGTCTTATCATAGCTCAGAATCCTCTGGGAAAGGATGAAAACGAAGAGCAAAAACAGCAGGCCAAAAGACTTCGGAAATGGGCGCCCACATCGGTGCGGAATTTGATGACTTATGACAATTTGTTCGAGGCTTGTGATGATGTCTTGAAGTGAGCTAGAGTTGTGATGTGTAAATTGTATTGTGCACTTTGTATTATACACATCCGACTCGGATGCGTTTATCTAGGTTAGAGGCTCGTGTCCTAGTGACTCTATGTATGCCATGTGCGCGCCATGCTACTTTTGAACAAGCAAAAACGACTTGCTCCCGATTAGTGCAGTGAATCCCCCATCCTATATAATTACTGGATGGACGGTCACTCGAGAGATGTGCATTGAAAGTGCGTGTGCCCTTTAGGGAGGTTTTGCATTACCCTGCGCAGAGACGTGCTCGACATAGGAAGGCATCCGACAACATAGGCTCTCAGGGGGGCGTCAATTCATATTCTTGTACAGCATGTACTACAGCTTATACCAACCAATCCCGAAGAGATTCTGACTCAAATTGGGGGAGCTAAAAATTACAACCTGGAGATCATGTCTGAAAAACTATGCGTAGAATAGCAGATTCAGAGTCAGTCCTTCGGGCCCTCCCCCTTCTCACAGGACTGATTTTAAATTCGTAGGCTGTCTTTGGGACACTACAAATTTTGAGCGAACGTTAATAACGTACGGTGATTGGTCCGAGGCTTGTGACGACGTGTTGAGGCGATTTCCTTCGACGTGTAAATCGCGTACTTCGTGAGGTATGCTTCCAATGCATATGTAGGATAGAAACTCCTGTCTAATAGTGTATGCTTTGCTAATGTTAAGTATATGCGGAGTGCAGTATCCAATCGCAGGGACGGAATTTAGTGGTCTTACTGCATGATATCTCATCGGCTTCGGACGAATCTAGCTGCAGGTCCGTCTCGTTTCATGACACCGACATTGGCTTCCGGACGTACGAGTCAGACTGCGTTCAAGATACAACGACAGGAAGTGCTCACCAGCCCTGCGCGCCCATCCCTTGATTTTCATGTCTGCCGCTCTGCCCTTCAAGTTCAGCGAGCGCTTCACGAACTCGTTCACTCTCGCTGGGGGAACCAGTCTGCGATGCGCGGTGGAAAGGATGGCTCCTGAGGTTGAGGGGAGTGTCCGGATCGTTCGCGAGCTAGTGTAAGTCATGGATTAGAAAAGGAGCTCGTTATATTTCGGAGACCGCGTACCCCAAGACGATTTCTTTTGACGAGCGTTTCACGCGCTTCCGTTTCTGGGATTTGGTAGCTGAGCTCGTTGGGACTTTGGGTTGAGATCTTGAGTGAGCAGCTGCGGCAAAAGCAGACTTGAAGAGGTGATCAGGGAGGTAGTCGTGGTGCGCGGAATTTTTTCTTGGTGATGGAGCGTCGTCGTCGCTCTCCTCAGCACCCATCTCGTCGTCTCCGTCTTCAGCCTCGTTTTCACCTTCGTCTTTGCTATCTCCGTCCGCGTAGACCCTTGTCCGTTCCATCTCCTCGTCCTCGTCGTCTTTCTCTGAGTCCTCTTCTTCATCGTCTGAGATTGCAGACCCTTCTTCGCCGGACATATCCTCTCCATTCTCAGTCAGAGCATCTGAGCCCTCCTCCTCCGCCTCCCTCATAGCTCTGTCCATCCGGGCTCGCAAGTCATCGCGTCCCGCCTCGTCTCCGTCCTCGTCACTCACCTCCTGGTCAACCCTTGGAGCCTTCTCTTTCACCACTACCTTTCCCTTCCCCTTACCCCCAGATTTCACCTTGGCCCGCGCGGCGCGTTCCTTCAGCACCCGATCCCGCTCGCGGTTCTTTTCTTTCCGCTTCTGCTTCTCCGTGGCTGCAAATTGCTGGAGCGCATCCTGCGCACCCTTGGCGGCTTTCTTGGATAAGCCGAACGAGAACGTCTCTGGCGTCTCATCATCGTCGCTCGAGTCAGAGGTGGTGGTGTGAGGAGCCATATGAGCGTTTGCCACAGCAGGCCTTGACGCCGCTTGCAGAGAAATGGAGGAGAATGGACCTGCCTAAACTGGAACTAGCTTGGCGGATTTCCAAGCCGCTGGCGCTGGTTGGGCGCTCGTGGCACACAGCATTCAACGTAATGACGATAGAATCCTATGATCAGAAAGAGTGCATGTCGTTCATAAGTCCACCTTTACTTGAAATTGGAGAGTTTGCTATGTTTTCCGTCCAACGCGGCTAGTCGGGTCATGACTGCGCAGGTCTCCATTTTACCCACTCACGTGTGTGCGTTTATATGTATTTCCTTTCCAAGATCTTTATCTTCGTCCAGCGCCCAGAAATGCAGGTGAGAAATGCAGGATCCCCTCTTTGCGCCTCGTCAGCGCTTCATAGTTAGGCTGATACGTTACGTGGTCCTTCCCTGAAGAGATCACGACAGATCCGGTGTGCCAGGGAGTAGCGCCGGCGTCCACCATTGAACCTTATAAGCTGTCTCGCCTTTGAAGCCCAGCTCGCATCTCACCCCCGTTCCTCGCAGAACTCATCGAGGATAGCTGCAAGGTTTGTCTCGACCTCTCGCAAACATGATGTGGGACTTTAGCGGCGCCAACGGTGCGCAAGGCTCTCCGCCGGACTCTTACCTGCAGGTTCCTGGACAGTCTTATCAGCCCACGTGAGTGTTGTGGCATCTCTCAGTATTTCTGCCTTTTCACCACGATTTTGCATTAGATTTCCTGTACCGTGCGTTGCTTGTCAAAGTGACGGCTCTATTTCTCAGTCTACCCTCAATTTCTGTGTAGGCAAACTAGATATGGCTCCAGTCCAGTTGTCCCCTTCGCGCCAATCGGAGCGTCAAGCCAGTCATCGCATCATCAATCGCCGTACCCTCATTCGCCTCACTATTCCTCATATCAATCCTTGTAAGTATCTGTTCGTAACGTACTCACTCGATGCTCATCGGATAGCGCACTTTCGAAAGGGCGTACACTCCAGAGTATGTAATCTCAGTTGTGCAGTAACCAGCGTAAGCAAACACTCAAATCATCTGGTGTCAGTTCCCAGCAGTACGGAAGCGGCCAGATTGCGCCGCGCGCTGTAGTGAATACTCACACACGGACCCATCAGCACCACAGTAGTCACCACGGTCATGTTCACCATTCTAAGCACTCTTCCCAGCAACGCGACCCCCCGTCTCATTGTAAGTCGTGCTATTCTTTGCGTCGCTAGCTGACACAAATATGATCGTTCAATTAACTAGCGCGACCCGCGGTGGTTGGTCATCATGCGCCGGAAATGGCCGTCCAGCCGATCCAGTCTCGCCAGCATTCTCGCTTCGAGTACTCGAAGTGTACTGGCAGGAGGAAGGCGCTCTGCGTGAGTTAACCTGACTCTCTTTTAAGAGTGTCTATCTGACAATCGATTATGTTTTGAAGATTGGCATCAATTACCACGGTCAGTCGAACGAGCTCCACGGCTGCATCAATGATGCCAAGAATGTACAGCAATACCTTATCGGTAAACAATTTTTCTTCACTGCTAGATAAACCTCCCTGACACGCGATCAGACCACTGGAATTATAAGGCGGAAGATATTGTCTTACTGACCGATGACTCCCACAACCCGCGTCAGAAGCCTACACGCGCGAACATTCTTAACGCGATGCACTGGCTCGTGCAGAGCGCCCACAAACATGACTCGCTATTCCTCCACTGTGAGTAATCCGATGTATAGTTTGACCTTCAGCGACGATAAAGATTAACAATGATAGACTCTGGTCATGGAGGACAAGTGAAAGATATCGACGGGGACGAGATTGATGGCCTCGACGAAGGTGCTTGTCTCTGTTGCGATGTCGCGCGGTATTCTTTTTTGACCTCTCAACAGTCATATTCCCTGCCGATTATCGCACCACCGGACACCTCACGGACGACGTGAGTCTGCTTGAATTTTTCCTCCTTCACAACCGCTCACGTCTTGCAGTTACTGCACACAGTCTTGGTGGGTGACACTGAACTGCCGTTCACTCGATCCTCTCACGTACGGATGCCACTAGGTCAAGCCCCTGCCTGCTGGTTGCCGTTTGACTGTAAGTGGATTCGAGCAGTGCCGACGTCCATGGACTCATCCGAATCATCTTGCAGGCTATTTTTGACGTGCGTGTCTAATCAATGTCGCGAAGAGCGGACTGATGGATCGTGATCATACCCACAGTCATGTCATTCTGGATCTGTGCTCGGTATTCTCCAATCTCTGTTTCCGTTTCATTGAAATTCACCAGGGCACGTTGGCCAGATCTTCCTTATGAGGTCAGAGGACACTCGAAATAAATCATCCGTTGTTGCTCACTATTTTCGTGTAGTATCATTCGGACGGTAAAGCGAAGGGCAGCCAAGTAACGCCCTCCCACATCAAGGAGAAGTCCACTCCAGCAGATGTCGTAAGTATTCGCTCTGGACTTTCATGGAACCGGCCTGCTCAGGTCTTTCTAGATATCGTGGGCCGGATGCATGGATTCGCAAACCAGCGCTGACATATACGAGGGGGGCGTAGCGGTAGGCGCCATGAGTCAAGTGAGTCATCGATACTTTCGCTCACATTCTGGCGTCGCTCACCTACGTAACTCTAGGCGTTTACGAAAGCGCTTTGTGGGTCCTTTGTTTGGACGTGTGCGTGACAACGTACTGACCGACTGTCCAGCGAGCAAGCAAGACCAGAGCTATCAGGAACTGCTGAGAAACATTCGGTGAGTACACTCGCTTGGACAAGTTGCGAATCGGCTGTTGACTGATATTTACAGGGCGATTTTGAACAAGAAGTACAGTCAGAAGCCGCAGCTGTCTAGTTCACACCGCATTGCATGTGTCCTCTTTCTCTTGCTAGATGGTAACTGACGCAATAGCCGCTAGGACACGAACATGAAGTTTATCATGTAATCACGATCTCTCCGAAGGCTCTTTACGCTTCTGTGTGCTTCTTGCTGTGCGTCTGTGTATTTATCTGGACTGTGTACAATGGTTCTTCAATGCCCATGACGATGTTATTCAGTGCGTAGTTGCTGTTTATGTGGTACATAATTATACATCGTTGTAATAATGGTACAGAAACTCGAACAATGAATGTCGCTAGGCCTTTGTGCCCTGGCAGGGCGGGAGCATCGCGCTGAATCCCAAACCAAGATAAAAGAAGAATCTAACAGATTAAAACATCACAGCCACCCTCTACCGCTTCCTGAGCACATGCGGCTCCACCTGAGGCGACATGATCAGCGACTTCCACAGTAGCCTCCACGAAATCGGGTTTCCCTGTCGCACAAAGCAGTCAGCCTCATTCTGATGCTGGATGAATTGAATGGATAGTCACGCGCCTGATCCCTCTGCATGACACAGAACGTGCCCTCCCGCTCGCCATAGTTGAAGTCCTCGAGCAGGACCCAACCCTTGAACATCAGCTTGCGCTTGTCGAACCCGCCAATGCGTACACTCAGCATGGGCACCCCCGCGCCGTCCCCGTCGTCGTCTGTTTCCTCCATAGGCGGCTTCCATTTCACGCCGAGCACCGTCAGCGCCGCCGTGACCAGCGGCTGCAGGTCGTGCCGCCTGAGTGAAGAGTAGAAGCGAGTGAGGTGTGGCGTGTATCGCCGCCCGGACTGCGTTTGGGACTGAGGCTCGCGTAAGTGAGGACAGGGGAACAGCGTGCTTATATGATGACGTACGAAGAGCAAAAGGCTTTGTGTGAATTGCGATTTGTGGAGCGAGGCGGACTTCATGATAGTGTCGCCGTCTTCGTCTACCTCACTGTAATGTACCCTAATATGAGATTGAGTTGACCGAAGTGAAAATAAGGTGCACTGACAATTGATTCATGTCTGGTGTAGCAATCTCAAGATCGCCTGTCTCTCGCAAAGCTTCTGTCAGACGCTGGGCGAGGACTGCCATGCCTTTACCGGCGATCTGACTTGGTCTATATGGCACGAGCAGCCCATCAATATCAGCAGCATATTCAGATATTCTGTGTAGACGACATACCGCGTCACCCATGGGTGTTGGAAGACCTCGCCCAACGTCATCCGCTGAGATGGGAGGATGGCAAGCATTCCTGTGAGAAGAGCTGAACGGCGCATATATAAATCATTCGGAAGTCACACAAAAAAGCATCGGCTTACAGAGCGCGTTCTCGCCCATTCGGTTCCAAGGGTCATCATTGAAGCATTGTCCGCTGAGATATCGACAGTATTCCTCACTCTTCTTGGTCGGCTCGTCCCATGGTGTGTCTGCGAATAATGTCAAAGCGGTGTGCATAGATCAAACGTCGATGACGCACTGCCCGCAAGGAATGTGAACAGGATCACTCCACAGCCCCAAATGTCTATCGGTTCCGCAGCATATGGCTTGTTTATCTTTAGCTGTATACAATTTCTGTTGGATATTCCTCGGCAGAGGCGAGAAGGAAAGCTGGGCACGTACCTCAGGCGCTACATACGGCAGGCTTCCACACCGCTCGTTCAAGAGCCGGGTTTCCCCAGTGGCCTTCAGCTTGTATACGGAGGAGAGGCCAAAGTCGGAGATCTTCAGTGTACCTGCTGCGTCGAGCAGAAGATTCTCGGGCTTCAGATCCCTGTGGCACACGCCCTCTGTGTGGATGTAGTGCTGCGGTGCCATCAGCGTGGTTGCCGATGGCTACAGAGATGGCATACGAACCAGACCGGAAATCAATTGGTTAAAATAGTAGTGAGCAACATCGTCACCGACGCCAATGTCAGGAGCTACAGTGAATAGTAAGACCAGACCTAGAGGCAAATCGAATGAACTACATGCCTATCTTATCGAACAAGTCGCCACCAGCAGCGAGCTCCAAGAGCATGTACAGTCCAGGGAGATACGGCGACTTCTTTTTGGGCTCAATGGTGACTGAGGATATGAACTCCAGAACATTCTTGTGTTTTAGCTCTCGATGTACATTCATCTCTTTGTCCAACAACCTGCGTTCATTGGCGGTAGTGTCGGCCGTCAGTGCAATCATCTTGCATGCTGCGACACGATGGTCCTCAAAGTGTACCGCTCGGAACACTCTGATAGTTCGATCTCGATGTCAACTCGGAGAACGATTGCGAAGGATGTCACATCCTGGATGTGATGATTTACGTACGTTGAGAAGCCACCTCCGCCAATGCGTTGTACAAGCTGGTAACCTGACAGATAAATATCAAGTTTGTAATACCAAAGACTGAAAAGAGTGATATGTACCAGAAATTTTGGGATATTTGAGTTTTTGTGACATTGGCGACAGGAAAGGACTGAGGAGGAGGAGGAGATCGGCAACGCGTTTGGCGTTAAACGCGTCAGGTCACGGCGCACGTGACACCTACTTGATAAGGTTGGGCTCAAGCCTCAGCCATATCCCTCCAATGTCACGTGCATTGCACTTGTCTTGTAAAACTAACTACATTGCAACAACTCGACGGACAGCAATTCTTCAAACGATGAAAATTAGCGGCTAAGGATCCCAAATTTTTATAGTTTTTGGTTCTCTCAAAGAGCTGCGTGCTGCGAAGTTTTTAGATTTTCAATGTAAGGCTCCTGCACGTGACAGAGGATGGTTATGGCTGAGCCCAACCTTAATATTTTCTGACTATATTTCCGCTTTTGGTGGTCTTCCCAGATTGAAGCATCCACAGGCAAGTTGTTCACGGAATACTGTCTCCACTGAGCCTCATGCAGCACTCCTTCTTACGTTTCTCTTCGTGACAAATCATACGAGCCTCGTTTCCCGGTATCGTCGAAACAGGCGTGTCCCGATGATATGGTCGACTGGAGTAGTCCCAGACTTCTGGAAATAACAAGCTTCGTCTTCTCTCAGGTGGTGATGTTCTCGCTCGGTGTATATGGGTGCGTCAACGTTACGGATCCAGATGTAATTCCTAGTTAACATTCATGACAGATGGCACATTTTATTAACGCTACGCCATGTGGAATTACCTCTCGCAGCTCGCAGACTCAAGTTCAGATGGGCATTTGTGAGTACCACGTTGATTTGTGCCGCTTAGTAACTCATATCTCGCCTAGGTTCCATACCTTCTCGCTCGTTACGTTCTGCTAGCATTCTTAATTTCTCTGTGCGTCTGCCTTCAATCCGACCTCACCTTGTCTCCCATGCTGTTTCCCTGCCTGTGAAGCATTGCAACGTCGAAGACCTATACAAATCTTTGTCATAGTGCGTAGGACACTAACTAGCCTGATCTTCTTGTTTACCTACTTTATATGCTGCAGAGTCTCTGAAAGGACTTTGCGTACGTTTTCCTGATGTCCTCCAATTCCTGACAGTTATCACGATGGGTTCCTCAGCTACTTTGTAATGTCGCCCTAGCAGCTGCATCGACCAATCTCTTCGTTCGCACGTGAGCTTTCAAATTGGATATTTGTCCCAAGTGAATGCCTAACCTGTCTGCAGCGTTACCTTGTGGCATAATAAGCTCTGGGTGCGAGGTGTTCTTGGGCTATTTACGCTTGGCCTTTGGGCAGCAGCATTAACGTGTTCGTTGGTGCAACTGAATAAAGCCATCGCAAATCTCTGACATACGATGTAGCTGCTCTAACTGACTTACACGCTAGCACGCGTATTTGCGGGAACCCCTACTCGAGTGACGTTCGTGATATTTTTGCCTTCTACCTGTCCAGTGCGTATTCCTGTGTATCACCGAGTATCTTTGACTCTCGTTTGCTCACTATCTGGCATGCATTCTCGCGTCTGTGACTCTCCAGCTACCGTGTACAATGCTGTCATCTTGGTTTTCACAGTGGCTGGCCTGTACTCGAAAACCCTTGCTCATGTATCGCCTGTATGGCATATGCTCTACCGACAGGGTATCTGGTACTTCGTCACGATGTTGCTGGTGAACATGGTGGTTTTAGTATGTCTCGTTTTGTTGATGTCCCGCTCTGAGCTCTGTATTGCAGGAACTAAACTTGTTCTGCAGATATTTGCTGGACTGGAGTTAAATCGTGGGCATCTTAGCTATCAACGTTTACTTGTCAATGAACTCTGGATACATAGCTGTGATGAATGTATTCTTCACGGTGCCAGGTGCGTTCCCACGTGTCAGGCTGTCTACCACACGAGTTTAGCTATTTCCTGCCAGCAACCGTTGTAAGGTACGCGCTGCGAGGGAACCTTGAACTTTCATCTGAAATTTCATACGTGGATCGGTTGGCGACAGCGTGATATCGTCATCTCAAGCTGTTGTCTCGCTCGTGAAACTGCAGGAGGATAGTAATACAAGGTGTGTGCTAATCAGTACACGGTGTCGTAGTCGGGGCTGAAGTATAGGCATTCCCATTCTATATTGAACAGCAGTGCATTGTCGTCTCAGGGGCGAACTGCTGGCGGTACAGCCTCCGTAAAGCGTGCGCAATTCACATCTAACATACAGCTAAATCTGTAAGTCTGAGATGTCTACCATGTTGCGTCCTTCATCTTACTTTAGTACGCATCCTGCAGTTCGCTCTGCGACGATTCGTTGGACCTCGAGATTCAGGAAGGTGGACCACGAATAGGGAAAGCCGTCATCTTCTCTTCGCACGTTGGAGATCTGCCTGATACGTCACGCTCGTCGATAATCAGCCTCTTCGTTAATCGGGGAGTTGATGTCCAGAGCTATGGCAGCGATATGGAAGGCAAGACGAAACACCTCCAATTTTGACCCGTCTTTGGAGGCATATGCGATATCCACCTATCGGTAATTGCGCGTGGCTGTAGGACCAGACGTGTCGGACTTGTACAGTAATGTGAAGGTGCATATACACATGCTCTTCGCAAGATATATTCCTACTGCATTTTCATTTGTCTCTCCTTCTGACACTGTGTATCACTACCATCACTCTACATTGCTAGCTTCTGGGATTCTTGGTATGCCTCTCCGTCGAATGATCGTGCAGAGCCTCTCCTTTGTTGTAAGTGCCATTATGGACGTGGTGCATAATTAAAGGTATTCTGTCGCTGCTCGATTGCATGAACTGTTGACAAGCTCATTCATGCACTTTCACGCATGCGCTTCGTGTCCCGGAGGTAAGGTGTGTCTACAGTAACGCACTTACAACCAATGTGAGTACGAGCAATTACTCGTCTTATGGTGTAGCTCAAATATGCCTTTAGGAGCAACTACGGCTCATGGAACTTGGTGAAGAACGCTATAATGAATTGAGTCGCAGACCATACTATGGCCGCTAGTTCAGCTACCAACTGGCACAGTTCATGCTTGAGCACGGATCTCTGTTTACCCAGCCGAGTTTCTACATCCAATTCCTGTACTATCAATGCCGGAAAATGCCAGGGGGTGTTCAAGTGAGAGTTACTGGACGCGCCATCACGGATCGACTTAGAAGTACGCACCTGCTATGCTCCTCAAGCACGGACCCATCAGAATCCGCTTACACATGTGTTATTCCACACTTGTCCGAGATTGGATTCACGAACTGAGTTTGTTGTCTAGTGGCCATTACTTTTACCGTGGGAGCGATCCACAGACCTTCAGTCGGCCATGTGTCTCGTGGAGTTCGCGAGGATGGTTCCTCTTCAAGGTGGTCATCCTCTTCGATTGTTCGTTCGTTTCTCTTATAACGTCGACACTATGCAGGAGCAAATAGTGCCCTAAGAAGATGGCATCTCAGGTCTTTTGATTAGTTTTGCGCTTTGACCAGCTGTTTCAGCTGGTTGGGGTGTCCTCGAAGAATGGGATTAATTGGGAACCTCAAGTGAATGTTTTGATTTGCACTCGGTTTTAACTGACTGAAGCTTGGTTACATCTACTGTCGAAAGTTTCTACGGCGTCTGTGGTGTCTCTGGTTCGGAATGATTGCACTGCCACCAATTTCGATAAGAGCACTCGTCGATGCTTTGCGTAAGTAGTTCTGCGATATCAGTTTCTGGTTCGACACTCGGGTGTGCGCGCTGGATGAATCTATCACTTGAAACTGTGAATTTGAGGTTGTCAGTCTCTGTGATTGCCCATCTGGGAGTCGATGTCAAACGACAAACGGCAGTTTATCCCACTCACGGAGTGTTTCATACATGGTGGTGCTAGGCTCAATGCCGATGCAGGCGAATTCGCACTCTCGTTCATCGTAAGTAGAGCTTTCCAACCCTGAATTTGCACACCTAATAGTTCATCCAGGTAACCTCTTTTCTTGAGAACTTTTGGCGCAACCTTCATGAAAATCATGGTCTACTGTGGACGCTCGTACAAATTCGCCTAGGTGACGGTGCACAGGACACAGTACTCGGTTTTGACGGTGAGTGCCGGGGTTGTTGCGGTTGGCCCATCCCCATGAGTGGCTGACAAGCTCTTTGTTTACACATCCATTGTACGGTGCACATGATGTCATAATGCAAACGCGCGGCGGCTCAATAGAAAAACGTGGCCTTCTCACTATCCTATAGTTATCTCAGTGGGGTCGGAGGCTGTTAATCATGCTGTGGCCACCTTGACGACAGGATATAAGAGCGTCCGGTGGTCAGTCTTCTTCTTAACATTTCCCCAATATGTCTGACGCACTGCGCCCTTTCCCTGTGTTCAGCCCGCCGATCACTGGTCTACCGGAAGTGACAGAGTCGGTGTTCACGACCGTGCTGTCAGAAGATGTGAGTGCCCTCAATCTGCTGTTGGCATCTTACAGTCTCATAAAGTCTTTAGAACCAACTTCGCTTGGAGAGTATCGGAGAAGAAAGCTTCAACTATAGGTATCTACGGCCACAGGACACTCCAACCAGCTACCAGCCGGGACAATACATTTTGCCACAGGAAAGTGCCTTCACGAAGCCTGCTAAACACTTCATTCTATTCAAGGATTCTCTGTCACTCCGATCTCCACGGGGTGTTTCGATGACGGAATGTCTGCATCCATCGACGTTGCGGCTGGATGGCAAGCGTGAGCCTGTCGAGTCGATCCGGAACCATCAGTTCATTATGCTTCAAATCTTTGTGAGCTTCTCTTGTCTTATGATGTTTCTCAGAGACAAATTTGAGTCCAGTGGCCAGGGTGCACACCGTGGGCGCGAGTTTTGCAAGTTAACAACGACGAAGGTTCCGTGGTGGACCGCTGCAAGCTAGCGGCGATGGTTGCTGCATCTTTCCGTGACATGTTCATGGTGAGGGGCCACGTCTTTTGATTTGTTGTGAGATCGTTCTGATGACGGAGGGCCATACAGGAGGACGCAGTGCCGCCCAGGCGAGATGGTTCACCGGCACGGTTAACAGGTTTACGTTTCGAGCAACTGCATCTGGTCAAGTTAAGTTCACTTGATGGAGTCAACTGGGAAGCCGAGGTGAATGTATTGACTCGTGCTTGGATTTGAGAGGCCATTTCGAGCCTGAGCATGTGGAGCCAGCCCAGCTGGATCGCTTTGTCGCCTTGGGACAACGCGGCCCTAATTCCTGCTCATTGTTCTACGTGCAGAGCTCTCTAAGGTCATTCGTATAGGCAACCGTCTGTTTTCGTGTATGCAATCTATCATGTCCCGGTGTTACTATGCGATTTGTTCATGGTGTGCAAATATCAAGCAAACGAGGTGGGCAGAGGCTCAAACAAGCGCCAGACTGTGTCATCGTCACCATGATTGGATCAGCACCGAGAACTTCAAAGCCGGCGTCCAGTGCCATGGCGCCGGCCTTCTTTCAGACTCATCACGGCCGGCGGCCTTACCCGTCGTTGGCCGCAAGTACAATTTCCTGGGCCTCTGTAGCACGGGCAACGCCATACAAATCCTAGTCCTTATTACGTACGCTTGGTGATGAGCTTCACCATGTCGCCATGCTGTATGCTTCGCAGAAGTACCCTCCGACTCCGCAGGTTTGCTTCTTCGATGCCAGCCTCAAAAAACCTCCCACGAGAAACTCCTTGATATCTGACTTGGTGGAATAACCGCTGTTGGCTGCGAGACCTCACCCAAGAGATGGTAGACTGGAAAGATCCTGAGGTCATTGAGCTCACAGTCTTTGTGCTTGAACAGACTATTGTATTCCTGGTTGGCTTCTATGGGTAAGTATTGCTCTCCCAAATTCGCCTTCAGCTTGACTTTCCTCTGATTTTATTCTTCGGTTCAGGTGGCACTTTCTGCTCACCATCCATGTAGAGTGGAATCTGTTGACGAGAAAGCTTGTCTTCAAATGGCCATACGTATGTTCCAGGGCGATGCTCTGCGTCCAGAGATTGACCTCGGGCGTAGGTACCTTACCTCCTGGGAAGATATACCATGATCTGTTGTTTACTCTTTGTGTGGGTCCTCTTGGTCAATCCCATTGACTGTGTTCACAATGAACTGTTTATTGCAGTCTCATCATGAGTCGGCTCCGTGTAAAAGAGGCTCATTGTCGGGGTGCGTGCTAACGCTGTGTTCGTGTTCTAAGACTCACGCCTGGACAGGTGCGTGTTCCGGTGTTCAATCCTTCAACGCAGAGGCTCAAGTAGACCATAAGCTATGCTTGATGCCGAATCGGTGAGCTTATTCTCGATACCAATTGGCTGTTGCCATTTGACGCAGGGTACTTCTGTAGTTAGTCGCATGTATGGCTGTCTGTTGCGCAAGTATGAACCTCAGCATCAGGACGTTGAGTGCTTACAGTCTATCTCCGTGACCACTGCGATTGAGCGTTTCATCTAGGCTGACGATATGGTCATGCAGCATGCGAATACGCTTCCTACTGATCACACTATGTCTGGGTCATTGGGCGTTTGCTATGGTTGGTGAGTCGGAGCGGCAGAGTGACGCAGACATGCTCATTCATTCTTACCTGCAGTTGCATTCACGGGCCTGAAGGCACAATATGATGCAGTTTCTGGAACCTGCGTCCTAGCTAATACTAACGGGATTGATAGACTGGCGGGCTTCTACGCTTACAGTGCGTGCTTGTACTCCTTCATGTCGCATCTATTCTAAATTCTGTCGCCTCAGCCGTCGGCTACGATTTTATTATCCTGGTCTTGACGGTGTATGCCTTGTACAGGAGCTGTAAGCGCAGCGAGCTGTTGTCGGTGATCTGTGTGCAGGGAGTGTGGTATTTCGTTGTGACTTTCTTGGTTAACATTATCAGCGTGGTAAGTCTGCAGTTGTTTAGACGCTGAAAAATGCTAACGCAGCGTGACTTAGACATTGGTCTTGATGGATCTGAATTGTGTGCAAATACTAATTGCTCCCTGGCGCGTGAATCTGATTCTCACGCAGCTGCTATGAGTGTCCTTTTCTCTCTGCCTGGTATGCCAATTCTTTATGAGTACTACCCTACAAGACTGATGAAGGTTATCTGTGGACAGGCGTAACGATTAGGCGAGCATTTCTGTTCCATCATTATGGTTCGCGACATTCATCTCTGTTTCAGCGCGATAGCCTCCTCCCGGTGTGTGCTCTCGGTTCTCAGTATGGCTGACTTGTTTGGGAGGTACGTTAAATGCTCCCTCTCTACCACCTTCGACCGCCTCACTCTTTCATACAGAACACGAGAGGCCAACGGTCATACTTCGTGGCTCAGCAAGCTTGGTCTTCCTGCAGGCGAACCGGTTCTTCTGACAACTCATATCACCCTCAATCCGTACGTGTGACTTCTCGTATCTTTCCTTATGCACCACAACTTCTGATTGGTGTATCATCCAGTTCCTTTCCCGACGTGGACTCCTCCACCAGCGACATTGACGATGAACGTTGGTCGCAGGAAGCCTTCCCTGACGTGCACCACGCAGACCGCTCTATTCCATCTGCTGTATAACTAGTTGAGAGATCATACACACGCGCTTGCTCCATCATGAAGGGTGCATCTCGCCAAAACGTCGGCATTGCACAATACTCGATCAGTGCTCGATAGAAGGACGCATGCACCACGACCGTATTCTGAAACTAACACGAAGGTCAATCTGCTCGAACTCGCGCCAACGGCAAACCACCCGAGAGCACCCAGGAAATAAGACGATGGAAAGTCCGAGAGGCGAGGGTACAAGTCTGTAGGTGCAACGTAGAAAATGGTATTATTCAATGGGTATACCTCGACGACTCAATTACTACGATGTACGCGTACACATAGTATGTGGAAGAGAGGGAGCAACAGCAAAAATCTTGCGTAATAAGTTAAGAAGATGAGATAGACGACTGATGGGGCGTAAATGGATGGGTATTCATGACGGCGTCAACGTTCATGTGAGTATTAGTGTCATCGACGTTCGTCAGTCCTAAATCGATCCACATGTGAGGAAATCAAAGGGCTGGAGTGTGAAGAGGGAAGAGGGACGCACATCGATCGATGACAGATCTAAGCAGATGTATAGATCGCGTCAAACAACAACACTTGCAAGCCAAAGCGGAAGCGGACGGCTCGCATCACTGCACCTGCCCAGCGCGGACAAAGTTCCTGACGAACTCGAACTGCGGGCCGGTCTCCGGGCTCGATGGAAATCGTTTGCACTTGTCGACAGTCTTCCACTCCTCCGCAATCATGCGCAGGGCGTCTGCCCCGTCCCTCGCGATGCCGCTCTCGACGAGCCAACAGCCGACGACGAGGCCCGTGCGCCCGATTCCCCCTCGACAGTGCACGGCCGAGACGCGGCCGCGGTGCTCGTTGTCCCTGAGTACTTCCATGATGCGACGTACGAACTCCACACTCTCGGGTAAGCCCCGGTCGCGGATCGGGAAGTTGTGGTATTCGACCTCGCGCACGTCGATGCCTGCGAGTGCGCAGCGGGCTTCAAGATGGGGGAAGTACGGAAAGAGCTCGTGTGGCTCGGTGAGATCGATGAAGGTGCGCACGCCGGCGAGTAGCAGAGCGTCTAGCTTCTGCTTCGTGTGTTTGTGAGCAATTTGCGTCGGTGTGAGCGGGCAGTATGGAAACTCGCAAGCTACGAGATATGGAGTGGCCCAGTACGAGTTTGGGATGGGTCGAGGCCTGATGCGCAGATTTCTGCATGAGGTCGTCTGAGGAGAAGATGGACCGGGAAAATAGTTTGTCTGACGACCGAGGAAGGTTGGTGTCGATATGTCGCAGCTCACAACGGCCATGGGGAGTGTTGGGTCACCGCTTAGGAGAGAAGGGGTATAAGTACTTCAGCGGTGGGAACAAGTGCTATTCGGAGAGAGGGTGGCCAGCCTCCAAGTCTCCTGTCAAGTTCAAGAAAGAAACAAAACAATCGAGGCCTACGCGAGTTTTAGGCATCCAACTATGGCTAGGCAACACGTGGATCTGGATCTAAGATAGCATGTCGTTTCCAACTTCCAAGTGCACTGTGTCGCCTACTCCTCCTTGTTTCTCCTTCGGGTCTATATTCGATACATGTGTCACATAGTTCAGTTCTCTCCTCTCCTCTCTTCGCTTTATTTTTCAGTTCTCTATGTGGGGTCACCGGAATATATGTTCTTGTCCCCACACCAACCGTCTCAGGCCTAGATCCCGAGAGTTCTGGGCCAAGCGTATCGCATCCGAGCGTCTACCAGAGTGCTCCATTTCCGCAGCTTCTGTTTGGCTGCTATGTCGCGCGCCACCATTGGCATATCTCCTCGAGCTCTAAGTCATTTGTGTGTGCCTCCTCACTGACCAACCTCGGAACCTATCATTTTTCCCCCAGTGATAGTGCTAATATGGCGTGCATGCTTCCGAAGCAGTTACGATCCTCGAGGAAAACCTCACCATGCACAGATGCCCCATGATTGGGTGCCTGTACGTCCCGAGACGTCATCTGTGGTCAATGCGAGTCGACATGCGTGAGAGCCCCGTGACTGCAATACAAAGATAACGGGTCAGATGTGTTTTCGCGTGTTGGAGGTGAGGTCAATTCAATCCAAGACGATGGTGCACATTTTTTGATTCAGTACTCGTACACAATCAGAAATATAGCAAACGAAGACAGCCGCCCGCACAGAAGGCGAGAATGCGAGTACAATTGAGCGTCCTTCCGAATCGCGCCCATGTCGCTCGGTTGTAGAGACAAATCTGAACAAACGGCCAGTCGCTCACGCGAAAGACACATCTACACCGTCCGCCGCAATCTGTGCCAAGAATATTTCCGTCTCCGCGAGAATCACCAACCTGCCCTTCCCCGCGAATGCTATGTTCGCGGAAGCGGTCCCCAAGAAGAATTTTCCGAGCAGCATTCCCTCCTCGTTCCACACCTGCATGCATCAGTCAAAGTTAGATAGCTCGGCTGCGGCCCTGCGCGGAAGAGAGCACCCACATGTACGCCGTCCGAGCACGCCGCGTACACGTTGCCGCTCTTGTCTACCTGCACGCCGTCTGGGACGCCCGTGTCGACATATGCGAACACTCGGCGGTTGTGGAATCGTTCGATGCCGCGTTCGACATCGAAGACATAGCTATCTCACGAACAATGAAGGACAAGTGAGTTTCGTCTTCCGCAGAATGCGGAGAAGGCGAGACAGCTTACACAGTAGCGGGCTCCGTCTGATTGGGACCCAGGAATCCACGTGCAGCACCGCTGTCTGCGCTTCAAGGTTGGTGTGTGTGGAATTAATACCCACGTAAAATCGGAGAATGTAGAAGATTTACATGTAAGCCTTCCTTCCATCCGCAGAGAATGCCAGCCCATTAGGCCTGTCAAAGCCATCTGCAACAACTCGCACAGAACCGGTGTTGGGATTGAAGCGATACACATGGTTGGGCATGAGTGGGTTCGGGCGGAAGTGGTTCAAGAACCCGTACCTGGGTATCAGCATTATGGGGAATAATCACACTCCCAGAAGGCGACTAACTTACGTGACATCGGTGAAGAAGATGTTCCCGCTTTTCGGATGGATCTTCACGTCATTGAGCGAATTGAACTGTCTGCCGTAGTAGTTGTCGAGGATGACGGTGGCATTGTACGGGTAGGAAGGGTTGACGATTGCCAAGGATGGAGGCAACGGGCCTCTTCCCGAGCTGATCAGGAGGAGCGCGGATCGAAATGGACCCGTTCCGCCGTTCGTCATCTGCACGGAGTCCGGCAGATCGACCTTCGCAAGCTGTAAGTATGCACCTGAACGTTTGCAGTACAGGTCAACTCACCCTGGTCGCAGATACATTGACTGGGGAAGTGGTGCTACCAGATGCAGCAAAGGCGTCAAAGACGTCGTTCAGATGAATTTTTGCCACCTCGTTGTTGTGATCAATGTCGCTGAAACCGAGGGGTCCTCCGTCGTTGCTCGAGAAGAAGACTTCGTCTGTTTCGGGTACCCAAATCGGAGCTTCGTGTGCAAATGCAAAGCCTGGGTTGGAAGCTATGGCCCGGATTGACGGGGCAGGTCCCAATATTGAGAGGAACGCAGGGTCAAATATTTGGAAGAACGGCGGCGTGCTACTTGTCGGACTGAAGTGTGTCTTAAAGGAATTTTCCCGAAAGCGCCCGTCATTGCCTACAACAGCGAATAAAAGGGGGTCCACAAGCTGCTTGAGTGAGTCAACGTCACAGACACGCAGGTAGGTACTTCTCACCACAGATTGGGGAGGCAGCGATAGTTTACTGATTGAGGCGACTGACTTCCTGTCGATGCCCGCTCCATCGTAGTGATATGTATATACCACGACACTGACAACAGCAAAAACTTGAGTTGCTATCCAAAAGCCAGCATTGCCGAAGAGCGACGAGGTCCGGGACCTGTTCTTTGATTCGGGTGAGCCCCTCTGATGTTGAGGGTCAGACGCTAAGAAACATATGGTCAGTAGTGATCCGGCAGTCGAGAGTAAGGGCGACAAACCTGCACCTTTCACCACTACCATTGTCCCCTTCTCGTGAACCCGCCAGCAGAACAGAATAACCCGAATGCCCTCGCGTTTTGACTCAGAGGGGTACTCATACTCAGCTCTGCAGGTCTCAGCTGACCTGCTCGTCAAAATGTCGGAATATTTCTCTGTCACGAACCACAGAACCTGCCATATTTGGCGAACAAAACGTGCTCGGACCGGCACGACAGCCTGACCTTCGACTCTTCCAAGGTGAGTCACCGTAGGAACATGGTGCAAAGATGCTGATATCTATGGCATGATTTGAGAGTAGAAAGCGATCGCGTTGACCTTTGCCTTGATTTCCTTTGGTTCAATCACACGTTGCACGTGACAACAATGCGTTGATGATCACCGAGGTAAGGTTTTTCATTGTCCTAGGAGGACAAAGGAATAACCATATCAGGTACGCACTATTCTGCGAATCCATATATTTGGGAGCATGGGCGATGCGCGCACCAGCCGTGCTTCCATTGCGCCATTCAATGTTGTGTTGTAGGGACGGCTCACTGCGCTCATGCCTCTCCGACTCGGTGGACGTGCGACCATGGATTCTCTACCAGCCGAGCTTCTTTCTATTATATTCACGCTGAGTGCATCCCCTGAATTTTCCGACAGTGACAGCGACTCGAACAACCCTGCTGTTTCACCGTGTTGCGGCTATATGTCATGGGTCCCCTGCCAACTTTCCACTGTCTGCAGAGAGTGGCGGTATGTAGCTCTTTCAACGCCAGAGCTTTGGAGCAAGATCATCGTCAATCTTGAGGATGCCACAAACTCGAGGATATGTGCTACTTCTCCTTTGCCGGAGTTCACCGTCACGAGCATGTATTTGTCGCGTTCTGGGAATTACCCCTTGGACATCCTCATTGATGCACGAGATCCTGACTGGGACTACTCCGAATCTGAGTAGGTCAACCATACGTGGCATCAAAGTGCTTTACTGAGTGTCTTTACAGCGTATCTAGTGCAGGACATACGCCGAGCCCTGATGATGATGACGACGATTATGTCCATCCGTTTTCAGTGCAACACATGGAAACAGTCCTTCGTCTGATCATACACCACTTCCGCCGACTGCGCACACTTGCCATTTTCACAGATCGATGGGCGCCCATGCACAAGGCATTACTCTACTTGACCTGGGCATATAAATCGCAGGCCCCTCCACCCGGAATTTCCTGCGCACCGTTGCTCGAGAGCTTGGTCCTAGTGCGCCATAATGAGCATATGAATTTCACGGAGCCATTCTCTCCTCCAGGGTTAAGGGATCCGAGCTGGCTCCCGTTGTTCAACCCGATCCTCACTCACCTTGGCGCGCTACCTCGCCTGAAGAATCTGAATCTCAGGGGTGTCCACATTAAATGGCCCTTTTTACCATGGTGGCTGCCCTCGCCGTTGAATAGTGCCGGGCTGCAGGAGCTCGAGTTGTGTTATCACTGCGACGAGGTCCGACCATCTACTGCCGAATTCCGCGCCATGCTGGAGAGGTGCCCGAACCTTTCTAGCCTGACTGTGCGTGTTTCCGGGCCCTGCTGCCAAGAAAACGAGGAGGTCAGGATGGCAGGTTGCCTTAGGACCAACGCAAGGCAGATGCTGTCCATGCCCCGCCTCACCACACTCACGCTCGGCTGGATGGACGAGTTCGACGCAATCCTCATCCTTCATATGATCGATGCCCCGAACGTACGCACCCTCACGCTCGACGGTTCTTATGTCCAGGACGAAGACAATGCAGAGGCATTGCTTCTATATTGCGGGATTGGATCCACCGATCCACGCGAGTCTGAGGGGCGCCCAGTATTCCCACATTTGAGGAGTGTGTCAATTTGGCACGTCAGGGCCCCTCTGCACTCATTTGCGGAGTTCTTCGAATCCGCCACCCGCGTGAAGGCGCTCACTCTGGTGGAGGTTACGATGGATGCATACTTCGCGCTTATGCCGGCCACTTTAATGGCTATCACACCCTCACTATTTATCCCCTGTCCGACCCTGGAGAAACTGTGGATTACCGGATACAATGACGCTAAAAAAGCGATTATCAATGTGTTACGCACACGGAAGGCATATGGTGCTCGTTTTCCCGAAGTCCAACTGGATGCTACGCTCTTAGATGAGCCTGCTCTGGTTGTAGGCGGGGAATGTGTAATGATGGAAAGCGACGAGGTAGTTCTTGGCTTGCACACTGAAGATATATGGTGGTTTGACGCTTAGGATTTTTTGTCAGGTGTCCGGTGATGACTGTAGTCATCAGTAGGCGTGCAGCGGCTGGTTGCCTTTTTCTCTTGTGTCAAGCAAGACTACTTGTACACTAGCGTATTACTGGTACCTCGTGTTTACTTTGACTTCGTTGTCTACACAGTACACTCAAAACGCGTCTTGAGAAGCACTCGGCTTGTATGAGGGTCCCCACTGGACAAAATATAAATTCTACGAAAAATTGTCGAATTTGGTAGAAAATAAACCCCTTTTCGGCAAGTGGAAATGAGAACGAGAGAAAATATTTAGAAACTTCAATTATGTGTTTGAAAAGTGATCTTAGAAGTGTCAAATTGGCCGTGCATCTGATTCAGTTCCGTGCTCGAGAGCTGCAAAAAATCGATTCACGATACCAAGTCCAGTAATTCTGCTTGCCGAGTTCGGACGAGCACAAGATTTCACTGCGAGCCAGTGGACTCATGACTCATAGTGGTACTAAGTACTCTGTGGCTACGCAACTTCGGGGAAAACTACAACATCTCGCGTTCGTTTGCTAAGGTGGAGGCTGAGGATTCCTTTGCGGCAACTTTCCGGCTGAGCTTCGAGGCTCTTGGCGACGACACATTCAAGTTGCTTGTCGAGTGAATGTCGCTACTGCTGCTAGCCACAGTGACTCTAGCAATAAGTATATTACTCCAAGAGGGGGCCTATTATCGGTACCTCAGGCAAGAGGGGGGCGAGATTTGAACTCTCGACACCGTCCTCGCAAAAATTCGAGGACCCCGTAAACTGGGGTAGGGGGGGCCACCTTCCGCATTAAGACGTGCCGATCTCCGGCACAGGCACAATGATTCCCATATTCTGCGACTGCAAACATACGTTCATCGACAATGACATTAACAGTAGTTACTTCCGAGTAGTATATAATACATATCCATAAGATTACTTGTGTTTCTTCGCTGCACCCATTCGCACGTTGCCATCCGGTTGATACTGTCATTTCGTCGACGGGGAAGGACACTTTGACAGGAATTTTCTCTGGAGGTATACCGAGTCGCTCCTCCTCGTCGTGCGAAATTGTCATAGAGGATGGAGAGCACGCAAAGCGACACAGCACAAGAACGCGAGCGGCAAAGTCTGCGTTAAACAAATCGCGTTTAGTCACGTGCATCTGACGTATGCACATAGTTTCTTCTGAAGCACACACTGCGCGGAAATGTCCGGTTTGAGTGCACAGAAATGACTGTGTACATTACAGAACATAGATTTAAATTTAGAGTCAATTAACGTGAAGAACTTGAGGAGAGAGGTGGAAAATGGTGAGCACTGGGAGGAAAACGCGCGGGTGGCTGAAATTGGACCCCGTACACCAGTTTCCTATCCCCCTTGCAAACAGCTGGGTATCCCCGATTCAAATCTCGCCCCCCTCTTGACCTCAGGCCTCATTTCCTAGCAAGTGCCGCAGATACCTTGGATCGTGTTGAGGATTCTTGGTGTCCTGTTTTTTGCTTTCACTTTCTTTTCCGCTTTTGAGTTCCCTCCTTCCTTTTTGGTAAACATTCCGCGCCTTCGAATCACACAAGTACTGCTTTCCTCTTTCATGTTTCCGAAAATTTTCATTATGTCCAGTTAAACCCGTCATAGGCTTGAAGTAGCCCCGCCGGCATCGCTCATGAGTCAATGATGAAGCGCGACGCAACGTGGCTTACCTGGTTGAATCTTGGTCTTCTACTCCCTTCTGGATGTTTTGAGACTACTAAACTAATCTGTCTGTCCTGGTTGTTATCTCTCTGTCTATGGTTGCAAATTATTGTCACTAAGCCTGTACGCTTCTTCCTACGGGCGTCTGGCCTTGGGGACGTGAGTTCTCGGTTGAGCCTTGACAGGAACATGCGGCACTTGTTCGGCTCCACTGCGATGTATTCGACCGACAGTACACCTCCGTCGAAGTTGTAAGGACTCTGTTGTGTGCCAGCTCCATCCCAGCGAGTGGCCTCTTTGATATCTCAGTCTTTTACTCGATGGCCTCTTCATTACCTCCCCTTCTTCAAGCGTGTTCAGGTTCCCTCGCGAGCGCGTCCGCCAATGTTATCTCGTACCCGCTAGATCTCATCGCGACGAAGTTACAGATATCCGAGTCTCCCCATCTTCGTGGTGAGGACCTACGTATATGCGTCTTCTGATAACACTCACGACGTCAAGAGCAGGCCTGAAAGGGGCACGCCGCATCCTACGCCATATTGTTGGCACAGAGGGCTTCGCTGGGTTTTACAGTGGTCTCCCGACTGACACCGCTTCAACTCTCGTCTCAGGTTTCCTGTACTATTACTTCTACACGATCCTTCATGCTCTGGCCGCGCGATTGCGGTCTTCCTCGCCCCTTAGCCGCGCGCTCACCGCGCGGACGCGTCCAGTCCTTCTCCCACTTCCCGTAGAGCTCGCTGTGGGGTATATCGCTGGTATTGCCAGCCGTGCCGTATCGATGCCATTGTCACTCATCACCGTGCGTCTTCAGAGCGCAGGCGGGGAAGGCGAAGATGAAGACGGAGATGACGGGAAAAGAAAGGGAGTTCCACCAGTAGTAGACATAGTGAGGAGCATATATACGGAACAAGGACTTTGCGGATTCTGGGCAGGTGAACAGAGCCACCACAAAAGTATAGTCGTCTTCCGTGCTGACATCGAGACATAGGCTTCGCACCCACTCTGCCCCTCGCCCTCACACCGGCTCTCACTCTGCTTTTCTTCCAGCTCTTCAGCCGCATACAATCAGGCAGAATACCCGCATATATGCGCGCGTTTCTCGACGGGGCTCTCTCGAATGCTCTTGCCCTTGCTGTGCTGTACCCTCTCGTTCTCGCTAAGGTGCGCGTCCAGGCTTGGAGGGATATGTCTATGTTTGCAGTCTGGCGCGAAGCCTTCCGCTCGGCCGGCTGGGCGGGGCTGTACCATGGTCTTACTGCGATACTGCTCAAGGGGTTTGTTAGCCAGGGTATCACTATGTTGGTCAAGCAACGGTAAGTGTGCAGTTGTGAGACGATTCCAAATTGATTATTTTATATGCTCTAGGATTGAGCAAGCGGTGATGCACATACATGCGAAGCGCAGTTAAGCGATCTGGTCGTCGGCAGCTGTCCTTCTAATACAGTATGTAGCCAATCATTAATTCACTGATCATCGAGTGCGTTGTCGCTATTTCATACTTGCCGCTGTTCCTTGTCTTGTGACAGTTTACTTATGTTCTGAGCAACTGCTTTCACGTGAAGCAAAGCTAGGCTGCAAAAACATCGACTGCGCCTGAGCATCTTGGGCAATTTTATCGTACACCAAGTGACGCGCGGATCATTCACGGATAGACCGATGGCAGCACAGAGAGTGCTCACGATAACATTGGTGGCGGTAGCGACTGCTGCCTGCGGCTTCGCTGCCTTGCAGCCACCAACCTTGTGGACAGTACCTCTTGCTAAACCTGCGAAACAACTCCTGTGTCGATATTCGCTGCCGCTCATCGCAATCTGTCCCGGCGTGGATGACATCACGCAGGTTTGCCTTCCGGGAGGCCGGTGCTCGTGATGCTGGATGTGTCATCCCTCGTTATTCAGGCACGGAAACCGGGACATTCATGACAAAGTCGACACAGCGGAACCATCGATTCGTGCTAGCGGCACGCTCTTCCAGGTTTTTGTTGGCCGGAGGCAACTTCGGACCTAAGGCTTACCCCGCATTTTCTGTTTTTGTTGATAGCTGGGTTACACTCCATATATTCGAATTCCTAAAATACTATACTCAGCATCTTTCATTTAGACTTACACAGCAAATCGGTGGTCCTTACCACAGACGGACCTTACAACTGAAGGCATTCAATATCTTGTGTGGCATGGTCAGGTAGGAATCTTGATTGTTCAACGTCAAGAATCAGTAACTGCTCCTGCAGCCTACAGTCTAAAAAAGTTATCACTTTGCCTACATGGGCAATGGCCAACGGTCAAAGCTATAGAAAATTAGTCTTGTGCCTTTGTTGATATGTGAAAAATCTAATCAACCTGCACAACCTGCATATATGTCAAGCACTTGAAAATCTGTTTTCTGGGAGGACATCAACTGTATCTGCGCTGTCAGGAGAAGGTACGATATGAAGTTCTGGTCTATTATCAGTTTCTAACGCAGTTAATGGCAGATTGACTTGAACAACTTCTGAAGTTCAATATGGTGCTACCCAATGTTGGTTGTTCAGAAGCAATTCCTGTCCATGTCCGAATGTGTGAGTCAGCTCTGCATTCTCATTGACTATGACAGTCTAGATAAATATTTGACTGTACTATGCGAGGACAACACAGCAGTGTTGCATTCTACTATCATACGGATGCTACCGTCCTGAGGGCCGAAATTATTATAATACATAATTTAACTCTTGGGTGATAAGATTGAAACCCCTTGACACCATTTTGATCTAAACGAAACCAGATCTGAGGAGTTCCGGGGGCTTCCCATCCGGCGGCGAGGCAGTGAGCATGCAGTAACAAGTTAGCTGCGGCTGCGTCTCTACTTGTAACTTCTCCCCGAATTACTTATCACTGGCTCCCGTGCTGGTCCTGGGTCTGCCAGCTTCTCTCTTATGGCTTTCTCTCGACGACACACTGACGACTCCGATACTGACGAGGACCAGAATGCCGTTGACCCCGACCTTCGCCTGCGTACCGTGCGCACCGCTGCATCTACCCTTGCAGAATATGCCAAACACGAGGAACGTGCTGAGCGTGCGGGGCGCAGGAAGTCGACCGCAAAGGGCTTCTTCCGCAGAGGCACAGAGAAGAAGAGGGCTGATGCTGCTGCGTCCGCGCCGAAGCTGTCCGGAGCACGCAGGAAGATCTACGTGAACACGCCGCTGTCTCGACATGATATGGATCACCATGGAGAACCCGTCGCTCGTTATGTGAGGAACAAGGTCCGCACGAGCAGTGAGTGTAGTACCGTTTCCAGGTGGGAATGCATGCTGAATCTGTGCAGAGTATACTATTCTGACGTTCGTCCCGAAAAACCTCTACGAGCAATTTCGGAGGTATGTATGTCCCACGCAGTATGATTATAAAACCAACCATTATTGTCAGGGTTGCGAATCTGTATTTCCTCGCTCTGGTGATTCTGCAAGGTGAGCCCAAACGTGAGGGATACGGTCAGTTCGTTGTGTGACGGTGCTTGTAGTATTCACCGTATTCGGCGCAACGTCACCGCAGACTGCCGCATTGCCGCTGCTGGTCATTCTGGCGTTCACTGCGATCAAGGATGGCGTTGAAGACTATCGGCGCGCTGTGCTCGACAACGAAGTGAATAATTCGGCGTCGACGAAGCTCGGTCAATGGCGAAACGTAAACCAGCCGACGGACGCACGGTCGTGGTTTGAGAAGCTTTTGCATATCAACCCTCCAGGACGGGTGACGAAGGGCGTGCGGAGACTACGAGAGCGTGAGGCAGGGGAAGGGATGCAGATCGTGCTGAGCAAAGGCCTCGAGGGCGACCTCGTCCACGCAAAGAACGCTGACGATTCTGTGACAACGCTGAAAGGAACTGTCACAGGTACGGAAGACACCTTTGCTCACAGCTATCCTCCTCGGCAGGACGAGATGGGCTCGTGGTCGGGTGGATCGGGTTCGCTTGCGGTGTACCAACAGTCGGTTCACTCACAGTCCACTGTGGGTGTTCTTGACTACGGTATGCGGACGACGGGGCTGGCACGCTGGGAGCGTACGCTGTGGAAGAAGTTGGAAGTTGGTGACGTCGTCTTACTCCGCGAGAACGAACAGATACCGGCAGACATTGCCGTTCTCTCCACTTCCGATCCAGACAATATGTGCTATGTCGAGACGAAGAACCTAGACGGTGAGACGAACCTGAAGCCTCGCAAGTCGATAAAGGCCACTTCCGCCATGACTTCCGAGGAAGATGTAGAGCGCGCATCCTTCGTGCTGGATTCCGAGCCACCGCATCAGAATTTGTACTTGTACCATGGTGTCCTTCGATATCGCGAACCCTCCAGCGGCGAGCTCAAGCAGGAGTCCGTGACGATTAACGAACTTCTTCTACGCGGCTGTACTGTGCGCAACACGGCATGGATTATAGGCTTGGTCGTTTTTACAGGTGCAGATACCAAGATCATGCTCAATGGTGGAGCTACCCCATCCAAACGGTCCAAGATCGAGAGGGAGACTAACTTCAACGTTATTGTCAACTTCCTGGTTCTTGTAATCATGTGTGCCATCTCAGCCATCGCCAATGGTCTCTTTGACGGCAAGAGCGGAACCAGTGCAGACTTCTTCGAAATTGGAGCCAATCCTTCTAGTTCTAATGTTGCCAATGCTATTGTCACCTTTGTGTAAGCTGGTCCGCACTTTACTTGTATGCGTTACGCTAAAATCTTTAATCTCCAATAGCTCGTGTCTCATTGCTTTCCAGAACATTGTTCCCATCTCATTGTACATCTCCATCGAGATCGTGAAGACCGTCCAGGCTTACTTTATTGCGCAAGATATTGATATGTACTATAAGCCGCTGGACGCGGCTTGCGTCCCAAAGACGTGGAACATCTCCGACGACCTCGGTCAAATCGAGTACGTCTTCTCAGACAAGACAGGTACACTCACGCAGAACGTCATGGACTTCCAGAAGTGCTCCGTGAACGGCATCGCCTATGGAGAGGGTGTCACTGAGGCCCAGCGCGGAGCTGCGATGCGCGAGGGTAGACCTAATGCCCTTGAGCCTGCGGAGCAGGATCGTCAGCTGCAATTGTTGAAGGAAGACATGTTGAGTAAGATGTCGCATGGTTTCAAGAATCGCTACATCCAGCCCAACAAGCTTACTCTCGTGTCTCCGCGTCTTGCCGATGACCTGACCGACAGGTCGTCTCAGCAACGCCCCCATCTCATCGCTTTCTTCCGTGCCCTCGCCGTTTGTCACAGCGTCCTTTCAGACCGCCCGGAGCCACGCACAGAGCCGTACCATTTGGAGTTCAAGGCCGAATCGCCTGATGAGGCCGCTCTTGTCGCCGCCGCCCGTGATGTCGGATTCCCATTCGTCCAGAAGTCTAGAGATGGCATTGACATCGAAGTCATGGGCCAACCAGAACGTTACGTTCCGCTGCAGATGCTCGAGTTTGACAGCACGCGAAAGCGGATGAGCGTCATCGTTCGTAACCCTCAGGGGCAGCTCGTGTTGTACTGCAAGGGCGCCGACAGTGTCATTTATCAGCGTCTCACACCCGACCATGACCCGGATCTGAAAGCGAAGACATCCCAAGACATGGAGGCGTTTGCGAATGGCGGATTACGCACGCTTTGCATCGCGTACCGGTATCTGACGGAAGACGAGTACACCGAGTGGCAGCGGCTCTACGATGCGGCGACTAGCTCCATCGATGATCGTGAGGCTGCGATTGAGAAGGCGAATGACAAAATCGAACATTCGCTGACAATTCTCGGTGCTACCGCGCTGGAAGACAAGCTGCAGGAGGGTGTTCCAGAAGCAATCGAGTCTCTCCACCAAGCTGGCATTAAGCTATGGATTCTCACCGGTGCGAGTCCTTCCACATCGCGTCGCACACTTTTCTTTTTTACAATTGAATAGGTGATAAGATCCAGACTGCCATTGAAATTGGTACGGAACGGCGCTTTGCTCTTGTAGATTCAATTTACTGATGAGAACGCCATAGGATTTAGCTGCAACTTACTAAAGAACGACATGGAGATCATGATCTTGTCAGCTGAGACAGAGGAGGCTGCGCAAACACAGATCGAAGGAGGTTTGAACAAGATTGCTTCAGTGCTTGGGCCACCTTCTTTGACGAACGAGAAGCGGGGATTTGTCCCTGGTGCCCAAGCTGCCTTCGCTGTTGTTATAGACGGCGATACTTTACGTCACGCCCTTAGTCCGGCACTGAACTCGCTCTTCCTCAACCTTACGACTCAATGTGAGACTGTTGTGTGTTGTAGAGTTTCTCCCGCGCAGAAGGCGCTGGTGGTAAAGCTGGCGCGTACTGTTTACATCGTGTCTGCTAGTTGTTTGATTTTAACCCCATTATCCTCAGGTTAAGGAAGGCCGAAAAGCTATGACATTATCAATTGGCGATGGTGCAAATGATGTCGCTATGATCCAGGAAGCGCACATTGGATGCGGACTCTTGGGACACGAGGGTTCGCAGGCGGCCATGTCCGCCGACTACGCTTTCGCTCAGTTCCGCTACCTGACGAAGTTACTGATCGTTCACGGACGCTGGTCATATCAACGAATCGCTGATATGCATAGTAATTTCTTTTACAAAGTGAGGCTCTTCGTTGTGGTGCGGGTACACTTACTGATAGTCCCTCAGAATGTTATCTGGACTTTCGCCATGTTCTGGTTCCAGATATATTGCAAGTATGTCATACAATATGCGGCACATAAGTCTTGTTCCTGATTGGTATACAGTTTTGACGCAACGTATTTGTATGATTACACTTTCGTCCTTCTCTACAACCTGATTTTCACATCTCTACCTGTCATCGTCCTTGGGGGTAAGTTTCCGCTTCGTACCTTCATTGCAGGAAAACTGATGATGCTGTGCAGCTTTCGATCAGGATCTCAATGCCAAAGCAGCCCTCGCTTTCCCACAGCTTTACATTCGCGGCATTCGCGGACTAGAGTATACCCGTTTGAAGTTCTGGCTGTACATGCTGGACGGTCTATATCAGTCTGTAGTCGTGTTCTTCGTTCCCTACCTGGCCTGGTCGCTTGGTCTGGCTGTGTCTTGGAATGGCAGGGAGATCCAGTCTCTCTCCGACTTCGGTACCACAGTGGCCGTTGCTGCCATTTTCGCTGCCAATATCTACGTTGGTCTCAACTCGCGGTAGTGAGTTCATTATTTTATTTGTTTACTGTAACGGCTCTCACGAATCGTGCGGTACAGTTGGACGGTGATCACTTGGGTTGTTTGCTTCGGATCATCCATAGTGATGCTCCTTTGGATCGTCATTTATTCGTATTTCGACAGCATCAACAGCATCATGTTCGTAGGTGAAGTCGAAATCCTGTTCGGAGAGGTCACGTTCTGGGCCACTGTTCTGAGCTCGGTTGTTCTTGCTCTCGGTAAGTTTTCTGCGGTGTCCTGTATGTCATTATTCACAAAAATTTCAGCCCCTCGATACATCGTCAAGTTTGTCAAGAGTGCATACATACCTCTTGACAAAGACCTTGTTCGAGAGATGTGGGTTATGGGCGACCTCAAGGATCGCCTTGGAATCGTACGCAGGCGGGATCTCAAGAAACACAGAGGTGACCTAGAGAAGACACCGATTTTCCAACGGCCGCACTGTCGTTCAGAGTCCGAAATTTCGACCGAGGAGGACCCAAACAGCATACCGCGAGACAGGAGTCCAAGCTCGGACGGGCGATCCCCCACTGCATCGTTGATGGGTCGAAAACCCCAGAATCCGGAAGAAGTACACCTAGACGATCGACTGACGCCACAAGCTCGACGTGATGCCGCTTCTCCAGAGTACCGACATTCGTACTACTCTGCGTCCGACATTCCAGTACCCTCACCTATCCCAACACGATACGACCGCCAGCATGATAGTCCCACGATGTCTGTTGTGTCACCACAGACCGTCTCGACGCGACCATGGCAAGATTCGAGCCCGATGCGAGAAGTTTTCGAGATGCATGTGCGAGGTCCATCCGATGAGTGGAGAAATCCATCGCATGCGCCACAGTCCTCTGGTGAAGCGTATGCTACTGCTTATGATGGGATTGTGGGAGAGATTGATGGCAATTACTCGCAACCCCATCCTGTATCGAGGGGTCCCTTACCTTCGGAGGACAGCACATATTCGTACACCGTTCATGCATTATAGTATCCATTGGTTATGAAGGATTAAACACCCCTCAGTATTTATCACTGCTTATGCCTTGAACTTTTGCTTACGCATGCGAGTTATAATGTGGGATGCCAAAGTACTATGTCTACGTAATGCCGCTCCCTACCTCGCTCAGTGCCTGTCGGTCATGTACCTCTTGCGTGGTCGTATAATACCCATGAACCATCGGGAGGCACGGTAAACACGAACGACCACGAGTGTCCCCCCCACCACGCAGATCGGGACCCACACGTATGTCCATAGCGAGTCTCCGTCTGCGTTGAACATTGTCAGGCCTGTGCGACAGTAATTGTCAATACTCCGAAATTCCAAACACTTGTCCACCAACACTTCTCACTTTGGGTTCAACTTACAAGTGTATGGTAGCAGTCCAGTGCGACGACGAATGGCAGATGCCAATTCACAGGGATTTATAAGTCCGTGTATTTCTGTGAGCATAAAACAGTCATCTATTAAGAACATGGCGGAGTAGGATAGCACACACCCTAAACGCGATTAAATTTTCACGTAACACGCAATACGGGAGGTGGGCGGTGGAGGGTTAACCGGAGGAGTGAAGTCAAAGAGGCTGGGACTTTTGGCTGCTGGAGAAGCGAAAAGTAACGCGTCAATGTCATCATTACTCGGACCGCCTGTGGTTCCGGAAGACCACGTACGTAGACAGTTACCAATGCGAGAATTTCGCAAGCCGATGTCGACATTTAACATTGACGTGCAATCATGCTCACTTTTCCTATCCTGGAACATATTCTCGCCGGGACCCACTTCGGTGGAGGCTACATAAGTAGTCAATTATCGGTGGCATTGAAGCGCTCTATCTTTAGAAAGTGCTCGCTTCTCGCCTTCGGCCACGTTTTAAGTACTGTGGTATGGAGCACCCCGCTGCATGCATATCGAGGCCATCGCATTCCACATTGTCAGGCAAGCTGCATTCTCCCGTCACATGGAAGGTAGAAATAAGCTGGTGAACAGAGGCGAACACGTCGGAACCACCGCACGGGACAAAAGCCGAAGGTGACGAGGCAGTATGAAGAAGCCCTCATGACAATGACAGGATCAGAACGGCCCCGTATAGCCCCAAGCTCGTATCCACCGTGACGGACTACCAGCCGACGTCTCCGTGAAATGCATCTACGTGATGTACTTCAAAGTCTGAGAATTCAGTCAACTTGTTCGTACGGATTATAATGACTGAGAACTCACCGACGAGGCAATACCTGACTTGCGCGCAATGGATCGTCTCGAATGTGGTGGTATGGCCGTAACGCAATACGCCGAGAGTGTGTAGTTCCAATGTCGACGTCGGAGGAAATCTTGTACTATGTTGGTGTAGACAGGGAGTATGCCGCCTTCTTAGGGCATGATGTACTTTGGCATTGACCCAGGACGTCGCAGACACATACTCACAGTGAACATATCTGAGGGTAGTCGACCGCTTATAACTTTCCTTCGAAGCTTGAAGCTCGAAGGACAAGAACAGTTTGATTTGGATGTCCAAACCGTAGCGATCATAATGAAATGAAACTCCAGCTACAATAGCGTGGCCTTCCCAAACACGCGCAATAATTCTACAGTAGTTAGTAGTAATAAACGCAAGAAATACATATGGACTAACGAAGAGTTTTTGCGATGACCGACGGTTATTGAACGTCAGTTCTCGCCGACGAGACTCAACTCTGGGATCCGGACCAGTAGTGCTTGAAAAGAATAGGTATCGCGACGAGGTTATTACGCCGGTTCAGAGTGGATATGTGCAATAATACCCTCAGCGAATTCGAAGACGACCTAGACGGACTCAGACACTCAGTCATCAGCAACATCAGCAAAAGCGGGAAATTTTTATGTAAGGTTACACCAGTTACATCGGGGTAGCAAGGGTTGTGTAAGTTACACAGGAGTAGTAATATTTAAACCGATTTGTAATCAAAGTAAAGGTAGTAGAGGTCTATAAAGAAGATAACATAGAACAGAAATTGATACACAAGTTAGAATAAAAATATATGTCGACAAAGAGTTGTCGAGCGATGTAACCCAAGTCAAACGTTGCTCACCAGGTTACACAGTCGGAAGAACTTCTAGACGCCTACATACAATGTTGTAAGGAGCGCCTATTGGGCGTCTACTAGCGCTCTCCACAGAACTCGCTCCGAGTTGCTCTTTCGTATCTTCATATTCAGGCCCCCGGATACCGCACCAAATGCAAGCATTAAGGCAAGGCTCTTGTCCAGGCCACTGTCAGTGAAAAGATCCGAAGTTGTTTCGAGGCGATTCTGAGGCAAGTCTGAGGCTACTCTCGATGCATCGCGACTACCGTCCGCCGACAATTCTCGCCACCCTCACTCGCGTATAAATTCGCAGCATCTGCCACTGCAATGTGCCTGCCAGGTGAGTGCCGTTACATGCAGCTAACTATATCGCACAGGTCTACCGGGCTTATTGTTGCGCGCAGCTTGGTTGGGCTCCCGTGGTTGGAGCGACACGCGGTGCGTTCTATTTCAATCTCTATTGTTCTATGCCTGTGGGCGGAAATGTAAGTGTGTTGATTCCTAGTGTTGGTTGTTTACGGCGGTACGCGGGTGTTGCTGCGGTAAGTAGACCTAACTACTTGTTTGTTATGGCGGCACGCGGGTGTTGTTACGCGGTAAGTGGGCGTTACGACGGCACGCGGGTTTCGGTGCAGTGAGTAGGCCCAACTAGTTCTAATGTAGAGCACTTTGTACATCTTGTACCGCAGCAATAATAATATGTTGACATAATTTGGAATACCCCCACTTTTGAGAATTATGAAACCGATCCGAATGAATCGGTTTCGGTCTGTTTAGGACGGTCTGTGCCTACATGCTACAAGTGCATAATAAATTTTGTAGGAAGTTATATGAGCTTCATAACCTGTAAAATGTTTCCAGAGTTTATAACTGATTATGCCAGTTGGCAACTCTGCAATCTGACTCAGGATTACAATGCAATGTATTCCTTGGTGAAAAAATTGCGCAAGTTACATGGAATTACACCTTTATAATCTCTTTGGAGAAAATTCCCGGTTTTGCTGATGGCCAGTGCAACTCCAGCGTCTTCAAAACTGGTAAACATTATGTAATATTGGGTAATTGGGTAAACATATACAGTAACAGCGCGAGCGCTAATCAGTAATTTCTGGTTCAGGCAGAAAAGCAAGGTGACTTCGCACTGTTCGCAGCACCTTACTCTCAGTATTTCTTCAGAGACATATTATACCGCAGGAATTACTGGTCGACACGCAAAACATTAAATTTAGTGAGTGGTACTGTACTTGCGGTGTGGAGAGACTGTCATAGTGTCACCGGAACTTGGTTGCACATGACCTTTTGTCATACACAATAATCCTAGAGTTTCACTCCTCTTCTCCGCCCACTTTGTTGCACAACTTGCCATGTCGACACCCGCAAAAGCTGAAGACACTCAGGAGAAGCCAGGAGCACCCGCAGCGTCAACGCCGACACCTACATCGTCGGCGTCAGTCCTGAAGGAGAGGCGTTTCAAACTTAGCAGGTATGTTACTGATACCTCTGTGTCGTTGAACGTGCTGATAATGTTTCAAGAGCATGCGATCGTTGTCGGTGAGCAATGTCATGCGAATTATTGAACCTAGAGTTGACAAGCTAGCGAAGGCGGCGGAGAATCAAGTGCGACGAAGGTCATCCGTGTCAGTCATGTCTAACATCAAATTCAGCCTGTACGTTCGAGGAACCAGGGAAAAGGACGCATCCTCATAAGTCTAAGTGTGTTATCTTATTCGTTGTACTTGATACATGGAACTGACAGTACGAAATACCCAGACGGGCTGCTACGCTCGAGGATCGCATGCATCAGCTGGAAACATTGATTCAAGCTATTCCGCCAGCCGTTTTCGCTGCAGGCGGCGCAAGCACAATTCCCCAATCTCCCGTCGATGCGACCACCAATCCGCATGCGTCGTTTGCATCCTCGACGCACACCTTCCCCACGGCGGTCCCACCGCCATCACTCAACGCGTATCCGTTGATGAACCCGTCCACCTTCTTCACACCCGTAAAATCGGTGTCCCGTCATGCAAGCCCGAGCGCCGGCTTCCCGCCTCCGTCCAGCGGGGTCGGAGCGGCGGATCACCTAGCGGAAGAGACGGCAAAAATGTCGTTGTCCTCGTCATACCTGTACTTCGACGATGAGGGACACACTCGTTGGCAGGGCGAGACGTCGGGGTTGCCGCTGCTCGATCTGCTAGTGGAGCGCCATACGCAGGTGACGAAGCCCGATCCCGACCACGGACCGGCGCAGTCATGGGCCAGCCAAAATGGGCACGCGATGAACGACTGGTTCCCGGATCGCACGCCGAAGAAAACGGATACGAATCCAGAAGTGATCTGGAGGCTGATCACGTCCTTCATCGTTCCGGAGCTCATGGACAGGTAGGGCGCTCGGTTTGCCGTTGTGGTGCTCCAGATTATTAATGCATTGCTCAGCCTCGTGCAGTGTTTTCTGTCTACGTCATACTACCTAATGCCGTTCCTGCATTTGCCGACGTTCCTGGCAGTGAGTAGCCAGCGTGTTTCTGTGTCGCTCTACTCAGCGTGCTTGTACAGGATTACGGGAACCCTCGAAAATGGGGCGAGCCTGGTTTCGCCGCTTTCATCGTCGCCGTCTGCTGTCTCTCGTCACGGCATATCGACGATCCTCGTGTGCGCGCAGATCCAAACGACGGTATCAGCGCAGGCACGCAGTGGTTCGACCTCTTCGGACGACTGCGCACGCTGCCCAGCGCTGACCGTCCGACGCTCTACACCGTGCAGTCGGTGCTCATCGCGGGCGTCTACGCTGTTGGTTTGGGGCAACTGTCGAAGGCGTTTGCGCTACTTGCAGAGGCAGTGACGCTGTCGATTGATGCTGGACTGCATCGGTCCGTGGACGACTACGACGTGTTTGATCCGATCGAGGACGAGGTGCGCAAGCGCACGTTCTGGTGTGTCTATCTATGGGACAAACAGGCTTGCGCGCACTTCGGGCGTCAACCCATACTCCGGCTGCGCGATTGTGACGTCAGCGAGCCCGCTGTTGTCGATGATGAGTACATCACTCGCGACACCCTCGGTGTGCAGCCTCCTGAAATCCCGAGCCGCATAGGCGCCTTCGTGTGCTGTGTGCGCCTGTTCGTCATCCTTGAAGGCATCGTTGACGTACCCCCGCCCCGACACTTTGGCGACGGTCCCTCGTTTCTCTCACGCGCTACAGCGGTTCTGTCGGGGTACAAGTGCACCAAAGATCTTCGCGAAGAGGAAGCGTTACTCGATGAGATCTGCCGCTCCATCCCCCCGCATTGGGCACATACCGTCGAGACGATGACAAGCGAGGATGTGCTGCGCGTGACGCAGTCTCAACGCCTGCATTGCGTGGAGCAGTATGTGCGGATGCTCATCCATCGGCACAGGTTCTCGGATCTCGTCGTGGAAAGGACACAGTCTCCGTTTAACGAGCAGACTGAGGCCGAGTGCGAGGCGATGCGGGCAGCCCATGCAGCTGCGCTTCAGATCATCTCGTCGCACTTGCATACTGCTACGAAGGGCTTGATGACCTACTGTGAGCTGTTCGAGGTTTCTGCTTAATGTAGTGCTTATGCATTGACCTGGTCTGTGACAGATGGCGTGCATGTCATCCATCAATTGACTGCTGCCGGGCGCACCCTCGTCGCAGTGTTATTGAGCTGCCATACGGAGGCTATGCAGCCACTAATTGCCCCTGGTCTGGACGCCCTCCGTTCATGTGTCGGTCTACTCCGCCGCTTCAGCGGTCGCTATGTCTGTGGCCAACGCTCAGGCGATCTGATGGAAGAGTTTTGTCGATGTGCGTCGCGTTGTATATCTGACATGTGCGCATTGGTAATATTTTCCGCCGCTAGTGACACAAATACCGTTGGACTCTGCCCGACCACAAGACACTCCTATATCTTCCAATAACCGCCCCCCATGGCTCCGTCCTGTCCGCAAAAAGACACCGTCTATGGCGCGCTCTCCTGGTAGTAACGGCGACTCGCCTTCGCATCACGGAAGTCCGGAAGCCTTCTCTCCGTCGGATGCCTTCCTTGACCTAGGCGGCGGCACCAGCCCCCGTCCGCCGTCGGCACCGTTCCCTTCCGCGAACCCGTCCAGCCAGGGAGTAGCACATGCCTTCTCACAGACGTATGGTCTGGGAAACCCCGTTGCCGCCTCTGCGTCGCAGTTTATGGACACGGACATGTTAGTTGGAGAGGCGGGGCTGTCCATGTCTCCTGCGGAGATTTTAGCGCTGTTCAACGACGGGTCGGTGGATATGACGTCGCTGCTCATGCAGCCCGGATCGTCCGGGCAAGCCGCCGCCAACGGGTTTTACATACCGTCGTCGGCGAGTGGCAGTGGTCCTGTAAACATGGTATCGCCATGATCGGATGAGGTGGAAGCATGTTGGTCGCTGGTCTCGTTGCTATACTGACTGTACTGCTGTATTTTTTGCTTGTGTGCTCTCTAGTTCGGATGTCGCAGTTTTGGTTGCGTTGCGTTGTGTATTTCTTTATCTCATAATGGAATCACAGTCCCAGGACATTCCTTCGGCATGCAAGTGCTCTGGTGGGCATGCATGCGCAACGACCATACAGGGGAAATATAGAACAACTTTGTGGATACATCAACAAGAAGCAGAGTTCAGTATGTTGCAGCAAGTGGGTATAGCAATGTTCGTGTGAAGACCAGATGTATCTGGTAGAGCCGGCGGTCCCAATCACAAGCAGGCGAATCCAAGGAGCGCGGCACCGAGATTCATGGAGATGACGAGAAGCGAGGTCCAGCCATCTGCGTAATCTGTTATCCGCGCCGCATTGCTTGACCGCGCGTTTGAACTGTACGACGCCGCCAGATGCGTCGCCTGAGGCACACCGCCGGGGCCGGTTGTCGTCGCCATATACGTGCCAGACGGTGCGGGTTCCGATGTCGCTAGACACAGTTTGCCATCGGTCAATCGCTGTCTAGATATCCCGCAAGGAGTTCTGCAGACGCACCTGGGAAGATGGCGCCGGCTGAAATGGCAGCCTGCACAGCTTCTCTGAGAGCTTCGCCTGCATCGTCTGGTACGGTCGAGATAAACCCGACGCGTGGTGGATCCTGTGAGGGGTGGGTGAGATTGCCGTAGTAATATGCCGCCAGTACGCTAGAACGATGGTGTGAGATGACAGAAGAAAGAATCGGTGAACACACGCACGATTTGAGGAACGGGTCTCCGAGACTCCAGCTGTAGAGGAAGCCACCCTCTCCCGGCGGATCGGTGGCTGCGACTGCACCAGTACACCGTGGAGAATTGGCAGAATTGTTGGCGGTATGTGGTCGCGCGAAGTCACGCGGGTCGATGGGAAACAGCTCCCCGCCAATTTCGAAGGACAGGTTATGCGGTGTGTCGCAGTCAAACGAGCCTGTAGGTCCGCCCAGCTGTGCGAGGATATTGTTGACGACGTCTTGAGGACCGCGTATGAGAGAATTTCCCTGTAATATGCCAGTGAACGGTGTCACAAAGTAAACGATTCATCCGGTGAGCGTGCGTATACTTCTGAGGTTGTGAAAAAAAGACTCAAGACGTACGGTATCCATGAGCGCAGACAGAGAGATTGACGGTGCAGAGAGGGTAGACCGGGGAAGCTTGGTGCCATCGAAGTAGACGTCATCTATCGGTATCTCCCACAGCAAGGGATATATCTACAACACATTTAGAGCAGCTCGGGTAAGCATCATCGAGCACAGTGGTCACCTCGTTCGAAGCCTCGGGCGCAGGAGGCAGGCCACCTTCATCGGCGCTGTATCCTCGCACCGGCACCCATCTGAGATGGTCCTCCTGGACGCCAGAGGGGAGCCCTCCCAAAGACAGCAGACCCGCGTTCCCGCCCACCTCGAACGTGTCACGCTGAAGTGTGATTGCCACCATCGGTAACGCCAACGCCTGTTGTGCGATAAGCCTGGTGACAAAAGGGCCGTAAGTTGCGAACGCTTCGATGGCGAGAGCAGAAGGATCGCTTAGTGAGGCTTTAACTTGACGTATGCGACGGTGTGGCGACAGGAAGGTGAAAGATGGGAACGGAGGACGACCGATGAAACTGCCGTCGGTGGAAACGCTCGAAGAATTCGCCGTGGTTAGCTCAAGAGGCGGGAGACGAGAACGTCGAGGCAGGGAGGGCGGTGCTCCGCTTATGTCGGTTTCTAAGAGCTGCCGCCAGATGACGCTGAATTATGGTAGGCTGTGTCAGATGTTAAAGACAGCGAAAAAATTCGAAGGTGGCATTATTCGCAATTCCGTTCAACGTCCTAGTAACTACGAAAGTTTCGGCCCGCAAAGGAATCTGCTGCGACAGGAACGCTCTTGTTAGTATCGACACTCACCTTACTGGAGGAAACCCAAGTCCGAAAATCCCTGCAGATCCTGTATCCAGAACGGTGGTATTTGTATCTGCGATCGCGGCAAAACACTGGCCGGACACAGAAAGACCGGCAACCCCTGTTACATCTGTTCCGATGGGACCTAAGGCATGAGTACCAGTTCGCGAGTCGCCGTAGAGTAGTTGAGCATCAAGACCAGTAGAGTGAAGCGAGCCCTGCGGATACAGAGGTACTCCAGAATTTACGCAAGCAGAAGTGTGACAACCGTCGGAAACCAGCCACAAGTCAGAGGAGCCAGTATCTTCGGAGAACAAAACGATCAGAGTGGCAAAAGAAGGTAGAGCGTATCAACATAATATACCGAGTACAAGAGGCGTCTCAGTTCCCCCTACGTCGACGAGGACACTGTAAGTGCTGGGGAACATGGGACACAGCCGCTTGAGCAGGTAACATCCTCATTGAAAATCACCTACACGTCGAGAACGTCCCCTAGCCCACTTGCACAGGTTTGACTGTCCCTCTTCTGTGCTCTCTGCGTCAATTGTAAAGGCAGATGCAAAGCCTTCTCGGTGGCAAGAAAACTATCAGAACCATAAGAAAGACTAGAGAACATCTGCAGAAGAAATGATGCCCAGACTAGGTACAACATGGGAGAGGTTCAGACTGCAGCACGCCCGGAGCCGGACACGGTGAGTGTTACAGAGCCACAGTGTAGTAGTCCCGTTTGCGGGCGAACCGTTTACTTCACTGTGCAAGTTAAAGTCTAGCCAAGGAGTTCGACAAGTTGTGCGCCAACACTAGCTTTCCACTGTTGAGTCCACTGTCGAATTAATCAGTTGAAGTCGTACGAAGACTGGTGAAAATTGCAAGAGTAGAATGTCCGTACACAAGGATTTGAGAGGCCTTCCTGTGGATGTAGAAAGGCAAGTGGCAGATCTCTCCAGGATCTTATGCCAACTGCAACCGTGACTTGAAGCCCCAAGTACTGGCATGCTCGGCTAGCGCCGCGTATAATAACGCCGAACGCGTCGCGCTTGTCACGTGGTACCTTCCGAATCGCCCTGCGATCCTCGATGTTTTGTTTAACGGCCGGAGTAGCGGGAGTAGCTAGGAATGCCATATTTAATTTCACGAGATCATTATTCTTGGCCGCAACGCATGTTAATTTCTCGGTTTCAGACCGAATATCCCCACCGCCGGTACTCCACCTTCTGTTACTCCGCAATTTACCGGTGACTGCTGTGACTGGTGGCTGCACGAAAGCAGCTAATTTTACTCCTTTACTTGTTTCCAACAGTTTCGTGCAGTTGGTTGCTCTCCTGCAGGCTAACTGACCAGCCGCACGGGTGTTTTAGGTCAACGGATGAGAAATTTTCGTGAAGACGCGGAACACAACGATCTCGTGGACAGAACCTGACGCCAGTCAGCACGCTCCAAATCCCCTCACATTACTATCGATTCAAAGTTCTGCAGTATGTTTCCTGGAGCAGTTCAATGCTCCATATATCTTCTCTTAGCTCCCTCCGACATCACAGGAGGCCGGAAAACTCGTACTGTAACGCTTCCCCTGTTTGAGTTCGGCCGAAAGCCCAAACGGGTGGATGGGTCAGGTGCCGCTTGAAACTTCCGCTTGGTATGGATCGTCCACAGTCCGCGGTGAGATCTTCCGTGGTCGTCCATAATCGGTCCAAACCGGCAAGAAGCCCCACGGCGGACCGTGCTCTCGTCCTTCATTACCCCACGATCTCGCAGCGTCTCCTCTCACTTCCCCGCATTGACTTTGCACGGATCGAGTCACTAGAGACGTCAGAGGGCGACACTACACATACACGTTAGACAGAGTCCGCACCAGATCTTCTACGTACACAAATACCCCGCGATGTCCAAAGCTCTCGAATCCGCAGCGCCATTGCCCGTGAACCCACCGCCTACCGTGGTCCAGCCCAAGAAGAAGGCACCATATCCATTCTGGCTAGGAGGTACGCCCTGTATCCCATCTGGATCTCGGCACAACTTATGCTTTAGGTAAACTGCAGGCGTCGCAGCTACTATTGCTGCATCCATAACACAGTACGTCATATGCCCTTAACACCGATCTTGTGATAGCGTTGAATGGCCAATCTTCGATGCTGCAGTCCCCTGGACCTGACCAAGGTGCGCATGCAGGCGACGGGGGACAAGGGCATGGTGCAGTCGATCCGGAAGACCGTCCACACAGCAGGCTTTGTCGGGCTGTTCGATGGGATCACGGGTACGTGGCTCCGCCAAATGAGCTACTCGCTGTGTCGGTTCTGGGCATACGACGAGAGCAAGAAGTTCCTCGACGCCGGTGCGTATTTCTTTGATCAATGGCACCTAACGTCTCCGCGGAGTCGGTTCGGCTGACCTTGACTTGTACGTGTGTAGGTCCCAGTTCGCCTGCGTGGAAGCTTGCTTTGGCGGGCAGTATGGGTATGTTTAATCACCACTGATCCGACTTGCGTAATTAACCGTGGTGCAGCGGGAGGTATCGCTGGAATCGTCGGTAATCCCGGAGGTACGTATGGTCATGCTTCATTATTTGTCGCCTAATCATGACAGCATGCCCGACTTGAATCTCAAGAGATCATGATGGTCAGTACCTGTCGGCATAAATTTTCACAGTTCGTTGACACCGTAGTTAGGTCCGTCTTCAAGGGGATCACGCGAAGCCCCCAGAGAAACGCTTGAACTACAAGAACTGCATTGACGGTCTCATCCGCGTAGGGATTATACTTTTAGCAGCGTATATTCTGTTGCTGACATTACCGTGGTCAGATGGTCCGCGAAGAGGGTGCTTCGTCGCTCACGCGAGGCATTGGCCCGAACGTTTTCCGTGCGATACTCATGAATGCAAGTCAACTAGCATCGTAAGTCTTTCCATGCGATTCAGCGATCTCAGCTCGAACCCATACATGATCCACTGCCAGATACGACTTCTTCAAGCATGAGCTGCTGAAAACTAGGTATTTCGAGGATAACATCACCGTTCACGTTGCGGCTAGCTTTGCTGCTGTATGTGTTCGTATTGCAATTCTTCATAACCCTTTTTGATTCCCTATGTAGGGTACGGTCGCGACTACGGTTTGCTCGCCGGCTGACGTCTTGAAGGTCGGCTAGATCATGCTTCACGAAAGTTCGCGGTCTGACCAGTTATCGCACAGAGTCGCATCATGACGGCCACAGGCAAGGAGGCATCTGTTAGTCTTCATCTTTCACATACGATTCCTATATTGACCAACCTCTAGTCGACTATGCAAGTGATCAAAACGTCGTTCCGCAACGAGGGCGCCATGTTCATGTTCAAAGGATGGCTTCCTGCATGGACCAGGTTGCAACCCACGACCATCCTCATCTTCGTCACGCTCGAGCAACTCAGGAACCTCGTCGACTGGACTCGTGAGAAGCGCGGGAAGGACTAGCGTGCGTTGCTGGCGGAGCATTGCAAATATACCTTACGGGAAATGTACAATTGATGAAGGGTGTAGCACAGTTGTTGTACATGTTTGAGTACAGATCTAATACATCTTGTACACCTCTCTGAGAACAGTCTGACTCGAGGCGAACGCGATACTAATACACGTGACCGCGACTTGCGCAAATCTATTCAGGTGCCTGCTCATCAAGCCACTTCTTGACCTGCTCTTCCAACCACTCCCAAAGTCGCTGTCCGACATTCGGATCATTGGCCTCTCTGCGTGCTTTGCCTATCCTTGCCCATGGGATCAAGTACTGGGTGTTTTCATGATTTAAGTCGCAATTGTGTATCCCTAACAATGTCAGCAGACACACCTTGCCGCCGAACTCCACGCCCTCGGGCGCCGTCCCTGCGTATAGCTGTGTAAGAGCACCCATCTGCGTGCTGGACTGGAGTGGGTTCTATCCGGTGTCAGGTGAACGCGGGCAAGTTGTACGTAGAACTCACTGTCAGGCCAACCACCCTGGCCAGTAAGGAGGTGTGCCGCTCGTTGTCGAGCTTAGTGTTTCCGGGATGGAGGGATACGGAGACTAGCCCTCGATTGGAGTACCGCCTGTGGAACTCCTTTGCTATGACCACGTTTCCCTGACCATCGCAGTTTCAGCTCAGTAAAAAAAGTCTGCGAGACCGTGACCGTTAGCGCGACGCACGAATTTGCTGTGGAAATACAGCTGGATCGAGCTGTGCGCCCTCCGCCGCGGGCAATCCTCGACGATGTGGTAGTCGATCCCGGAGACGTACAGATGCCCCATGGACGCAGTGTGAACCACGCGAGCTTTTCTCGTTGCGGAGGACTGCGCTGTGCTGAGCAACAGGGGAATAAGCAGCTTCGTAAAGTAGAAATGCCCTGTGCACACACAGTCTGAAGAAGCTAAGATATGGAATATGCAGGTGCCTTACCAAGGACGTTGGTCCCAAATTGCATGTCGTAACCCTGAGCAGTGATTTCCTCGACCGGCGGATACACGGCGCCTGCATTATTAAAGAGGACGTCGAGCCGCTCCTCTTTACTGTAGCGGCGCTCAGAGTGAGCCAGACGAAGTTTGACTGAGTACAGAAAGGTAATCAAATTACCTAAGAAACTCTTCCGCTGCCGCCTTGATGGACGACAGGTCAGCGAGATCGACCACCATGGGAAGTGCTTCTCGCCCCGTTTCCTCCTGCAACTCCTTAATGGCCAGTTGCATCTTCTCAGGATTGCGTCCAGCCATGTATACCTTGGCATTGTGCGACAACAGTGCCTACTGCGCTTCTCAGGAGACCTATAAGTAGGAAGGGCAATGCACGTACCTTGACGGTTTCCCTACCGATGCCGGCATTTCCTCCGGTGACAATGATGACTTGGCCCAGCAGGTCAGGCATCTGCTCGACTGCCCACTTGGGCTTCGGAGGAAATAGGTTCGTCAATGTGCTCAACATACCGCACGAATCGGTGGAATCGAAAAAGTCCACGACTTGCAGACGAGTCCGTCAGTTTGGCCTTACTACAAAGCCTTGAGAGTGGAAGAAGTACCGCGGATTAAATAAAGGATGACCAAGTATACATAGGCCTGGGAGACCGTATGGTGTCATATTGCTGCGGAGAGAATCGTGGCATGCTGTTATTCGAACGAACGTGGGTAAGCAGGAAAACGGAAAAGTCCATCGACACTTCGGATCTGCTAGATGCTCCCTTTGTTACCCTCACAGGATCGACGTACGCCTACTTCTCAGCGGGCGATGGGTATAATCTCGGAGTCGCTAACGCCATGCTGGCGGGCCGAGCTGTTCCGGGAAACACAGGAAGCATCACTTTTATCCATTGGAAATAACCTGGCAAAAAGCATGGAAATCAATAATATATTTTCAGAGGAAAAACCTCGAGAAAAAAGTGAGAAAAGAACAAAACATTCTCACGGTTTTTCCCATGGAAATAAGTTGCCTACCATATCAGGCAACTGGACATGCCAGGACATGCCAAATCCCGGACAAAATTACCATATTTGGCGACCAACTTATTTCCAGTGGAAAAACTGCGGAAATGCTTTGTTCTTTTTAAACATTTTTTCCTCATGTTTTTCCTGCAGTATAACTTTATTGATTTCCACACATTTTTCCAAGTTATTTCCTCGGGAAAAAAAGGGTTATGCGTCCTGTGAAAGGAAGGAGAGTATTTTGGCGCCAACAACTCCGAGCACAACTCCGAGCACAGGACGCATAACCCTTTTTTTCCCGAGGAAATAACTTGGAAAAATGTGTGGAAATCAATAAAGTTGTACTGCGGGAAAAACATGAGGAAAAAATGTTTAAAAAGAACAAAGCATTTCCGCAGTTTTTCCACTGGAAATAAGTTGGTCGCCAAATATGGTAATTTTGTCCGGGATTTGGCATGTCCTGGCATGTCCAGTTGCCTGATATGGTAGGCAACTTATTTCCATGGGAAAAACCGTGAGAATGTTTTGTTCTTTTCTCACTTTTTTCTCGAGGTTTTTCCTCTGAAAATATATTATTGATTTCCATGCTTTTTGCCAGGTTATTTCCAATGGATAAAAGTGGTAATGCTTCCTGTGGAGTCGTGGCTTTCAAGGTTCCAGATTGCCAAATGTCTACAAAAGTAAGTATTCTGCAACTTCGGTGGAAGACACATGCAGCCGCTCTCGTGTCGACAATATTACAGGATGTGAGATGAAAGGAGACATCAGACAAACCTCGGACAACCCGTCCCGGGAGCACGTGACCTCCTCTGGAATCAATGTTCGGTTCTCGCTTTAGTCCCGTACTCCTCGGCTTTAGTTACTTACAGCAGAAATGCCAGAGCGCGTGGCTATACCCTCCAGTCCCATTGCTACCGACTCCGAGACGCGCATTCTGCAGGCCTTGCCGCTAAATGGCATCACTATTCCAGCAACTCCAGAGCAACACATGCTTGCGGTGACATACCAGAACATTGTCCTCAACAAATTCAAAGATGACTCGTCAAAGGGTAACTATCAACCGTTCTGTCTAAGTTTGCCACTCATTATTCCATAGCTGCCGTGAAGGGTCAGGCCGAGCAGGCTGTGATGTTCGTTGACAAAATTGGTATGTGCCACACCATTGCGCATTGCATTAATTCTGGAACTTAGCACCCGTTCCACAGCCGGTTTAAGAGCCATGCACCAGGAGATAGATGGTGTGGTGACGCGACAGTTTGAGCAGCATGCGGTGGAGGCTGTAGACGGTGTGGCTGACAGAGTGTTCCAGAAGATTAGCCAACAGCTACAGGTCATTATCGAAACAATGGGCACAAACAATACGAGTCTCAATGAACGCATAACAACGCTGGATGAGGACATTGGCAAACGCTTCGACAACTTCGACAACCGCATCAAAACGCTGCAGGAGGACGTTGACGGCCGGTTCAAAACACTCCAGGAGGACGTTGACGGCCGCTTCCAAACACTCCAGCAGAACGTTGACGGCCGCTTCCAAACACTCCAGCAGAACGTTGACGACCGCTTCCAAACACTCCAGCAGAACGTTGACGGCCGCTTCCAAACACTCCAGCAGAACGTTGACGGCCGCTTCCAAACACTCCAGCAGAACGTTGACGGCCGCTTCCAAACAATCCAGCAGAACATGGATGCCCACGTTCAGACACTCGGCCAGAGGATTGATCATCTGCAAGTGTCCATCATGCGTCTGGATGCTCGTGTGAGTGCAGCTGCCCACTCGTTGATTGATCATATCTGATAGGCCTTCCTAAACCAGGTTGCCAATACTATTGCAGGGCGGAGCTCTGTGCAGATGCAGCTGGTCCCGATTGGTGATGACTTGGGCCAAACTGCACCTCAGGTACCTGTGCTGTGTACTTTTCTGCATTCTGTTGCGCGCTCACGAGTGTTGTTTGTCCAGGGGCACCAGCCACTCACTAATCGCAATCAGATTGAGAACATGACTGCGTCCGACCTTACGCTTTGGCTCAACCACTATCACATCACTGTTCCCCATGGCGTTGTAGATCGTCGCCGAGCCCTCCAACAGTTCTACGGAATGGTGTGATGTGTGATTGCTGTTACTTGGAAGGACTTGCTGCTCATGTATCCGTATACCATTTACAGCTACAGTTATGGTTGACTTGTATATTCTAGTACTTACTCTCATCCTTTCTGTATCCCCCACCGGGCCCAACACATGATCATGTCGACTTCCCCAAGTCTGAAGTCCATAGTTGAAGATGATGCGGTCACTTCTTGGCAAGATACTGACGGAGGATAAACTGCGCCCACTCAAACTTGGGTACTGTTCAACGTTACCAAGTGAGAGTAAGTCCACATTGATGCAACCGCTGCGCTCATGGCAGGCTCGAGAATGCACGATCCCTTCATTAATGGGCACGTCGCTCTCAGCAACATACTGTATCATTTCGACCATTCCGTGGTCACGCGCGCGCATGTCCCCGGACGGCGTGGATAGCACTTTCTCCTGTTGGTTTAAGGTATGCTCTTTCCCTTGCCCGAAATATGGCGAACTACGGCTACGACGGATAGTCGTTGAAGACGGGGTTGATGTGACATCGGTATAAATCAACGTTGACGATATATAGAGGAACGACTCTTTCTTCCTATATACTAGAGGCTGGTTAACGAGCCTATGTTGACGATTCGTCCCGTACTGACCGATCCGTCGACACATCTCCATCCCAATTCTTATTACCAGCCGAACGTTCCTAGCGGCCGGATTTGTTGGCATTATGTGCCCTCGGTATAATCCACTGTTCTCCTCATGCGAATCTTCAAGCCAAAGTGATCTCTTTTTATCTTCCTAGGTCTTTTCTTCCACGTGTTGTAAATGGTTCATCAGCTGTCCAAAAAGGTACGCCCTCTCATCTCCCGTTTCACTATGAAATTGTCCACATCATAGAGACATGTCCATCGCGGTAGGTTGCGAGAATTCACTGAGTAAATTATATTCTGTGAACCCGTTTCTTCGACCCACAAATTTTTCTTGACTCCTGGACGGAGGAATCGACGAAGCAACCAGCCCCGACGAAGCCTGGCAGCACAAGCTCTACGGCTATATCGTCGAGGATGACTTCGCCGAGGTACGCGAATGCTTCGATGGGATGACTATCTCGGAGCAATCTAAAGTACGCGTTCATGCACTATGTCGGCGGGCCTCCGGCCTTGTGCCCAACAGCGAGAGGCGATCGAGGAGGATGACTGGGATATCAATATTCGCACCCTTCGAGAAGTCAGGGAGTCATACGCCAAGTGCTTGTAAAGTACCGCTCTGCCTACGGGAATTATTCTTTAATTAACAGCTTTGGGCGGTTTCGTTGCATCCACCACAGTTATGCTCTATTGCAGATCCAGCAGTGTACTGTTTCGAGGAGGTTCGTTACGTAGTAGTTACTATCTGCTCCGAGAATCAATCCTCGTCCTCTCTTTCCTGTTGGCTGTGATTTTCGCCGTCGTTATCTGCAGCTTCCGCGTCCACACCGGTGTCAATACTGCCCACAGGCGGGAACCAGCCCCATCGCCGCAGATCGACTCTCATCTCCCCCGTGCGACCGTCTATGACCTCAACGCCCTCCGCCTCGAGCGCTTCCCGCTGGCGTTGTGCACCGTCCGTCTCTGGGCCACGCGATGAAATCACGCCAGAGGCGGCGAGGACGCGGTGCCAAGGGATGGGAGGCTGCACACCGGGCATGAGAAATTTCAGAGCTAGCATGATGTGCATCGTGGTTGTGAGGCATGCAAAGATCGCTGGAAAAGTTATTAGGCGCATACCATACCTTGACCTACATGTCGGGCATGCCTGGGCATACCGACAAGCTTTGCGACGTGTCCTGCGCGAGACAAATGAATAATCCGCAAGGTGAACCGCAAAAAAATATCTGCGCACCATATGATGTGACATGTTGCTGTGGGATCTGGCGGACGACATTGTACACCTCGTATAGACTTTAGATCCGACGGTCTATGAGGCGCAATGGAGCGCACGTACCGCTTCATGAAATTGAGCGCTGTCCATAGAATCTCTCTGCTCTATGAGCACATAAATACAACCACAAACTTTATTGTGATATCTCTGGGCCTCACTGTGAATGGATGTAGGCCAGCGCTCGAAGAGCAGCTCAACACGAATGCTCGAGTTCGATCAATGACTTTTTGGCGCTTGCTGAACATGGCACGATCACGTGAAATCGCGCTGCCGCCGATCACGATTCTACTGCGTATACCGTGACGACCGTGACTCTATCTGGCATATAGATCCTACTAACCACAGGTTCCCAAAGGCACCAACTTGTGAGTCCACGTAACTGTCGACTTTCACATCTAATTTTCTAATAACGTCGGCAACTCAGCGAAGAATCCCTGGGACATTCCTGTAAGAGTAAACACCCTTTATTCCTACAATCTCTGCGTTAACCTTGCCCTGAATGTGACGAAAGTCTCAGCAGCTCATTCAATTACAAGAGCATTCCTGCAACATGGATCCGCCCCCGAAATGGCCGCCGTATATCCTCGAGCAGTTCAAATGCATCCATCCCGACACGGCAGACGAATACGAATTCTACGGCCCATACAACACACTCCTCATGGACCTCTTCCCGCCCAAAGAACACTTCCAGGTCTGCCCGCAGCCCGCACAATCCTTGACTAGTTCCACCGCGACCAATTTCGCCTTCGTCGTGAAGCACCACGGGCGCCCGGTCTTCTTCCTGCACGTCAAGCCCGGCGTGCACATTAAGCGCTTGACAGACCGTGTCGAGGCAGACTTGCAGATGCGGCGGTGGTTCGAGGCGCTCGTGGACGAGTGCAAGCTCCCCGTGCTATATAGCGTCAGCGCTCTAGGCACACGCATCGCTTTCTACTCGTGCGATCGCGAGACGGGGTACATCGATCCGCTTTCGATAGAGCGCAATCTTGATCGGGTTACGGATACCGCACCGGCAACGCATTGGAATGTGGATGTCCAAACTGGGGCCCCGTTGATGCAAGAGAGTCTTCGCAGAATCAGAACGATGCTCGCAGAAGTGGAGCGGGAAGAAAGGGAGGCGGCAGAAGAGAATTTGGATGAAGAGTAAGATCAGTTGGACCGTAGGAATAAGTACTTGCAGTTTTCGGAGTTCGCGCTGGAAGGTGTGTTTGCCTGAACTTGGATAAACACATTCTCGACCTTGACTTTTACTTGACGATCATCACTTTATGTATGTTTCTCTTATTTTGCATCCGTCAACCCGATGCCTTGGCAGTCCCAGCTCCTTCAGATGCCTACGTGTGATCTCCCGAGAAAACGAATCTGCACCGCCATGGGAACTCGGCACTGCGTGCACCTTGTACGCAAAGTCAATCTTCCGGACGGTGTAGTGAGCAGTGTACACAGGTATACGCGATCCGACCGTGCATATCATGCCTACGGCAAACCCGGCATTGTGGCAAGACTTGCCCAGGCCCATCCCATCGAAGAGCATTTGCGCAGCCACATTTACTGGCTCACCGTGTCGGTGAGCAATTGAGAACTTGTGGAGAAAATCCTCCAGACTCACTGACGGGCTGCTTCCAAGAGGATCGTCCGTGCGACGACTTTGACGGCCAAAATGCTTAAATTCCAAGACGTCCAAAGAGATAAATTTGACCGTGACTTCCAACCGAACGTCCCTGAAAAATTAGCTGGCGACTGGCGGACACATCTTCCTAGTTTCATGAAATTTGCATGTGCCAATTGTAAAGTTGGTTTTCTCCATTAATTAGACGTTCTTCGGTGATACTTACTCGTGACCAGGCTACTCTGCGGACACCACCACCTACCTACCGCACACTACTACAATATTGATGACTGACACTAGCAGATCCACGACGATCGGAGGATGGAGACACCAGTGTCGGCTCACCTGTTGAGCACTGTCTCCTGAGAAGCGGTTGTACATGCCCGATCGCATTCAGAAACTTGATTACAGACTACCTATCAGAGGGTGTTCTGAAGATGATCGCCTACGGGGTGCGGGTTGGTTTGTCCATGCTCGAAGGTGATGACTTCGACGCTCACAGCGCATGCCAAGGGTCTCCGAATACTCTGCAATGTTGGCGATCAGTACCCAGCCGAAACAAAAAAGCCCGAATGCATCTATTTGTATACTCCACGTACTTACAGACATCATGCACACAAATGGTGGCTATGTCTCGTTGTAAATGCTTTACTTGAAGGGTCAAGCTCGCGGCATCTCTACGATGTCAAGGTCGCCTGCAAGGTCTCCGCCTACATCCACCACTCCAGCGTTCTCCTCATCGGCAGCCGGCTCTGTATCGTCAAAAGGGCCAAAGTTCAAGGATGCTCCCATGCTCCCGACGAAGCTGGGGGCGAATCGAATCTCGGACCGACAAGAAACGACGAATGACGGCCGAGTGCCGTTCATACCGTACTCATTGTCATGATTGACCTTGCGAAGGTTCAGCAAAAACCGAGAGATGATGATGTTGCTGAGTCTGGTCGGGTAGAAATTTGCATCAGAAGTATACGGAGATGACCCGCTTGTTGACTCACGCGATGGTGAAGTACGGGATGTCGATCTCTGTCTGTACAATTGCAAAGTGAGCATATGCTGACGGGGAAGGAAGCAATGCGTACGGCGACGAAACAGCACGTCAAGTCCGCAGCATTCAGGACGACCAATAAACTACGTGGTACGTCAGCATGGACAGTCGCACGAGAGATGTGTAATACACACCCGAAGTAGAGAGTGCCTGGAAACAGCGGACGTCAGAAACATACGGAAACGTATACAACTCGAGCACTTACCATCGCGAAGAAGAAGAGAAGCCAACGGTGTCTTCATACCGATCTGATCCGCGCTTCTCTGAAGCTTGTAGGTCTGAATCCAAGTGACAGATAATGCTATGGCATCTGCAACGATGAGACAGGCGCGGTTCAAGATGAAAACTGCAGTTCGGGGTGGTCGTCTCGTCAGAAGTCGAGGCACCTCGCAAGATCACGTACATCTGCCTGTGCTGTGAGCCAGATGCCAAGAAATATGAGGTAGTGGCCTACTAACTTGTCAGAAGTTTCCGGAGATAGTGCACTCTTAACTTCGCATTGAGTGACAGCCGAAGAAGACCCCAGCACAATGCTGATTTCAAGAACCTGCACTGAGCCATCAACACCAATTTCAAGAGAATGGCCATCGTGATATACCAGATTTATTGCAATAGGAACTAAGCACAATACGTGCACAAACAGGGCAAGTCTCCAGTCGTGGCAAAGGGCATATACTCGCAGAGCCGAGAACGCTAGAAGTGTGCCAAATCAGCCGATTTTTAGGAAAGTTATACGCCACGGGTGGATGTCGGGTGGACGCACTAACCTGCTGTAAGGATATTAGAAGGATAGAGTAGTCGAGGCGTCGGAGTTAGCCGAGGCGTTGAATACGCGCTCAACCGCGTAGATGGGTTTTTCGTCTTTACTTTACTCGCTGAAAACTTGCCTTCCGAATACACTCGGTTCAGTGCATTTCCCGCGACTTAAGGACCATCAAAGGCCGCAAAAGCCTTATACCTGCCCATACTAGGGACATCAGATAGAAGAAACCTGACCAAAAATAATACATAGATTCCCATCTGTAACAGTGCTCGTGTCAGATTTCACCATCTACTCTTACAGGAATGGGGACCTTTTAATAGGCTTTAATGGTGAGAGCACGTGAGAAATAATTGCGGACAAGCGGGGCGGGAACCCACAGTAGTGCAGTCCCAGTACGGCAAGAACAGCAGTGTTGCGAGTGCATGTCCAAGGCCAAAAAACCGATTCATGTGGAAGAGTAATGTAGATGCCGTTATCTTACTGCCCCAGATGAACTGCACCTCTTGGGAGAAGGTGACGATGTGGTCATGTAATATGAGCACTGTGGTTATCAGCAGCCTCAACAAATATGTATACTCCAATGAGCACTCACCAGCAGCTGCTGCCAGGTAGTAAGTGTCTACGATTCTGGCAATATATCGATATTTCAGTTCAAGCAAATATAGCAAAGCCACGAACCCCTGGGATACATCAAGAATGATGTCCTGGTTGGAGGTCGTTGCCGACATTGGGACAAACGGGTAAGGGGTCTTTCAAACAGCTCTTATAATATCCCCGTTCGAAATACCTGTACTAGATCGTAACTTCTCGTGTTGATGTTATCTGACTTCACAGCATCCGGGCAATGGACCCATCTAAAAAAGTATTGGTGTGAGGCTACCATATGCAACGATCATGCTCCTTGACGATTTGACCTTTGAAACTTCCTTGCAACTGTTAGGTAAGTGAAGGTGTATCATGACTTACACGTGGCCGCGTATAATTGCGGATAATCAGAGGTCTACGTTTGGAGACAAAGCTAAGACCAGGTAATGAAGAAGCCAGGCCACTGGAAAGTTGCTGACTGCCCCCAACAAACTTTGCACGCTGATATGCAAAGCACGGTCAGCGAATTCCAAAGAAGAAGATGTCATAGAAGAAGAATCAGTTTCCCAGCCGTCGGAGGCAATGCAGGCGAGCACCTTGTATCCGGAAAGTTCCATGTTACTTGGAAGATGTGGAAACCGAGTCAGATGCGCAGCCACCGAAACATAGCATACGTACTACTTTCTACATCTATAGAATGAGGTTGCATAGGAACTACCCCATTCAAAGGCGTGCACATCTGCACGATATCGAACGGTCGTCATCTGCGAAAGAATTGGCACAGTATGGGACCGAGGCAGGTCAGGATTCGCGACGTCATCGCTGGCCAGCAACGGTAGACCAGTTGAAAGCGGTGTGCTTTTTGACCAGAACGACATATCGCCTTGCAACCCCAATCACCCTCCGCGCAGCACACTCACATCGACTCGGCTTGGGCCAGAGTTAGCGACCGGCACCACCGGTAAGGAGGGGGGGCGTCCACGTGCCGACCCCCACCTCGCCTACTGAATACTGGATACTGAGCGGCGGAACCGAGTTCGGACGATCCAGGCCGCGGCTACGCGCGAACGAGAACGAACACATCGCACGGGCAGGCACGCAACCACAGCCACAGCAAACAGGGCTCACCTGTCACCCAGGGGGGGGGACCAATAGGACAATCGTGTGAGGCGCAGTCGCGCGTCGCGCTGCGGAGCAGGTAGGGCACGAGAGAGGTGCCTGTGACGTGCTCGCAGATCTCAGCTGCGCACGGGATAACGAGGGCGCGATGAGCTACGAATATCCGATGAGGCGTGGTGCGCGGTGGGAGAGCGGGCACGCATGGCAGAAGTAGGCGCATAGATACAGCCTCTAGGTAGCGGAAGACGGTCTTTCCTCTCTGACAGAGGGTAGAAGCTCTGGCCTGTAATCAGTGTTGATACTCCTCCGCGTTCACGGTCGATCGCGTACGGCATGTGGAATGAATAAATTCGGGGAAGTCGTAGGCTTCACCGATGGGGAGCGTGTCAATACGGTGCTGAGCTCCGGAAGGTGGTCCACGCTCACCTCGGCTCTGTGCTTGTCGGACCACCACCAGTGATGCGCAAGGGCTTAAGCTAGCGCCGCAGCTGGTGTGAACTTCCCCCTCCCCCCAAAAAAAAGAAAAATCAAAAAATACACTTCCGATATACTACCCACAATACTTGACCATCTCCAAAGACAAAAAGCCGCCCCTCACAACGAAAAAATACCAACTTTATCGTCCGCGCCACGTCACACCCGTGCACACGAAGGGAAGGCGCACAAGTCGGAAAAAAAAAGGGAAGGAAGACCAGCAAACCGGCTACAACTTCGAACCACGGCAAAAACACGATCCATGCGGGCAGAGCATCCAGCGTCAAATCGTCGAACTCGTCGCTGTCAACAACCTCCGCGCAGTGACCGGACGACACCCACAGCCCGGTCTTCGATCCAAAAAATAAATATATAAACTACACGCACCCCGCGGCGGCGAACCCAGTCCGGCCGTTCCTCAAGAGGACGAACGCGTACTGAATACAGGTTCGACTTCTACAGGACGGGCCGAACACGGCCCCACGAACGCGAGGAGCGGCAGCGAAACGACCGAAAAAAACACCTCTCGCCACCAGTGTCGCAGGGGACGTGCGCGCACACGCGAAGGATAGACGAACTGCACAGACACCGCACACCGGCAGAGGACCTGCAGCCGCCCGACCGAGTTCAGAGCGGCCCCCCCCCCCCCATACCGATATCGGATCGTCCAGTATGGCGAACTCGGGAAGCGTTACTTCGTCCCGTGGCGAGCTCGAAAGGCGACGGCGCGGCTTTGCCGCCGACCCCAGGGCGCTTGCGCACACTGCGACTCGACGCCCTATAGCCCGCATAAACATGCCGATCAGCACACAGCCCGACTCGACCCAAAACGAAATATACGCACCCCCAGGCTCGGCTGGAGTCTACACACCCAGTCTGACCGCTCCTCGAGAGAGCTGGTTCGCCAGTCCCATCCGTCGAGTTTCGACGCAGCACACTGCACATTGCAGAGGACCCACGGCCGTCCACCGCGGTCACTCCAGAATTCACCCACGACAGACCGAGTCCAGCGTCCTCCACGAAGACGCCACTCCCATCACGGCAGACCCACAACACGATGGTAAGGATCGTCCGTCGACGCCAGGCCCGACGCCCACCCAAAGAAGCGAGCACACCCGAACCGACCGCCGCCGGCTGTCCGCAACTATCGACCAGAACGCAGCCGTAGACCAACCCAATAATACATTCCGCGCCCCCAATCGATATCCGCATCCGGCGACCGAAGCGACTCCGTCCCTCCCAAACGCGAAAAAAAGGACGACGACGAACAAGCCCTCCGCCCCGCCACCCCACACCGGCACACGCCTGCCGCACACACCTCTTTCAAATTCAAAACCGCGGGCGGGGACGGGGGGCGGACTGATCCCCTCGCACCCTGGAGACGCGGTCGGACCCAAATTCCAACCTGCGTGCGCTTTCTCGCGCGGAGGTGCGGGCAGTCCCTCCACCGAGCACGCGGCGAGCACCGAACGGGTACGGCGTGCAGCACCAGGGAGGGGAGTCCACGTGTCGATCCCCCGCTCGCTCATTGCGTGCTGGGTGGCGGAACCGAGCTCGGACGACCCGGGTCGCGCGCCGAATAGGCGGGGGGCCGACACGCGAATAACAACACACAACGTGCATACCGCATGGGCAGGCACGCGTCGCCCGGGGACCTATATTTAAGAACTCGCGCGCTGCGGCGGAGGCGGCTTGCAGATCGTAGCTGCGCACGGGGGGGTAACGAGGGCAGGGTCGTCGGCGCGCGCCGAACATGGACATATACCGAGTACGCCGCCGGAGCCTATCCGGATGTCGGACGGACGTCTTCAATATAGCGTTGATATCCGAGAATAGTCACTGCGCGCTATGTCCGCCGGTGTCGCAGAGATATCTTGCTGATATCAAAGTCTAATATCGGCGTATGAGCTGAGTCCGAGAGCGCAGAGACGTCTGAGCTGGGGGACCAAACCAGCCCGAGGCAAGGGGCAAAGAGTCGACGCGCTCAGCGGGGATCTAACTGCGGAGCGCACATTATCAACTGAGAAGCTGTACAAGTGCACCGGCTGACCTTGTATTTAGGTGAAGACAAATTGAATGTACCCAAATGCTCCTTCCTTGAGGGATTTTGCGAAACAAGGACTTGGGGATATTTTTGTGCTGTGCGTCCATTGTGCGTGACCTCTGCCGACCGTCGGATATCATATGCGCGAGATTCAGTACTTGGTGGGCGGTGGGAGAGCGGAGAGCACGCTCCGCAGCCGCAGCCGCAGCAGAGTAAGTTAGGACCGTGGAAACGACGGAAGGTGGGGAAGCAGGCTTGTAGAGCGGAGCCAACGGGTCGCGACGCGAACGCGAATGCGGAGCGAACTCGCAAGTCTGCATTTCCGTTTGGAGTGATCATGCGTGGGACGGTGGGAGGACGCGTAGTGGAGTGTTGAAGCTTGAGCTTGAAGCTGGAAGAGTACTTGGGGTGCGCGAGGGTCGGCTTGGCGGAATGCGAGAAGCCTGATCTGGAAGTAGGATCCAGGATGGGGCCTCGAGCCCAGCCTGAAGTAGTCCGGAGGCGGTGATGACGATGATGTGGCGGGGTCAGCACGGTGAGCGGTGTCAGAGCGTGCAGCGTAACCTCGACACCCACACGGGCGCTCCGGCGCGTCTCTGTCCTCGCTAGGCCGGGTGCGCCAAGACGGAGGAAGCGGCCGTGACGCCGGGGCCGGCCGCGGCATGGCACGCGTGTTGCGTTGCCAGCGAGGTGCAGACTTCCCCCATTGGTGGGCGCACGATCTGCCCCACATCAAAAGCCAGCACAAGCCTCAAAACGGGCCACCCTCCCTCGCACTCCATATCCACCACGTCCCTCCAGCCAGCACGTCGCAGCGCCGCACTGACCCCCGCCGCCTGTTCACCCGCGTCATCAGCCCCCCGGCGCCCGCCAGCATGTCCGCGCTCGCCCGCCCGCTCGCCCGGCCCCCGCCCGTCTTCACCGCCGCGCCCGTCCCGTCCCCCACCAGCGCCGCAGAGTGGAAGCACGAGCCCTCGACCCTCGCCGTCCTCTTCGGCCTCCGCCTCCCCTACCGCCCCCCGCGCTCCCCCGCCGCCGCCTTCCTCTGGCGCCGCCGCCTCTGGTTCGAGACCACCTTTGCCCTCTCCATGATCCAGCCCTGGGAGAAGGTCCTCGTCCGTCAGTCTCCTCCCTTCTCTTTTTCCTTCTTCCCCTTACCTTTCCCTATTCTCGCGCGCTCCTGCTGACCCCCACACAGTCCTCATCTCCTACGCCACCCTCCTCTTCGTCCTCCTCGCAGCGTACGCCTACCTCCCCGCCCACCTCACCTACCTCCGCGCCCGCGCCGCCTACTACCTCCTCGGCGCCGAGCCCGACCCCCGCCTCGCCTCCGCCTGGGGCGCCGTCGCCGGCTTCGTCGCCGACTGGAACGCCAGCGTCGCCCCCGCAGCCGTCAGCGAGCTATAGCCGCGACAGCGGACGGAGGACGGAGGATACAGGGTAGGGGTTACAGTGGCGTTCTTGGTTCGGAGCGAGGATCTTGGGTTGGGTGGAGGCCCGCGTGGAGGAAGAGGGCGGGATACTGTCGTCCCCGGCGGACGGAGTGCGGGGGCGTGGGGACGACGCGTGCCCGCCTGTGAACAGGCTCGGCCTCGGATGTGTATTATCGTACGTGCGCGTAATTCAGAGGCGTGGATGTATATACCCGTGGACGGCGGCGCACGCCTGTCGCATTCTCCGCTCTCCTCAAGCTTACCCCCCGAACGCTGCTGCACGCCGGGACCGGCCGTGCCATCACTGGTATCGTCATCGGACTGCGATTCCCCCCACCGACGTGAGCGCTGTCAGATTCGGACGCGGACGTGCAGCAGCTGGCACATGTGTATCTATATGTTATATACCAGTCGTGCGAGTCCGCGGTGAGAACGACGCAGGCAGTATACGACCCAGCTGCTGAACTGCCTCGCAAATCACCGGCCGCACCCCTTGGCATCCAGTCCAGAGAGCAACGTATATACCTCCGGGTTCAAAAGCGCTCGTTCGAAGCACCCCGCTGAAAACCCAAGTGCCGCCCGGGCTCGTCCCCATAAACCACACCAGGCGCACCCCAGCCAAAACTCAAAAGCACACTATAGTCTATATACGATATCGACCGCACACCGCGAAATAAAACGCATCCCACTCCCGCTCCTCAACAATCAAACCCAAACACGAACCCCTTCTTTTCGCCCTCCCCCTCCTCGCCCTCCTCGCCCTCCTCGCCCTCGCCAACGGGAGCACGCGCGGGACACACCCCCGCGCCAAACTCCTCGCTCAACAGCAGCCCCACCGCGTTGCGCGCCGCGAGCGCCTCCGTCTCCATCGTCGAGATGAACCTGCGCGTGCAGCGTGTCAGCGTCAAGCGTACAATCCACCGGGGCACGGAACGAGAAGGAGAACGCAAGAAGAGGGAGGGGGGCGCGATCGCGAGACGCGCTCCTCCGCAAAGTGCGAGAAAATGTGAGTTGGGGAGTTCTCGCGGCGATGTGGAGCGAAGGGCACGAAGGGACGCGCGCGCGACGAGGGCAAGAAATTACACACCAGGCTCTCCAGGGGGAGGAGCTGTCGCGAGGCGTGCGCATTTAGAACAGCGGCAAGAATGGGTGTGCGATGCTCGTCACCAGGTGTGATTAAAAAAAACAAATTTGAGAAGCGGTCAGAGCGCCATGCGTGCAGAGGTGGAGCAAAACCCGCACATCGCCAAGGGAGAAAGAAACAACACGACCACCGGGGAACAGCAACCAACACCGGAAGAGAGACACGACCAAAAAAAAAAATACACGCACGGCTCGAACGCGTTCACGTAGTACAGCCCCTTCGCAAGCCTAATCGGCGGGAACCTCGCCGTCGGCCGCAGCACCGGGTACGCATCCCACTGCACCCAAAAAAAAAAAACGAAAACCATCAGCGACCGCACCCACCCAACACGACGCCAAACGCACCTCCTTCCGCAGCACCCACCCCACATCCCCAAACACGCCCTCCAGCCACGCGTCCCCCACGCGCTCCCGGGAGAATATCTTGACCACCCACTCCTCCGGCACCGCCTCCTCCCCGTCGCGCCGCCGCACGCGCCCGTGGTACGTCAGCGAGTTGAACTCGGGCGCGCGGCCCCCCCGCTCCGCCCCCGCGCTCGTCGTGAGCACCTCCGTCGGCGGGCGCGCGACCCCAAAGTACGCCGCCGACGGGCGCGGCGTGCGCGTGCTCAGCAGCGTGACGTGCAGGTGCACGTACGGCTGCGGCGGCACGAGCGCGGCTACCGCCGCCGGGAGCGCGAGCGCGCTCGTGTGGAACGGCGCGGCGAGCACGACGCCGCGGTATGTCTGCGTCTGTGCCGTGCTTGCGTCTGAGTTGCTGCTGCTGCTGCTGCTGGTGAGCACCCAGCCGTGCTTCGTCGGCACGAGGCTCGTCACCTGGCGCTGGGTGAGTGGCAACGAAGCGGGGAGGAAAGAGGGAAGGGGAGGACGCACGGAGGTGTTCAGGTGCACGGACGCGTTGCTCCGCGCAAGGAACTGCTCGAAGAGCTGGAAGTTCCCGCCCTTGACGCTCGTCGCGCCCGTCGCCGCGAGGGACGCCATGCCCTCCAGCGCGTGGATCCTGTGTGCGTTCTGCGTCACGATCAGCGGGGGCACAGAGCGCGCGCGCGGAGCGGAACGGCGATGTGCGCACCTGCCCGTAGTTGACGCGCGTGACGGCGTCGATCACCTCCCGCGTCCACCGGCGGTCCACGCCCTGCAGGTCAAAGTACTCCGTCGTCGTCTGCGCGATGACGCCCGCCCATCCGAGCGTGTCTGCCAGCGCGGTCATGTTGGGGAAGCCCGGCGTGCCCGGTGCGTACAGCGTGAGCATGTCCGACACCATCGATCGGACGCTGCACAGCAACTCAGTGTGCTGTCAACACAAACGAAAGAGCTACGCACAGAGCTTGCGTTTTCCGCGGTGCGTGGTAGCCATACCGCCAGAGCGCCTTCAGGGTGTTCCACCACCCGCCGAAGAAGCCTCCGCCGTTCTAGAGCGCAGCGTTGAGAGAACTCTGCGAACAAGCAATCGAGGGGGAAGCGCCAACGCACCTCGACGACGAACTCCCCGCCGTCCCAGATACCCATCACCCCGTCGTCGTCGTCACCAAAGTCGATGCGCTCGAGCCCGAACTCGTCCGTCGCCCGCCAGAGGATCTTGTTCGCACCCACGAAGATGGACGCGCCGAGCTCCACCGGCTCGTACGCCGCGTCCCCGTACGGGTGCACCACCGTGCTCCCTGTACGCGCACGCACCCGTCAGCCACCGCAATCGCACACATTACATCCCACGTTCCGGAGGAGATTATACGCACGTCCGCCGATATACCCGCTCCGCTCGTACACGTCCACCTCGACGTCGAGCCCGAACCGCTCGCGCGCCTTCGCGATCCAGAACGCCGCTGACGACCCGCCCGCGCCCGCTCCAATAACCGCGATCTTGTTCGGCGGCTCCGCGGGTTGTGTGACTTGTGCAGGAGAGAGCGGGGCCTGGTGACGGGAGAAGAAGGGGATCTGGAATGCGTGTGTCGCGGTGATCAGCGGGAGCAGAAGAAGGAATGTGTGCATCGTTGTAAAGCCGGTGTCGGGCCCGTGAGGAGTCTGATTATATGTGTCGAGATAGGTATCACTGTCGTTGTTGGAATGGGCGTCGTGGTTGTGTGCCGCACTCACGCACTATTGGCGCCGGCGTCTGGGCGTGGTCTGAGTGCACGGTGCGTTTCCTTGTATGGCAGGTCTCGTTGTTCGCCCGCTTCTTCAAGCGCATTTTCATTGCGTGAGTTTGTGGGCGGGGGCTGCGGGCAGATCATACTCACTGAATACGCCAGTGGAGGATTTACTTCTGAAGGTACCATCTTCTCTAACAACAGACTAGGACGAAGCGTGCTTGTGCTGGTCTTCTTACCCCTCCGCACTGTCGGTGAGAGGACTATTCGTCGTAAGACAGAAGACTATATGACATTTCTGAGCTGCCCACGGACCGGGCACGTTTTATGTACATCCCAACTTTTAGTCAGCCCGGGACGTCCTCAAACTCTGGTAAGCTCGGTTCACAAGTAAACGACGAAGCATAACGCGAGATACAGATGGAAACGGATGAAGGATGACCCCCAGTGAAAAACGCATATTCCAAGAACGAACCAAGACGCACAAGATCACGGCTTGACTTGGACTATCAAGCTTCAATGGGCAATCCCTGCAAGCGGATTTTTATTTGCAGTTATTGACGTTCAGTGGCAGATGGCATAATCCCTGTGCGATGCGTTTCCTGCCTTCCACAACACAATTCTGATCCGACTAAGTGCATAAATAAGAGTTTTGAAGCTATTCCGAGAAAATGTTCAACGTCAAATTATATTATTTTCAGTGTTAGTTGAGATATGGGTGTAAGCAGCCTGAGAAACGCATGAAGGACATCGAAATCCAAAAATTTGCGTTGAACGTTACCTCGGCATACTCATTAGCTCCACTTTTTCTCACTGGAACAAAAGGCGCGGTGTAGCCGTTGACGTCGCAAATGCGTCGCACATTCTGATACTTAGTCAAGCTCATCCTAAGAGGTGTTCTACTGGAGCAATTGTTTTAATTTGACTTGGGGCAAGTGCTATGAGCATCACAAAGTCAAGTTATAATGTTATTTTGGTTAAAATTTGAAGGGATTGCTTCGAAGTGTACACTATCGTTGACCCTGTAGTGCAAGGTGTCTTGCACTTCTGTCGCCATGCATTCAGACTGAGCCCATTTGACCCCAGGATTTTTCCTACATAATATTTAACATATAAAGCATGCCTTCAACACTTCCCGTAATTTTTTCTTGATTTTGTGTCATCTTGAGAACTTGCGCAAGGAAGAGACTCATTTGCAAGCAAGAGCGCCCAATCGGTCACAGATCGTCACAATTGCCGACATGCCGTTCCTTTGTCTGTCCCCTAGTCGGAGTTCAAAATACAGCGCTTCATTGTCACGCCTAAGTCACGTCCACCCTGCAAGTTGTGGACCACGTACTGTTCCCCATGGAAGTTTGCACTCAAATTATATGTCTAAGATGCTAGGGACAATTTCAACTACTACAGATTTTTTGGTGAATTTTGGTGAAGTAGAATTCCTAGGAGAGTGCATCTTGCACTTCTAGGTCACTTTGCACTTCAGGGTCAACGAACGCTTCAGCCACCGTACGTGGCGTAGGCGGCGTAGGCGCTGGGGTCCTTCCCGGTGGCGCTTCGCTGACTAAGCGGCCGTTCCCTTTGGAGGGATTGCCCCTCCCCATAAGTATAAAGCCAGGCGTTTCTCCCGTTTACCCCCATTTACCAACCTTTCTTCACCTACAAGACGACTTCCACGATTCTGTGTGACCGGCCGAGTGTGTGCATGTTTCAACCTTTACGAGCTATCCACGTCACTCATTGATCCCTCTTTCTCTCCAGACTTTACTGCCCGCACCATGTCTATCTCACCGATCCTGGGAGATACCCGCCATCGACACATTAAACGACTTAGTCCCTGCTCTTCATTCCTATGTAACCACGCGCACCTCCCTCCCGAGGCGCGCAAGAGCCGGTGTCGGCCATTCACCGACGTCGACCGACTACTTAGCCCTGTTGTAACCGAAGCATGCAAGAGCCGGTATCGACCATTCACCGACGTCGACCGACTACTTAGACCCGCCGTACCTGGGTTACATGGGCCCCCGGACGGAGTCACAGGAGGTCGAACCAGATCGGTCGAACACGTGCGAGAGATCCTGTGATTTGACGCGTCGATCCTGTACCATGTCCCATCTGAATTGCACTTTGCTCGATGTAAGGCTATCTGTCGAATTTTGCCTGCACGCATGTCTCGATTAGCTATACATTATACGTTGTACTTGTGCCCAGTGTACTTGTACTTATATCATCTCTTTGCACCCACGCCGAGCTCATCATGTGACAGAGACATGGATGCGTCACCGTAGTCAGCTAAATCTACTCGTTTCCTCGTTTACTCATGTCACCACCACGTCTGCACTCTTATCCTCCTGCATCCAGTCGCTCTGACTTCCAGAGCACGATGCTTATTATACCGGCTGATCGCTCTCACTCAAGCTCACCAATGGCTCCATGAGAGCACCCACCCCTCGCTTACTGAAGACACCGCCGCGGGCGAAGACAATGCAGCGGCAAGCTCGAGCTCCAAGAAGCCCATCGTCAAGGCACCGCCGAAAGCGCGCACACTGCGCGAGATCAAGCTCGAGATGCCGATTTTATATGCGGCCGAAGACACCGTCGAGAAGTGGCTCAACAGCCTTCTCTGCCTCAATGTGACGGTCATGCCACGCTCGAGCGCACACAGCTGCCCGCACCCCGCACAGTACGAACTGTTCTACATCTCATTCCCTGTCTAATCTCGCAGCAGTTCCAGGAGAACAAGTTTGCTTTCTGGTGCACGCGTGGTGCGCATTGCGACACATCCGGACTATGTGAACGTGTGCTCGTCTTCCTGATGGTAATCCTCTGATGTGTCCCTATTGACGAGGTACGGCGACAGTTTCTGTGCCAGGCACCCAAGCACCTGAAATGTCCTCAAATTTACTTATCAGATGGTCGAGAGATCCCCTCAGCCGTACTCGCAGTTGCTGCTGATTACCGTAGTAAGTACTGCCTGCTTTTGTACGTGCAAGTGTAGATCACGTTGTGCTAATCTTCCGCGTATGAGATCCTTTCTCGCAGATTCGCCACCACATCTATTGCGTATGGACATCGTGTTCGTTCAGATGACGATGACGAGCGTGTGTGGGCAGGGGTGCGCGGGTGCGGGCGCGCGGGCGGGGATACGGGCAGGAGCGGGAGCGGGGGCGAGAGCGAGAGCGAGAGCGGAGCAAGTCGAAGTAGATCGCGCGATGTCGCAGGAGCTCGCACGACGCCGAGGGTACTCACACGACGTCGAGTGTAGTCACAGTGTATTAAATCACGACAATACAATTATTATACAGCAGCTTAATATTCGAGTAGGTGCGAAGTCTCTCAATTCTCCCGCTTGGCACTGTGTTAGCCTGCGACCACGTTCGACTGGCCTTGCTCAAGATCGCATATAGTCCAAAATCTCACGGCTGGTCGCAGCTGGTCACAGCCACGACCTCGTGCGACTCGCTGCGATCTCACAAGACGCGTTTTCCACTGGGGATGACCACCGCTCGGCACGGTGCAGAAGAGTGGAGAGGGCAGAGACCTTAAGCCCATGCGTTGAGTCATTGTTTCTATTAGCACGAGAGCGGGAGATTTCGAAAATTTTGCCAAACTCGCTGTCACCAGAAGTTTCGCAAATATTGCATTATTTCAGCACAAAATCATACGACGTTTAAATTTACACGCACGGTCTCAGACAGGTAGCCTGATGATTGGGGGTGATGAGTCCTGGGTAAATTCCGCGAGGCTCAGAGCTAGATCTGCCACCATTTATTTGCAAGGTACACGAGGTGGATGGCGTATATTCCCTTCTTTAGAAGGTCTGCTGCTGCTTTGGGATAAGAAGGAATGCCGAAGTTATAGCCTGTGACCCGGACACCGAGAAACCTCATGCGGACGGATGTTAACGCAACATATGGGGTTAAAGTGTAGCGCGGAGGAACAATCTGATGATAGCTTTTGATCTCTGTGGATTGCCGGTGCGTTGCCCGGCGAAAATCCTAGCGACCGTGTAACTTTGCGCTGAGCAAATGACAACTTTGCCATGTGCGCGCCCTGAGCTTGAGTTGTTTTCCATGTTCAGTAGTTGTTGGCGACCACAGAACGAACACGCGTGGAACACCGTTGGCTAGATTACGGACGGCAGTAACCCATGTTGTTCAGTCAGAGAGCACTCACCCACGGGAACTTCGACTCCGACTTTGAGACAATCCACATGATGTAGGATTGCGGAGTAGAACGGTCCCGACAAGTCGCAAGTTCTCCTATATGAGGCACCTTCCCGACCTACGTCGATCAGTTTCAAATAACATTCCAAACAATTATAACGCACTACTTAGCGCTCGTCATTGATGCGCGTTCTGAGCGAGGAGCATTAAAGGAGGTTGCTACATGGCACTCTTCCCCATCAGCACTCGCCCATGTTCACCGTTCTTGGTGCACCGATGTTCCGCGTTCCTGCTACTGTCGTTTTCGTTGCAGCACTGTGGGCGAGCTATGCGTGTAAGTGTTCTACGGCATCATGGTGGCTGTACCTTGAACGTACCTCTGACAGCTGCTACTGCACTCCATGGCCACCGTTCGGTGAAGGATACCGTACCTTTTGACGGGCAGTACCTTGCGGCCAACTCCAGCAACACGCAAACGGAGTGGTGGTACATCCAGGGAGTCTCTGAGCCTGTCGGTGACGAATTACCTTCCAGCGTGACAGTGACCTTCTACCAAGGTAGGTAACGCGTGTTCTTGGGGTGAAGCATATCGTTCTGACAACTGCTCTGGACTGGTAGGCAACGTCTTATACACCAGTCCTGCAGGTTCCACGGAGCCTGAATTCACTATCAGTATCGACGGATTCTTGTCGAATGGAACGGCTTATAATGTCAATATTCCAACGACTACCGGCACCATCACTACTGAAGGCCAAGCCGTTGACGGTACATGGGGGGTACTGCCGGGAAATTCCTCTTGAGCAGCGACTTAAACACCTTCACGGTCGAGTTGAACTCACCAGAGTATGGGATCTCTGGATCCATCGTCTTGACCTCCAGCGCGTCGCCCCATTATGCTTGCAATGTCACCGATGACCCCTACTTCGACACCGCCGTGCCCACAGGAGTGTCGCTCAGTCCCACCGAAAAGATGATGTTTACCGAGTTCGGCTGGACCGTGACGATCCCCGGCGGACGCGCCGTTGTGGACCTTCTCATCGACGGCACGCCGCTGCAGTTCACCGGGAACGGGTACCACGACCACAACTTCTCCCCCGCGCCCGTCTTTGGCTATGCCTCGCAGTGGTACTGGGTCCAGGCACAGCTCGGGCCGTACCTCGTCGCCGGTGTGGTCATGCAGGCGATCAACTCGACGAACCTCGCCAATACGGGCTACCTCAGCGAGTCCGGCGTGGTCTTGCAGAACCAGTGCAGCTTCCAGGGCTCGCGGACGGTGGACTTCAACACCGTTACGCCTTACGGCGCTAGTCTCGACAATGTCACTGGCGCCGTCGTCCCGCAGGGCTTCCTGTTGGGCTTCACGCTGGAGGATGGGGAGCAGTACAGTTTCAACCTGACTACCGTTGGAACATTCCCAGACACGGCCATCTATTACAGGTGGATCGGGACTGCTACTGGTGGGAAGGTTGGCGGAGTGGAGTACACGGGGACGACCATACACGAATGGTTGGACCCCAGTTTGTCGTTGTATACTCCATCTCAGTAACCTGCGGGTAATTAGTACGGTGCGCTGCGCTTGTATTAGGGTAATGGTCAAGACGTACCAGACATAGCAAGCATGCTACCGAGACGTGCAGACCGGAAAAAGTAGCTCGAGAACGAGCGCATACTTCTCAGAGCGGAACGGAATAGGTTTAACCGGTTGAAGCAACGTGGATTCCAGTTGACGCGATGAGCCGTAGTCGTTCTTCAACCGTTCGGCTAGACATGCATACAGCACGAAGGCGCGCACCTGTGAAAGGCGCAATTAATGCGAATTGGCGCAGTTCCGACCTAACACGAACATGAACGCCCCGAGCTCCACCGGCTCGAACGTGGCGTCCCCGTACGGGTGCACCACCGTGCTCCCTGCGCCCGCCCGTCAGCCCGCACAACATATGGACCAGGGAGTTTACGCACGTCCACCGATGTATCCACTCCTCTCGGACCCTCGACGTCCAGCCCGAACTGCGCGGGCCTTCGCGATCCAAAACGCCGCCGAGGGTGCGACCTTGCTCGGTCACGGCTCTGCCGGTTGTGTACCTTGTGCAGGAGAGAATGGGGCCTGGTGATGGGAGAACAGGGGATCTGGAAGGCGTGTGTAGCGGTGATCAGGGGTAGCAGAAGAAGGAATGTGTGCGTCGTCGCGATGGATGGTAGATATTCCCTTCTTTAGAAGGTCTGCTACTGCTTTGGGATAAGAAGGAATGCGTAAATTACAGTGTGTGACACACATGCACCGAGAAACCTCATGCCGACGGACGTTGACAGAACATATATATATGGAGTTAACGTACTGCGCGGGAACAATCTGATGATAGCATTTTGATCTCTGGATTGCTGGTGCATTACCCGGCGAAAATCCTAGCGCCCGTGTAACTTCTGTTCTGAGCAGATGACAACGTACGCGCCCTAAGCTCAAGCTATTTTTCGTCCTCAGCAGTTGCTTCGAACCACCGAAATAACGCGCGTGGAACACCGTTGGCTAGATCAGAGATGGCACTGACCCATGTTGTTCAGTCAGAGTGAACTCACCCACGGGAACTTCGACTCCGACTTTTGAGACGGTCCACATGATGTAGGATTGCTGAGTAGAACGGTCCCGACAAGTCGCAGGTTCTCCTATATGAGACACCTCGACCCACGTCGATCTGTTTCAAATAACATCCAAACAATTATAACGCACCACTTAGCGCTTGTCATTGATGCGCGTTCTGAGCGAGGAGCATTAAAGGAGGTTGCTGGATGACATTCTTCCCCCTCAGCACTCGCCCATGTTCACCGTTCTTGGTGCACCGATGTTCCGCGTTCCTGCTACTGTCGTTTTCGTTGCAGCACTGTGGGCGAGCTATGCGTGTAAGTGTTCTACGGCATCATGTTGGCTGTACCTTGAACGTACCTCTGATAGGTGCAGCTGCACTCCATGGCCACCGTCCCGTGAAGGATACCGTACCTTTTGACGGGCAGTACCTTGCGGCCAACTCCAGCAACACGCAAACGGAGTGGTGGTACATCCAGGGAGTCTCTGAGCCTGTCGGAGACGAATCACCGTCCAGCGTGGTAGTGGTCTTCTACCAAGGTAGGTAACGCGAATTTTTGGGGCGAAGCATACCGTATTCATAACTGCTCCGAATTGGTAGGCAACGTCTTATACACCGCTCCTGCCGGTAACATGGAGCCTGAATTCACTATCAGTATCAGCGGATTCTTGTCGAACGGAACGACTTATAATGTCACTATTCCAACGACCACCGGGACCATCACTACTGACGGCCAAGCCGTTGACGGTACATGGGGTACTGCCGGGAAATTCTTCTTGAGCAGCGACTTAAACACCTTCACGGTCGAGTTGAACTCACCAGAGTATGGAATGTCTGGATCCATCGTCTTGACCTCCAGCGCGTCGCCCCACTATGCCTGCAACGTCACCGATGACCCCTACTTCGACACTGCTGTGCCCGCAGGAGTGTCGCTCAGTCCCACCGAAACGGCGCTGTTTACAGAGTTCGGCTGGGCCGTGACGATCCCCGGCGGACAGGCCGTTGTGGACCTTCTCATCGACGGCACGCCGCTGCAGTTCATCGGGAACGGGTACCACGACCACAACTTCTCCCCCGCGGCCATCTTTGGCTACGCCTCGCAGTGGCAGTGGCTCCAGGCGCAGGTCGGGCCGTACGTCCTCACCGGCGCGATTATGCAGGCGATCAACTCGACGCTCATCGCTAACACGGGCTACCTCGCGGAGTCTGGCGTGGTCGTGCAGAACCAGTGCAGCTTAGTGGGCTCGCGGAGGGTGGACTTCAACTCCGTCACGCCTTACGGCGCCAGTTTCGACAATGTCACTGGCGCCGTCGTCCCGCAGGGCTTCCTGTTGGACTACACGCTGGAGGATGGGGAGCAGTACAGTTTCAACCTGACTACCGTTGGAACATTCCCAGACACACCCATCTATTACAGGTGGATCGGGACTGCTACTGGTGGGAAGGTTGGCGGAGTGCAGTACACGGGGACAACCATACACGAATGGTTGGACCCCAGTTTGTCGTTGTATACTCCATCTCAGTAACCTGCGGGTAATTAGTACGGTGCGCTGCGCTTGTATTAGGGTAATGGTCAAGACGTACCAGACATAGCAAGCATGCTACCGAGACGTGCAGACCGGAAAAAATAAACCGAGAGCGAGGACATGCTTCTTAGAGTGGTACGGATTAGGGAAAGCAGGCTGGAACAAAGCGAATTTCAGATGGCGCGGTGAGCCGTAGTCATTCTTCGACTGCTCGGCAAGACATGCATACAGCATGAAGGTGGAGCCTACCTGCGCAAGGCGCATATCGAATTAGCGCACTTCCAACCTAACAAAACTGTGATGAGGAGAATGTATTGAAAGTAGTAGAAGCAAAGCCAGCAAGTATAGGAGAACACTCAACCACAGGAACCCGTCCACACCCCCCATTTCATTCTTTATGTAGATTCTATACAGTTTTGGATCCTCGTTAGAACGTACATATCGCTTGACCAGTTAGTCATGATTTAGCGGCCTGTGCAGCCTGCTGTGCCAACAGTCGCCTACAAGGAAGAAAGTATCGTCAGCAGAACAGAGCAAACCTCGAGGCGAAACGAGGCACTCACTCCCTCGCGGCCAGAATCATCTGAGCTTTACGCTCCCTCAGGCTGGCCTCTCTCTTCTCTGGGCTATCCTCCCATACAGACTTTCCTCCTGCCTCTTCAGGTGCAGACAGCGATGAACCAGTAGCTAGCGCGACACGCTCCTGGAGGTTGTAACGTGAGATGAGACTCTCACCCTTCGCCTTCACTTGCGAGGCGCCCGCAGGGTTGGCTTGGACGTCAGCACGTGGCACGGGGTCAAGTGCACGGGGGTAGAGCGTATAGTATGGTTGTGGAGGCTGAGCGAACGATGAGTGCGGGACAGAGTCACGGACAGCGAGCTGCAACGTACTGCTGGTAGGAACCCTTTTTCGATAATGGTATTTGACGTCCGTTGCACGCTCCCTGTGCGCAACAGATCGTAGCGGATGTTGTCACTTACCCAGAACACGAATAAGCGAGCTTGGAAGTCGGACGCGTGCTGAACATACCTGGGAATATCTGGGAACATGTTGTGAACGGTGTCAACCTAACATTATTTCATGGGAGATTTAGACACAAGCTCCTGATGAGACCGTCAGAAAACACGGACCATATCTGGAGTTACAGTCTTTGGCTGAAACCCCAAGACCGACGCAGGTGACTGGCCTGCTGGCGCATCTTTGCCTACGATACAGTCCCACGGTCAGCATCAGTCAGTACCCATGTTCCAACAGCGCGGCAAAAGACAGACACAAGACAGAGAAAGGAGAGAGAACGCGTACTCGAGGTTGCCCAGCGGACGATGACGACGATGACGGCGACGGCGACGAGGACGTTAAGAACTTCTCCCATCCCGTGTGGTCAGAAGGGCTTTATAAGCTTCCGAAGAAGTCGTTCAATCAAGAGATATTCGTGTGAGGAAGACAAAGAACAGCGTATGACAGATGTCCAAGACGTAGTAGTAGTCACACGAATGTTTTGGAAGCAAGCGCCCAAAAGGATTATCAACCTAATTTTGCACATACAGTACCAACTATGGAGTTGTCCTGCTAACATTAATGCACGTGGTCGAAATGGCCGCACCTTGCGCTCGGTATCTGCGTTCCGACTCGACTTCAGCGCTGTCCTCCTCCCTCCCACCACGCGCTGGCATCTCTTTACTTTTCGTAACGGATCTTGAACTAACATCGCCACTCCTTTGCTTAACATTCTTCTCTTCTGCACGCGATTTACTCAGGCCGTCTCCTTCAGGACAAAGTAGAGCAGGCCACCGACTACTTGACCTCCGGGATGGATATTGAATCACTGTCAGTGACACAAAAGGAGGCGCTCTCACAGCTGCAGGCCCTTATGGATGGCGGGGACCAAGATGTTGCGATAGGTGTGCTCCAGAGCGCCGGTTGGGATGTCCAGGTATGTCAATTAGCGTTCGTCGTGCTGTGACCTGTGTCTCAGGCCTTGTGGTCTTTCATCGCTGTTCCTCGAGTGCTGCATGTGTTTTCCCACGTGCCTCTAATGTGGAACACAAGCATGTATGTGTTTCAGAGTGACACGACTGGGAGACGCACAGCCCTTGGAAGAGGTATCTTCGTCGGCCGTCCCCACATCCTCTATTGAAACGTTTATCCTGCCCGCGCTATGTGTATGTCGTATTTGTCTTCCGAGTCGCATAACCTCCGTGGATACCGAGACCTGTGCTTGTAATTTCGCTAGTGGAATCGAGGCACGTCATATATCCAGTAACGGGCTACCCGTGGCTGTAGGACGTGGAGATAATATTACTCAACGTCAGATTCTTTAGCGCAGCTTTGGAATCTCCGCGTCGAGAATCCTCTTTCCAGATGTCCTTCATTTGATGAGTGCGTTGGTTTTAAACTTCGGTCAACCCGTATGACTCCACCTGTGCGGCTACAAGCTGAAGCGCAAGGCATTCACGCCTCATTACTCGCACAAGAACTCTTCGCATACCGTGATTCCGTTCGAGTCGCTTGTGCCAGTGTCCGCGGACCACGTGTGTACCTAGTATTCACTATTCTCGTGCTTCTGCGTAAACAGAGTTCATGGTATACTTTCATCTACTACTGGTTGTTAACCGGATGTGGAAAGTTTCTCCATGTTGTTACCCCATTTTGGTTGGAATAATATACTCACTTACTTCTCTAGCGCGCCGCAGAAATAATATTTGACCATGGCACTCCAGCTCCAGCTCCAGTCTCTCGGCCACCCGTCGAAGAATTTGAGATTGACGACTCCGAGCAAGGTCTGCTCATACCGAACGGCCGCGGCAGGGAATTTAGGCCAATAGTGAGTTCCCGCTCAGGGACTTTCGCTGACGCTGACGACCCTTTGGGCATTCGTTCAGCCTACTTCGTCTTCAGTCACCCTAGCTCGTCCGCTTCGTGCTATCCTATCCGTGCTCGTCTTCCCCCTTCGCATCCTCACCTCTATCATTCGGTTTATCTTCCGCGTTCTGCACATTCCGCTTCCGCAATTTGCGCCGTTCACTTTCTCAAACCTCACGTTCACCTACCGGCAGCTTCCCGGAATGAACCGCGACGGGAAAGCGATGGATTCGAAGAGCGTTGTGGAGCGCTGGGTGCGTGCGCTGGAGGAAGAGACAGGGGCGGTGTGCGTCAGCCGCAGTGGCACAACGCACAAGAACGTGGGAACGCCAGTCACGAATGGGCATGGGTTGAGCTCTGGTACCGCCGCGGGTGTTGCGGGACCATCGTCGTTAACTTCTAGGCCGCCTCGAGGTGTCGATGGAGAGGCTGATGGTGAGACGAAGCTCCTCCCTGACTTCTTCTTGGGGAGCTACGAACAGTTCGTGCGCTCTTGCGAGAGGGACGTGAGGATCGGTTGTGTTGTGCTTGTCAGTGAGGAACACGATGACGTGGCTGAATTCAAGAGGCAAGTTCTTTGGATCTACTGAATTCACTGGAGTCCTATGTCTGACGGGGCGCCATAGGAGCACTTTGACGGACCCAACGCTTGTCCAGGCGATCCAGGAGAATGACATCCTCGTCTGGGGAGGAGATATAAGAGATAGGGAAGCATGGAGTGGTAGGTGCTACCGCTAGTTTCTGAGCACTCATTTTCACACTGAGTTTACTAGCCTCCCAAAAATTGCAAGCCACTACGTACCCCTTCGTCGCCTTCATCGCGCTTCAAGCTCGGAGAGGCACCGCGTCGAGCACGTCTCCTGTGCCTACTCTGACAATCCTCTCACGGCACCAAGGCCCGGCTATTCCCTCTACATCCGCTCCGACAGCCGCTCAGTCTCTCGTCACGCACCTCAACGAGCATCTATTGCCCCGCGTGACCCCTTTCCTCGCTCGCGTGCGCACCCAGGCTGCAGAGCGCGAGCACGAACGCGCCTTGCGCGCCGAACAGGACCGCGCGTTCGAAGAGACCCGGCGACGCGACAAGGAGCGCGTCGAGCGCCGATTGGAGGAGGAGAAGCGCTCGCAGGTGGAGCAGAGGCTACGCGAAGAAGCTGAGCAGCGTGAGAGGGCCGAGCGCGAGCGCGCGGAGGAGCGGCGGAGGGCGTACCAAGCTCGCAGGATGGAGTGGCGGCGGTATGCCCGGAAGGCGCTCGTGCTGCGCGAGCCGCGCCCCGGCGAGACGGGTAGGGGAAAGACTCTGCGCGTTGGCTTACGCATGCCTGACGGGCGGCGGGCGGTGCGCTTCTTCGGCGAGGGCGACCCACTCACAGCGCTGTACGCATATGTGGACTCGCTCTTCATCCCGTTGGAATTCGCGCAGGATAAGGATCCGTTCACTGCACCAGCGGGTGTTCTTCCGGGAGAGGCTGGCTTGGTCGAAGAAGTTGAAAGTTCCAGGAAGTCGAAGGACGAGTGGTGGGGCTTCAAACTTGTGCTAGCTTACCCTCGGAAGGAGATCGTGTGGGAACCCGCTAAGAGGTTAGGCGATGTGGAGGCGTTGAAAGGCGGTGGACAGGTCGTGGTAGAGATGGTTTCGGATGTTGGCGTGGTGAACGGGAAGGGTAAGCGTGTCCAGAATGCTGAGAATGGCGTTGATTCGGATGGTTATGCTACCGAGGAGAGTGAGTAATATCTCGTAGATTTTCTTTGTTCTCCTTCCTGCCTTCAAATCGCTAGACTTACTATAGCTAGTGGACTCTGAATAATTATGCATTTTCTTGTTTGTGTTTTTTTTTATCGTTTGGGTTTTCAGGTTGTTGGTGAACTTCTTCGATAATAGATGAAATGTGGCGGCAAGGTCTCATCTGACTACCAATATCCAGATCAACGTTCTTGAGTTCCTTTACTTTCGAGGATTCGAGCTGGGCATCGGTACTCATGTAATTCGTCTCGTCGGCAGTGTGACTCGGATTTCAGACTGTCCGCCCAAAAGGGTAGTCCTATTGCCTTTTGGGGGGTAGATGACTCGAAACCGAAACAACACCACTCGAGCCGATTGCCTCGATGCTGAAGCGCTGAAGTTCCATGGTTCTCTAACATTTACACGTAATGAGTCGGTCGACATTAAATATCACCAGCGCCCCGTTCCCTTCCCTCAGCTTCAACGTTCTCCTACCCACCATTTCCGAACCCCAGTGGCCATGTTGCCCTCATCTGTGCGCACCGCTTTGGACCTCCAGAAGGCCCTGAGCATGGCACCCTTTCGCCTCCAGCAAATTGGAGATTGCAAGACAAGGGTGCATCTCTTCGAGGAGAGGTACACATACGTTGACGAGGATGACAGCTACCGCGACATGGATGAGAATGAGGATGAGAGGGCTAGTACCCAGCCTAAAAAAGTATCTGGTCCTAACGAGGTCAGTTCTCCTTCATTAGAGGATGTTCACTTCCCTGACAATTATAACAGTCGTGCATCAAAGAACTTTGCGAGATTTACAAGGAACACGGCTCAGATAGCTGGAGCGACACCTTGGACGCCTCCTTCAAGCTCACCGTCACACGTCCTGGGTGCGAATTCTCCGGAGAGCTTGTCCCAAAGTCAGAAGAAGAGGATAAGGAGGCGATCGCGGATCGTCTGAAGAAGTGGTACGAGCATGGCGAGGTATCAGACTTTGGAGATGTTCGGGCGCGAGGACCAAGGTCGACAAGAACGTCCGAGATGCGCGCGAGATTCTCGCCTCCGAATTCACCGTCTCAGACGGCCTCGTCGAAGAAATTAAGAAGCACTGGGGCGAGCACTTCATTCCCAGTGCGGTGCGCGTCGAGCCATACAAGATTCACATCTATGGCCCGGGCGGGATGTTTCAATTTCACAGAGACACACCCGAGAGGGATCTTGTTTAGACATTCTTGGTTGGCCTTGGTGACAACTGCGAAGGCGGTTTACTGGTCATTGGCCATGACAATTATCATGACCTGTACCGCTCCCGTGGAGCCAAAGCGCATCCTGGCTCCTGGGCTGCATTCTATCCCGACACAGTGCATCGTGTGGACAAGATCACAGAGGGACATCGTGCGGTGATTGCGTTCAAGGTCTTCAGGACTGGTAACACAATGATTGGGCAGAGCGGGTTCCAAGCGAGTCCGGATGCCACCCTCCCGCAGCAGAAGATGGAGGACGTGCTAGGCAAAATGCAGCTGCCCTTCGGTGTGCTCCTGGCACACAAGTACTGCATCGGGACCGTCGAGCTTAACGGGCTAGATAACGTCTTGCATGCAGCCGCAGAGGCGATGGTGCAGCGGAGCAACGCACAGGTCCACTTCTTGCCCGTACTCACGAAGCTCGATGGCAGCGCACTTCTCTCCGGCGACGGCGACGATTATATTAGCGTGACTGCGCCCGTGTACCCGCTCACCCAGGCGCACGTTGAGGCCCTGCTCGCGAGTGTCGCCGACGAGACCGAGTTCTCAGACGCATTCGTAGAGTTCAACAACGATCGCACATACGTGGACTTGAAATCGTACCCAATCTACCATCGTGCAGTCCCGCCTCCGAAGGTTATCATTGATGTCCCGAGTGCGGAGGGGTGGTTGACCGGCTTGACCAGCGTGCCATTCTATTCTGTCGACTTTGCGAAGAGTTCTATCGTGTGGAAGAAGAGAGGCGAGGGTGGAGCACATTACACAGGTAATGAAGCGAAGCCTTGGACAGAAGACAGCATCTATCTTTCGTATGCTATGGTCATGCTTTCAAATGATCCTGCACCTAAGGATCTCAAGAGGAAGAGAGACCAGAAGTAGACACCATTATCGCACCATCGAAATCTGCGCTTTGCTCTGTACATGCCCGTAATGACCTCAGCTGAGTGTACCATTACCCACCATCTCATGTCTTCCGGTTTGTAAGAAATGTTGTATCTGCATCTGCTGGCCCTCACTACACAGAGAGTGAACAAATATCCGGGATAACGGAGACCCATCTGAAAAAATACCAGAGAGCCTGCGCGTTTCTCAAAGCAGTTATGTCCCAAATCGCGAAACCAGGCCGGAACACAACTACCTGGGAGGCCCACACATTCGGAGGACAGTCAATCCTGAAGGTTATTCAACTGAGAAATGGCCAATTCTATAGCACTCACCTTCCTAAAATGCAATCTGGAGTTGTTGCTGTATAGCGTGAATGAGACGGTGTGCATCATGCAAGGGACAATATCAATTTACCTGTGCAATGGCACCTTTGACATCTTCTGCAAGGCTGTTCCGCCAATCTCGCATTAAAGTGCAGATATCTCGGCGACAATCCTTGCAGGCAGGCAACGATGATTCCACGAAGCGGCAGGACCCGAGTTCCGCATCTTCCACCAGCGCGTCTCCACATGGGGATACCTCCATGAGCTCCGCAGCGTAGGAAAGATAGTCTTTAACATCGACGTCGAGGCTGTATCTACGCGTGACCCACCCAGCAGGTACAGGCTCATGCTCAAGCCCGTCTTCATCACGACATCTAAAGCAGTCGTAGTTGTAACAGTACTAGGGTAGGTTCTCAGAGAACATGTCTATGGCTCTGAGAGCGGCGAGCCTGCATCGTTCCCGGTACTGCAACAGGTAAGCGTACGCTATCGCGGGGAGTTTCGCCAAAGTGTGGGACGGGGAATCCAGCGGCTCGTATGGATAGCGGAGCGTTTGTCGAGCGGCCGCACGCGTCACATCTTCCAGCTTCAGGTTGACTGGCGATGGCGTAGACACCAACAGGATCTCGCTGTACCAAATCTGCATCCAGCAGCGCCTTCTTGCATACAGCCTGCGCCTCATCCATGTCGTACTTCGCTGCCGCCGCCAGAACCGCTTCGACATCCTCCAAACAATCTAGCGGAGGGTCGGGAACTGGGTAGCATATCCGGAATAGCTTGTCCAGCGTCCCAGACTCTTCTGTGAGGCTGACAACGTGATGGTTCTGTGCATCGAGTGGCTGGGGAAGCTGGAACGTGGTCTCGAAGACGGGCGATGCTTCGGCGAGAATAATTCTGTGGACGCCGAAATTCACATTGTCAGAAGAACACACGGTGAGATCCGCTGTGGGTTTGTTGAACGGATAGTTCGCTTCGGTAGCTGACATGATGTTAAGTATCGAGAAGAATCCCGCCCGGTTCTGCGTTGACAGTGCACAAAGATGACTGAGCGCAGCATCGGAACAGAATAATTATGCGTACTGCTGCACTGGCTGACAGTGGCTGTCGACAACGTTAGCACTGTCGACGAACGGTATGTGACTGTGCTCGAGCGAGTTGCGTATCAAGTTCAGCCAGTCAAGCAGGCAACTACACGCCCACCCGTCTCGGTTATTTGGCCAGGGTCGGAAAGCGGCAACCGCAGAAAGCGGAGTTTGAACATGCCGACAGCGCGGAATATTTGCGCGTCGCGACATGCACGCATTTAAAATATATTTCCTCATAATCATGTATCCCTTCACCTGCACTAAACGGGGCTGAAGCCGACGTTGAGATCTGCCTGAGTCAGACGGGGGATGCTCCGCAGGGGAAAGACGCTGCGCGTTGGAGGCTCCACTGCTTGCCCCTACCCATAAGCACCGCCGAATCGGTGCGCGCGCGCTCTGCATCTAGGACTCTTGATGGCGGATGGTGTGCCCCGGCTCGAGTGCTCGAGTTTGGCCGGTGGAAGGGTATCGTGTGCACTGCTGTGCCTGTTCCCCTGGTGTTCCAATAGGCCGCTCGCGCGATCCACCTTCGACGTCGGGACGTGAAAGCGTTGTGAGTCGTCGTGCGTTCATCGGGTGTTCTGATCACGAGCGCGCTGTTGGAACGAAATGATAACTGTTGATAGTGGCCATCGTGAATGTCCGCCACAGCGCGTGCCTGATCCCGGGCTGAGCGTGAGGGGCGGTAGGGAGGATATGAAACCCTACCACTCGTCCTTTGACTTCCGAGAGCTTTGCGACCTCCTCGATCAAACCAGCCTCCGCGAAACGAGCGCTCAGATCCTCGTCCTGCGCGAATTTCGACATGTTGATGAAGATCGGGTCCGAGTTTATCTACTCATGCGACGCAGTGAACGTGTCATTACCGCCAAAGAAGTGCGTTGTCCGTCCGGCATGCGCAAGCCAGCGTAGACAGACACCACCGGGTCCACGCAATCTCAGGGGCATGCACCTACCCCACGGACTCGCGCAACCTCAAGGGAGGAGCGTGTACCCCATGTGGCCAAGGACGGCGACTTTAAAACTTTGCGGAGGGGAGGTAATTGAGAGCAAAAGGACTGGCTGAGGTGTGCCCAGAAGCAGAATTCGAGCGAGCGAAGCGGCACCGAGTTAATTGACGCTAATAGTCAAGAGCGACACGGCGACGGAGGCTCACGCAAGGATATATAAACGCGAGGACTATGAACGATAAGTGAGCAGGTAGCAGCACCTCAGATAGGTTAGCGGGACATGAATACAGTACGGACGCGCCCGTTCCAGATCAGCGTCGTTAGGCCATGATTAATATTCTTCGACGTGGATCATGTCGTCCAGCCGCAGTCTGTGGTAGTATTTGTCCTGCCTTCCGTCTCGAATCTGAACTCGGCACTGCAATGTGTGCCGTTCCTTGCAGACCACCGCTAGATCAGACATTGTTCGACAACGCCTCAAACGCCAAAATTGCGAAAGCGACCGATCGCGTTACGTTCGATACGGGGTCGAATACTCAGTCCAGAGAGTGAAGCACAAGCACGACGAGCAAAAGCATACACATACTGCGATGTCGGACCATATGGTACCGCCGGTCTCACACCAAGACACGGCCATGCTCCAAACCTCTCCGGAGAGAAAGCATCCGCGAAACGCGGCAGCTGCATCATCCGCCAAAATTGCGAAAACGACCGACCGCGTCGCGTTCGAGGCGGGGTTCGAATACCGTAATAGCCATCAGTCCAGAGAGGCGAAGCACAAGCACTTGGAGCGAAAGCACACACACAACGAGTTGTCGGGCCATATCATACCGCTGGTCTCACACCAAGACAGCGACAGCCACGCTTCAAAACCCTCCGGAGAGAAAAGCATCCGCATCCGCCAAAATTGCGAAAACGACCGGTCGAGACGGGGTCGGATGCCGTAAAAGCTATCGGTCCAGAGAGGGAAGCGCGGGCACGAGGGGCGAAAGAATACAGATAGCGAGTCGTCGGACCGGTCTGCAAGTATGACACCGCGGCAGAGGCTCGAGCACCAAGACAGGGACAGTGCCATGATCCGTACAGCTAAGGGGGCAGAAAAAATTCGCCAGAAGACGGGACGGGGGCGACAGTGCCAAGACCAGAATTGCATGGGTGCGACCCGCCGTGTGTTAAAATACCTCGAAATCTGCGGTGTTGCATCATCTCGTGCGGTCCACGGCGACGTTCTTGCTGAGTGTCATTCGTTGGGCAGGAGTCGAAGGCTTTTCATAGATATGGCTCGACGGCAGCGCGGAAAGTACGTCATCGCGGAGAGATTGTGAAAATGACTGGGGTTTACGACGAGGCCGGCGAAAGCAAAACAGATCCCAGGGAAGAACGAATAGGATTGGATTATTAAGGGAAAGAAAGAGAAGGAAAGAGAAAAAAAGATCTCAAACAGGATCACTCCAACATAGAGCTGAGCCAGACCGCGGGCAAAGGCTGGTCGTGCCCGCTCCACAGCCAGAGCTGCGTCATAGCCGCGCCGACGTCACTCGGATGGTCGCAGGGACAAGCGCGGCAGCGGCTGGGGTGCACGCGCTGCCGCCACGAGCGGGTCCGGGTGCGGAAGTAAATCCGGGGGCGACTCTGGAGGACTCTGGCAGCTGGAGCAAAAGGTAATGGTGACTGGAATCCGCAATGGGCGGTGTGTCCGAACTCGGAGGAGAAGCGCCACGAAGACACCAAAGCGGGTGCGGGAGCGGTGACAGCGCAGTGTTAGTCCTTTCCATTTCTTCTGGGCATAGTCTCGGTGTACAGTAGACCCTCTCCACGAAGCAGTAGAGTGTCGAGGATGGCGAGGAGAATGGCCTGAACTTTGGAGGTGCGCGGGAACCTCGGGCGGATCAGAGACTTTGTGACCTGTGACAGGCCAACTTGACTTCGTTCACGCGTCGGGAAGCCAGATTTGGGAGTTTGGCTCTCGAGAGTGGATTTTGGCAAGCTCAGAGAACAGAGAACAGATGAATTCGAACCGACTACGCTACACAAGACAGTTCACAAGGGTGTGACCTGTGACTGAACCTAAGGTATGGAGGCGGGCCTGGGCAAGGACACCATTGAAAAGGCCCAGATCGCCCGTGGGCAATCGATAACTTCCGAATCTGAGATTGCCCGCGGTGAAATCTGGATACCCCCAATTGGCGCCTGCGCGTACCCACCTCCGCGCCCGCATCCGCTCCGACTTTTGTATATATACCATGCTCCCACTCCACCAATGCTGCACAGTCGCCCAGTCTCTCCGTCGTCGTCGTCACTCACGCCGACCACCAATTTTCTTTCACAATATTTCCCTCGCCCGATGATCCGCTTCGACAATCTCCCACCAGAGGTCATGCAGGCCATGTGCACGCCCATGCACCTCATCCTCCCCCCGAGCCCGTCGCCCAGTGCCCGCACCGGCGCACTCTTTCTCGGCTCCTTCTCCGCCATCCTCGACCCGGTGCTCCTCGAGTCCAACAAGATCTCCGCCCTCGTCCAGGTGCTCGACGCGCCCTGGCTGCCCTCCGTCGACGCACACGCCAAGCACGGCCTCGAGGCCTACCGCCTCGACATCCTCGACAGCACCTCTGCCGACCTCAAGCCCCATCTCGAGGCCACCGTCCGCTGGATCGACGACCGCCTTCGCAAGGGCGTGAACGTGCTCGTGCACTGCCAGCAGGTGCGCACCCACCTCTCTTTTTTTCTCCTTCTTTCGCTGACACTGGTGCTCCCCCAGGGCGTCTCGCGCTCCGCCGCCGTCGTCATCGCCTACCTCATCTACACCCACAACATGTCCTACGCCTCCGCCTACGACCTCGTGCGCCGCAAGCGCGCCTGCATCAAGCCTAACTCGAGCTTCGTCCGGTGCGTTCTTCCCTCTTCCTTTTGTGCTTCGCCTCGCTGACTCTCTCCGCTACGCTCAGGTGCCTGCAAGAGTGGGAACAGCAGTGGCACCACGCCGAAGGCCGCCCCGTCATGCGCCGCGCGAGCACCACCCCCCGCTGATTCACCCGTATCGCGCCTCCACGAGCCGCGTGCGACGCATGGCGAAGGGGTCGGCCTGAATTGGGGGGATGACGTGTGCGCCTGGTTCCCGGTGCTTGGTCCGTCCGGCGTCTCAACCGCTGCGAGTACCCCCCTTATCCTCTACGCGCACCGGTCTTCCCGCCGCGCCGTCCTCGCTCATCAGAACAGCTCCACATATCTATTGTGCACGGACGCGCGATGGCCTCCGCGCAACTCCCGCTTAAACCTCGTTCGCCTGCTTCAGCGACAAAATCGCGAAATACACATATACCACGCGTCGCAGTCGTGTACGCTCGCTTTGGGACTCTGCTGTATCTATATCGAATACTGCCTTCTCGGTTTTGCCTGCTGCATCTGTATGTACCTGTATAGCTGTACTTTGCATACCTCTCGTGCGTCGAGAATGATACTGGTTACTAAACTAACCTCGCGTCCTGCGTCCTTCATCAACAACGCGTAGAGCTAGACCCTCAGCCTCAGGGCCGTACGCGCGCAATTCAATACCCAAATCCGAAGCCGATTGAGTTCGCAGCAGCGCGATCAATCGTCGCTTCCTAAATTATCCCAGAGCGACACCCTGTCTGGGGTTTCCGGGTTTCTGGGGGTTTCTCAATAGAATTATACGGCGCGTCTCGCGGTACAGTACTGCAGTTCCGTCACCGTGTGCTCGCGCGCCCGAGAAGCCCGCAGCTTGCATTCGAACCCGGCGAAGGAGAAGCCACAGCTGCTGCACGTCCTGCAATCGAGGGGAGGCAGCAGGCACACACAGCAGGTTCCGGCGACGTCGCGAGCACACCCCGCCCGAGTGGCTGGCGCGAATCGCTTCGCAAATTCGCGATCAGCTCTCATACCCCATCGTCGGCGTCGGCGTCGGCGTCACCCCAACTGGGAGACGCCCAAGGCGCATCGATGGCGGCCCCGCGCACGCCATAAACGTTTTGGAATTCAGAACGCCACAAGCCCGCAGATTCACACTGGACACCAGAGCAGCGATCACATCAGAACGGACTCGCTAAAATATGCGCACGCGCTCTACTACTTATCCCAGCTCCCCGCGCCGCGTGCCTGGCATAATTGAACACGCCGAACGCGTGCGTGGAACGCACCCCAATAATTGAATTCGCGATCAGCGATCGAGCGTGGACCGAGATAGCGGGGCGGTCTTCATCTGTGCGCGCAGAGTCTGGACTCGGTGCGGAAATGTTGCGTGGAGCTTGGGCGGTGGGCGTGGGCGTGGGGGGTGCGTGCCGGCGAGAATGTGCTGTGTGATTGAGTAATAGAGTAGAGCGCCGAGAGGGCGCGAGGGAAATTTAACTCGTCGCAATATCAGAGGCACTGGAAACGTGAAAGCCCCAGTATTGTCCAAACCGTAATGGAGTCAGAGTCCGAATCCGATTGGCGCAAGGCCCAAGGGCATTGGGACCGCTGGCGTGAATAGAATGAGCGTTCGTAGCCACTTGAGGCGCGCTACGCTTGTTGCGAGATCGCTTCGTCTTCAAGCTTCACGGCCTACCATCCGAACTATCGACATCTAGAAAGAAAGCGCGAAGGCGAAGGGATCACGCCGCGCATTAGAAACACGTTGCAGAAACAGGAAGATAGAGAGGGGGAAATAAGATATGGAAAGGGGGAACGAACTAAGATTCGGACATGAAGCACAGGGAAAGGGGAAACACAGAAACGGGAGGCGGGCGCAGAATTCACGACCAGGATCGGGCCCGAAGCGACCTGAATCGAGCGAATGGCTTCGCGCGCAGCGTACAGCATATTCGCACGCACAGGACGTAGAGACAACGCACGTGAGGTGCACCTCCGAGACGCCAGCCATTTTTTCTCGGAGCAGTAGAGACGACGTAGCGTCACGCCGGGGTTGATCTAGCAGACACACAGAAAGGGAGTCGAAGTGATGGCGCTGCACGATCCTTCGGAAAGTCGACTCAGAGGATGGGAGCTGGAGTAAAGATGAGATGCCGGGTGCTTCTTGTCGCGACGCACCATGGGAGAAGTGCCTCGACTGCATCCACAATGAAATAGGGAGTTCCGGTGGAAAGAAGGCATGGGGGGCATCTTTAGTCCACAAACACATTTCTAAGGGAGAACGAGAGTAAGAGATCAAGCGTAGGGATATGCGCAAGACGGAGCAACTACGGACGAAGTGGAGATTGACAGGTAGGGCCACAGAGACTTGGAGGGAAGCAGACGGTCAAACGCGGCAAGAATTGCCAAACAGGGAGTCACAAAATGAGGAGCCAAGAATCAACGAAGCCGACGAAGACACGGGCAATATTTGATGTGACGACAGAGCTGGAAATCGCCTTCCTCGTTCATGTTGAGGTTCATTAGCAACTTGCAGAATGTCCCATTTCTGCGCGCAGTTGGTGAAGAAATCACTTCCTTCGCCGATGCGTAACAAGCAGGGCATATTGAACTGAAGACAGTGCTTATTTTCGTGTGAGTACCTCGGTGCTGCTTCGCGGTAGAACTTACCAGCGGACACACCTGAAAACTGCAAATACGGATAACGTGCGTGATCCAGGGCTGAATAGACGCATCTGCAGATAACATCAACGGAAATTCTGTACACCAAAAAGGTGCACTATACGCGTCGGAATCACGTGTACGACACGTTCACATTGATATACATGCGATAATCGAATTCGCAACGCTTCTGAGCGAACTCAAATTTAAGAGTGGGTCTGGCCATGGTGGACACGAGGTTTCGGATGCGGAGGTATCAAGAGAATGCAAAATCGAGGGCTGCGGTTTGCGCACCTGTATAGAATGAAGGCGGGGTTCTCGCGAGTCGCAGAAAAGGACACCACTACCCAGGCTCGGGGATCATGGCGATCCTGCTGCAGAAGGGCGGAGATATGGGTTAGCATAATCGGAGTAGCGCGGGGGGATGGTTGATTAGGTGCTGGGGGTGCATGCGTGCTGAACATGGCCAATTGGAGTGCAGGATAGGTTCGGTGTCTCTCGTATACTGCTACCGAACGACCATGGCTGACTCCGCAGTTTGCACGTGCAAGCCAAGAAAATCGAGGGGATATGGTCGCATAGAGCGCACAAGCACCAGCTGAGGAGCCTGCGTGCAAGTCACGCGAAAAATTGATGCTTTCCTCGGGAACGGTAAATTAGCGTGGACATCCTGAATTTGATTATCAAGCTTGAAGAATCGACTAGGAGCCCTGAGACTAGCACGACCAGGAGCACGACTTGATGGAAACGCGCGCGTAGAGGAGCCAGATATAGACTTCAGAAGTCAAGATGCAGCGATTGGCGGAGAAGGCAAAAACATGTTGATCGGGGGCATGCGCGATTGCTAAGAGATAACGAAGGTTCCACTTCAACGGTGCCACCAATTTTGTAAGCTCACCCTTGAGCTCACGGTATTGCAGATCACCTCGTTGCAGTGATTAAAGCTCTGTAAGCACATTGGAAATCTTGGAGAAGTACGTTCGTCAAATCGGGGTCGAGCGGGTCGGCGAGGACTGAAGGTTGCCCAGAATTGGGTGACCCTTTGACCTGACGAATAGTACTGCACGAAGACACAGAGCACTGCACATACGTGTGCATACAGAACTTGAGGCCTGACCTCGACGCTTGAGGTACGAGCGCAGATATATCACCATACCCCAGATGACCCAGGGCCGCCACCCATCCCGCATGAGATCCGAAAGTGGTTCCAGATTGAGTGTATTTGCAGCAATAATTATTCCTGTGCTTGATAATGATAGCCTGAATGGAAGAAAAACATGTCCTAGCGGCGGCCTAGTACAGGTAACTCCATGGAAAGTCTCGGACCAGAGAAAGACGTGTTGTCCTGTATTGCACGGCGGCAGAGTACCGGAAAACGTCCTATTCTAGGCGACAGAGGTGCGACGTGAATCACGACACTACAGATATGATCACATAGAGCTCAAGGTGAAAGACGGCCGACGCGCAGTGCTTGCGCCGCCAGTGTCCAAGTCGGTGACTTAGTCACACATTTGTTCAGCCACAACGACAATACTCCCAAATACAGACCCGGCGTACCCGGACACCGCCGACGAAGCACTCGGTGTCAACGAGAAAGGCTCGCTCATCGACGAGGACAACGACGACCATGTTCAGGCCATCGTCGTCTACTGCCCGTGCGTCCGGGCATTCAGTCAGTCTACCTCTTTCAGCTGACCGTCGCCAAATTCAGGAATATCGCGGCCGTTCCGCGTCAAACTTCGTCGTTCTTTCGCGACCGTCCAGGACACCCCCGTCCGCCGCTATGGTGGCTTGAAAGACCAGGATCGCATTTTCACCAATGTCTATAGCAGACATGACCATGGTTTGAAGGGAGCTCAGGTCAGTTTTGGTGGGCTGTATTGTCATTCATCGTCATGTGTGCTGATAGGCGAATTGTGATACAGTCGCGCGGTGACTGGCATCGAACAAAGGATATTCTTGCTAAGGGCGATGCTTGGATAATACAAACCATCAAGGACTCGGGTCTGCGCGGTCGGGGCGGTGCTGGTTTCCCAAGTGGTCTGAAGTGGAGCTTTATGAACAAGCCTGGATGGGAGAAGGATCCTAGGTGAATATTCCTCACATTTTCTGGATGTTCTCTACATCCGTACATGTTACACTGGCAGAAATGATAGTGTACTGTATCAGACACCGTTTCCCCATCTTCTTCCGCCGTTAACCAGGGGATGCTAACGAACTCCCGCACGTGCAGACCCCGCTACCTAGTCGTCAACGCCGACGAAGGTGAACCCGGGACGTGCAAGGATCGCGAGATCCTTCGCGGTGACCCTCACAAACTCGTCGAGGGCTGCCTCGTTGCAGGACGCGCGATGAATGCGACGGCCGCGTACATCTACATCCGTGGCGAGTTCTACCAGGAGGCCTCGCACCTGCAACAGGCGATCACGGAAGCATACAAGGCCGGTTTTCTCGGGAAGGACGCGTGCGGCTCCGGCTACTCCTTCGACGTATACCTCCACCGTGGCGCTGGCGCGTATATCTGCGGTGAGGAGACCGCCCTCATCGAGAGCCTCGAAGGTAAGCAGGGCAAGCCACGCCTTAAGCCACCCTTTCCCGCGGACGTCGGCCTCTTCGGCTGTCCGTCGACCGTCGCGAACGTCGAGACTGTCTCCGTCGCCCCTACAATCTGCAGGCGTGGCGCGAGCTGGTTCGCGGGTTTCGGCCGCGCGCGGAACCAGGGTACAAAGGTGTTCTGCATCAGCGGACACGTGAATAACCCATGTGTCGTCGAGGAAGAGATGAGCATTCCGCTGAAGGATTTGATTGAGAAGCACTGCGGCGGCGTGCGGGGCGGTTGGGATAACCTACTCGGTATTGTTCCCGGTGGAAGCTCCGTCCCCGTTTTGCCGATCAAGAAGTGCGAGGAAGTCTTGTACGTCTGTCTCATTCTCTCTGAACTTATTAGTCCGTCTCATGACTGCGATCTGCTAGGATGGATTACGACTCGCTTAAGGATGCGCAGTCCGGACTCGGCACTGGCGCCGTCATCGTCATGGACAAGAGCACCGACATTGTCTCTGCCATCGCGCGTTTCGCCCACGTGCGTGACCTTTTGCCCCTCGGGGCTCATCTGTATCGCCTAACCTTCACATTGTGCGTCTAGTTCTACAAGCACGAGTCGTGTGGCCAGTGCACACCCTGCCGCGAGGGCACAACATGGATGATGAATATGATGGACCGCCTCGTCGAGGGGAGAGGGCATCAGCGCGAGATTGACATGCTCCTCGAGATCAGGTACGTCCCACTCTCATGCCATCTCCAACTGTTCCGTGCGCTTACTCCTACTCGCACCCACAGCAAACAAATCGAAGGACGCACGATCTGCGCGCTCGGTGACGCGGCCGCTTGGCCCATCCAAGGCCTCATGCGCCACTTCCGCCCCGAGGTCGAGGCACGCATCACCAAGTTCCGCGCAGAGCACGGGACGGTCCTCTTCGGTGGGCGCCTGAAGAGCACGACGGATCCGACACTCGCTCTTCCCGATAACTTGGGCGCGAACTTACCTGAGGTACCCCCGCCGTCGGCCTGAGAGCGGAGACAGGAGTAGACGCAGGTGAATGGGCAACAAGGGTTTTGTCCTTGCATAGCTCTTCCTGTATTCGCAGAATTGTCGATTCGTCATACCTGGGTGTGCTTCTACTGAGATTACCTGTCGCCGATTAGCTCTTCCAACCGCTTCTTCAGCCGGCCGTCCAGCTCCGCGGCGTCGTGGAAGGGAACATCTGTCGCATAGTAGAACAAATACGCGGCTTGGAGAACACTGCTTCTCCGAATTTATGATAGTCGAGGGCAGAGAGTAGAATGAGAAGAATTCAGTTATTTTGTGCGTCTCCGGATTCTGCACGATAACCTGGTCAGGACTGCTATACGCATGTACTGTCAATGGTGGCGGAGATATAAAGTGATAGTGTACTACACGCCTTTATTCATAAAATATATTTCCTCACAATCGTGCACCAGACAGTGCTGAGGCGATACTGAGACCAGCCAGAATGAGATGAAAGAAACTCGTTGGACATTGGTGAAGCCTTCGAATGAGTTGCTGTCCCGGGATGAATGCCGGCCGCCTCCGAAGGCGCTCGTGTTAGATTCGCGTCCAGGGGAAAGACGCTGCGCGTCGGCTTGCGCAGGCCCAACGGGCTGCAGGCAGTAGGCTTCTTTGGCGAGGATCTGACGCGCTCAGAGTCACTGTGAATGGTACTCGTAGATAGATTCGAAGTCGTTCTTCAATTCCATCCGGTCGAAATTCGCTCAGGGTAAGGCTCACTCCCCCAGCCAGTGCTCGTTTCAGGCAGGCTCGAGGAAGTTGCAAGCTCTGGGAAGTCTGCAAAGAGGTTACCAAGAGGTTAGGTAATGTGGAGGCGTTGAAGGGCGGTAGACAAATCGTGGTAGAGATGATTTCGGATGTTGGCGTGGTGAACGGGAGAGGAAAGGTACGAGAACGGTACCGGTGATTCAGAGAATGGTGCTGTTATGCTGTACATTCGAGGAGAGAGAGAGAGTAATAATAGCCAGTGGGTTTTCTTTGTTCGCCTTCCTCCAATCGGAACAGCTAGACTTACTATATAGATGGTGGAGGCTGCATAATTATGTATTTTCTTGTTGCTTACTACGATTTTTTCTACTTGAGTCTTGAGCCTAAGATTGTTGGCTCCATTGAAGTTCTTCGATAATTGATGTGGCGGCAATAAAAGCCTCGTCCGAATAAGTATATAACCAGATCAACGTTATATTTCTTGATCTCCTCAATTGGTTTCGAGGGTAATTGGTACTCATGTAATTTCGTCTCACCGGCCAGTATCAGTCGGATTTCACATTGTCCGCCCAAATGGGCAGCCCCGTTCCCTTTTCGGGGTTGGTTGACTCGAGAAAGAAGAAGCGCCACTCCCGATTGCCTCGATGCTAGATGCACATCCAACATTCACACGTAAGCAATGTGGACAGATAAAAGGCGTGCCAGCCACCCTGTTCCTTTCCCTTCAGCTTCAACCTCTTACATTGACAATGTTGCCTTCATCTGTGCGCACGGCTTTGGACCTTCAGAAGGCACTGAGCATGGCGCCCTTCCGCCTCCAGCAAATTGGAGATTGCAAGACGAGGGAGCATCTCTTCAAGAAGAAATACACATACGTTGATAGCGATGACAGCTACGACTCCAGCGACGAGGATGAGAGGCCCAGTACCCCGCCCAAACGTGTATCAGATCCTAACAAGGTCAGTTGTCCTTCATCGTAGATGATGTCTATTTCCTGATGCATATGGCAGCCATATGTCAGAGAACTCTGCGAGATCTACAAGGAGCATGGTTCAGACAGTTGGAACGATACAATGGATGCCCCTTTCCGGCTCACCGTTACTCGCCCTGGATGCGAATTCTCCGGAGACATAATCCCGAAGTCGGAGGAAGAGGATGAGGAGGCCATCGCGGAGCGTCTGATGAAGTGGTATGAACATGGTGCGATATCGGGCTTTGGAGACGTTCGCACGCAGGAGACCAAGGTTGATAAGGACATCCGAGACGCGCGCGAAATTCCCGCCTCTGAGTTCACAGTGTCGGACGGCCTCGTCCAGGAAATCAAGAAGCAATGGGGCGAGCACTTCATTCCCAGTGCGGTGCGCGTCGAGCCATACAAGATTCACATCTATGGCCCAGGCGGGCTGTTCGAGTTTCACAGAGACACTCCCGAGAGGGATCTTGTCGGGACATTCTTGGTTGGCCTCGGTGACAACTGCGAAGGTGGTTTATTGATCATTGGCCACGACGATTATTACGACCCATACTCCTATGGAGTTAAAGCGAATCCTGGCTCCTGGGCCGCATTCTATCCCGACGTTGTGCACTGTGTAAACAAGATCGAAAAGGGACATCGGGCAGTGATCGCATTCAAGGTCTATAGGACTGGTGACGCAGCGGCGGAGCGGATTGGGTTCCAAGCGAGTCCAGAGGCTGCCCTCCCTCAGCAGAAGATGGGGGACGTGCTAAGCAAAATGCAGCTACCCTTCGGTGTGCTCCTCGCACACAAGTACTGCATCGGGACCGTCGAGCTTAATGGGTTGGACAACATGCTGCACGCAGCCGCAGAGGTGATAGCGATGCGGAGGAATGCAAAGGTCCACTTCTTGCCCATACTCACAAAGCTCAAGGGCACCGCGTATCTCACGGACGACCGCCGGAATGATTCCATCAGCGCAACGGCGCCAGTGTACCCGCTCACCCAGGCGCATGTCGACGCGCTGCTCGCGAGAATCGCCGAGGACACAGAGACCTCGGGCGCGTTCGCAGAGTTCAGTGACGACCGGGCGTATCTGAAAGCACACCAGGATTCCGCATACGACGCTATAATCCCGGAACCAGAGCAGGACGTCATCGAGGTCCCAAATGCGGAGGAGTGGTTGACCGGCTTGAGCGGTGTACCATTCTATTCCGTGGACTTCACGAGGAGTACGGTTGTGTGGAAGAAGGGAGGCGAGAGCGGAGCAGAATACACAGGCAACGAAGCAAAGCCTTGGACAGAAGATAGCATCTATCTTTCGTATGCTATGGTGGTGCTCTCAAATGATCCTGCTCCTAAGGATCTTAACAGGAAAAGGGACGAGGAATAGATCACAGCACCTGTCCTTTCGTCTGTACATGGCTGAGAGTGGCATTACGAGGTCGGACACCTGCCTCACGCTTTCTAGTACTATATGTAAGGGTGTGAATTGCTAAATCTCGTACGGCACTTACCAACCATACACCATTAAGCCATGCGGATAGTTGGAGCCAATAGCTATGGGAAGAGTTCGTACGTTTTTTCTTAAAATGTAATTTGAAGTCGTTGCTATATGACAGTCACGAATGAGATAGTACACGCCATGCATGGGACAGTATCAATTTACCTTTGCAACAGCCTTATTGACTTCTTCTGCAAAATACTTCCTCCAATACTGCATTGCATTACGGATGCGTCGGCGACAATTCTTGCAGGCAGGCAATAGCGACTTAACGAAGCGGCATAAACCGAGTTCCGCATCTTCCAGTAGTGCATCTCCGGACGGGGTCGCCTCTAAGAGCTCCACAGTATACGATAGATAATCATTCTGATCAAGGACAAACCAGCGTCTAGGATGATTCCAGTGGGGAATCCTAACTTGAGTCGGATCTTCGCATTCATGGCAGTCGTACTCGTAAAGCTCGCTGGTTTGATATAAGCTATCGGAGAATGCGTCGACCGCTTTTAGAGCGGCGAGCCTGCATCGTTCCCGGTATTGCAATAGGTAAACGTATGCCGTGGCGGGGAGACTCGCCAACGTGCTCGATGGAGGAGTCAGCACTTCGTGTGGATAGCGGAGTGTTTGTCCGGCCGCTGCGCATGCCTCGTCCAGCAGCTTCAAATTGACCGCGACGGCATAAACGCCAACAGGATCCTCCTGTCCCAAGTCTGGATCCAGCAGCGCTTTCGTGCATACAGCCTGAACCCCTTCCATGTCGTACTTGACTCCTGCCGCTAGAACTGCTCCGACGTCCTCCAAATTATCTAGTTGAGGGTCGGGAACTGGGTAGCATATTCGGAATAGCTTGTCCAGCGTCCCAGAGTCTTCTGTAAGGGGGAGAATGGGATGGTTGTGCGCATCCAGAGGCTGGGGAAGCTGGAACATGGTCTCGAAGACGGGCAATGCTTCGGCGAGAATAATTTGTGGACACGAAAATCCAGTAGATAGTAGGAAAGAATCGTTCCTCCAAGTCCTTTTAGGTAGGTAGTAGAGTTGACACTAGCAGGGGCTATAGCCCGAGAACCGTTTAGGAAGCGTAGTTCGAACATGCCGACGGCAAGAACCGAAATCCCGGGACATGGAAATTGACACCGTCATCGATAGCAGCGCCGCGCGTATCGGTCTTCTTCTGTCGCGTCCTGCTCGTCTTTTGGTCTACACTGGCAACCATTCTTGGTATGTATGGACCTGCATAGACAGATATTTTCACTTTTCGGGGCGGATTGCGAACATTCGTATTGAAAACCGATTCTAATCATAATTTCTGTAATCAAGCCTCCGAACAAGAAAAGCGTTGGTCCGGAGACTACACAGCGACCACGGAAGTAAAAGCTTAATTCACTCTCGTCAAGTACGTGAGAGCCCTTTGTCCAGATCATGGTATACCGGTGAGCGGTAATGCTTACCTTCTATTCCACAGGATTCGATATTCTGAGGACGCAGCTACGTACGGCGTCAGAGCATGCTCTCATTATTTCCGACGGACATCTCGCTCTACATCCTATCATTTCTGTCCTTACACGACCTGCGATCATTGCTACTTGTATCGCGGGAGACTCACCACCTTGTCGCCGACAACGAGTCCACGGTATATCACCAAGCAGCTGTGTTTCACAAGTTCGTGTCGATCAGGAGCTCCCTCGAAGATGCGCTTCAAGTCGAGTCCCGCCGATGTGGTTGGTTAGAGGGCGCTCAGAGCTGGAAAGAACTGTGTACGTTCACCCGTTCAACTTGTGGCTGGGTTCTGACACAAGCTTGAAGGCCGGCGTTGGACGGAATTGGAGCGGAATTGGGACGGGAGGGGGTTTGTGCATGAAGGCGGGCATCAGGTCGGCGACTCGAACGGGATGGATGGGGTTTTGCACTTCAAGGTTGATGAAGAGCAAAGGACGATTGTCGCAGTATCGCGCTCTGGCGGCCTGACGGTCCGAGCCATGGAGGACAACCGAATTTTATGGAGTCTCGGTAACGTATGAATGCGCATCATATCATTTCCTATGTACTGACTGCAGTAATGCTTAGGACTACATTTTCCGCGCACGCTGCGAGCTGTCGAAGGGCTTCCTGGTATTTCCTAGCTCCCGCCATGGCCTTGAGATATGGCGGCGGACAGCCGATGTAGAACTCGGGTCTGATGTAATCGGAGAGACAGTGTTGTCGCCAATCAGTGGCCCGTCGCCTGCGGCTGCCCTTGACTTCCAGTTCGAAGCGTCCAAACTCGCCGCTTCGACACATCCAAGTGTCAATTCCGCCATGCGACTGCGCGGGCAATACACCCCGCATGCGTATCTTGGCCACCCGTTCGTCAACCTTGTCCGCATCTATCGCCTCCGGTTCCCAGTGCTCGCGCTGATGAGCGCGCTGGACCGCAACGCGGTGCTGATATTTGACGTGTGCGAGGGCGTCCTATTGCGTCGCGTCTCGTTTGAAGCCTTTCATCCTATCGGTGCGCCTCAAGGGTTCGAGTTCCCTAACGTGAACGACAGAGTAGTCATGGACATTGACTTATCAGACAAATACCTGTCGGTGTGTCTTCATTCAGCAGTCTTCATGGTGCCATGGCGGACGTCGGCACAGGACTCAGAGGGGCGAACGCGTGCCATGGTGCTCGCGGAGACCGACTTACCACAGGATCTACAAGATGCATCAATGCAACTAAGGAAAGTTACCGTTCCTAATCACCACATTAGCACCCGCCATTCGGACTGTCGGGTTGACGGGAACGTCGCGTGCGTTCCCGGTGCAGATGCAGTGGAGCAATTTGAAATTGTACCCCCATCTGCGAGCACCCGCCTGGCCAATAATAGTCAGGCTCTCGTCCCAATTGGTGCGCATCGTGTTCCGCCCTGTTTCGTCTCAGGTATGCTCCGTTTACAAAAATATCTTCTATATCTGACCTTCTCCCAGCACGAATGTCTCCTGATGGACGACACTTTGCCGCTGTGACGGTATTCGGGCTGCTGTATCTCGTTCCCAATTTCGCTCGTGTCGAACGGGGAGCCACTTCGTTTTCGGAAATTACGACACGGATATATATGGGTGAGTGGTTGAGAGATCTTGTCTGGGAGGAGCACCAGCAACGACGGCTAGTGATGAAAGCTGTAAGTGAGTTTCTGGCACGCATTTCACTCCTGACCAACAAATCCCAGGCATCCGAAGATATATTCATAGTCAATCTTGACGCATCCTTCCACTTCCCTCGGGAGCCCATGCCGTACGAGTTGCAGGACGACCGCGACACCTTCGCGAACGTGCGCATCTCGCACCTCAGCGATTTCAGCAACCCCACGCTGGGGTGGGCGCGCGAACGGGGCGTGGCGTTCAACGGCGTGCAACTGACACGCACTGCGGTCTGGATGGTGTGGGACCGCGCGCTGCTCGACGACACGGTGCGCAGGCGCGAACACCGCAGGAGGCAGCGAGAGTGGGAGGACAACGAGTCTACCGAGCCCCGTTCTTCGCGTGAGTTTTTTCGTATCTTACTTCGTGAGGCTTCGTGCTCATGCGACATGCGATCGCTACAGCCGGGAATGGTTCGCTCTGCTTCGCCAGTTTCGCCGCAGGGATGTGATCCTGCGCGTCCGCAGACTATCCATCGCCAGAAAAAAGTGTTATAGGGTCCGCGTAATTATCAATATCAATTTTAGAAAGGCAGAGTATATTTATGCCCGCATGTCGTCGTGCAGCCTGACTCCTGCTCACAACCTGTTTACATTCTTAGAATTATCACGCTAAGAATAATTGTTCTGGAGTACACTTTGTTCACTTTACAGTGCGCACAGCTGGCTTCCGTTCGTTGAATGCTAAGCGGATAGTCATTAGAGATGAATCACGCTCCTCAGGCGGGTGAGACGACGTAATCACATGGTGCGCCGCGAACGCGGATGTGGCACCTCCTGATCATAAGTACCAAGTACTTCTACCACAGCGGCCGCCAGACCAACCCCCCCCCCTCTCGAATCGTAACTTCGTGCACTCGCCAGAATTTCGTCAGAGACACGAATTATGTTCCCCGCATCTGTGCGTACCGCCTTCCACCTGAAGAAGGCCATAGAATTAGCCGCAAAGCGTCTGAAGCCGATAGGAGTATGCGAGACCAAGCAAGATTTATTCAAAGCGGAATACGAGCCCGAAAAGATGGATGACGAACACGACAATGGTGGGGGTGAGCAGAAGAGCTCTGCCCAGAACAAGGTCTGTCTGTCCTTTTCACACCAATCTTTGGTCCAAGACATAGCTGAGCGGTGATATCTGAATCTAGGCCCTCTTGAAAGAGCTTGCAGCCATCTATAGGAATGACGGACGAGATTATTCGAGTGGAGTGTTGGATGCGCCGTTCATCCTTACCATCACTCGTCCCGGTTGCGAATTCTCTGGTGAAATTCTATCCCGCTCAGATGAAGGCAGCAGAGGAACGAATAGCAAGGATGGAACGCCAAGCCCTGATGCCACCAGCCAGGACCCAGTTACGGAACGGCTCAAGAAGTGGTTCGAAAACGGCGCCGTCTCAGGCTTCGGGGACGTCCGTGCACAGGAGACCAAAGTCAATGCGAATGTCCGGGATGCACGCGAGATTCCTGCATCGGAATTCAGCGTTTCGCCCAATCTTATTGAGCAAATTCAAAAGTGCTGGGGTGACTATTTTGTCCCCAGCTCTGTGCGCGTTGAGCCGTACAAGATCCACATGTACGGCCCCGGCGGACAGTTCAAAGCCCACAAGGATACGCCGGAGAGGAACCTCGTTGGCACCTTCCTCGTCGGACTTGGGGACACAACCCGAAAGGGGTGTCTCTTCATTGGCAATCAGGTTTACGATTCCTACAGGAACTCGGGACATAAGGCGACGTCAGGTAGTTGGATTGCTTTCCACCCTGACACCAAGCATGCAGTCGCGCAGGTCAAAGACGGGTACCGCGCTGTAATCGCATTTAAGCTTTTCCGTAAGGAAATAGAAGAGGTGAAGCAGACGTCCGTTATACACAAGAAGATGGAAAAAGTCTTGGAAAGGATGCAGGCCCCGTTCGGCCTGCTCCTCGCACATGAATACTGCATGGGAACTACCGTGCTCAGCGGTTTAGACAACATCCTGAACGAGGCCGCTCAGGCAATAGCGCTGACGAAGAATGTGAACGTACACTTCCTCCCAGTACTCACGAAGTTCAATGCCCAAGCAAGCTCAGGCGACACGGTTGACATAGATGAGTTCGACGTCGATGCGAAAGTTTATCCCTTCACGCAGACCCATGTTGACGCATTGCTAGAGGTGAAACAGAAGGCTTCGTCGGAGAGCGACCCTTCCAGCGACGAAGATGAAGACAGGCAAGGTTCACGCATGGATCCTGACAAAACCGAATGGCTGGTCAACGCGTTTGACATTCCGTTCTACTCCATTGATTTTGACAAGACTGCTGTGACTTGGTCGCGCTTCGAGGATGAAGGTGCCGAGTACACGGGAAATGAATCCAGGCCATACACCGAAGATAGCATCTACTTCTCCTACGGAATGGTCGTACTTCCGGATGTGCGAGGACAGAAGAGGGCACGGGATGAAGATGGAAATAGTGGTATTGCGGGACCGTCTAAGAAGCGTGTATGAGATTCTAGATCCGAACTATTCCATTATGAGCCACACAATTATACGGACAGCCTGACCTCGCCTAGAAGGACCTGGCGCTGTAAGAGAGTGTCGTCAATCTCTTCTACAGTCCCCCAGAGTTTCTTCAACTTTTCAATGAGATCTACAATGCTTCCAGCCCGGAGCTGCAGAATCTATCAGTCGCTCTGGCACCGTGCAGAGGACGCTTCCTTACCATTTCGTGAATAGTCCTGTACGCATTGTACAATGCACCCACAACCCAGCTACTTACCATGGGTGGTTAGTCTACTGTCCTGTGTGCGAGACAAGTTGGAGTTACATGCACGTATGATGCACACTCGTGGCCTCTCCTGCGAAGTGGACCCCGCCACCAGGTGGCTTCGTTACCTCCGGATATAAATCCTTGAACTGGCCGGGCCCGAAAAGAGCGAAGGCGCCTGCAAAACAGTTGTGAGCAGGCGGGTCTAAAAGAAGTTCAAAGGCCGACCTCCAGATTCAGGAGAATTATACCAGCTGTATGTACCATGGTCAACATATAACTTGGGCAGAAAGGTGGCGTCCGTGATGCCGTGGATGTCTGCAAGGTCTCTTAGGATGACATCAATCATTATCTGCTCGCTCTTGATCTTTGTGGGGTCGTTAGGCCCCAGAAAGTCTGCACCTGTCTGGGAAAGGCCCCAAAGCGCAATGCATCCTGCGCCCAGGTGTAGCTGACGATTATGATACTATCAGGGCCGCCCATACTGTAAGACGGGTATACGACCGTTCGTGATGGCCTGTTAGTGGAGGAAACCCTACCCAATTGTCCCATCTTCTCCCACCATCGGCTTTTGAATTTTAGCCCAACTTTCACGGCACAATCATAGTGGAGGACATGCATCGCAGTTTGGAAGTCCCACGAGAGTTTGCACTTGGTTGAGTCCACCATTCGAAGGAACGGAAGCGGGATAGTAGAGATGACGTGATCATAGATACGACTCTTGGATTCGCCATGAATCGATACAGTGACAGATGGTCGGCGTCCGGTACCAGACTCGAAAGGAGAGATCGCTGTGACACATTTTCCCTGCGACAGTACATTAGGCGGCAGCTTCTTGATCATATTTTGAGCTATCAGCTGGACGCCGCCCCTAGGAGATTGTAAGTCTCGCCCAGTAGAAAAATTAGGAAGGGAACATACTGTACACAGAATCATTTAACATTGGTGCAGTACTCGAAGTCGAGTGAATCAATGACAGTTTCCGTCGGAGCACAATCATAGAGATTCAATGCCGATGTGAAGGTCTCTAGGTAATTCATAAGCTGGCAATCATGGCATAAATTAATGCAACATCACAGGAGTTAAGAGAAATGTGCACCCTGTCTGAATACTTGGGATTGACAAATTTCATGTATTCTCGTGTCGAGTACTCATCGTATCTCATCAGCTCCTTCCAGCCAGCACCAAAGTAACTTTCCAAGAGAGTCCTGAAGTGACTGATCGCGCTATCCTTCATGATGTTAACACTGTTGGGAGGATCCACTCCAGTTTCGTATGGGTCCACGTCTGGGGTCGATGCGAGTTCGTCATTGGTAAGAATTCTGTCGTTGTACAAGTTCCGGTTCTGAGGATGAAGATATAGGGGAGACGCAGCTGGTTTTCCTCTTTGATATCTAAAAGATCCATGAGCTTGAACACGCGGTCCATGAACGGAATTTGAGGTATTTATTCGCAGAGCCCCTGAAGTAGTACGTGTAAAGCCTTCCTCCCATACGGTTGGAATTCACCTCCAAAATCTCGTAGGTCAGTTCCGGGTCACGGTCGCCTTTCAGAGATTGCAGTATAAGAACCGCATACAGGCCAACAACTCCGCCCCCCACGATGCCAACTCGAGGTGGCCCCCGAGAACGTGGCTTTGGGGGTAGAGGAAGGTAGATGGGCGGAGGTAGAGGCAAGGGGAATTGATGGCTATCATCCGGCCGAGGCGAACTTGGAGTGGCATCCAAACTCCATCGGGGTATTCTACGAGCGGATAGATCTCGGTATGAGAGCATGTGAAGATGAGTGTAATTGTTTGGAACAGGCGGTGAAGCTGTATGGTTCACCAACGTTAAGCCTTTAGACCTTGGGTATTGACTGACAACAGTCCCCCACCAACCTGTGGGAAAAGGTATCAGTACCTGCGAGCCACGGAGGTGCCTGAAGGCACATAAGCGCGGTCCAGAAGTTCCCCTTCAATTCTGCAATCAAGGATTGTGGTTCAACGACACGTTCCTTTGGGAAGATAGTGGTCGCCGACCAATTACCAAGATCCTTTTGTTGGAAACAAGGTGGGGAATGACGCGTTCGGAAACCTGGCTGTCACAGATCAGCATCAATGGGAGTAAAATAGCTCTAATAAACGACCCGAATTATCGCTACCTAAAGCAGAGCGGAATGTAAGTCGCCTGTCGTGGGTATGAACTCTTTCCTCGGCAAACGGGCCAGACGCTTCAGAATCTTATCCATCTTTCTCATCTGATGTTGAACTGAGTGCCCTTGAACCTATTCACTGATACATACCTATTGCATAGCGATGCTGCCCCGAGTGGTTCTCATTAGACAGAGCTACCCTGTATCTGGTAATAAGCTGGCCGTAACTTCCATAACGGTCGACCTCGTTGAAAGCAAACATTGTCGCATTCAAGTTCATGTGCGAGCAGCTACTGTATCTCTCGCCAGTCGTTGCGCTCTTCCTTCCTTTAGCAGCTCTTCTGCGGAGATGCTACACAACTCTAACCTTCCTGGAGTGGATAAGTCAGTACGGTTCGACGCATTACATTCCGAGTCTTGGTCACGGTGCTCAAATGGCTTGGGGCTGGTTCGGAAACTTCGAGGCCGGTATGGGCGTCAAAGCCGTCGCCTTTCAAAACTAATAAGAACAAATAAACGAGGGCTGACTTGATCACCAAGTCAGCCCGACTCGGAGGCTATGGCATCATGTCCATCATGCCGCAAGCTCCTGCACCTTTCGACGCGCGTACGGCGGATGTGATAGTGCGTTCGTCAGATGCGGTCGACTTCCGCGTTCGCAGCAGGATCCTCTCCGAAGCCTCTCCGTTCTTCGAAACCATGTTCACTCTTCCGCAGAAAGACGGAACTGAAATTTCAGAAGATTCCCTTCCAGTAGTAACGGTCACCGAGGATGCCCAAGTATTGGACAAGCTTCTCCGCATCTGCTATCCTATTGTCAAGCCACCGTTGTCAGACCTGGAGGAGATCGAGGAAGTCTTAGCCGCATCAATCAAGTACGACATGGAGTTCGCGAAGTCGTATTGCGTCAAGGCGCTTTTGGACTCGTCAGACACGCACGAGCGCTCTCTTACAGTCTATGCTATCGCAATCAAGCTCAGGCTACCCACTGAGGCTCATACGGCTGCGAGGCAATGTCTATCATACGCATTTAACTCGTATGGTACACCAGCAAGGGCGCTGGATAGTGTCTCTGCAACTTACCTCTATCGGCTTATGCAGTATCGAGACCAGTGCCGGAGGATTGCCGTCGTGTGTGTTCAATCCTTTTGTCCCAATCGATATCGTCTCCCCTACGGTTGCGACGATTGTATGGAGCTAATGTGGACCACCCTCAGGCTGGAGGGAGTTTCGAGTGGACGAGGAATGCTACCGTAAATATGCTCTGAAAGAGGTGGAGACCACACCGTGCGGTGCCGCCATTCGCAAGAGTAGGCTCCTGGACTTGACAGAGGTATTAGCCCCCCACGAAAAGCCAGACTGTCTGGAGTGTTTGGATCAAGTACTATGGGCTCTACGTGATATCAAGGAGGAGTTGGCGGCTGATATAGATGGCAGCATCGCATCCGTGAGCTCCGTTATGTTTGTGTAGCATACATGTATAGCTGATGCTCTTGGTTCTAGGTTGAGCTTAAACTCTCTCTATGAGGCGCATTGTGGGTGCCTCGTGAATTATTCACCGTACGACGCTTTTCCTGTGGAATGTGGAATTGCTTGACGGACTCCGCTCTTTAGGCGACTGATATCACTTCAGAACAGTGGCAAAATCCTCTGATCTGATCCAAATGCTTTTGACGAGTCAACGACGAACGTGCGCGGATGCCAGCAGCACTTCGTGTGCATGAACAGTTTATGCATATTTTCACTGTTTCGCCGACGTAGCTGCGAAATAACACAAACTGAGAGTTGCCCCACATGAGATCGCAGCGTGTTCTCTGAAAGTGCCATCGTTGCCCAGTGGCACTGTACATACTAGCTACATTCCCGAAACTGTCCAAATTGAACTCCGGCAGTTCCCAGCACAGCCCTGCAACAGCCTGCAACGGCCCAGCGTTGGTCCAGCACTCGAGCTCTTTTTCATGATCGGACACGGTTTGGGGCCAGAGCTGCATCTCGCCAGCTCGCGGTACACACACATGCATATGGCCTGTGTTGCAGCGACTTTCTGCGTTGTGCTACGTTGGCACTTACGACCATGTTTCTCGAGGCCGCTCCGCCCTTTAACCAAGCTACTGCAGATGTCACATTTCGGTCTTCCGACAATGTGTGCTTCCGTCTCCACAAAGTCATTCTCTCTCTGGCGTCGCCCGTGTTCGAGGGAATGTTTACCATTCCTAGGCCTGCACATGGCAACGACCAGCCCATCTCGGTGGCCGAAGACTCACAGACACTAGACAAGCTGTTCCGCATACTGTATCCAATACCCGATCCGCCACTAGAGACGTCAGCTGAGGTGGGCGCTGTTCTAGCGGCGGCGTTGAAATACGACATGGATTCGGCGATCACCGTTTGCAAGAGGGCGCTACTCGATCCTGCACTACTCCGCAAGGACCCATACGGCGTCTACGCTGTCGCGCTCGATCTCGACTTAGAGGACGAGCTGCGTACGTCGTTGAGCCACATCTTGCACTGTCCGTACGATCTACCTAAAGGGCCGTCCACGGCTCTTTGGACTATACCTGTCACATTGCAAAATTGGTTCGTCCAGTATCGCGCGGATTGCAAGGCGGCTGCGATTGAGGCCGTTTCATCTTACCTCCAACGTGCTCATGGCGACCGTGGTGCTTTTCACTACGAATGTGCCCCGTGCGCCACCTACGATGGCACGTCTATAGGGCCAATGGATTTCTCCCTTCGGGAGGATCACTATGTTGCACACTCCACCGACATTTTGAGTGCAACTCCATGTGGTGCCGCATTGTTGGAGGACAAGGAACTTGGGTCGACCGTCTTTGCAGTGGGGGAGAATACCGCAGTGTGCGAATCGTGTCGCCAAGGTCTCAGGGAGGCCATGGTAGAAATGCAGACGCGTATCGCACAGGAGGTGGACAAGGCTATTGCACAGGCGAGTTTCTTGGACGTTACATCTTGGTGTAGCTGTCGAGATTCTGAATGTAACTCACACAGAAGAGCATCCGACCTCCATATAGCACTTAGACGACTCGTGAGCTTTCTCATATTTATTAGACGGCATGGTATGTGGTTTCTAGTCTCAGATGGCTTTCTCGCTGACCAGGAAGAAGGCCCTTTTCTCTCTTCTGATTAGTGCATGTCTACACTTGGTTTCCCGTGTCGCTTTCCTCAAGCTTGAGCATACTCCCACCACTCACCACTCGATGTATATGGTACAACAATACCTGTAATACGCTCATGGCGCGGTAATCCGTGGGGGGACATCCTCTTCCGGAACCGTGTGGTTGTCTCTGTCTGGGTCTCCCTTTTCTTGGATTGCTGGTCCAGCCATCACCGGCTTCTTAGAGTTTCTTGCGTGGATTGATCGCTTACGCTTTCCGGAAAGGGGTAGCGATGATACCAACTGTATGGAGGACTCTGGTTCGAATATATTCCTCCTCTCACAACACTCGTGAAATCGGAATATCGCTCCTGCAGACGTAACCTCTGGAGGCAGCGGCACTACTGCTACAAGTCCAACATCGCAGATGCGGTGCAGATGAAAATGGGTGAGCACCGTCGCGGTTGTTGGTGATAGTTTGTGGTGGTGATTTGAGCGTCTGTCCGAGAAGGCATGAGGATCTGGGTTGCCGACAGAGAACTATTCGGAAACTTCCGCTACTCGTGAGCGATGAACGCGACTAGTACCAAACTCACTCTCACTCACTCATCCGCATTATAACGTCTCCTCATGTCTTCTGAGGCACCTTTTCCTTTCAATCAGCCCTCAGCGGATGTCGTTCTCCGCACGTCGGACGATGTGGATTTCCACCTGCACAAACTCATCCTTTCCCAAGCATCGCCCTACTACTCCCATATGTTTACCTTGAGGCAGCCACCGGGTAATGATGATGAGCCGGTTCGCGTCCCCGAGACCTCGCAGATTCTAGATAAAGCACTTCGCATTATCTATCCCGTACCTGATCCACCGCTGGCGGCATTGGGCGACGTAGCTGCTCTTCTAGAGGTGGCGACGAAGTACGACTTCGACGCAATCACAGCTTATTGTGCGAAGGCACTGCTAGACCCCGAGTTGATCCGTAAGGATCCGTTTGGCGTCTATGCGGTCGCGTATGATTTCAAGTTGGAGGAGGAGATACGTATCGTGGCGAAGGAGACCCTACGCTATCCATACGACCCATCCGCTCAGCCGTCCAAGGCACTGATAACAATTCCTGCCACCGCATATATCTGGTTGATGCAGTATCGTGAAAGGTGCAAGGAGGCGGCGGTCGCAGTGATCTCCCAGATGAAGGAACCCGACTACGAGTTCGATGATTTGGATTATCGCTGCCCGGTGTGCGATGGCACAAGGGCTCACGTGTGGAGATCATTAATATTCTACGTTGACGCAGAAGGCTACATCTCACACGCTACCGAGGTGCTGAATGACACGCCATCCGCTACGGCTTTCCTGGAGGATACAGAGCTCGGATCGACCGTGTTTGTGCGAAATAAGCCGCAGTGCCAGGCCTGCCTTCCGGGAATTAGAGATTCCATGCGGAATCTACAAGTGGTGCTCGCCAAAGATATCGATTGTGCAATCTCGGAGGTAAGTTTCGTCGTAGTGCACGATATCTTCACTGACATTTTGGTAGCAGCAAGAACTCCAGATTGCTTTTGAACCCGCCCATTAGATCAGACAGGTCGTTTAATGTGTGCAATTCCCGCCTGCGGCCCATAGCCGATTGATCTTGAGCAGGAACTGTCATTGTGCGATAACCATTCACTACCTTTCAAAGATATACTCTGACGATGCTCAGAGATAACTTGTTGCCCCGGGGCGACGACGACGCCTACATTCGTTCAATTGACTCTGTTTTTGGAGGAACAAGAATTTGGATGTTCATTTTCGCTAATGATTCCTTCCGCGTGGTTAATACCTTGCACTTTCATCATCTCTATTATGATGTTAGGTCCGCCTAAGCAGACCGTAGTAAGGCTCAGCAGTCATAATTCCGACTGTCTTGAAACCCATTTCGTCAACGGCGCCGGGTGACAAGTGGTTGTTAACACCTGTTAGGATCCGAGGGCAAGGTCACGTCAAGGCAAAGTCAAGGTCAATCCTTTGACATCAGAACCGGCCCGGGCGCGCTTGGGCACTATGTTACCCTTGGGGTCTGGTTGTTGCAGTTGTTGCGGCCCATCTCTTGAGCTATATGCCGTGAATTTGACGCGCTCTCGACGCTGTGTGTTCCAGCTGTAGCTGTTCGCGACTATGAATCACAAGTTGTAGATCTGGAAGCCTGGAATTTGGTACAGTTCATTGGCAGTTTCACTCTTTCACAGGTTCACTACCGTTTGGCTGAGGAAGGCTACCAGTGAAGAACCCTGCAGCGTTAACTGACATGAATCCTTGTTCAACGTTCATACTACTTTACTGTGTCTTCCTAGCACCACGAAGTCTCCGAGATCATGGATTCGACGCGCTCTTGCTGGCGCGGTCTGTGTTCGTCATAACAAGGTGTCAGTCTCTATATATTCCGGTGGAAAAAGAGACTAATATGTCGATTCAATAGATTTCTCGCTGTTTCACTGCGGAAGGCTGCACTCATGAGTCATGATCGTTATCGATCCATGACCTCACGCATAGCTTCAGATGAATGCATCATCTATTTGCACTGTCAGTCTTGTTCCCCTCTCGCAGTCGCTTCTTACAATTTTTTACTGTTCTCACGCCGTATTGTCTGCTACAGGAAATTATTGGACAGAGAGATCCTCTCGCTCGCTGTCGCCACTATATTAGCAAAACGAACATCAGTACTATGTCCTTCCTTGTTTTTACTGAGGTGAGTGATAAATTTCTACTTGCAAGTGTTGTGACAGAGACATCCAGTAGATGCACATTAGCCAGAAGATGCGTACGGCGGAGGACCTTGGCTTGGCCGGGGTCTGTATCCGGCGTATTTTACCTCCGAGAAGCGTGGGGGAAAGTTTCCCTGCGTTAACGCTATTCCCAACAGTTGACCACAACTGCTGTAAGTGAGGCCATGGTCCGGTACTTGAAGCAGCGGTTCGAGATGTGCGGGTATCCGGGGTGAACGGGACATTTTACCCCGCAGGTGAGCCCTCGAGTTGTTGGTCTATCAGTGGTCATCGGCAACTCTGCCGGTTTCATCACGGATGATACTTGCTGTTCTCACCATCTCTCCTTCGATAAATTTCTGACTGCAAATCCGCCTTTCTCCACTGCCGGAGGGAGTCTCTTACTTGAGTTGCTTGCTTACCATGAGCGGAACTTCATCGCTGGCTTGACATGGCGGCCAGCTGAGGCAGCATCTTCCGCTATCTGCACTGGCAGACCCACCAAACCATGACTCATTACCCACGTCATGGACTGCTTCCCAAAGGTATGTGATTGTCTGATTGTTACTGGTAGTGCACGTCTGCAGAAATTATTTGCCGTGGAAGGCTCATGTTGAACGACTGCTCAGTGTTTCAAACCCTCGCAGTCCTAGCTTTGTTCCATTGATGGCCATCAAATACACAGTTTCAAGTGGTAAGCGAAGACAAGTTTGGCTTTATGGGATCGGAATGCTTACCGCAAATATCTGTTATGAGCGCAACATCAGAAATCGACTATACCTCTGGGACGTGATTAACTGCTGGTACGCGACCATTTGGACCTTATAACAAGCTTTATTAATTTTGGAGATGGTACCGATCGACTGCTTGACGTTGGTATGCTATCGTGATAATCGTATGGGCAGTAAATCTCGGAGGTTCGCAAGTCTGTAGTGTATTCGGAGCCATGTTTCGTTCTGCTCGAAGAGTGTACAGCGGAGTAAACCACAGCGGTAGTTACAGCAGCAATTCGTCGGATAGGCGTATGGATCTGAGTCGTGAATATTAGATGGAGGAGGGAAGTGCAATATGTTTTTACGGTGTCGCGTAGATGATTCGCTAACTTCTTGTCATCGAAATGCTAATAGCTACTAAGTGCTTCGGCGCCCGGATATCGATAGAATCATGTGAAGCTTCGACTCACTAGTGTCCAACCAAAATCTCTGCAATGGTCTTAGCCAACAGTTCAGAGAGGTCAGCTGGGACCGGAGGTTTCGACACCCGCGAGAGATAGATCATCAGCCAGGGTCATCGAGGACATAATATCGTTGCTCGCATCTTCGCACATATGTATCCTTTGGTTGGCACGTGGATCGACTAATCCACGCAGCCCAGAGACGTTTAAATGCTTCAAATTCGTTCGAATGATTCGCTGGGCGGAGGCAACTTGACAGAGCAATGCGCGAGCATGATAAGAGTTACTCGAGGGGTACCGACGCGAGCAAAATAGCGCACAACAAATATGTGCTTTCACCTTTGGGTCGGCGGGAGAGCTTGTTTTCCGAGCAAGAATCACCTTCTCACCATTTGCCATGCAGATGTTCTCATGATGCTTTCCGGCAAATCCGGGACAACTTCCCATGCCTGTTTGAATGTCACCTGCACTCCACCTCCGCCAGCCCGAGCTCATTTCTTCGCCCCTTGAGAATCATGGCAACCCCCTGTTCACACCGGCCCCCCTCTTCTCAGATTCCAGTCTCTACGCCGACGCACGATGGTCATTCACTCGTTTTATGGCCCCGTACCGCCGCAACCAGACGAGAATGTGCACACCCTCCTTTTCGAGGAGCGTCCATGGCCTGAACCAGCAGACTTTCCTCTTCACATTGATGGATTGACGGGGGAGACGCGGACTAGACAAGAGTTTGCAGACAGAATGTATGACAGTGCAACTGCGCTCGGTACTCCCGGCTCGCAAGGTGGTTTGGGGCTCGGTGCAGATGGTGACATAGTCGGCATACTCAGCCATAACTCACTCGTAAGCCTGCGGAGCTGCACTGTCCTATCGCTGATCCTGACGCGGCGCGTAGGATTACATCGTCCTCATGCATTCGCTTTTGAGGATTGCCACACCGTTTGCGCTGCTGTCTGCGCACTCCACACCTTTTGAGCTGGGGAATTCGCTCCGCACTTCCAAGGCGACATGTCTGTTTGTCCAGCCAGAGCTCCTGCCAGTAGCTCTTGGTGGGGCACGAGAAGCTGGCTTATTAGAGGACCGGATATACATCCTGCAGGGTAGTGTGCCTGGAAGGAGGAGTCTTGCAGACATGATCCTCGACGTCAGAGCGCGCACGCTCTCGCGCATTCCTGCGAGGCCTGCCAAACAGGATACGCTTGCATACCTTGTGTTTTCTAGCGGAACGACCGGTTTACCCAAAGGTGGGTGAAGGATTTGTCAACGCATCGTGTCAAAGTCTCACATAGTGTACTAGCGGTAATGATATCGCACGGGAACATTCGGTACTCCCTCATCCAACAGGACATCGCACTGCGAGCTGAAGACGCACTCCCCCCTGTCGTTCGTATTTCACCTTGCTCTTGCTGGAGGGAGCTGACGCGAGTTGTCAGTTTCCACCACCTGTGTGCCTAGCGATACTCCCATTTTACCATACGTATGGTTTGCACATAAGTTGCCTGCGCCCCTTGTACACCTCGTCGACCCATGTCATCATCCCGAAGTGGAACGTCGACCTTGTGTTAGAACTTATCCCAAAGTGTGTCAAATTGCTGTTCATGTCATCGTGGAAAATTGACGAGTTCTGTCAGATATCAGATTGCTATGCTGCCCCTTATTCCGTCTGCGATACATCAGCTAGTCCATCACAAAAACATCGACAAGGCAGACTTCAGTTCGGTGATGACTTTCGGATCGGGTGCGGCGTACCTTCCGCCAGATTTAATGGAGCGTTTCAGCCAATTACTTCAGAAGCCGCACGAAGTCGCTGAAGGTAGAGCCATACTCTATCTTCTGCGCATCGTACTGACGGTATTCGGGCAGGATATGGCTCCTCGGAGGGGGTGAGTATCACAGACGGTTAACACGAGATTGAGCGCTCTGATGAGTCCCATTGTAGACAATAGCGACTCTACGCCGGACAACCACTCGCACTTTAAATGGACGCTACCCGATGAAGCGGGGCGCGACGGGGATCCTCATTGCCGGTATGAGTGCACGCATCGTCCGCGCGGACGGCACAGACGCGGACGTGGGGGAGCCCGGCGAGCTTTGGCTCTCCGGGGGCAACGTCGCGCTAGGATACTTCGGAAACGAGAAGGCCACGCGCGAGGCATTCCAGGACGGGTGGCTGAAGACGGGCGACCGGTTCTACGTGGATAAGGATGGCTTTTTCTTGTGCGTATCCTATCTCTGCTCGTCTCTGTATCCTTGTGTCTGCATCTGACGAGTGGTGTGTAGCTTTGTAGACAGAGTGAAGGTGAGAAGTACGGCTGCAGTGGTCGCAAAAGTAAATTGATGCGAATCTCTTATAGGACACGCTGAAGGTTTCGGGGCTGCAAGTGTCGCCAAGCGAGATCGAGGCGGTCCTAATGACGCATCCTGGTCGGCTTATCGTCGACGTGTGTGTCGGGGGAGTCCCCGGCGGACGCACCTCCGACGAACTCGTCCCCCGCGCGTGGGTCGTGCTGAGTGAGGACGGCATGCGTAGAGGGTTGCGCGAGGTGTGCGCCGAGATGGAGCGCTGGGCGAGGGCGAACTTGAGCCAGTACAAATGGCTGAGGGGCGGTATAGGCATCGTTAACGAGGTGAGCCTTATGCTCGAGGATGGATCATGTTCACCAACGGCGCCTTGCTAGATACCGAAGAACCCAACGGGAAAGGTGCTCAGGCGTGTACTGCAGGAAAGGCACGAGCAGGAGTTGCAGATGCGAAAGAAAATACCACAATCGAAACTATGATTGAGTCTTGGACTGGTCCGTGTACTCCCCCGTGTATCCTGATGTCCCTTGTATGTCGAAATTACCCACTACTATGAACTCTTATCATGTTTTTTTTTCAGGTATGCACATTCATCCATTCTACCCAAACGTGCTCCGGGAGGCTGTGGTCTCAGTGACTTCCATCAGCTTTACAGTAGAGCTGGTCGAGATGGCGCCTCAGCTCATTCACCATTCTTCTTGATTACAATCACACTTTTTTGAATTCCTCATTGGTCGACAACGACACATGTATCTGCCGATACTGGTGCTAAGCACGCCGATGGTCCGAAGTATCCCTCAGCTCCATGTCCACCAACGCACCCCGTGCAGATCAGTCACTACTGGCATAGCTGGTAATCGGACACCAGGCCCAACGTGCTATTCGAGCGGGACGCGTCTCCAAGGCAGAACGATAAGCGAAAGCCGACCTGAGCCAGTATGCCCGTATGCAGGCATTGCTTGAACTGGACGTGAATAGCCCGGCTGTTCACTCCAGCCTCGGTGCTCTATCTCACGAAACCTACTGTCACCTTCGGCCACCGCTAACTGGATATCATCCCCCAGGCCTATGATACCCCCTTGATGCTGTTAAGTCTGACCACGAGCGGGAGGAGAGAAACGTTCTCGCTTGACGCGTAGAACTGGACACAGTCGAGGTGGACCTGTTCACACACGAACATATCAGCCGTCCATCCTACTCCGTTTCCACTCAAGGCTAACGCACCTTGAACCTGCAAGAGATTGTCAACATCGAAACAGCCAACGGAGTGAAGATACAGTGTACATACCAGTGATTGAAGTTCGTTTCAAACTTTCCAAGGACATCCCACCTTTTCACTCTACCCTGGTCTCCTTCAGGTGTCTCAGCAGCAGCGAGAGCTCGGTTCGCATCTCTTGTGAAGGATGAAGTGTACAGTGCAAAAGTTGCGCAAGTGACGATAAGTCGAGAGAAAGCCTGCATCAACATCAGCATCGGATATGTGAGATTTTGGGAAGGTGGTTAGCACAAACCGTAAGCAGTTTCGAACTTGTTAGCATACACTCCTTCAGGCAAGTGTCTAAGAAGTCCACATGGTCTCGCAAGAGTTGGTCGACAGTCTCAACTTTGCCAGCCTCAAGTTTGTCCTCGAGCTTACGCCAGTTTGGCTCAAGCACTTCAAACGTGGCAAAAGCGAGGATCTGCTGTACGAACGCCAGCATGCGCGCGCGCAGCAGAAACACACGCCTCCGCCAATTCTCGAAGTCTGCGTGCCAGTCGTTGTCTGTTACTGAGCCCGCGGGACGAGTCGAGCGGCGCCAAGGAGCAGTTTTGTGCTCAATCCACATGGAAGAGAGGGACTGCTCGACGTGCTTGAGGTGCAGGAGGAAGCGGAATATGAGCTGATATCGGAGGATTGTCTTTCGCGATATAACCAAAGACAGTGGAAATTTGACAGTGTAGTCGAGTGTCAGTGCATCAATGGCTATCACAATGAAATACAACGAAGTAGAAGACATCCGTCAATTCAGAAACTGACAGAATGTGTTATAGCCGAGCTTACCGAGCATTTGCTTCTTATCATCCTTCGCCTTCTCACGCTCCTTCTTCGCGTCTTCGTGCGCATGCCCGTCTACGCCATCACCATCTTCGCCTCCGATGACGCCGTTGACTTTCAGGACCTTGAGTAACCACTCGTACAGACCGCTGGACGAGAGTGAAACGCGGACGTCCTCGCGGAACATCGCATCTTCGCCCTGCACGTCCGAGCCGAGGACAAGCTCGAGCAAGCTCTGCAGCTTCCCCGTGGAAGCGTTGCGTGCAGATTTGCGTAACTCGGTGTGTGCAAGGTCGAGCAGGTGAGTAAGAAAGGACGATTGAGAAAGGAAGAAGTACCGCTTGAGCGAACGCAGCCGCGAGATGAGTTGCTGGTCACGTAGCAACAACGAAAGCAATGTGCGATTTGCATATGTATAAGCATCGTCGATGGATTTGTAGAACCTAAAGGCCATGATCAGTAGACTGATCCATCGGAAATGGCAAGATACGGACGCACTTTTCATCATCCATAAACAGCTCTTCGTTGTCCGCGTGGCTCGGGTCTCGTGCAATTTCAATCCCGCATTCGCGAATGACGTTCAGGTATTTCCCCGCGAGCAATATCTTGTGCTTCCACCGCTCAAGCACCGGCGGGACACATGCGCCTCCAGGCAATCGCCCTCCAACCGTGCGTGGAGGGGGCACTCCTGCCTGATGCTGTTTTGACGATCCTCCCAGAGTCGAGCCATCTCTAAGCTGGATATTAATTTGGTCAGTCCAGCAGTCACGATACGAATGTTATCACCTACGGTGTATCGCCGCTCCCAGTACTCATCAGTGTAGTCCATCTCAAGAGTCCCGCGATCAATGAACTTGCTCTCCTTCACGCACAGCTCCTCGTAAGGATCAATGAGCCGACCCATGCGGATCCACGTCTGCACCATCTCGACGTACGGCCGCCCGGCTGCGCGAAGGAGTGTACCATACAACGCATGTGCCGCGGGGTCACCAGACATGTTCTGCATTCGCTCGTGTAGTACAGCGAGGACTTCTCCACCTTTCACCGCGATGCCGCTGCCACCGATGGCAACCTTGTTAATTTCGGAAAGGACCGCCTTGAGCTGGGCACCGCCGAGTCCTAGTGCTTCGTTCCGTGCAGCCTCTTCCGCGTCGGAGGAACTAGAAGAGTCGTCCGAGAGTGATGCAGACGGGTCATCAGCTGTTGCGAGTTCTGTCGTGAGAAGGTATAGTAGCGAGAGTGTGTGCAGAGTCGGATGCACGTAGTACCATAGCTTCTGCAGTGTGAATTGTGGTGAGGTGCTGAAAGCATGTTCGAGCTGTGAGAGAAGTGTCTGATAGTCCTAAGAGCACAGAGCCATTAATACCAGTGACAAGAAAAGAGAAGCATTCTGACTTTCAGCATATCCCGCAAGGCTGCACAGAGAGCGTGGTTGACCAGTCCAAAGTCTAGGTGACTACGTAGCTCGATAAAAGAGGTGATGGCAGTGTAGTACGTAGCCAGTGGGAGAATTCGCTCGACTAGGTCTCGCAACGACGGATCTGTGGGCATGAGTCAATTGGAAAGCGGAACTTGATAACACAGCACACACCAAGTGAGGAGGATACTGTAAATCGCACTCCCTGGAGAGGATCGTCGTCTTCTGGCGAATGATCTGGGTGATATGTGATATGTGTACCTTCAATTCCCTACACGAAATTCAGGTAAGCTATTGATTTCAGGCCATAATGATCGAAGCTCCAGCTTCCAGGTAGCTCTCAGAAAAGCAGGTCAGGCTGTTCATATCTGACACTCAAACTCCGTGTTTCTAGACTTCTCACTTTCGTGATCCTCCAGACTCGGCTTAGAGGGAAGAACTTTCACTCTTCCCGTAAGGTATCTTGCAGTTTTATGCAGTTCTGCAATGAATTGTGCGTACCATCAAAACATATAACAGATCCTCCAAGACCAGCGCCTCCTGGATCTCAACAGGCAAGCCAGAGAGACCGTCTTCTCTGGCTTTACCTTTTCCCTTGCCCTTATCTTTCGGAATCCCTGCTCCTGACGCAACGCGCGAATTGAGCGGTGCACGCACGAAGGAGGTTTCTGCAATAAACGACGGTTCGTCGCGCGCTACATACGCCATTCATTCAAGAAGCCCAGAAAAAAAAGAGAAGGAAGGACAAACACTAACCAGGACCGAGACTCTCTTGCTCTCTCGCTCGTACGCGCTCATGCGAAATAGTGACCTGCGCGGCAAGCTCTTCTGGAAGACCATCCTGGAGGTATTGGCGCGTTCGCCGCACAGATGCAATTGTTCCTGTGACCTGCAAGGGCAACGACGCAGTCAGAGGGTATTCATGGTTATGGGAGAACGCCAATAGTAGCTCTGCTGGTTCGTGCCACTGAACCACGCCTGTTCAACTAATTCAGAACTCGCGCGCGAAGCATTAGGTCTGGAACCTCTCCCGGCGGTCAGCCAGCTCCACGCGATAATATGATATACAGCAAATGCAGAGACACGAATGTGAACGGATAGTGCTGAAATTGCGTGTTCAAACCGCAGCTCGTAGAAGGTCCCCTGGATAAACTCAGAACGCGCGTCGAGCGATGGTAGAGGCATCGAAGTTCTACCTCCACCCAAGCACGGGAAATGCAGAGTGTGAACACACGTATTGCCTTGATACAACCAGTTTGCCTCTGTGAAGGTGCGATGAGCGCGGGTGGCAGTAGCGTGGCCGGATGCATCCTGGTATCATTCACAAGAACGCTCGCATCTCAGCACGGTTCTCGGGCTACACTATTGAAATGCCCGATACGACGCGTTACATGAGATCATTCGTACCTTGGTATACTCTTTCTGAGACAGTGTGAGATTCTTCTTTCGCGAGCCAGGGCGGGAACGTGGCGTGTAGGGATCCATCAGTAAAGGACACAGATATCTTCAAAGATGTTAGACAAGTGTTCACCAAGGTTAGTCAAGAACTCTGCGAAGTCGACAGTGGAGGGAACGGTAGTCGAGACGCGTTTGGTGAACGCGGCGAGAATAAACCCTGAATTTTGAACCCATGCACGTGCTCTGGACTTGCAATATTTCCTGTATGTAAGTCAATACTACCACATCAGCAAAAGTCAACTTTTGGTTACCTCCATTTAGCTCCCTTATCTCCTTAAGGAGGTCTCTGTTCTTATTTGGGCAATTAAAGCCAATAAGGGTGAATAATGGAGGAATAAGAGAAGGGATCTCCTTATTTTTCCTTAATCAAGGGAATAACACCGGTAAGCAAAAGTTGACTTTTGCTGATGCACGTGTCCCACGTGGCGTTATCCGAGAATAACTACCCTACCACTATAATTTAAAGAGATTGCCCCCAAGTACGCGGCATCTTGGTTAAGGCGCGGATTGATATCTTCTTCGCTGGTCAATTCACGGGATACGGAGTGAGTACCTACCACATTTCATGAACTGTGATTTACTGGGCTTCGGAGAAGGTGCTGTCCATAATGCGTGACGCGAACATCTACAACTTTCGACGGGCATTGCCTCGCATGGTGAGCTCGCCCTTCGCTCAGAACGTAGCACCAAATCAATCTTTTGCACCAGAGCTGGCACCCGCACAATCTCTACAACCTCTGGCGTCGCTCGTTGGGAGCGCTGAAGGAGGATCTTGAACCCCGTGCGCGTATGCACATGTCCCTGTACCAGCAGCGGTGGGCGAGCAAGGCAGTCTTGCGTGCGTACCATGGGGACTATATCAACGAGAAGATTTTCAAGCGTTGGTACCTTCCCGCTACACTTCCGGACGTGCGCCCCCACGTTGGCCCTACGCCAACCGCATCGGACACGGTCGGGCTTGCAAGGTGGGCAAAGCGTGATCAGGCTGCAGAGAAGGAGCGGCGAAGGCTGGAGAATGAGAAGGAGAAGGGGCTCGCGCCCGTGGGTAGCTTGATGTTTCGCGAGGTCGAGCGCCGCATCGACGTGGTTATCTTCCGCGCCTGCCTCGCGCACAGCGTCTACGAGGCTCGGCGACTCGTCATACACGGGGATGTCCTGCTCAACGGGAAGAAGGCGAGAGATCTCTCTCACTTGTAATTTTTGTCTGCTGACTGGAGACGCGCAGCACGATGATCCCAACACACGCCTGGCGCCAGGAGATATGGTATCCGTGGACCCCAAGGCGATACGCTTTCTGCAGGCTAGTGCAGCTCCCGTGGTCGAGGAAGATGAGGCTGCAACAAAAGACCAAGACACGCCTCCCGCTGCAGAAACTTCCTCGGAGGCCGACGTAGTTGTAGAAGAGGGAGTCGACGGCGAAAGCGAGGCGTCGGCAAAAAGTGCGGCGTCGGCGGAGACACACTCAGAGCCTTCCGCGACCCCATCGTCTAACGCCGCGCGCTGGACGAAAGTCAAACGAGCAAGGCGGGGCAACCTGACTCCGTTCCACCCGCCACCCTATTCAGCACCCTTCCTCTTCGTCCCTGCCTACATTGAGCCATCCTTCGCGACGTGCTCCGCGATCTATCTTCGTCACCCAACTGCGCGCCCGGGCTACTCCGAGATCCCGACGCCGTTCGATGCTGACGGCGAAATCGTGCGCTCCGCCTGGGAGTGGTATTCCGAGGTCAGGCCCAGGATGCGCAGCAAGAGCCAGCTCGCGCGCATGCCGGAGAACAGGCAGTAATCTACGTAGGAGTATCTGTGGAGATTTCACGGTATAATCTCACTAATTCAACCCTGCACTCGCCCCTCATACTTCCTGTTGTGGGTTTCGTCCGTGTAATTTGAATGTTTGTCTGGTGTGTGAGAGGTAAGGATGTTACATCGTTTGTCTGCGTGCAATTGGTCCACTGCTAGGTGCCGGACAAACTTCGTCCAGGCAGATATCAACATAGGGTTTGACAACAAGTGAGTTCGTCGTATATCGAGATATGAGTATTTTGTGTTGCTTTAGCACCTATCTGACTGTGGCGTATGCGCTTAGTACTTTTCCACAGTGGCCCATTAGTTTGCATATATAAAGGCAAGCGCAGGACGTACTGCACTTCCTCTCAACCACCTCGATCCAATTGACATGTCATCCACTTCTGACGATATCTCGCGCCCACCCTATTCGGCCACTTCCACTGACCAGAGTATGCTACCCAGCTCTCCAGATTATTCGGCTTATGATTGGAGCGCTCTATTGGATAAGTGAGTCCGCGTTGTAGAACAGTCTATTCTCCTGGATGAGCGTCTGTCATGCCACTGACCGGTTCCTAGTGGCTACCTTCTTTGCGTTGATGGAGTTTCCTATCGCACTCTAACGGATGTTTCCTGCCGATCTCCTAAACGGGTGGAAATACTCGGAGATCTTTTCGTGCAGAAAGAGCATTACGACCTCGAGAAACTCAGAGAATTTCTGAAGACCGACTCTATCACCGATGTGACATTTATGCGCTGGACGGCCACACCACTCCTTACACTGTTCGAGGTCATATTGTTGCATCAGATCAAAATTCTCAGAATCGTCGGCGGGACATACGACATACGTGCGCTTTGCTGTATACTTTTAACCTTCTCCGAGCTTCATACCTTTCATGTGAAGCGGGTGCGCGTTGAACCCGCAGCAACTACGCAGCGTTCTAAATCGTCGAATGCGGATGCCGACTCTTTCCACACGTTAACTCTGGCAGGCGGACGGGCTACAGCGTTTTGCGAATGGTTGTCGCCGCCTCTTTCGAACTCCGGTGTGAAGGCCCTCGGCATTGCGTGGCGGCCCCCTCGCGCGATGACGCTCCTCGACGTCTCCTTCGAAGAGCTGGTGCGGGAAGCCTCCGAGAAGTTATCGAGCCTGGCTTTGATCGTGGATTACTATGTCGACCCATCACAGTTGCAACTTCCCTACGACTCGTCCACCGACGTCAGCTTCAAAGTGTACACATTGCTAGACATCGACTATAGTATCCGCCCATACGAGTGCATGCAATGGGTCGACAGATTTCTTGAGTCGGTTCCCCGTACTGTGGAGAAGATTGCACTGGGTCTAGTCTGCTCGAGCGCAGGAGACTTCTCGCCGAAACTTGTGTGGCCCACGATTGACGGCAATCTGCTAAGACTGAAGACAGTGAATCCCAACCTCTCCGTCGATTTTCAGGTTGCACTACTAGAGATCCCTCCGCCGCAAGAGCGCTCCGAAGAAGAGGTTTTGCGCGAGTGGTGCACGAGCGTCGCAACGGTGTTTAAAGACAGCTTACCCGAATTCCTGGGGTTTGCAGAGGCGGGGTTGTCATTACAGTGCGTCTCTCCCGTGCTGGATGTCTGGTACTCAATTAAACCAGGCGGTTTTGAGTTGATAAACATGGCCGCGGCTGCGATCTCTCGAGGACCCGCATAGTGGTTTCTGTACTTGTGTACTGTCTATACCCTTGGTCGATATAACGTTTGTGACTTTTATGTTCGACAGCGACCCACGTACGACCATGCTCTCGCTGATAAACTACGACAAAATATTAAATTCGATAGTGCAAAAAATACAGCCCGTTAGGATTAACGCAACTCAACAACCCATCACTACCCCATTGTACGGGCCATCGTGATCCGACTCATCGCCGTCAAAAACATTCGGGACGTCTCCCACAATGCATTGTGTACTAGGGTTGTCCTGCCCTGTATGCGCGCAGGAAAGTATGATAAGATTATGTAATTTATCGAGATAGAATAAACTCACCCGGGCACGCTGCCCAATCTCCAGTGTCTTCGATGTGCACTTCCCCCGAAGGATGAATATAGCCGAGGAACATGCCGGGGCAGATGGGGATCGGGTCTTCTTCGTTGTTGATGTGCGTCACGGACGTGGGCTGTGCGTCAACGTAGTTTGCGAAGGCTTGATTACCGACCTGCAAAAAAGACCGAGCAAGGTTACAGGCATACGGCATGAATCATTTGGAGAAGCATACCCGTGGCAGGCCGTATCCAACGAATGTGAAAGTCGCGTTTGATATGTGGAGAGGCAGATACACGGCATCCAGGAGCGAGATTGCGGCACCTAGAAAAAATACACTGTGTTTTAGCTAGATACTAGACCATGAATACTAAGGGAAACACACCGAGGGAGTGTCCGACAAGCGTGACATGGCTAGCGCCATATGTCGACATCGCACTCTGGACGGAAGCTAGCACGTCCACCGCAGTGCTGCAGATCACTAATAAGCATCAATAACCAGCGGGAATAGGTAGATGTTCACTCCGCCTGTGCGACCGCAAATCCGTTGTGGACTTCAATATCGTAGCTAAGGCCCGGGAAAAGTGAGGAATCTAGATTCGTCAAGAAGAAGTCCCCATCCGTCACGAGTGGCATGCTAAGTATGGGAGTGGATCAGGGAGGCAGCGTGACCCCAGTGGTTCGTCTTACATCTCGTCGGGATCAGTTCCCTGATGCGACACAACAACGGTTTCTAGAGTTGGGTCGTATCCCACGAACCCTGGGAGGAAGGCGTGAGGGTTCGCACGGAAACGATCACACTGGCATCAGCAACACGCACAGTATTGGATGCTGTCGCCGGTTCCTCCAGATGCAACAGGTTCAAACGAGGGGTTCGCCTCGCAGTTCGTGCCGCAGTCCCAGGCAAGAGTCTGAGCTGCAGTGCAGTAACCCGCGCTGGCATATCGGGTAAACGGAGTGTAACTGTCGATTTGGCTGGGGGAGAGGGTAGTAATCGACTGTCTCGCTTTCAAACTAGAAGCGGGGACAGCCTGCACGGCAGTCACAGCTGCCAGAAGAGCAGTACTGAGCACGAGGGAGAGAGGCATCGAACCGGAGGTGCAGATGCACGAGAACTGGGTTCAAGGTAGCGAGGAGGGGTGCAGTGCAACACGATCGCATAGCAAGTAGTTATATACCGATCACCCAAGCTGTCATATGGCTTGAGCTTGAAAGGCAACGAAGGCGGTACTGCCGAACAGCGAAGAAGTCCCTGTGTCCATGCGCTGCCTGTCTACTGCGTTCGGGTAAAGACAACGAACGTTGTTAGCAGGATGTCCAGGCACATGGCCCCCGTCTTCTGCATGTGGACCTCTTGGATATCAACGGACTGCACATGCAAGGACGAGCAGCATCGGCATCACCGCGAAGGACTGTGTCTAACTCCGTGGCATGTCAGCCTGTACACGAACTTGGGTTCGTCGGTTCAAGCTTTCACTGGGGGCAAAAGTGGATGTTCTGCCTCAGAACAGCATCTGAACATCCAAGGAACAGATTATGTTTTTGGACATGTCACATGTTTCAAACATGGAACATCCAATATGTCTTGCACAATGTTCTATTAGAGAGCACGCTGGAGACATGTTGCATGTATTATTCTGGAACATATAATATGTCTCACACAATGTCTCATTGGAGAACATCCTGCAGACTTGCTGCATGTTTCATTCTGGAATATTTATCATTTTGCTACTATATTCTGGGCTTGTCTCTCAGCACAATATGCACCATATAATAAGGATTTTCCATGGCCAAACATGTTACATTTTCAGCTGCTGTTAATCTTCAGAACATTGTGAGGAGATGTTAAGTGATCTTACTCCAAAGATACAAGATGTCCTGGGCACCAAGGACATCTGCAGTACATGTATAATACATGTATAATACATACTAAAATCATACATGTACTGCAAATGTTCTTGGTGCCCAGAGACATCTTGAATATTTGAAGTAGGAGCACTTAACATCTTCTCACAATGTTCTGAAGATTAACAGCAGCTGAAAATGTAACATGTTTGGCCATGGAAAATCCTTATTATATGGTGCATATTGTGCTGAGAGACAAGCCCAGAATATAGTAGCAAAATGATAAATATTCCAGAATGAAACATGCAGCAAGTCTGCAGGATGTTCTCCAATGAGACATTGTGTGAGACATATTATATGTTCCAGAATAATACATGCAACATGTCTCCAGCGTGCTCTCTAATAGAACATTGTGCAAGACATATTGGATGTTCCATGTTTGAAACATGTGACATGTCCAAAAACATAATCTGTTTCTTGGATGTTCAGACACTGTTCTGAGGTAGAACATCCACTTTTGCCCCCAGTGTTTGGGATTAAATATGGCCTTCCCACGAGCTCGAGCGCGGGACCAGTAGACGGTGAATTGCAAGAGTACAATTGTGTCGCGCCTTTATATGCAAGAATCCGCAATAGGGTGATTGCATGAGTGACCTTGCGTGCGATTATGGCGCAGTGGCCAATGAATCGACGAGGAACTTCGGGGCACTTGACGCAATGACTGCCCGAACGTGCTCGGTGAACCGAAGGCCCAACAATTCATAAAATCTGAAGATCTGACCGGTGGCAAGACTGATCGTGAAGAGTGAGTTCGAAGTAAACTTAACATGGACATGTTCGACAACATATATACCGGGCCTCGTGAGAATTTGTGTGTCAAACTTAGGCATCGCGATAACGTCTGAGTGACCACCCGGACGACTCAGCCTCCAGGTGCGCAACCAGCGTGTGTAGGATGTTCAATAGGGGGGTTCAGTTGTATCTGCGAAAGCCGCTTTCGTCGCTTTCTCGGAAAGCAGCTTACCGGCACATGACTTTTGCGTGATCCGGGGATCATGTGCGGACTGAGAGTATACGCTAGGGTTAGCGATGGGTCCCTGGAGTTTGCGAGGTTTTCCACCGGAAACCCCCGATGTTTCCACTTGAGTTAGCTTTCCCAGATTGGGTCTCCAGCCACCATCGGCGGCCCGGCAAACATTTGCATTTTCCCAACCCTAGCCTAGTGAGCGATCGCAGTCACGGCTAGAACACAACAACGTGCACATGATGCTCAGGTCATGTGGTCTTAAGCAACAGCGACGAAAAGCGGCTTTCGCAGATACAACTGAACCCCCCTAATCTCTTCAGAGCACATGCCCCCCCGCTCCACATTTCACCGTACTCTATAGTCTATACGACGTCCAGTATTTATACCTGCTCCAAATACTGCGCGAGCTAAATAAAATGCGGGAGGGCCCCCCCATATTCAATGGCGGTGTCCGCACGATTTGCAGTGTCCTGATGCTTGGCGAGGAATGAAAATGATGGCATGGTTATTCGATCTGAGCGCTGAGCGTCCGGGACCTCTTGGAATTGGAGCCGGGTATGGTACGCTTAACGAAAATGTGAAGGGGTTCGCGCGCTCGAGCCCGACACTGGTATCGGAAATATGTTCGAAGGTTGGGCCCGACCTGGGGCGTAAACTGCAGAGCGCATCGGGGAAAACTTGAAGGTGGTGCGCTGCCTTGCCACTGGGGATCAGAGGTCATGAATTCATGCAAAAGTGTTAATCAATCTGAGCTCTGAGCGCTGAGCGCTGAGTGCATTGGGCGTCCCGGATCTCGCTGTTCGACTCGCAGCCCTACTAGTGGGCTATGACATGCACAATTTGAATGTCGGTGGGGCGCTCGGCTCGAGGGTCTCGGAAAGACGCTCGTGCTCGAGGAAAATGGAACGTTGGAATATTGGAGCATTTGCAGTAGCGTGTAGGATTTACGGCATAACTGAACCAGAGAACGGTTGCTGCGCATCAAACTCTGGGCGGCTGCGGCTGCTAGATACTCGTTCCCGCCAAGTAACTTACTAGCAGACGAGCAGATACCGAGTCTTGACGTCGGACCCACACAAGACGTTGAATCTCAATTCGAATTCGCCCTATGCGATTTGAAATGGTAAGGTAAGCAAAATCACGAAGGATTGGCATACTCCAACGGCCTCGTTATAGCATCATTCAAGCCTATATCTGGGGAAGGACGCAAGAACATGAGGAGAATATCAATGGCCACCCAGCCAGTAAATCAATCTGGCACGGCGAACGTCTATCGTGTCTGCCGCGACGATCCCAAAGTTTTCGTTATAGAAAAGTATCATTCGAGCAATGTCGTGATGAGTAGAAGCCCCGTGAAGGTTCAAAGTATGCTGCGGGCCGGGAACGGAGCCCAGGGTCGCCGCACCCAATTCCTGAACGTTCTGCTCAGTCAGAGGGTTCCGGGCGCCATACAGTGCAGCAACTAAGTCTGCGCCCGAGCCTGCAACCTGCGCGACGCCAAGGCGAGCATTCAGATCAACGAGACGAAGAGCAGGACGGAACATGCGCTCACCTCCTTCTGACGCCATGTGTAGGGCTCGTCAGGTCGCCGGTCACGGTTCCGCCAGACGATCCTCGAGTTCATCGCGATGGCAGCCACTCTGTCACCGTTGACCTTCACCTGCCTGACCGTCGTGTTCAGTTGTGCTACTGCTTGGGTCAAGCCTTGCAACAAAGCGAGGACGGCACCGTTCCCTTGTCCAAACTGTATTTCGGCATCTGTCACGATCTTATTAGCGAGCCCAAGGATCGGAGGAGAGCGCCACATACGTGTGGCGCGGACCATGGTTGAACGGTTAACGGCAGTCTCGACCATCTCCTCCGAGATCTCTGCATGATCGCCTGCATGGAAACGAGTTAGAATAAAGGCACGGACAGCCTCGGAGCTGAAGTGCTCACGGTGGAGACTTCTAAGTGACTGCGCGGTGGCCTCGGCTTTTCGGAGGTTGTCGTTATTGATGGGAGTACCGGAAACGATGGATTCATTCATATGCAAGACGTGAACAAACTGAGCTGGGACATTCGGATGTTTGTCCAGAATGGATAGGATGTCTGTTGGATAGATTGCCTGCGCCATACCGGAATTCAGGTGCAGAAATTTCTCGCGCTCGATAGAAGGTGTTACGGTTGAAGAGCAGCCCGCCACAACCACCACATGGGATCATGTGACCGAGTTTAAGTACTTACTTTAGCCGAGGAGGACGCCCACGGCTCTGCAGCTACCGTGACCTGCTGCCCGCCCAGTACGTTGATCGACTCCGAATTCGCTCGTCCTCGCGAGCTTGACAGCGATTCAAACGTCGAGTCGAGATGTCATATACCATATCATACGTCTTCTGAATCGGAGCCCCGGATCCCCCACCCGGCCGACACCCTGCCTGCGGATCCTGTCCAGCATTCCGAGTGTGGAGACCGATGCCGTAAATTGCAACTTGAAGTCAGTGACTATGTCTGATAACGCGGAGCCCGGGCCTTAACCATATTTGGGGCGAAACGCCAATCGCAAAGCGCCCACTAACTGCGACACCGTGACATCACTGACATGCCGCACTTTCAACTTAGCGACTAACCCGAATATGATAGGAAATTGTGAAGAGGAGAGGAATTTTGAGGCTCCGACAGTTTTTGTATGGCCCGGGACTCTCTCAGTCAGGTATGACGTTGCACTGTTTGGCAATTCCCCAACGTCCTGGAGCCAGCTGGGATTATCAGGATATTCGACATTATACTGGATTCTCGGCGTATCAGAACTTACAAGAAATTTGTATTGCTTTCATGTCACCAGCCTTAACCAATGAGGTGATGTAAGTATGTCCGCATATGTCAGACGGCGGGAGCGGTAAGGCGGTGCCGACGCACGGTGGAACTTCCCGCTGGATGGATATTTCACAAACATAGTTGAAGACCCTGGGGATGTCCTGGGAAGCAGTATCGCCACTCCATCCCAGCCACGAATGTTCGTAGGTTTCATTACCCAGCACGGACAAGGGAATTCCGGAAGTTATATGGAAGGTTGGCTTCGTCCACACCTGAACCGGCTTGCGCATACAATTCTTTCAGCCTTAACTTGTGTCATATTTTCTTTCCTTATGATGGTCAGTTTCGTCTCAGTGTGCTTGTCTTGCAGGGGCCTAGTGCGAATGCACTCTTTTCATTGATCATATTGCAGACATGCATCGAGATCTAGCCACCGAGATCCGTCAGATCAGTGGCAGTTCAGATCTCGAGTCAGATACGGATATCCTGAGGCATGGACGTTGAACGCGTCAAGCCATTTTGGCGTAAGCGCCTGCGACTTGACTGCTATGATGGTCCATTTATTTGGATCAACTACAAATTTTGGATAACAGCACGATCTATTTATGAAGATCCAACGGCTGGTCGACAATGCATCGTCAACCACGTTGCTGGTGCCATAAGTACAAGCTGCAACTGTGGACATTGATGTCGGATTTAATTATCTGACTCAGCTACCATTGATCTGCCTTGTACGTTTGATCAGAGTTATGAACCACTGGCAGATGGTTTTTCCATTCATGGCATTGTGGCATATCCCACAAACGCATTGCGCACGCCGGTGGATATAGATGAGATGCAAGTGGCTGAAACGGGCGGGCACGAGGTGGCCAAAGTAATCATGAATTGACAACACGTATGTTTGCCGCCCGCCATGGTCACCCCATGCGACGGCCTAGAGATTCATCCAGATGAGTGGCCAAGCGACCGGCACGCATATAAAGGTACAGCCAAGTATCTCATCTTTCAGTTGAGGTTCCAGTCATACTCAGTGGGTCCTCAGCACAATACGAGGACAACATTATACAACAGTATGTCCCACCTTGTCCTAGCCTGATCCACGTGTGCATGTCCAGCTCACTGCAATTTTAGAACACACCACTGCGAACGTCTCGCAGCCAAATCTCCTACTCCCCTTTTCAGACACTACGTCTTCAACGTCGATATTTCTCCCCAGAATGGACGGAGATGCTCGATTCAAGCAATTCCTTAATGCGTTATGGACGACGTATGGCGACCTTTCTATCTGCGATAGGCGTCATCTCTGTGACCACTATCCCCTTGGCATCCCAGCCCCCTTGCAGAAGCTCGCTCTCACCATCGAGTCCTTCGTATGCGATGAGCTCGAGCACAATGAGCCCTCTCTCGACGACGAACTTCCTCCCTACTCTGAGCTCGACCGTGATGAGCTCGTTCTTCTTCCGGCCTCCCATGAGCCCACGCGCGGCCAGTTCGCTCCTGCAGACGAGTCGCCCCAGTATGAGCTGATTTGCAATGATCCCCCCACTTACTCAGACCATCTTGCCATCTCGGGGCATGCGCGAGACATCACCGTCGACCACGCCCATTCTACGTCGTCAAGAAAGGACGGCCTGCTGTCCAGTAGAAGGGCAGGACCTCCGCGTAAACTCACGGATATTAGTCTTCGCTCCCCTCCCGACACTGCCTGCTTTGCATCTTCTTCCGGGGTCGAACGATGGTTGCAAGCAAGTTCATTGGACATTCCTCACATTGCGCCACCCACTTTCCATCGTCGTCGTGCCCTTCACCGGTGTGCGGGCGGATCGCTGCCTCGGACGAAGTACCATCGGGGATTTCGCACAGCATGATTCGGTTTGCGCGAGAACTTGAGTGGAACCCCCTATGACTCCCACACCGGCTCGGAAAAATCCTCCCTGCCGCAGCCTCGTGTCGATTCACGAAGAGTAGATGAAGTCAAGGAGTGCGCGGACCATGTGAGCACCTCTGCTCCACAGAATGCCGAGTACTCTGGGAGTACCCGGGGTGCTTTAACCTATTCAGCGTGCACATCCTGATTTCGGCGACGTCAAGTGAAGGCATGATCGGGTCCGGGAGCGCTGTGCAGACCTGCTACGTTCAAGGAGGTGGCTTTATCCGCTGGACGGGTAGAGGTATTGCTAGTTCCGTCCATGTAGCTAGGTTATGCATGACAATAACTTTCTGGCTTGTTTTCGCGAAGAATCTGATACTCATTAGAAGTCAGTTCCCTGACGTTGGGGGATGGGATTGATTACTGAGATCTGAATGCATCACCGAGACTCTGGCAGATTTCTAGGTGATTCTCTAGCCAATGGAAAATTGGGACGACCTGGAATAAAAATAAGCAGGTACCAATTGACAGAAGGTTCTGAAGTGGCACTGGAAGTACGAGTGCTAGACATGTCCTATGTCACGCTCAGTAAAAACGGGAACTTGAAGTCAAAGTGTAGTCAGCCAAATTCGAAATTCTGGCAAATTTGACTATTCATGACTATTTGTATGATTTTCTTGTAGTACATAACCTCATATGGTTTAGATCATGTCTCTACAGCTATATTCCAACCTCTGAGTGCAAAAGAACTAACATATGAGCACCGGAATGCCATGTATTATGAGACAATCAACTGTGATGTCAGACTTTCGCAGACTAGGATTTGACTGCATTTGATGGCATAATTTCTTGGCAGGATCACTTTGCAGTGACTGAAATTGGACTTATCCTGACTTCTGTGTGACTATGGTGCCAAAATTTTGAAACTCGCTGACTGCAGCCTGACAATACTTAGACTTCACTTGACTTCCGGTTTTTACAGAGTGTCACGGGTGTAGTGGCCGGATGGGCACAGTATTTGGGGGTCTCAGAGAAGCGCCCAGTATCTTGCAGATTCGAGTTGTGCTGTACGGTCACTAAGCGGTTCGACAACTCATCGATACTTATCTTTTCTGGGCACTGAGATACATGGCGGCTAAATTCGTTGTGAGTTATGGACTGTGGGTCATGGACGTGGAGTGATGGTCGTCCAGCAGACTTTGGCTCCGGATATCCGCCACCTCACTCCTGCCAGTTGACACGGACTTTCTTTCTGACAAACAAAGTCGCGGTTGAACGGTGTGTTATAGCCGAATGCTAGTGTATTCTAACAACCAGAAGTCGTGGCCTGTCTGAACTCAACGCTCTCAGTACCCGCACCCCATAGAAGTGGTTGAGATATCCAGCATATGGCGTGGCTGGACACAAGGTGGCAAGACGGAGAAGGAGTCCCTCCCTGTCTTCCCCGTGTATCATGGATATCTGTGTCTCGTCAAATGCGTCTACTCTCTTCGGATGGCTGCTAGTCGGCCAAATGATCAATTGCGATATCATAAGGGATCGTGGTGTCGTATAAGTACTCCGAGCCATGGATGTCACTATTCCAAGCTGAACCAAGTCTTGATCCTCATAGATTTTAGCACTCAATAACTACAGAAGGGTACGTTACGCCGTCGTCCAAGTGCATCTACACAGTTAATCATAATCACAGAGCATACCATGGCACAGGAGACATGCAGACACACTCGCTCGCTTTCAGGATGCTCGCTTTGCCATGCCGTCAATCTCTTTTCTGGTTCTCCCAGTGCCACAGATGGGTATGCAATCGAACGGGCTCTCGAAGCTGAGCGCGCTGCATCCCTCAAGCCGTCCACCCCAGGTGGACAAATCTCCCTCGACAACTCTCCAGATTGCGAAGAGCCCGTTCTTAAAGACGGGACTCTCGTCAGCAACGAACCCCTCTCACCTAATCCGATGAGCAGTCCACCCCGCGGCGTGTGCGTCAGTATTTTCTAAGCACGCCTGGTTACGCAGGGTGGCGGCAGTGTACTGCGTATACTGCACGAGCACGGGCCCCTGGAGTGGTGTCTCCGGCTGCAGGGCTGCGTGGGCTCGCTCTTGCCGCCGGTCGGTCAAGTAGCGTGTGCCGCCGACAGAGGCTCTGAAGAGGAGAGATTTCAGGACCGCGTAGTGGATTCGCGCCTTCTGCATGCAGATATGAGCAGGCTGGCCTGCGCTCCCTTAGTTTGTACCGGGTGGAACCCGGGTTCAAGGAGAGCACCTCGCTGCACTTCTTGATCAGTGCAACGCCCCACGCTACAGTGGCAATGACTCGCGGGTGCTGATCATCCTCAGAGTCAACTCGAAGTTGACGCATTTAGGATCGGTCGTTCCGCGTGTGGGTTCTCGGTGTGATGGGGGAGGTTCCTACTTGGCGGCATGGACGGCAAGCAACGGGGTTGCTATAAGTTACTTGGCGGCAGGGCTTTTCAAGTCGTCAACTCGCGCAGCTGGAGATCGTGTGCGCCCCGAGAGCACTAGTTTGCTCGGCTGGAAATGTCGCGGGCAGACATCTAAGTAAGCTGTACTTTACAGGGGTCCGTCGATGTACCGCGAGCTAGAGTAGCTTCACCTGCTGGATAGATACAAGCAGCCGTACAGATGAGTGTTCGAGCTCACGTAGTGACACGTACTTTAGGCAGAGAATTCGAGTTTGCATAGCAGCGTGTCTGGAGCGAGATTCTTGAACTACTGCAGGATGCTAGAGTGATTCAAGATATACGTCGGAATGCATCGTGATGGAGGTCAGTGACTCAGACTCTGAGGTGTGGCATGATCTCCTAGCTGATGCGGCAAGATAACCCAATATCATTGCATTGCAACAGTATTCTTTGGCAAGCAAGAGGTATATTAAGTTCTGAGGCATGACATACATTGCATCCTGCGAGAAGTTCAAGGGAGTTAGAAATCGCAAGCCCACTGGCCAAATCTGGGGCGAAACGCCAGCAAAGCGCCCACGCCTCGATTTGGAAGTTATTTAGGTTCTGCCGAGAAAAGAGCCATTCTCTTACCGCTAACTCAACTTTGACGCTCAGTGTGCGAACACCTACGGTACGACCGGACCTTGATAAGACGTATTAGCCACAACAGAGCGGATATCCATCGTTGACGTGGTGGAGAATATATATTCAGGCTTGTCCTTTTTCGTGCCGATTTTTTTCCGCCTCGCGTCTAGTGCGTGGTGGATATCCAGCTACTGCGTACTGCGACCACTTCTTGTACATTACGGCCTAGAAGCATCGAGAACCATGACTCTGTAAAGCATATCATAGAATCATATCTCCAAGATATCTATCTGCTCAACGTGGATATTGTAACATCTTGCAGTGACAAGACCATGTCTCCGGAACTTCTACAGGGATATCTTTGCCACCACCGAGGATATAATGCGCGTAGCAAGGAGTGCCGTTCCTCCAAACCCAACCGAGACGAATCTTGGTCTGCTTCGGTTAGTGATCGCATTTAAATAAGAAAATTAGCACCGTGCGTCCCACTGTCTTACAAGTACACCCTCTAGCTGACACCTATACCATAGTGTACACCATGAAGTGGTGCCAGCTTCCACAGGAAATGCGCGAATATATCATCGACTGCGCACACTATGACCTCCCTACACTTTTGAGCTGCAGCCTGACTTGCAGTTCGTTGCTCGACCGTTCGCACAGTCATATCTTCCGCGCCGTCGACCTTCGTTCTGCGATAAACACCGACAGGTATGCACAATTCGAGGCACTCCTCGACGCGTCGTGTGATATCCTCAGCAATCCCGAGGCCCATGCAAACGACCACGCCATCTCCCATTACGTGCGCGACGTCACCATCGACTGTGCATGCCTAACAATGCCAGGCGACGGCGGTGTACTGCGAATTTTGCTCAAGCTCGGGCGCGTGGAGCGTCTCAGGCTGCAGGACTGCGTGAGCTCGCGATTGCTGCTCGACTGGAATCGGGACCTTTCTGAGTACTTCCCAAACGTCCAAAGTCTGCACCTCCTCCGCGGGGCGTATGACGGGCGCATCCTCCGGCGGATACTCCTGGCATGCCCCAAGCTTCGTGCGGTGCATTTCATCAACGTGAAGGTAGAGCACATCCCAGAAGAGACGCCCCGCAGCGAGAGCAACCACGGATGTGGGCGCTCGCACGAGGTCAAGCTAGACACTCTCGCCCTCGGATATGTCCACCCAGTAGGGCCGGCGCTGGACACTTCCCTCCCGTGGCTGCTGCAGTCTCCGTTCAAGCTATGCCTGAAGAGGCTCGAGCTGACGTGGTCCCCGGCAGGAAAGAGTGTTCAGACCCCGCTCTGGATCACCGCTCATGAGCTGCTCTCCAAAATGAGCGCAAGTCTCGAGGAGCTCGTTCTCCTCCATTCTGAATCGCATATCTGCGGTGCGCCCTCGGATCTCTTCGATCTGACGGCAAATACGCGCCTGCGGTCGCTCAAACTATGCGTACCATGGATCGAGGAGATAGTGGGTCCAACAGCCGCTTCACTGCGAGGAGCGATGTTTGGTTTCGGGGCCGCAGAATGGATCCGCGCGTTCTGCAAGCAGATCCAGGTGGGCTTGCCTGCCCTCCCTCATTTGTCCCGGGTGGAGGTCGAGCTCAAGATCCGCTACTCCGCTTCAGACGGTGTGTGGGATGAATGGCTAGAGGACCGCCGCGAGTACTGGGACGAGATCCGAGAGCAGCTCACAGCGATAATCAATCAGTGCAACGCCGATCGCCCCTGTGGCAGTGACTCGAAGAGGGTGCGGGTCATCCTCAGAATCAACTTTGAAGTGAACGCCGGGGACGACCGCAAGCCGTTTCAAGTGTGGGTGTGCGCGGCAGCGGAGGGGATCCGAAATATGTGGCACCACTTTTCGGGTCGTCAGTTTGCGCAGCTGGAGATGGTACAGTCGTGCACGTACCTGTCGGAGGCAGCGGCGCACGAGGGAGTACCGACGTACGGCGAGCATCTGCACCCGCTGCATTGCTAAAACGCCCGCTCGTTCGCACAGCGGGGAACGTTGCATGTAGGCATTCAAGCGGGCTGCGCTTGAAGGAGTGCAGTCGATGTGCTGCGAGCAGCTTCATCTGCTGGGTAGGTAGAAGTATTAAGGCGTCATTCATACGGGCTCAAACTCGCGTTGCTGCCGTACCTTTTTTGTAGGAATTAAGTTTGTCTGCCCTGCGTTCGACGGAACGTTGTCGATACGCGTTGAGCGGCGTCATCTCCTGTATAGGTAAAAGCATAGCAGGTCATTCATGGGTTCAAATTCCTGTCGTTACCGTATCTTTTGCAATGGGACATACATAATTTTTATACCCCGCTTTCATCTCCATCAATGATTGGCGAGCAGCGGCACCTGCTAGCCAGTAAGTACATAGAAACAATCCGGTGTCACTCAAGCGTTCAAACTGGCGTACCTCTTTCAATGGAAATGAATTTGCATGCTGCCACCCGCTTTTGTTTTGGATGGGGGGGGTTTAAAGCATCACGACATCCTCCACGCGGGTCGCTACCGCATCTTCCAATTTGAATGTCCCGGATTGATTTGACTTGACGCGGAGCCATCGATCTTCGAACCAGCAACTTCGCTCACTGAATAGGTAAGAAAGAAGCACCACCACCATGTCAATCACGCCTGCTCAATTTCGCACCGCTACATACTGCACCTTTTCGGATTTGACATTTTCGGCGAGCGGGGCCTTCGTCCGCCGAGCAGACAGAACGCATCCGCTCAGTCCTAGTCAACCTCAACGCACCTCCAAATTTCAATTTATATATACCCCATCGACACTTTCGACGCGCTACACCACGGGAGGGCAGAAGAGGTGGCGCTGCTGCGTCGTTTTTACCCCCGACGAAAATTTGTATACCCTGCGAGGGAAGCGCTCGCCACCGACGCGGACTGCCAGTGGGGTAACGACACTGAGAAGCGCAGTATTCGAATCGGCGTCGCCAGCGGAGTACCTGCAGAAAAGTGGCGACACTTGAGGAGTGGGTCAGACGAATTCTGCTGTGGGGATAGATCCTGCACTCGAAAGAAATCCACTTTGCAAACGAACTCGAATTTGAACGCAGGAGTTTTTCGACGCTGATAATTTTGTGTAGCACGCTTTTTGCCGATTGGTGTAAGCTCATATCGCCGGCGGCATCCACCGGCAAGCCACTCTGCTGCACTGTCCAGATCTCGTAGGCCCGAGGTATCCACCCCGATAGAAGCAGCAGCCTGGTTAACGCAATGATGGCCTCGAGTCATCTCCTCTCCCACAGGATCGCCCACCTGATCAGCAAGCTTGATACTCGCGCGGTGTCGCCTATCAATATTGAGAACAATGAGTGTCGCGCGCCCCCCACTTCTCACTCGCATCCTCGCGACGAAGCCTTCACGCGCGCGCCATTGCAGCGCGAATCTGTACGCTCAAAGACCCCAGAGGATAAGATTATGTCGTCACGTACAGGTACAACACACGCGCACTTCCACACGATCGAGGACTCACAGGCGCACAACGTATCCAAGAAGGCGCCCAGCAACCTCGCCCCCGCGCCCGCACCCGCTGTCCCTGTACCCCTTCCCGCTCCCGCTCCCGCGCCGGCAAGTCCAAGCCGGGGCGCCCCGCTCCGGCCTGGACTGGATCCTAGAGGTCGCCCGAGGCGTTGCCGGCGACCCAGCCTGCGACGATGCGGTCGACGGCGGCGCCCTTGTCGGGCTCGTATCCGAAAAAGTAGAATGCGCTGCGGCGCTGTATAATCGCGAGTATCTGGGGGATATATGCCCTGAAGCTCTGGAAGAGCAGGAGGGAGACGACGCAGACGACGAGGGCTGCAGCGCGAGTCAGCACCGCAGGAGACGGGTGGGGCGCAGGGACATACAGACGAGGACGCGCTCCCAGGGCTCGATGCCGGAGAGGCCCATCGTGGTCTCGAACATGATGCGCTTGCGCCAGAGGAACCTGGCGAGCGGGTTGGGCGGTGGGCGGTAGTAGAGGGTGGGGCCGAAGACGGCGGCCCAGTTTGAGGGTGTGGCAGTCATGACCTCGAGGGAGTTGAGGGGCATGGAGAATACGGCGGGTATCAAGGGGAGGAGGGTATTCTTCAGGGTGCGGGCAGGGTGGTCGCGCGGCGTGCTGGCGGGCGTTAAATAAGCGCGGACGGAGGGTGGGCCGGACCACAGGCGAGAGAGAATAGCGAGAAGAGGGAGAAAGAGATGAAAAGAACGGCGACGGTGGGAGACTGCGGACGCAGGTGCTGGGTACATTTAAAGATGGGCCCTTCTGCCAGCGCGGGTGATCCCACCCAGATCGACCCTGGCCCCCATTGGCCCCCCCCGGCGCCTATATATACGCACGGACGCCCGCACGTGACTCTGCTCTTTCCTCTCCCCCTGCGATATTCTCATTCTTTCTCCGGCTCGAGGCAACCGCTGCAGGGGAAGAAGAACCACCACAGACTGCCTCGGAACAGGAGAAGTCTTGTGCTGGCCGAGCGAGCTCGTCTGCCCCTCTGGCTGCTGCGCACTATCCCAGTCGGCTCCTCGTCCGCCAAGGCCTGTGCCAGAGCTCGCTGCCCTGCGCTAGCCCCGTCTGCCGACCCGCTCCGCAGCACTGCGCATCCACCACCAACCCTATCAAATCCTCCGTCCCTTCCCTTCCCACCGTGTCCTCCTTTGGGCCTTGCGCGGCTTCTCCGCGCATGTTGCGGACGCACTGTGGGCGTGCTGCCTCATCCCTGTCGTCATACCTGCGAAGCCCGCCCACCTATGGCCGCCCGTTGATTACATCCGAGAAGCACAGCTGTGACTCCTCGGACCGTCCGCGGATTGCACAGCGTTAACGTGAGATGTATTTCGAGCCAGATGCTGATGTCGCAGAAATAGTCTCCGGAAGTAACACGTGCCTCATAGATCTGATCTGGGCGTGGGTCCTATTTTTGAAACATCAAACAACGCATATACCCAATGCGCGCTGCGATCGCGGTCGTCGACACCCCGCTCACAGCGCCCGCGTTGGCCTTGCGACGGAGATCGTGTGCCAGACTAGTCTCTTTGGCGCTCGTCGTGGACAGCGTTGGCGATGGCACCGAAACAGCTAGACTGCTGCAGATTGCACTATTCGTCGCGCGTGCCAGGATATGGATATGGCGTGGGCGGCAGTCATTGGCTCCAGTTGAGTCGAGGTGCGCCAAGGTACGCGATCGACTCAGACGAGCGAACTCTTCTGTATCGTCGGTTTGGACGTACAGTAGTCTGTACGGACCGGAATGCGTCGTTCCGACTTGTCCGGAGGCTCTCTTCTAGGTGAAGTCGAGCAGGAGAACACTCTGCATATTTCACGTATCCTCGTTTTTTGAATGGATAGAGAACGCGATACTGCAGAGGTCCCGCCTTCGGATGCTAAATGCTGATTATGCTTATCGCGTTCAGGCCGTCACCTTCGCTTGAAGCCCTCCCGGATTTGTGTCGCTGAATGAATATCTTAAAGTCCTGCCAGTCTCAAACCATCGCCGTTCGTCGCTTCGCCTGACGGCGCGCTCGCTCTCTGATACGACCATTGATCTACTCCCTACCCCCTCCACAAACCTTCGTGTGTTCATCCAGATGCAACGCGTATAACAGGCTAGATCTCTCTCTGAACGAACACTACACAGGTCCCGCTATTCACCAATCATTAGGATGCGCCTCGTCGCCTTCCCTCGAAACCCGCCCGGATTTATATCGCCGAGTGAACGGCTTAAAGATCCGGTCTCCCAATGTCACCGTTTGTCGTTTCGCCTGCACGCCTGAATAATAAGTGTATCGATCCCGTCGAGCGCATTGGCGGCCCCCTGCGCACCACGACGCCCGCCGAGCCTTCCAGCCGGCGTCCTCCCGTTCGTTATAGGAGACAGCTTCCGTTCGCGTTCATCACCCCGTTTCGCGCAGGTCCACTGTGCGCCTTCCGCAGTCCACTCTTCGAGGACGGCGGCGACTCGGCGCGAACGCGCCATACGGAACGATCGTACGACGTGCGAACTGCCGCGGTAGACCCAGAGCGCGATTCCCGAGCGCGCTCCGGCCGTGTCGGCGCTCCGCGCATCATCACCACCACCACGAAGACGTGTACATCGTGTCTGACGATTCTTCGTATGTACTCTTTTCATGCTGTCGATGCCAGGATACCGAACTGTGTCAATAAATGAATAACAGTTACAGCATACCTGCTGTGTGAGTTCATCTAAATGCTCACCTACAGTTTCTCCTTGTGCTAAGTCGAATGTTTAGTGGCATGCCCGAACCGATCGTCCGATCGCGCGAATACAATCCTGGGTATCCATCGACGTATGCGCTTCCCGTCGAAAGGTATGTCTAGTTATGCCGTCGTCTATCAAGATGGAGTACAAGCTTCTGTGCAGGTACAGAGACTATGCCCCTCCTTCCGGCCCTCCACTATTCCCCGCACGCTTCCTTCCCGCGCGCCTACCCTGCTCGAGAAACCCACCTCTCTTTGGGTGTTTCTCCAAGTGGAAAAGCGAGTGCCCGTTCTTGTTCCCGAGTTGCGAAGCCGGGGGTGATGCTGGCCCCAACGCAGGAAGGAGAACCGTGTTTTGTGCGCAGGCTATTCTGCGGTGGGCTCCCGGGTGTTTCGAGTTTGCGCTCCCCGGGGATGCGTGGTCTGTTTTTGTTCCGGTGCGCGGGTCGGAGGAGGGGATTGATGGCTCGGGCGGAGCGCTCGGTTGAATTTAAGAGGATTCGCCAGTTGGAGCCAGCGTCGGGTTGATCAGATCGCGTCAGAGGTGCGAACCGCGGTTTGTCTGCAGCGTTACTCCGAGTCTGCGACGGTTGGGGTGAGCGCGGTACTGGTTGCTCCGCGGTGTGTCTCCCGCGATGGGTGTTTCCCGAGCTCCACTGCGTGTCTTGATTTTTTTGTTCCGGCGCGGTGTTCGGTAGATGGGATTGGTGACTCGGGCGAAGCGCTGGGCTGAAGAGGGTTCGTTATTGTAACTTCGGGTGAGCGTCTGCGTTATCGGATCAATATATATTTTTTGCAGCGAGATACTTGGAACGCAGCGCTCACCGCGGGCGTTCCAGCAGGCTGGAAGACACACCGTATACCTGTGCGGCGGCGCTTTGCCGTCGTCGTGATCTTCTCGGTGGATCAGCGCGCGGGCCCAGGGTTGCTTCGAATCCGCCCGAGTAACGTCTGTGTCTGTGAGGGATCAGCGCGCGGGACCGCGGTCTATTCAAATCCGCCTGTGGTCAGTGTAACGTCGCTCCGAGTCGGTGAGTATCCGTGTTACCCTTCTGAATAGCGGCTCGCGAGCACTTGTTTTTCTGAACTGCCTCCCCGACTGGATCCTGGAGAAATCATATGGCGGTGTGGATTTTCGCCTTTTTTCTGAGGAGAATGGCTTTAAGCTGAAGGACACCGTACGCCTATGCGGCGGCGCTGGGCGGACGCGACATGTAATGATATTCTCCGTAAATAACCTCGAGGGACTAGTAATGTCATCCCGAGTCGTTGGGTAACCGTGTTGCCATCTTTAGTGGCTCTCGAACACTTGCTTGGCTGGACTCTCTCCCCAATAGATCATGCCGCAGAGAAATTATTAGGGCGCTGTGTTTTTTGAGGAGATTGGCTTTGAGCTTGCAGTCGACGTCTCATCGGCTTTGCAACCATGCTGGTGTGGAATCAGTGCGGAACCAAGCTCTCTTGTTTGTACACGCCCGACTGCGCCGCGATCCTACGATTGTCCGGCGAGTCAGTATTAACTTCATGGAGCGCCCACTGAGAGTAACAGAGGCGGAGTTGCCACAGACTCGGAGCAGAGAATATATGCACACACACTCCGGCATGTGCTTCCATTTCGTCGGACCCAAATGTAAAGCCGAGGGCTGGCTTTGCGATAAAAGTGGTATATTCCAATTTGTGGGGGGACCGGACGATCCGACACATGGCGCAAAGTCTAAAGATCTAAACAACTGACGTCAACGATCCTGATTAATATGATATCTGGATGGCGGAGGAAATATGAACACGATCAACGGCGTCGTCACATCCGGGGATACCAGAACGCACGGCCCGCGCGATCTCTCCACCGGCGTCCTTATTCATCAAGCTGCGCAGGCCCGCTTTGATGTCTGTATCCGACGGAATTCGCGTGCTCAAGGATCCGGTGGCTTCCCACGTTGGCTCGCGCACCAGAGGGGAGTGCAAGAGAAAAAGAGGCGGTTGTACAATATGGGAGCACCAAGGGAAGCGCGTCTGCGTGCGGGCGGGTTTGCGGTCCAGCTGGAGCTCGAACCCTTGCAAATGGCAAAGACATGACAAAAAAAACGGCCGAGGGCCCCAATCCAGTCTGCTCTCCGCCCGTCGTACGGGCCCAAGGTGACGTCTACGACGGGTGTTCGCCCGGAGGAACGGTTCGAGTCTCCGCGTCAGGTCCAGCCACTACGCAGCATCAAGCTTCGCATGTTGATTAGCAGCGCCAGGACGTGCGATGTTCTTGGGGATGACTTTCGCGTACGACGATGAGGTTCTGGAGGGTGCACGTGCCTAGTACTGTCAGAATTGCGACTTACTGTTGTAGACCCCGTCTGCTTCGAGCGGCAGGGTTTCGAAGAGGGACCGGGCTGCAGCCTTTGCACGGAACTCTGCATGCGAGACAATTTAAGACGCGCGTTCTCTAATTGCCGGAATTATTCAAGAGTGGCGTTCCGCTGTGTAAGACATCTTCAGAGAGCTCCGACATTGGCAGGGAGACCACGGATGCCAGTGGTGCCTGTGGCGCGATGTAAGGAAAGAAGCTGCACGTCAAGGAATTGCTAGTGGGTGAGATATGTGGGGCGTACGGCTGCGAAACGTGGAGTGGGTCCAGTCGCACAATAGTTGGAAGGTGTGACGGCAAAGGAGGAGCTTTTTTTATGCCTCCCCAGTGCAGTTTACACCGTCAAGATGACAGTCCCAAATCCTGAGCAAAGGTGCATTCTTGTTCTGTGGTGCGAGTTATGTCACCACCACCACTGCGCAGCCAACAATCTGTTATCCTGGCAGTGATAATTTTTACTTCACCCCTTCGCTTCATGGAAACTCTCAGCTGACTTGCTGAAGAGCAGTAGTCTGAAGTTTGAATACTGAGGTGGCAGCGCTTGAAGGACCGTGTCCTGGTTCCAGCATGCAGCCAGCGTAAAACATAGTGTAATCGGTTAATTGTAAAGATTGACATAGCGTGGTCTGTGGAGAGGGTATCGCAGTGATGAGAGGGTGGGTTCAAGTTTGTCCAGAGTCACAACAGGCTGGAAAGGCCCATCATGAGGGACGTACGATCTAATCTTATCTCGATCTGCCAAACCATAATATAGGGCTTAATTGTCCTAATCCGGACATCATCACTCAACTACTACCGTCTTCCACCGTGAACAACATCCCGAATCTCCTCCAGAACACGCTACGACCACGCCATGGTAAGCTTCATTTCTTTCGTTAACAACACTTTAAGTTTTACTGACTCGTACCAGAGTGACAACGCTGGTATTGAAATGTTGTATCCGCGGCACGCAGGCGGACGACGCTGACCTGGGCGTAATCTGAATATAGAGTACAAAGAAGCGTTCGCGCTCTTCGACAAGAAGGGCACAGGTGCAGTGCAGCGGGAGGTACTCGGCGACCTGCTGCGTGCCTTAGGGCAGAATCCCACGCAGGCGGAGGTCGCAGAGATCATTGCAAGCGCACCTCGGGATGGTGTGTCCTTTCATTGGAGCCGCGCGGGGTGCATGCTGACCGCCAGTGTCGATGTCCGTCTTGCGTGATTAAACACTTCTCTGTGGTGCTGTATGTGCATGGTGGATGTACTCAGTGGACTACAAGGCGTTCTTGACGATTCTGAACCGGCCAGACGGGTTCAAGCCCGCAGGCACACCTGGTGCGTAACAACGCGTTTTGTCCTTGCTTTCGCTCATACAGCGTGATGTGCGCGTTAGACGAGTTTGTCCGTGGTTTCCACGTGTTCGACAAAGAGGGCAATGGGTACATCGGTGCGGGGGAGCTGCGGTACGTACTCACGCAACTGGGCGAGAAGATGACGGACGAGGAGGTGGACGAGCTGCTCAAGGGTGTCCCAATAGGCGCGTAAGTCGTCCCTCATTCTCGCGCGATATATCCATAGTTGATTCACGGTATGGCTTTCCAGCGATGGGAACGTTAACTACGAATCCTTCGTGCGCACTATTCTGAGCCAGTAGCGCAGCTGTTGGTTGTCTGGCGGTGATTAGTCTGGAAGCTCCATGTATCAATATGCAATACCTTTTCCGACGCTCTGATACCGATATCGTCACCGTTCTCGCAGCGCTGATTTCGCGTCCGCTTGATTGGCTACCCTACGACTTACGACGATTTGCAAATGCTAGTGACAGGAATGGAGGAGTGGACATTTGTCACAGTGTGCTTCTTCCACTCTTGTGGCGTATGATGCGTAGAATGGATTCTTTCCGGTACGTTCGTGTCGCATGTGGCTGTGCAGCGGGCACCCACCCCCCTTGCATTTTTGAGCACTATTCCAGGCTTCGGAACGCGCCCATGGCGACGCCGGGCTCAGTCATGCAGTACATCGTGCCGGAAATATCATGCATATCATTGATACAGATGCGAGTAGTGAGTTTAGGACGTGATGATGGCCCGCCGAGGGCGCGAAACCAGTAATACAGCGTGAATGTGCCACTCTAGCGAGAAAACGGAACCCATCTAGGGCACCTTGCCCGACTGACGAACCACCTGCGCCATAGGGCACTGCGATACTGATAATAAGTATAGGGGCCCCGAGCCCATAACCATATGTGACCAGAGAGAACGAAACGAGGAACTCGAAAACTTGGATGAGAAAGCGAGAGGAACGGCCCACCCGGGGCCCAGATGAATGAAAGATTTCGTAAAGCGCTGTCGGAACGATGGACAGCGCGCTCAGTTGGCGATGTAGGTGCTGCCGAGGCTGGTCAAGCTGCCATCCGAGTTGACGAGGTTGCCAACAGTGTCCATGAACCACGCGTAGCCCTGGATGCCCGGCTGGCTGTCGAGCCAGGGGACCATCTCGGCGAGGAACTGCTGTTGCTGCTCCTCGGACCCGGTCGCACCGAACTGCAAAGCATACAACCATGAGCGCTGCGCGAAGCTTGAACGAAGGAAACACACCTCAGTCACGAATACGGGCTTTCCGCACGTGGAGACCGCGCCGGAGATATAAGACTGGTAGTACGCCACGTTCGTGGCAGAATCGTAGATGTGGATTGCGCACGCGTCAACGGTGCAGTCGGTGCAGGCGTCAAAGAATTGCTGCAGCCACGCGAGTCCCATAGGCGCACCGCCGTTCGTGACCGCGGGGGAGATGAGCGTCGCCTTGCCCGCGTACGGCTCCATATACGTCTTCCAGAGTGTCGCGGCGTCCTGCGGCGAGATGTTGGACTGGGAGCTCAGGTCAGGCTCGTTCATGCTACATGTGCGTACTGGGTCAGCTATGAACGACAGTGCATATGATGCGGAGCATACCCCAAGAGGATCTCGGCACCATTAGCAATGGCAGCATTGGCGTTGTCAAACCAGACCGAGGTGTAAGAGTCGGCACCACCCCAGAGCATGGGGAAGTACATGACGTTCTCAGGGATCGTCCCAGAGTAGCTCGATGCCCAGTTGTACACCCAAGAAACTTCACTGAGGTCCACACTCATCAGCAGATCATTCGCGGAAGGGAAAATTTAACAACATACCCGGAGTTAAAGCCATCAGTGAGGGACGCGTCGTTAAAAGACAAGCCACGCTTGACACCGTTCGCGACGGATAACGAGTCACCGGTCTTATTGCCAGAGGTAGGGGTAGATGTAGGGGTGGCAACGAGAGTGGGTGTGCTGCTCAAGCTTGAAGGAGTGAAAGAGTGAAATTCCGGCAGTGAAATCAATTATTCTGTACACTCACGTTGCAGTCGGGGGGCCGTAGGTAGCCGACGGACCGCGACGACCATGTCTCTTCACCATCCTCTGGTCGTGTTGCGCTTCAGCGGCAAGAATGAAACAGGCAGAAATGAGCGCAGCAATGAACTTCATCGTAGTCTATGCTTTGAATCACGGAGAGAGCGACAGGAATCAGAACTTTTGGAAAAGAAAGATGAGCTCTTCAAAGAAAGAATGTCGTGCCGGTACGTACGTCGGCAGCGATCCACAGACACAAAGGCAAACTTGAAAGACGGACGATGTCAAGGAGAGGAGGGGGACGTAGATCTCGGACATGTCCACCCTTTTTATTGTGGGCGCATACATTTGGGGTTGGAGGTTCGAACAAACTTCCAGGGACACGGTTGCAACCGGGCAACACCGATGTTGTTCCCTCAATTGCCTCAACCCGTGTGCCTTTCATCCCCTGCCGCGAGTTCATTCGGTTATTGTAGTACTTAGACTTACAGTTCGCTCAGACAAGGTTTGTTCGCCGTCGAGAAGTTTGGGAAAGTACTGACACACCTGCAGGTAGATTCTGCAGTTCCCGTACCGCAGGTCGAAAAACAAACTTTGTTTTTCATCCTTTACGAAATTTATGCCAGCACTCGAACATTGTCTGGTCGCGCAAGGTCAATCAAGCTTCATCATCGTTGATATCGTTGTAGTTAACGACTACGGAGCGTAAGCGTCACAGGCATGCGCAGAGATAAGGATCTCTTGATGCTCAGTTGCGATATAGCAGGAATGGACACGCGGGTGCAGGCCGTCGCTCCCAGCTATCAGGTTTTCAGACCTCACCACGCATTTCAGGTATCATTTCTCTGAGGGAAGGCCATTCTAAGATTCTGCACTCCAACGACGTACACACACACATATAACGGTTCATTCTGTTGGGAATGCTCGACACACTTGGGAGCTTGCCAGCTTGGGCGGCTGTACATGATACTACTTGGTATTCCAGCGCCTTCCGGTGACGCTGGGATGCAGCACGCATAGGCTCCTGGGCTGGATATCGCACATGTGATCACTGGACGGAGGGGTGTTGTCGCGAACTCTCTGCTGTCCTCTTCCCGACCTGCACTCGGAGGTTGGACGAGCCCTATACACGTTTCGGTGCATGCGGTTTGCGAGCCCATTCTGTTCCTCGTCTTCTCATCCAGTAAGTCAATTTAGAACCAGGAAGGATCCATCCCTGAAAGTATTACCTCAGCTGGACGGAATGACCGGCGGAAATGTTGGCCTGCACTTTACCCGTCCATTCCATATCGTGTGAGGTGAGTCTCGAATGGTTTGGGCGTCTAGGCGAGCCATGTCAGGATATTGTTTCTCACCAGCGTCGTCCGGCACTCTCTATTCCTCCCGTTTTGATTCGCATCACTAGAGGTGCTTCTCGAAAATGTGGAGGACCATCCGTGTAGCCCGTGAATAAGCGTCTAATGTCCCGCTCCCTTGGAACCCAGCCTGGCGAGAATTTATGTAGCCCGAGACGCAACTTCACGATTCGTTCTTGTCAGAGTTTCTCCGGGTAACCTGATTAGTTTCTCCTTGTCCTCATTCTTGGACAGCAACAATGCTGGCGAGTAACAACTTGTCAGATTGTGTTTATCCTGCTGGATGGTCATCGCGGTGAGTCGTTCCAACACTTCGAGTATTCCACGCTTCGTTCAGCCACCTTGTCGAAAACGGCAGATGCACAGCACCAAACGCCACAAACGCAGACAGAGTTCACGACTTGGAAGCACCTCCCGGTTATGAAGCGTTAAATGACCGTGCGCCATTGATGCCATACTCCACGGCATCCTGGTAAAGACATCGCGTGTTCATGATGCACTCTTGGGTGCCACATTACGTCAAATGCGAGGATAAACTTCCGGAATTGTGTTGCCCCAGCTCGGTCTGTGTTCTTCTCGCGTATCTGCAGAATTCACTGGTCGCACTGCCGTCGTTTCTTGCGGTAAGCATTGCACACCCTGCAGCTGTTTACGCTCTTCTTTCAGGTCTTCTGCACACGGTGCAGTAGTAAACAAGCAGAGAATTTCCAATTGTTTTCGAGGAATACTGCGTCAGGTATGCTTGCGAACTCGCGCAAGAGGACAAGCCTTGGCGGGCGGCGCTTGAGAATCCCATTCTCTCGTTCGGCTCTTGACGAGTCTTCAAGCCTCAGCATCGATAGAAGTGTGTCTGATACTACAGTTCCAACTCAGGAGTCCCCATCTTGTGTACTGCGTAGGCGCCGGTCTGGAGCAGCCGGTCGTTACCACGGATAGACGATCACGAAGGCCAAGCACAGATTAGATCTCTAGATCCAAAATCCAAAATCCAAAATCTAGGATTGGCTCCTGCCGCATGCCTGGAGACGGCATTGTTCTATACCCTGGTACCGAGGCTCCTTCCACGTTGTAGGCGGTCACTGTTAGGCCTCAAAGCAAACCTTTAAATTTGCTCAAACGCAGCAGGAGACTGCGCAACGTCCCTCTTTTTTCTCCACTTTCACTCTTTCACCATGGTCGCGTCGACGATCGTTTCGCCTTCTTTTCCGTCGGGCTTGGACCTGGCTGCTGCCACATTGTCTGCGGCCACTACAACCAAATCTTCGTCTGCTCCAACTCCGGCTTCGCTGGCTCTCGACCTCGATGTCATCATCCTGGGCGTCGTTGCGCTCTTCATCCTATTCGCATTGCCTGGCGCAGTGACCCGATCCCTTCATCGCTCGGAGTGGAGCGAAGGCCACCTCTTTCGCTCGGTCGTCGTCAAAGCCCTACGCCATTCTTTTGTTTTGAACCCGAAGCTTTCGCTCGTGGCGCCCACTTACACCGGGCAGAGTTCTCGCGCCGAGAAAGGTGCTCTTCAGTCTGATGAGAGCAACACATACACTTCGCACGCGCACCTCGTCCGCGACCCTTACAGCGGTGGTGGCCGGCGGCGCAAGTTGGACCCCCCGGCCCATATGCCTTCGTGGTCCACTATGCTCCCTGGTGTCACCTCTATCTTCAAGATCGCCATACGCCCTGGCTTGTCGGTCGGTAAGGCCGTGATACTTGCTCTGTATTTCGGCCTTGTGGTCGGTTTTGGTTTATATCGTTCAAACCCATTTGTGGACTTCAACCAGTCGGCCTATATTGCGACAAGTCAGATTCCTGTGGTCATCATCCTTGCGGCGAAGAACAATATGCTGGGAGCGATGATGGGCTACGGTTACGAGAAGGCACATCTTGCCTTTATTTTTCTTCATTGTGCTTGAACTGATCGACGTCTGTAATCCTGTAGCTCAATTACCTGCATCGCTTTGCCGGCTATCTGTTTGTTCTCGGCGTGAACGTCCACGCTATCGGATATTGTGAGCTAAAATATTTTGTTGTTGATTTATCTGAACAAACTGCTCGCAGTTTACAAGTGGTCTCTAGCAGGGACACTGCTTAAGGATCTTGCGGATCCCACCATCGCTTGGGGGTTTGCCGCCCTTCTTGCTGCGGACATTCTCGTCCTTTTCTCATTCAAATTCATTCGGGACAAATTTTTTCCTTTCTTCTTGGCATCGCACGTCATCTGCGCAGTCGTGCTTCTGGTAGCGGTATGCCTTTAGTTATGATTTTGAGTGTCTTCTAATTTGTAATTTCAATTCCAGACATACTTACACGAGCAGTTCCTATGGCCGTATATTGCGGTTGCGGCGGCTTATTACGGCCTTGATCGGATAATGCGCATCGTCAAGACGCGTTATTCGACTGCGCGTCTGCTTGTGCTCTCAGATCTCAACATGGTCCGCGTCGAGATCCCCTCCATCAATGCAGGTTGGCGTGCGGGACAGCATCTGCGTATCCGGGTGTTGTCCACCGGGATGGGTTGGTTTGGGTGGGCGGAGAATCACCCATTTACGATCGCCAGCGTCAGCAGAGTGGGTCCTTACGCGATTATCCTAGTGTTGTGCGTTGACTTTCATTTGTCTTGAAGAGCCCTGGTGAAGAAGGCCTCGTGCTGCTATGCAAGAAAGCGGGTGACTGGACTGGTCGACTCGTCGAGCTTGCCAAACGCGCAGAGCATAGTGAGGCTTGTGAGGTTCACACGAGGGTGAAAGTTCTGGTGGAAGGTCCATATGGTGAGTTCGCGCAAAGATGACTTGTAACATTTGTTGACCCTCACTTGGTGGACAGGCGGACATGGTCATGCGATCCTCCCCAGCTATTCTGGAGCCATGCTCGTTGCAGGTGGTAGCGGTATTACCTATGCCCTGTCTACAGCGCAGGAGCTCATGCAGAAGGAGGCGGAGGGTTCCAGCCGCGTGAAGGTAGTTGAACTCGTCTGGAGCGTTCCGGATCCTGGTACGTCTTCCCCCTTCTCCACAGCACTCTGACAGGGATTGATCTTCTGACCCGCCTAGTATGTTTGGAACCGCTTCTGCCCCTATTTTCGAGCATGCTTGCGCAGGCCCAGTCGTCCACGACGTCCTTGCGCATCTCGGTGTTCTATACGCGGGCGCCAACATCCCCGGATGCCTTCAAGGCATTCCATTCGCTTCCGCAGGGTCTCACGCTTGCTCCTGGCCGTCCGCGCCTGTCGAAGATCCTCGACAGCGTCATGGACAGAACGATCTCGCACGTCGGCAAGGGTCACAAGTGCACCGGGGTCGCTTTGGGCGTTTGCGGCCCCCTGGAGTTGGCAGAAGAGGTGACGTCGACCGCGCGGTCTGTCCATGCTGACAAACGTCAGGCTATGGGGGGTGTAGAGGTGCATGCAGAGTACGTGTCCACCGTTTCGTCTCGTACAGAGTCACGAACACAGTTTTTCCAGGGTTTTTTGAACTCGCACTTTTTCGCCCAACACCAACTGCGATTGCTGCGTTGCTAACTTTGTTTTGTCGACTCGCCGCTCCATTTATGCGGTCATTCCTTACTATTCTGTCAACCTCTGGCAAGTTGGAACTGCGGGACAGTCTAGACGCGGTGCGCTGGCGTATTCTTTTTCTGTGGACGTTGCTATGGTTTCCCAATTATCTGCGCGTAGATTGATTGGGTGCGCTCTTTACCCTAGCACCGTGTACGTATCGTTAGAACCTCACAGTCACAATCAATTCTGAACGAGGTCGTTCAAACGCATTCGTAAGCAAATTGGCTTTGACATGTGTCACAGATGTAGGTTTTATTTCTAGATAATAGTTGGTACTCCCATTCGGGAGTCTCTGAGACAGCTCAAGCGCAGTCCGACAACCCTTAAGGTTGTGGTCTCAAATATTCCTTCCCGGTCGACTTGGACTAGATTCATTGCGGGATAGTTGCCATAAAAAGCCAATGACCTTCCTATTTCGGTAAGTACTCCTTTTTTGACGTGCGTCCAATGTGCAGAAGCTACTTTCTTCCGAAACACTCCTGATTATGCTGTTGAAGACAAATGAGATATCGCGGCACTCAGGAAGAAGATATAAGAATCACTTCTTCCCCCGTGGACTTTCCTTCCTACTACCACCATCTGCGACTCACTCACGATATCCCGCCCCTCTTGGTGTTATCGTCACTTCCACATCAATGTTCTAAAGCTGTCATCTGTTGGTCACCCTCTGTCGCCATGTGTACGACTTAAAAATTATCTGGCTTCTCTGGCTTAAGCTTGCCGCGTCTGCTGTATTGGAGGCTTGTGCTCAGAATCTCCTAGGAGCAAATATTTAAAACGTGGGTCTGACTCTCTTGACTGACAGCGGTGCCTTACGATTTGAGTCACATGTGGTTGCCAAGTCTGCGCCGCGAGCAACAGGCCCCTCGCAAGATGTGTGCAAGATGCGTGTCTAATGGCTTTCTCTGCGCATATGATATGCATAGAATCACTTCAAGTCGCATATAGCTATCCCGGGCGTATACGGACCGCTTTACAAGATGGTACAACTATCCGGAGTCCGTTGCATTGCAACACCAACCAGTTATACTACAGGCTACGAACGCAAAAAAGCCAGCCTTGATTGCGAATATCCTTGATTCATAACGGATCGTGCTACATCTCGCCTTTGGCTAGTCCATATTTATCCTCACCGCTGGGAGTGTTGTGCAGGAATGGCTATCGGATGCTGATACGCCTTCAAGTTCTCGTTTCTCAAGAGTTAACTCGCTTCAGCTTTCGGGACAGGGGAAGTCCTGCCGCCATCAATCCTCGTTTTGGAAAATACAAATTCATGACTGACTAGAAACCAACTAGTCAAGTGGTTGGTTGCTAACGTTGTAAAACTCGTCGCTACCTCTTATATCTGTGAGTGGGTAATCACGTCTGATCTTTTTGATGCGTATCTCACTGGTATGGGCATTCTGCATGACAGAACTTCCGGTACTCTGAACTGATACAGACCAAGATGTCCACTTTTGTAACGCACCTGTCGAACAACTAGAAACATCTTGTCTCCGTATTGGAGCCCTTTACCTAGAAATTGGATGCTCATGTGCATGCCCACATCCAACTTGCAAGCGCCAGCGGCAGTGAGCACACCTGAAGCTCCCACCAGTGAGTTTTCCTAAATTTTGCTCGTCGTTCACATACGTATCTTCGTACTCTGGGTGTACTTGATGCAAACCTCACAATCTAATGATATTCTACGGCCTGCAGAAAAAAATGACCAAGTGTCGTATATTCAACGGGATCAAATCCAAGCTACCTTGCAAGGTCTCTCCACCCTCTTAATTGCTGCATTTTACGATTCCCCTGTTCCTTCCGTACATCTGACCAACAAATTCCGACTTGGCCTACAACATCTTAAGCTCATCTGTGCGGTAGAAAGGTCTCTCACCCGGGGAGGCGGCGCTTACTTCGTCAAGGATGAAAAAGGAAATTCAGAACCAAAATACTGTCAGACCAATTTCTGCCGATAAGATAATAGCCCCGGCAACCTCTTTCATTTTCGGACGTGCATGGAGATCGCGTTGTTCGTAACACCCAGCTGCAGGACGCTAGTCGATACCTTCACCTGGTCTACCACTCTTTCACCCTCCCTTCAACATGGCCGCGACCACAACCGCTTATACGTCCGACACGACCCTTAACCAGGCCAACTTGGTATTCGACCTCGACATCCTCATCCTATGTGTCGTGGCTCTTTTCGTTCTTCTTGCCCTGCCCGGTGCTGTCTCCCACTTTGCGCGTCGTTCTGAGTGGAGAGATGGGCATTTCTTCCGGTCTGTTGCCGTCAAACCTATCCACCGTCCCATGATGTTCGACCCTAAGCTGTCACCCATCAACCCCGCGCACATCTCTCGCATGGCCGTCGATCCGTTCTCCGATGCACATCAGGAGAAGCATGCAGGCCGGTCTGAAGACGACCACACGTACAGCTCTCACGCTGTCCTCGTGCGCAATGGCTCCGCCTCCAGCACTAGCAGCGGCCGTGCCCGTCAGCAGAACTTCCCGACACACATGCCCTCCTGGTCTACTATGCTTCCGGGCCTCACTTCTGTCTTTTCTGGGTTTATCCGCCCTGGTCTGTCCATTTGCAAGGCTCTACTTCTCCTTGCATACCTGTTGGCCATAGTCATTTTTGGTCTTTTCATGTCTAACCCCTTCACGAACTTCATTCGTGCTGGATACGTTGCGGTGAGCCAAATTCCTGTGATCGTTATTCTGGCGACAAAGAACAACGTACTGGGAGCCATGATTGGCTATGGATATGAGAAGGTGTGTGATGTTACGCTCTCGTTCTTAATGGGCACCGACCGCGTCGCAGCTCAATTTCTTGCACCGTTTCGCCGGTCGCTTGTTTGTCCTGGCTGTTAATGTACATGCTATCGGGTATTGTGAGTAACTTTGTGTATCCACTAGTTCTGTGTTGAAGTTCTGCCCCAGTCTACCAATGGACCGCTGCTGGGACTTTCCAGACGCAAATTGCAAATCCCAACATTGCATGGGGCCTGGCAGCGCTTATTGCTGCCGACATTCTTTACGTCCTGTCTCTCAGCGTTGTCCGAAACACTTGCTACCCAGTGTTTTTGACTTCGCATGTCGTCTCCGCTATTGTTCTGCTGGGTGCCGTGCGTATCCCAATTGCTCACCCTATGTGAAGTTGCTGGATCTTGATTTCTCAGACATGCGCACATGAGCCATGGACGATACCATACGTCGCCATTGCCGTTGGGTGTTACGCGTTTGATCGAGTGCTGCGCATCGTGAAAACGCGCTACACGACGGCACACCTCCGCACGCTCACAGAACTTAACGTCACCCGGGTCGAAATCCCGACGATCAATGCAGGTTGGCGTGCGGGGCAATTCCTCCGCATACGCGTCCTCTCGCGTGGGATGGGCTGGTTTGGCTGGGCCGAAAGCCATCCATTCACTATCGCCAGTGTCAGCAGGGTGCGTCCGTCAGCATCTCCGTGAGAATTCTCAATAGTGATGTCGTGCAGAGCCCTGGCGAGGAGGGTCTCGTGCTGATGTGCAAGAAAGCAGGAGACTGGACTGGCAAGCTGTTCGAGCTGGGCAAACGTGCAGAATATGGCGAAGCTTGTGGCATCGGACGGGACGTCAAGGTTCTTGTCGAAGGACCGTACGGTGGACCCGGTCACTCCATTGTTGCCAGCTTCTCGGGTGCTATGCTAGTTGCTAGTGGAAGTGGTATTACGTACGCTCTCTCTACCGTGCAGGAGCTGTTACAGAAGGCAATGGAAGGAGCCAGCCGTGTGAGGACCGTCGAGCTCGTCTGGAGCATCCCTGATCCCGGTACGCATTCGACAATTTTACTGTGCTGCACGTTACTGACCTCGCAGTTTAGCACATCTCAAACCGATGCTCCCGCTGTTCTCCAGCATGATCGCGCAGTCGCAGTCTGGCTCGACATCGCTGCGCATCTCCGTTTTCTACACGCGTGCTGTCACATCATCCGACGCCTTCAAGGCGTTCAAGTCGCTTCCCCCCGGTCTCACCCTTGCTCCTGGCCGTCCGCGTTTGCCGAAGATCCTTGAAGGAGTCGTTGATCGGACGTGTAAGCTTTTCGAGAGGCGCGGCGGGCGTAGTGAGCGTGACGGTCCGTTGACCGGTGTTATACTCGGCGTGTGTGGTCCCCTCGCGCTGGCCGAAGAAGCTGCGCGCGCCGTTAAGACCGTTAGGTCTGAAAGACGCCAGGCCGTTGGTGGCGTTGAACTGCACGAAGAGTACGTTCTGGCTATCTGATTGGGCTACGTTGTACTGATCAAATGAGCAGGGTTTTTGGGTGGTAGATGCCCAATACTCAACAAGCAGAGATACCATTTGTTCTGTCGTTTTCTTCAGTGGTTCACTGCTTGATGCATGTGCATCTTCTCTCATCCAGCGCACTGCCTGCTGGGTTGGGATATTGTCGCGGGTCCTGTTGCCAGCTCATCAGCAGCTGTCGATTTTAGGTTGACGACCATGAACGACGTTATGGGTTAATCTTCGCAATGTATTTGTAGCTTTATCCATCATTTATAACCATACCCTGTAGTCTGCAATTGCAATCACTAGATTTTGTTTGCACATCAGGCCGATCGTGAGATGCCTAGAGATACGATGGTAAGGGTCGTAAGCCATGGTGGCAACCAAGTGTCGGACAAAGTGCGTGGGTATCCAACAGACATCACGAATCGTTGAGGACCACAATCTGCAGCCTACGCCGTTTTGGTAACGGCTTCATTGGTCTGGGAAGGACAGCCTCAATGTCGTCCTCAGCGTCTACTTCTGAGCTGCTGCCTGACGACGTGCCCGACGAGTCCGAGTCTGAGTCCGAGTCTGAGTCCGAGTCCGTCGATGAAGAATCGGATGATTTATCTTCATCAGCATCCGTGTCCATGGGCACGGAACCGTCGGGAGGCTTGCGAGTTTCGAAGACTCCTAGACCCAAGTTCTGATGGTATCAAAATAATGGTGAGACTAAGGGTGCCAAGAGAACTCCAAGGAAACCGACCATCTCGATGTATTGCTCGCTGTCCTCGAGATGCTCGATGTCGACGCCGTTTGGATCTTCCTCTGCCTGACGAGCAATATCGGCATTTGAGGCTGCGATCTCAGGGAGAAATGCCTGCACGCGAGATAATACTGTACGCGATGCATCAGTCAGAAAAATTAGAAAACACGACTGCAATGCACCCACGTTCTGAAGGAGGGCCCATCGGAAAGGTCCTCCTGTCTCCAAAGTCAAACTTGGTAAAACTTTCAGCTGGTCTGGGACCCGAAGAAGTGTCGAGTCTCTGGAAGATATCATCTGGAATGATTTGATTGAAAATTCTGGCTCGGACATCAAGCAAGGTGAGTCTGCATACACATGCGTGCTTGACGAACTTCCTCATCTTCCACTTCAAGTATTTCCGCTGCCCGGCCCTTTCCTTTGCCTTCGGTTGTAAGCTCGCTCATGTTGCATACAGAGTCCGAATGAAAGATGACAACCGTGACGCGTCTGCCCTGGGCGGCCTGTGACGCATATGACGCGGTGTGTGTTTTCCGAACGCGGCTTGGCTAGTGCCGTGTTGGTGTCTCAGGTAAGTCTATGATATACTCATTCTATGCCAAAGATCTCGTTCATGTATCATGCAGGGTATACTAGAGGCATATCGGGGTCATATTCGTCCACTACTGCTGCAATTGTAGGAGGCTTCTGAATGTTCGCAATCTGCTGAAGGGTGCATTGTTTTAACAGGTCGTCTTCCCTTCGTGAGTATCGTGGCTGTCTATTCCAATGCTAGAAAGTTGAAATAGGGTTTCTCAGCACTGAAATCTTAGGCTGTTCGTCGGCGGCGTTCTCTGCTCTTCTGAAGATATGTGTCGGAAATCGAAAAGCCGCGTTCATCCTAGCACTTCTTGATTGCCACTTCAATCATGAACACGGAACCTCCGCGATTGTTTCCAGAGTTGTGGGACTATGTCATAGATAACTTCCGGGATGATAGGCATACGCTCAAGGCCTGTGCGTTAACAGCTCACGCATGGGTTGCAGCAGCACGCCTCCGTCTCTTCCACACTATTGTGCTTAGAGACTTCTCGCGATGTGTCCACTTCATGAAGCACACTGAGGCTTTCCCTGCTATCCCCGCAAGCTCACCATGTTTCTTCCGATCTCGAGGCATCCACGCGTGGATGACCTCATATTTCAGCTTTTGGTAACCCTCACCAATGTGGAAGATCGGAGCATAGTCCGATGGGATGCCTCGACTATGAGTGGAAATACACGGCAGAATCTACGTCAATTATTCCCTTCGCTCAGGATCTTGAGGCTTGTAGATTCGAGCATACTGGCCGATGATCTGCAGCGGTTGGTTTGTGCGTGTCCCAGGCTTACTGCCATTCACACCTCTGGGGTGTATTTTGAAACTTCCGCGAATTGTGGTGCAACCCAGCTTCCCTCTCTCGAGTTGGCTCCTACAGAGAGCACGAGGATCATTGATTCTCTTACTGCTTGCAGCCAATGTCTGAAGACCATACCTCCAGGTGGTAACCAATGGCTACTGCACTGTGTATCTGGACTTCGCCTGCGAAGGCTCGAAGCCTTTTGGGATCCGTCGGTGACGATTTTTGGAATGTGTCTTTCGGATCTACTCCAACACGCAGGGGTGGCGCTCAAATATCTGGTCCTCGGTAGCGACAATCCTTTTGTCTCTCCGGGTGACTTCCTTGACCTGTACCATAACCCGAATATCGTGTCGCTCCGACTGAGAGACCTGACTGTATACCGTCCAATTCGCTCTCAGTAGATTTGACATTCGTTTCCTTGCCTGGCCCAACTCATACCCGCTTACGGAGAATCGTGATAGACCTACATCCACGACACTACATATCATTGGGCGATGGCGACTCCTTGGACCTTTTGAATTGGCCCCAAATAGACGAAGCCTTGCTTCGTCTGAGCGCGGACAGGCCGCATTTGTTAGTCACCTTCCCCATTATCTGCAGCTTATTCCAAAATACAAAGCTTGTGCAAGAGATGGGAAGTAAGATAGCCAAGCGGCCACCGAAGTATCGAACCAGTGGGACGGTGCTGGAAATCGTTGGTGTTTGGCCGGGTCCCCTGAAGAGAGCTCTTTCTCGCGTGGAATCGGCCCCTTATGAAGAGCAGGTCTCTTGGCTTTACTAGGGGAGTACGAGCTTGACAACTTCGATATTCAAGTCATTCCGACTAGATAGGTAGCAGGTAGCAGGTGTGTAGCTTGCCTATGTCTGCTTTGTATCAGTACCCAATTATTCTTGAGTACGACGAGTCCTTTATATCGACAGCGGTTGAAATGGCTTCAAGCGCTTTTAGATGTCAAAATAACAGCTTACAATATCAGGACCGCATACTTCTCGTCTCACTACTGCGTTGATAATTGATACTACGAGAATGTTTCTCCTACGTCGGCATTGCATATACTCAGGCCGTGTATGTCTCCCAGACACGTTCCGCCACAGCAGCTCGGGGACAATGTCTGCCGGTCCAGAGATGGAACTGCACGTATCCCTGTTCCAATAGAACCTGAACACCCTTGACAGTCTTCCAGTGACTACCTTCATTTGCGGCGAGCGCTAATAACGGAGTCTCTGCAGGTTTGTAGGCCATGTCGACGACCACGCCACCGTCTGGAGAGGCAAAGATAGTGCTGGGAAGATATAGCCCGGACTGAGCGGAAAGATTTAAGGTGGTTGCTGTGGCAGGTACTGTTGACACAATTACGGTGGGGGGTGGGTCTTGACCCGGCCATACGCCCAGCTCGTCGATGATCTCGATCTTCACATCTGGGAACGTGTTCACTAGGACTTGGGCGCTGTTCCTCGTTCGATTATAGAGATAGATGACGTTGACTCCCAGTTCATGCAACGCATATATGGCAGCGCGCGATGTTCCCCCTGCGCCAATAATCAGTGCCGTTTCGGGCTTGAGAATTGAGGCCGGTAAGACAGCGCGGATACAGTCGCGAATCCCAATCCAGTCAGTGTTATCACCGTACAGCACAAGTGATCCATCTGCTGTCTTCCGTGGAATAATCGTGTTGACAGCACCAATGGCTTGCGCCTCCTGTGACAGCGAGTCCAGGAGAGGTATGACATCGAGCTTGAAGGGTATCGTGACCGAAGCGCCACCAAAATCCGGAGATGTTAAGGCTGCTTTGATCTCTTCTCCAACGTTGTCGGTCTCAAGCAGCTCATATGTGTGAGGCAGGCCCAATAACTGGAAGGCAGTGTTGTGAAGAATCGGTGACATCGAATGCCCAATCGGATTTCCGAAAAGGAAGAAACGTTGAGCAGGTAATTGTCCAATGAGGTGAAGAGCAGTCTGGATCTCCGCGAATGAAAGCTGGCCTGGAGCCGCCTTGACCAGTTGAAGAGGGTGCGAAACCGGGCTCAATGTCGAATTGAGGATACGTGACATTTGTCCTTCAATACCCATGTTAAGGGCGATGATCGGCTTTCCCTCCGGCAGAGACCGCATTCGCCGAACGAAATCGTGAAGCTCAAAATTATCTTCGAGGCTGTTGGCCTTCCCCACGAGCTTGACGATGTCACCAAAGCCTCGAGCAACGCGGTATTTCGCTTCGACCATCTTCCCGCTCCACCGCATATTCCCGCTCCAGTCGTGCCAGGAAGCAATGATTTGCGAGTGCCCTTTCCGCGCGATAAGGTCCTGTATGTGCCGCTCCGACCAAGATATCTCGACGTCAATATACTCGATTCCAAGACGTACTGCCGTGTGGAACAATTCGAAAGCTTCTTGTTCTGCGTGATCGGGAAATTGTCCACCTTGCGAGACGGTTCTGACGGTGAATACAACGGGCAGAGTGGTTTTCTGTCTCAAAGCAGCAATTTGATCCGTGACATAGGCTACGGAGGGCTTGTGAGGCCCGACATTCCCGAAGTCGTTGGGTGAACGGAGCAGGTCAACTCGTAGCTCAACAGCGTCAACCCCGACTGTGAGTTCTTCAATGCGAGGCAGAGCAGGTGTGATATCAGGATATGTGAGCGATAAGAAGTACGACCTGTTGCCTGCCGCCATATTAGAGGCGAGGTTGGGATGCTGCCCGGTGACGTGTCTGAAAAAGCGTGCCACTTCGTGACGCGAACTACGAATCTCTCCAGATCCGTTCAGGATGTCAATATGGTCCCCGTTGACTGCCCCCAGAACGCCAGTGTAATTGACGAAGACGTAGCTGCAGCACTCGTTGAACCATGGTTCCCGTCTTTGGAAGACGTCTAAGATCGGCTCGCCGTATGCTGGTCTAGCTGTCTCCTCTCCCAGATACTTAACAACTGCGTCAATTTCTCGAACGATATGGACCACAGGTCCTTCTTTTGCATAGGCCTTGAGAGCTTCGCGTGCAGCAGGCGTCTCAACGATACCACCACCGAGGGAAATGACATGCCCTTTGGGGTGCTTTGACAACAGTTCTCGCAATATTTCTGTCTCCGCAGCACGGAAAGCTGGCCAGCCATTCTCAAGCACGAATGAACGCACTCCGGTTTGATATCTGTCTTCGAATGCGACATCTGCATCCACGAAGTTCCAGCCTAGAATGGATGCGGCGAGATTTCCAATGAAGGTCTTGCCGGAACCACGCATGCCGACAATGACGACGGATGCCAGTGTATCTGCATCGGTAGGTCTGCTTGCAGAAGAGGCGGAGTCAGATACGGGAAGTTCGACGCCCTCAACCTCGAGACCGATCTGCGTATTGGATGGACTTAGGGAGTGAAAAGTCATCTTTGAAGTGTAGACTACGCACCTTATTCTCAAGGTCATCCCACCAATTCGGCCACGTCTTCTCCACACTTCTCTTTTCTTCTATCGTCGTGTCCTTGATCACTGTCCCGAGGACGCTGAATGCCATTGCGACCCGATGGTCATCGTAGCAATGCACACTGGCATTTTCGCTCAATTCTCCAACTGCCCTGCCATAAATTTCAAGACCATCGGGGAGCTCGTTCGTTTCCACACCGAACTTAGCTATAGTCGACATTAGTATGCATTTTCAGCTGATTACACGAGGATACCCCACCTAACTGGTCTATCATGGCTTGGATACGGTTGCACTCTTTCACTCTCTGGTTTGCAATCCCAACGATGCGCGTCGTGGTAGATGGAGATCCATCCAGAAGTCTTCTCTGTTCCAGCGGCGGCTGAGTCGCGACCGCAGCAAGCACTGAAGCCGTCAAGAACGCGTCCGTCATGGGCTCCATGTCAACGAAGCCAATCGCTCTAAGCTGGCCAATGGGTGGACCCTCAACAGTGGTCTCGGTTTCAGTCTGTATAACCTTGCACCCCATTGGTTCGAGCACTTCCTTCGCAAACCTCGCATCGCCTTGCAGAGACGCAGACCCGATGTTCGTGATAGTGCATGATGTACCTGTGATGGCTGCGATTGCCAGCGGATACGTCGCACTGCTGGCGTCAGATTCGATGTTGTATTCGGAAGGATTGCTATAGACGCCTTTCGGGATAGTGTACACGTCCAGGAGCTGGCCGGTTGCTGCATCCACTTCACGACTAACGTTGACACCAAACGTCTTCATCATCGCGATCGTCATGTCGATGTAGGGCTGAGAGACGACCTGTCCACCTGTAAGCTCGAGAATGACGGGCTCTAGGGCGTATGGTGCACAGAGTAGTATGGAAGATACATATTGGCTGGAGACGCTCGCCGCGAGCTGGATCGTCGATCCCTTCAAGCCTGCGGGTGCAACTGACAGTGGCAGACAACCTAGAGACTCGACATAAGCGATGTCACTCCCGTTAGCGCGCAGCGCGTCCACGAGGGGTCCGATAGGACGCTGCTTCATACGCGCATTGCCTGTAATGACAGTCCTCTCGTCCGGTTGCGTAGACTGGGCCAACGTGCAGACAGTGGTCAGGAAGCGCGCAGCTGTACCCGCGTTCGCGAGATAAATTTCTCTGCCCCTTAGGGGAACTGATAGAGAGCCCTCTCCACCTTTGACAACAAGGGTCTCGCCCCCGTCTTCCCAACTAAAGCTTGCGCCCTAACACCTGGTCATGAACAACCTCTTCACAAGTGCAGCGATTAATGTACCTTAAGCTCCATCAAAGCATTCATCATGACCTGGGTATCGTCCGAGTGCAGTAAATTTTTGAGACGGCAAGTACCCTTTCCAAGAGCAGCCAGCAACAGAGCACGGTTGGAGATACTCTTCGATCCTGGAGTAGCCATACGAATGGGACTCTTGGTGGGCACGCCTGGTACAATCCTGACAGCTTCGGACAGCGTCTTTGCGATAACTTTATCGGCCACGATGGTAGCCTTCGGTTCGTAGGTAGCGCCAATTCTGGACAAAATGACGATCTTCTTCTGCGGGCCACTATTCTTCTTGTCGATCTTCATGATGTCCAACAGCTTCTCCACCGTAAGAGACGTAGCCGCAGGCAAGCTGGAAATGCGCGGATCCGAGATCGACACGGGCAGGTTGTACGCGTTGAGGCAGCGAGTGAGCCGACCAACCGCGACCTGGCTTAGCACGCCCAGTTGCCTTGCGACCTCCGCTTCAAGAATCATGCCTACGCTAACGCACTCGCCATGCAGAATCGTCGGCGTCAGTACGGCCTCAATTGCATGTCCGATCGTGTGTCCGAAGTTGACGAGGTTACGAAGACCCGTCTCGCGTTCGTCAATCGTGACAATGTGCGCTTTCACCCCAATGGAGCCAGCGATCACCGACAGGAGCAACTCCTGCGCAGGTGAACGCGTCGATTGTACGCGCCCGGAGAGGTTCGCCGACGGTGTTTGGATCGCGGCAAAGATATCTGCCGAGCGCGATTCGAGTGCCGCGAACTCATTCTCGTCCCAGATGGCGGCGGTCTGTGAGACAGCCGGTAAGAGGCTGCGTGTGACTGGGCCACGCAGAATAGGAGATTGGAAGCTTTGCGAATGTCGCAAAGCTTCTAATCCGCCATGTTGTATGGCGTTGGACAGAACACACCTTGACCACTTCGGCCATTCCATTGGAGAACTCACGCCCGGGTAGCGTTTCCAGGAAAGCCGCATCGATGAAGATGTATTCCGGCTGCCAGAAAGCACCCAGTAGATTCTTCCCATGGGGGGTATCGATGGCAGTTTTTCCTCCCACGCTGGAGTCAACCATTGCAAGCAACGTCGTTGGAATCTGAACGAAACGAACGCCCCGCATACTATCCAAGAAATCAGCAGGTACAGAGATTAGATACTAGGTCGACTTACAAAGTAGCAGCGACAAAACCGACCAGATCGCCGATGACCCCACCGCCAAGGGCGAGGATGACTGTGTCTCTAGTGCACTTGTTCAGCAGGAGGTAATCCTCAATTTCTGTTTTCCCCTCGCGACTCTTGCTCGTTTCTCCAGGAGGTATGACATAGGTCAGGAAGCGCGACTTGCACGATAACTTGTGGCTATTAAATGCCGCCTGGAAAGCCTCGAGGTGCAGATTCGCAATATTGGTATCAGTGATCAGAACGTAAGTAGATGAAGTCAGAGTATGCAGAACAGTATCGACGATATATGGCACGAGATGGAACCCACAATGGATGGACTCCTTTCCTAAGATGGACACTTTCCGCACGTCGGTGGTGGTCATTGCGAAACTTGACCCGCACAGGGTAGGCACACGCTTTTAAAGTCGCGTACAGCCTCTTCAGAACGCTCTGATCCCGTGGGAGACAAAACTAATTGCTGTGAATGCACGTCCGATACCTGTGGGTTCCGCGGAGCTCGCAGCGCCTGGGTTTCACGGTGAGGTGATTCGGGAGCACCTCTGGTTCCATTTCACAGCTCACCAAATAACCACCAATATACTTCCAATCTGGGGTAGTAAACGGGAAGTCTGCAGGCCTGAATATGGTAGGAAGTAATTGCGAGGTGTCGACGCTTGACTCATGAAAGCGCCGAAAGGCCTGCCATGTTTACGTAAGACACACAGTTGACGCCCTAACACGGTGCACGTGCGACGCGGTATGAGGCCGAAAATCTTAGAAGGTGCAGACATGACATACTGTCCAACAATATACGCAGGAAAATCTCAGTCAGATATGCGCCATGTGAGCTGAGAATTTTTGAGACCCCTACTAGCGAACCGGTCGACCGTTAGGCATGTATACGCCACAGCGCTCCAGGTCGGACTCACTGAGCACACGGCTTCGTCAAGGTCAACAGAAATTGTCAAGCAGGAAAATATGGATAGCACTGGGTACAAATACAACAGACAGGAAAAATTACAGTACATAATACACAGTGTACAAGATGGTATGGACCCGTCCTTGCCAAGAATGTTGGGCCCTCCAGACCAAACCTAACCACGAAACCAGAGCTCCAGTTCCTCATCCTTCGTCGCGGCTTCCGATGACGAAGCAGTCCCATACTGCGGGTACATTTCGAACGGGTACATTTCGTACCGATACGGAGCGCCCACTACCCTGAGCCAGGCGCGCCCAGCTCTGACGTACGGCAGGCGCTTCACAACTTCATTCGCTGTATCGCGCGTCCAGGCGTCCAGGTCCAACGGGGGTCTCATAGGCCGCAGGCGGAAAGTGATCACGAGCTCGCGACGGTCCTTCGCCAGGTCCGCGAGTTGGCGGTCCAAGAGACTCCACCCTTGCAGCAGAGGCACGTCAGAAGGACCGGCGAGATTCAGGCCTATCTCCTGCAGGCGCAACGACGCGTGGGTCAGCTGGATCAGTGCGAGGAACTCCCGAAGCCAGTCTGATGCGCTCCGTCCTCGAACATTCACATCTGTCAGAGTCAGCGACCGCAAGTTCGGGTTGTGGGACAGAGTGAGGTGGCCCCTTGGTGAGACAAACGTGGACTGAATAGCGAGGTTAAGGTGTTCCAGGGCCGTCCCGGAGGCCTGCAGCAGGTCTCCTAGACTGAGACCGAGGATCGTCACCAACTCTGCGGAGTCCCACATCGCCTCGAGTCTCCGCAACCGCACCTCAAACGGATCTTCCAATATCCAGCCATTGGCGGGTATCACCGGTTGGGAATCATTGAACACTGTGACGGCGTCGATGGTCCGCCTCATCGCAGAATGGAGAGACGCACCGAGGACATCCTGCAGAGGTGGACCGTCGAGAAAGGGGGGTCCAGCCTGACGTGAGCTGAGTGCACGGCGGTGAGCCTGGGGCACACGGCGAGCAGCCTGACGAAGTCGCTCGCGTACCACGAGGTTCAGGACCCTAAGCGAAGGGAAGAACGCCTGCAGATTGCTCCTTGTGTCCTCGGACATGTGGATCGCCCGCCAATGCACCAGTGTCAATACCTCGACGTGGTCGAGCTTTAACAGCATCCTCGGCATTACGGGATCCAAGCTCGTGTGCGCTCCAACGACGGCTAAGGTCGGGCTCATGGCGATCGTCAGGTCATGGACGTAAGGCGGTATGTCTGGAAATTTCTCCAGAAGTCTCTCCAGAAGTCTCCAAAATCGCATGTATGCCGAGATGTCCTTGAGTAACACGGTGTAAAAGAGGTGAAGGTGTGCTACAGTACGCCACGAGCGACAGGTCAGACTGCAGGCGGCGAGTGCATGCGGGTCATCCCGAAGTTGGTCGATGACGCTGAACCACATCTCCACTGGTAGCATGGGCGAAGCGAGATCCTTAGGAAATGGGACTCGACCCATCGTTTAATATCTATGCAGTAGCCAATCAGACGCGAATCTGGTTGACTTCCGGGACGGCATGAACCAGACACTCACTAACGTGTGTATAAGCAAAGGTGAAGAATCGGAACAAATTGTAACTTGAGAGCAAGTAAACATAGATTGGTTACTCATCCATCGAACTTGGGGCAGGCCTATATAGGATCGTGTGACGAAGGCAACGTATTGCTGACCACTGCTAAATTCGAATGAACGTGATAACGCTGGGGGAAGAAAGACCGACGTTCCCTTGACTTTACTTCAGACCCAGGCATGAAAAAGAGATGAATCATGCATACACACCTGATGCCTATGCCCGGATGATCTCGGGGGCAGCGACCTGCTACGGACGCTCTCGGGTGCTGCGTAAAGCACCACTTTTACTGTAGGGTTTCGACCAATCTGGACGGTCACAGGTCACAGGGTTTTCAACGACCTCGCCAATATTTTTTCTCGATTTATGGGAATTTTGGAGATTTTTCGAACTATCCGAAAAAGGGAAAACCCGTCCGGATTGGTACTGTAGCGGCGAGGTCTTCGGAGCTTGAGCAAGCGGATTTATTTAATGAATGGAACGGACCAACCCTCCAGGATTGTATGAAGAACTCTGTCCTCGCACCTTTCACAAATGATATTATCATTACTTTTTTGCTTGGTGCTACACTGTGTAAAGAAGAGATTGATCTGCAGAGCAGAACACAAGGAAACTTGTTCAGCCACAGGGTTGACGGAGCGGCCTCCTGATTGGTGCGCAATGTTAGCGCCCATTCACTCGAATCCAGCGTCTAAACTTTAAATATCCTCTCGATATCTTGCTACGCCAAACACACACTCGAGCCTGAGGCCTGAGCCTCTATTAGACGTCTAGAAATGCCCATCGCGGAGTCGTCTCCATTGCACGTACTTATTGTGTCTCATCCCCTGTTTCCAGTCAGGAATGAGCTTAAATGGATAACCTTAACCTTACTATAATTCCGGATATGCTGTTATTGGCCAGGAGAGCTCCAGCCAATGAGTATCTCCGACAGGTCTGAGAACGAAAACAGCTGGCAAATTCTTCTCTGCTGTCCTTTGTTGACCTGTTCATGCTGTATGTAATCTTAGAAGGGTTCTGGTGGTCCTACAGTGTCCGAGGAGCCCGACTTATGCTGGGGCATCAATGACTCGACGGAGGTGCGCTTGCACGCGATAGGTCGGAACAAAAAAACGAAAACCACAGAAGTATGAGTCGACGCGGCGGAGCCCGGCGAGATCGTTGGCGCGCGAACAGCACCGACTCGGAGCGCACTGTCACCCACTGAGTACTGTTCGTCTCGTCCACCGTACATATACCCCCTTCCACAGCGCTGGTTCCGCTGTATTCGGCACGACATGCAGTACGTTAAAGGTGCGTATCAGGATTATCCTCGCATCAAAGGGGTCAGCTTATGGTACTCCAGCCCGTTCTGTCGTCGGCAGAAGCTTGGTGAGGCCTCGGCAGCCGGCCACCACGTCCCACACGCATACGCTACGTCTACAACTTGCCAGGAGACTTGCATCGACCGAAGCTACGCCCTTAGTGAGTCTAGTATCGGCTTTCATCGGATTTGTGATGTCTAAAGACTCTGTATTGGTCTGGAGACGCCCCCTTCTCCGCGAAGGTTTTCAATAATTAAGCGTTTTCTCCAAACTCTTGGCGGTTTCACGCTCCTTTCCGCCGGTACGGTTGCAACATTTTATTACTTTGCCCAGAAGGACCGCACACCGGGCCACCAATTGCCGCATGACCCCGAGAAGAAGACCCTGGTTATCTTGGGGAGTGGATGGGGTGCAACGAGCTTACTGAATTCGCTGGACACCTCGGAATACAACGTGGTGAGTAGAACCACAACGGTAGTGGCCTAATCGAATCTCAATAATGTCTCCTAGGTCCTTATCAGTCCGAGGAATTATTTTCTGTTCACCCCGCTGCTTCCTAGCGTGGCCGTTGGTACTCTGAACCCGAGGTCCATCATTCAGCGTACGTATACGTCATCCTTCTTTGTGGGACTTTGTTGACAGTTCGTGGTAGCGACACGGTATGTCACACGCCACAAGGCGCGACAGGTTGCCGTTATTGAGGCCCACGCGACATCTGTTGACGTATGTTGTCGCACTATTTTCTTCGCAGAAGTTCGCTGATCTCTGGATAGCCTGTAGCTAAAACTGTAACATTTGAAGGTGCGCGTCTGACGAAGCAAGTTGACGTAATTTAGACTGACAGCTTTTCGCCAGACACTTCGGAAATCCAGGGCTTGGTATCATTGACGACCATCAACTATGATTATCTTGTCTTCGCTGTGGGTGCTGAGGTGCAGACCTTCAATATTCCTGGTGTAAAGGAGTATGCCTGCTTCATGAAAGAGCTGGAGGATGCCGAGAAGGTCGGTAATGCCACTGCAGTGTGAAGTCAATTGTCTCACGTGCCTACTGCTAGATGCAACGCAGATTCTTGGACTGTACGTCGATGCTGACAGATCAATTCTGGATCGCGGTCTGATTTAGATGAACAGGTCTGGAATCTGCTGCGTTCCCTGGCCAGAGCCAGGACGAGGTCGACCGCTTGCTTCACATGGTAATATATCTACCTTCGCTATAACTGTGAGTAGTAGCTGATGACTATTTTAGGTCGTCGTCGGTGGTGGCCCAACAGGTATAGAGCTGAGGTGAGTGTGAGCTGTCGGACGAATCCCGGCATCGGATTGACACATTTCCCCAGCGGAGAGATCCACGATTTCCTCGAGGTTCGTCGACGACACAACTTACTCCATATGTCGCACTCATGAGCCATTTAGGAGGACCTCCGCTCATGGTTCCCGGAACTTGCGAACAGCGTGCGCATCAGCCTGGTCGAGGCGCTCCCATCAGTGCTGCCCATGTTCAGCAAGCGCCTGATCGAGTACACCGAGGCACAGTTCAAGCAAGCCAAGATTGATATCCTCACCAAGACAATGGTCAAGGAAATCAAGGAGAAGAGCGTCGTCCTCCAGATGCCGGATAAGAGCATCGTCGAGGTTCCTTGCGGGATGGTTGTCTGGGCTGCTGTATGTTTACCATCGCTGCTCGCTTGCGTGCGCCACTCATTGTGGAGATAGGGTAATACTGGTCGCCAAGTCACTAGGGACTTGATGTCCAAGCTCCCCGAGCACCAGACCAACAAGAGGGGTATCGTTGTGGATGGTGCGTCGTCTCGAACAGACCTCGTCAATGATTCTGATCTCTCGAATGCATGCAGACCATCTCAGGATGCTCGGCACGGACCGCACGATCTTCGCGCTGGGCGACTGCACCGCGACGTCGTACGCACCGACCGCGCAAGTCGCCTCGCAGGAGGGCGCGTACCTTGCACGCATTCTAGCGCAGATCGCAAAAGCCGACAATCTCGAGTCGCGCTTGCACGCGCTTCGGAGCTCCCCGGAGACGCCCGAAAGCAAGGCGGAGATCACGAGCATCGGGCGGCAGCTGAACAGGACGAGGAAGCTTAGGCCGTTTGAATACTCTCATCAGGGATCGTTGGCGTAAGTGTACTGGTGTCCCGTTCGAGATGGCTGCTTACGCTGGTGTTTTGCAGCTACATTGGTTCGGATAAGGCCATCGCAGACCTGCCGTTCTTCAACGGTAACGTGAGTGGATGTGTATCGGAGTGTACTTCGACTGCTGATATTATACTCCTGAATTTAGCTGGCTACTGGAGGTGTAGCGACCGTACGTGCCCAAGTCTCGTCATTCTCGAGAAAACGCACTGACGACTACCTGACTCACAGTTCCTCTTCTGGCGCAGCGCGTACCTCAGCACGCTCTTCTCCCTCCGGAACCGGACACTCGTCGCCACCGACTGGATAAAAGTCAAGCTTTTCGGACGGTGAGCGGCACTTTCCTCTACGTGAGCTACGTTGCTGACCCTGCGGCTGCAGTGACGTAAGCCGTGAATAAACGCGCGCGGTTCATTGGAGGTTCAATTGTTTGGGTATTCTACGTAATCCCTCGAGACTCGGACTCGGCTGTTATGACATAGACTATTTACAATTCAGTTAGTTGCAGGAATAGACATGTTTTGTCCGCAAATTTTGATTCTGGTGCAAGTACTGGTGGCTTTACAGTATTTGACCATGTTTGCCCCATCCGAAAGAGGCAAGTCAAGTAGTTCGACGACTTACGCCGAGCCAACTCGATCGATAACTTGCTATTCTATCAACGTCCTCAAAGTTGCTCACAGGCCCACAGTCTCAAAGCAGCATTCCGGTCAGAACTGTGATGTGGGTACGCGATGGTTGGAACCGAAAGCGTCGCCTCGGGTTGCGACTGGGTAGGATCGCAATAGACACTCTATAAGATCACAGCGGAAGGCGGACGTGCTGCGCTGTTGGCTGGACACCACAGTACGGCAGGCTCTGCTCTCCGTATATCTGTAAGTGACCTCCCATATTTCCGTGCACTTAATATTTCTCATAACACCTGACGCTCTCTCGCACCTTCTTAGCTCTAGGTGGTTGGCGAACTGTGCTTTCTTTATGGCACGCTTACATATATCTACAGATATTCGACATGGAATTTGCCACCGGTGGCTCCATTGTGTCAGAAAACCCTCAACGGCGTGCGGGACATGTCAACGAGAATGCTCGGGTAGTATTCTGGGTCGACATCTTCCTGCTTGGCATCCTCGGTTTGAGTGTCTTGCTTGTCTTACCCCGGGCGCTGGCGCGTCTCTCCGTGTCTTCTGAGCTGAAGCAGGGTCATTTGATTTGTACGTTATTATTTTACGATGCCAATGGTTTGTTGCTGAGTAATTGACACCGCTCGTCAAGACCGAGCCACTCCGGGCCCACAGACCGATTCGCAGTCCGTCAACTCAGGTGCGCGTCTGTTTGAAGCCTCTCTGAACGAGAAGGACACGATATCCGCTGTCCCTCGTCATGCCCCCGCGATGACGACACCGCTACGATCTCTTACGTCCATCCTCCGAATACCGATAGTAGGCAGGATCCACCTCGGCGGCTGTCTGCTTCTTCTCGCATATTTCGGCGTCCTACTATTCGCGGCGCTGTACAAGACGAGCCTCTTCACAAATCCAGTCAGGGCAGGCTACGTAGTGGTGTCGCAGATCCCAGTCGTTTTCTTATTCGCGACGAAGAACAATCTGATTAGCATGCTCCTTGGCGTGGGGTATGATCATGTATGCCTCTCGATTTTCTCTCGGGGTTCGCACACTTACTTTGCCTGACACGACCAGGTCAATTATATTCATCGTTTCTCCGGGAGGCTCCTTGTCTTGGCCGGCAATGTGCACGCCATCGGTTACAGTGTGTATCAACCATCACCGATCGTGACATTATCTCATTTCGTTCGTAGTCTACAAGTGGACTATGGAGGGGAAATTCACGGAGACTATCCAGGAACCCAAGTTTGTATGGGGCCTAGTGGCCCTAGTCTGTCTCGATATCCTCTTTTTTTTCTCTTTGGCAATCTGGCGCCAGAAGGCATATAACGTGTTTCTTGCATCGCACATCGTGGGGTTCGTTCTGTTACTGGTCGCGGTACGTTTTCGTCGTCTTTGGCAGGCCAAGTTGTCCGCTAATATTTCTTATAGGCCTGCCTCCACATGTCTGCATCCATTCCATATGTTGCAGCGGGGGCTGGGCTCTACGTCTTTGATTTCCTGCTGCGCCTCCTGAAGACGCGTGTCTGCACGGCACGCATCCAACGACTTCCGGAACTGTGTATGACCCGCGTTCAGATCTCGAGGCTTAATGCGGGCTGGCGTGCCGGCCAGCATGTCCGCGTGCGCGTGCTTTCGTTCCAGATGGGGTGGTACGGCTGGTCGGAAGTGCATCCTTTCACTATCGCAAGTGCGAGCGACGCGTCGTCCCAAGAGGGTCTGATCATCTTGTGCAAGAACACCGGACGGTGGACGCAGAGACTATACGACATGGCGCACGAAGATAGGCGTTGGGAATATGGAGGTAATACCGTTAGAGTGATGCTGGAAGGTCCTTATGGTGAGAACTATTTGATTGGTCTCTGAAGGTGTTTTGCATCGACACCTGACTTTGCAGGCGGCCCCGGAAATACTATAAATGCGAGCTTCTCTGGAGCCTTGTTTGCGGTTGGTGGCGGCGGCATCTCATATGCATTATCGGCCGTGCAGGAGCTAGTTCAGCGAGCTGCTGAGCGCACAAGCAGCGTCACAGTCCTTGACTTACTCTGGGCAGTCCATCATCCCGGTAAGCAGGGTATCATCATCACCTACAGTGGATTGCCTCTGAAATGTTGAACCAGATTGTCTGACACCCATGGTTCCCGCCTTCACCCAGCTCCTCCTGCAGAGCGCGTCGACCATGACGACCCTGCAGATCTCGGTTTTCTACACCCGCGCAGAAACCATTAAGCATGCGATCCCTCTCCTTGATCTGCCGTCCGGGCTCACGCTCAACTCTGGTCGTCCGCATCTATCAGCAAGGCTAGCGGACTTGGTTGAACGCACGTACGCATCCCCTCATCTTCCTGGCTGTGGGGAGAAACACAGAGGCGTATTCATGGGCGTGTGTGGGCCTGTGGAGCTGGGAGAGTGTGCAAGGAAGGCCATCGATGACGTGGATTCGGGGATTCAGAAGGCCGTCGGGGGTGTAGAGCTTCACGAAGAGTGAGTTGCCGGTTTGCGAACATGGAGAGCATTGAGCTGATCGTATTTAAACAGAATATATGCATTGTAGAGGTTCTCGTCTGTAGTTAGCGTTAATACTTCTCCGCTGAGTGCCAGATATCAAAATGCAACAAATGAGTGGGAAAGGAGTAGAGCGCATCGCTTCTACCCACTCGGAAGCAGTTTGAGCTTACACGAGATATGCACACACTAGGCTTGGAGCTGCTTGCCGAATCAGACAGCAGACGCCGAAGTAGTATAGAGAATCTTATATTTAATTGATGAGCATGATAGTAGACCACGAGAACAGACTGAGAAGGGGACACTGGATATACCGAAAATCTTACCAAACCTACATGAAAGAGAGGTTTAGCATGGAAGAGACAACCTACGCTCGGAGTAACCAGCCGTTGTGGCTTGGGAGACATCTTGATCATTACAACCGCCAGAGGGTTGCTGGCAGAGCATACCAGTAAGGAAAATAGGAAACCGAGATTACTCTCGTGTTCCGGTGGCAATGAGGTACCAAACAATTTAATCCCTGAGTGCCGCTCTCGATTCTAGTGTTTTGGATCTGCACCTTCGCAAAGTGCCCAGGATAGAGAATGCATTTAGCCTTGAGGCAAAGTGTGCATGTTGAACTTATTATCTCTACGTCGAGCCTGCTCGGATAGTACTTCTGAGTTAGTGCACAGAGGCCGCGATTGTTTGACAATGTTGCACGATGAGTATGTTCTCAGCGACGGTGAACCATGATCCTATCAGCTATGAATAGGACACAACTGAGAAGAACTGAGGCCCTGCATTGAAAGGACTACTACAGAAGGCGCAGGCTATAGCGGCTCCCGGTGATACTGTAACATGCACGTGCTGTACCTTAGTCGCTGGAGACAATTGGGGTGCGATGTCGAGTGGAGTCGTTGTTCCGAGGCTCTCTGGGTCTGCCCATCAGCGTTTTTGATGTGCTGTCGACGACAAGATGCCAGGAGAGAATTTAGGAAACGTTGCGCTGCTAAATTCAAGTTAAAATTTCGTGGCACTGCGTCGTGCCTGGGCACACTTCAACCTTCCATCATGCAAATGAAGAAGGAATCCAGAATTTCTAGAAGGACACAGCGTACTGGCGCCCTTGAAGCTCGAAGTTCCGACAGTACGTAGGCGCCCAGAAGACGCGGAGACAAATCTAGATTGAAAACGTACGAACCGGGCTTAGGCTGGACTTTTGCGCTCCCAACTTACATGTACATCCTACTTCGTTACAGCTAAGTCGACGTCGAAAACGATAGACGCATTTCGACGAAATTCGTTTCATCATTTTCTGTTCGGAGTGCATCAAATAGACTGCTCTGGACGGAATCTCTAGCTGCTGATTGGCCTACCCCCTTTGAATTTCACGCATGACCGTACGAATTTGCTGTTTCGGGATAATTCATAAGCAACGTACCTGAAGTAAATTTCGTCGGAATGCGTTTATCGTTTTCGACCGTGACTTAGCTGTAATGCTGCTGATTTTCCAGCCTTGAACTGTTCACGGAAAGACATGCTACTAAGGTCATCTAGTCTCCGTATGCGACTCCACGTTTGACACCCTTCACTTCGGTACTCTTATCTGACCGCACTACCACTCAGGGTGATGCATCAATGGACCATGCCAAGTTGGAAACTTCTGCGATGTTGAGCTCTTATTATCTTATTTTCACAGCCAAATTGCGAGGAAATGAAACCCGGAGCTACTTCACACCACACGTTTCCTCGGTCAGGCTTTCAAAGTTACAGTGGAGCCTCCCCGTGTTGGCATGATCTTCTGTATCCTATCTGCACCATCAAGGGCACGCTTACCACCTTGCAGTCTCGCTTCTACTCATGGCGACATACAATCAATAATATGTACTCATAGGGACCCGCAGCTCTAATTCACACAGTGCGGTGTCTTCTTGGTTAGCGTTTCATACCCATCCATGATCTGGCACTGTAATTGCACTTTTCTCTGAGCGTTTAAAGCAACGCTGGGATTGTAGTATGGGCGGCCAAGTCACTCAGTCGTGAGGTAATACCGAACGAGAAATTGATTCCTCCGAGCAATCTGTCAGATGGTGCCTTACGATGGCCTCCCCGTAACTTCGTTCCCCGGGATTTCATGCGATCATGCATCAGCACCCGGTGATGCCGCTATCGAGCATATATGGTGGAATTCACTGTAGCAGGTATGTGTTCTTAAGGTTGAACGCCTGGCTCTAGCATACATTGTCGTCCCTCGAGCAAGAGTATCTCCCCATGGCTGATACTACCCCTCTCATGAAGAAGAGCGCCATCGCAAATGGAACAGAGAAACCGGCGACGCCGCCGACGCCTCCTCTTTGGTTATCTTATGTCAAGCTGACTAGGATACACAAGTTTCCTCTCGGGTCCATGCTGATGTTCTGGCCTTGCGGTGAGACCGAGTAACAAGCTGGAATTCAATCATTGATTCAGAATGTTGCTAGCATGGGGTGTTACGATGGCAGCAATTGCTGTCGGACTACCTTGGAAGTCATTGGCATTGAACACAGCATTATATCTGGTCGGTGCTACCCTCCGGCACAGCGCAGGCTGTGTCTGGAACGATATCTGTGATATTGACTTCGACCGCAAAGTTGGTGAGACAACTTTCGATGTACTACACCGTCTGCCGCTGAAGGTTACTCCAGAGCGCTCCAAAGGACGACCCCTCGCAGCTGGCTTAGTCTCTGTTGCTGGCGCGTTTAGCCTCTTCCTTGTTCTAACCCTCCTTTGTATTGGCCTTCTAGCGTTCGTTAACAGTGAAGCGTATGTTTCTTCAACACTGATATCAACGCCAGTGCCTTACAGTTTATCTCAGGTTGCGAGCTGGACTGTTTGGCCTATTCTTCCTCGATCTACTCTATCCTTTCATGAAACGATGGACGCACTGGCCACAGGCTTGGCTTGGTAAGGCATCCAGGCGTTGATCTGCGTGCTCCGGAACTCATTCTCCACATTCTCCACATAGGCCTCGCAATGAACTGGGGCGCGCCCGTGTCCTGGATCGCAATCACCGGAAGCGTTGACTGGAGAGTTGCTCCGGCTCTACTCCTTGGTGGTGTCTTGTGCGTTACGCCTGTCACAAGTTCCCTCTTCATAGTCGCTGAGTTCGATGCAGCTGGACGCTCCACTACGATACGATCTATGCTTGCCAGGACAAGCACGACGACGTGAAGGCGGGGGTCAAGTCCACAGCGGTCCTCTTCGGCGATGCCGTGCGCTCGATCCTTGCGTGCTTCTCCGCGCTGTTCATGGCGTGCCTCGCGTATGCGGGCTGGGTGGCGCAGCAGGGCCCGGCATTCTTCGCAGTGGCAATTGCAGGCGGCACGCTGCACCTCATATGGCAGCTGCGGACTCTCGACTTTGATTCGGTCAACGATTGTCTCAGGATGTTTAAGGTACGTTTTCTGTACTCTCGGCGGAACGTTTCAGACTGAGAGCGATGGCAGGCGAATGATGATCTTGGATTTCTCATATGGGTGGGTCTGATGGCGGAATATGTCCGCGTAGTTCTGCTCGCGTGAGGCCGCATAGAGATATTCAATAGAGGCCTTCCCAACGTGTCCGCTGTCCCTTTGAATATGGCGTCTTCGCATCTTCTCCGTAGAACGATTCTGTCTTCTGTACGTCAACCCCGTCCAATGCATACTTATTCCTTCGAGTGTGACGTATTCAGTGTGCCACTGGGAGATCACCCAAGCGCATTGAACAAGTCCTGCACACGTCTGTCGTCCGGTGGGAAGCCCGGCAAAAAGAGGCAGGTAGGGTTTACCTCACCGTAACTAAAGTTCGTGCATGTGCACAACCGCTGGCTCACTAGCTCAGCGCAAGGTCCGCGTTCGCATTTTCTCGGAGTCACCCGCACGCTTCCATCCGACAGTCGTAACCCATATATACACGTATAGAAGATCTCCTCTGAAGACCCGCACAATCCACGAATAGGTCCGTTGATCAAGGGTGGGTCCGAACCGAATATTCAGGAAGTAGAACTCACGCCAGCAGGTTGGTGAAATAGCGGGAGACGCCGTCCACGGTGAGAGCATATGCGCCGATGATGCCATCGGGCCTGATGGCAACCAAGGTGTTCGCCTCTCCCTGGACGCCGTAGGCGTTGCGCGCATACCCCGCAGTATCGACGAGCATCGGCCCGTCGCTCTGGAACCCTGAGGAAACACACGGGAGAATGGCGACGACGCGCGCGACGCCCGAGTGTTCGTGCACTCGCAGGGTGATAACAGTGGATTGTAAGTCCGCGGATGTCGTACTCGTGCCTGCAAAAACTAAGATGGTGTGCCGGTCAACGCTGAGCAGAGCAAACAGCGATGTCGGGGCGCCGGGTGCTGAGGCGTCTTCGAGTAGCGTAGCGTCCGGCGCGCGATCTCCCGCCCGCACATACGCCGAGTCTTGGCCGTATGCGCTCGCTGGCTCGCTCCCAGCGCCAGCACCGGCCCGTTCCTCCAATACGATAGGGCTCCAGCGGCAGTTGATCCCGAGCTGGAGCAACCGTTTGGGTCGGAACATGGCGTTTTGGATCGTGCGTGGGGTAGTAGCATCGAGCGCGGACGCGTGGCGGTCCCATACTTCGGCGTGGAGCGCGGTGGTGAGGTCGAGCAGTTCCGCTGCGATAGGCATGCGCTCGAGGGAGTACGTGGCGAGCAACGCTGGAGACGCAAGGCGCTTGTACACTAGTGCAAGTTTCCAAGCTAGGTTGAACTAGGAAGCGGATGAGGATAGGATGGTAAGAGCGCTATTGGTACATGAGGAGCGTACCGAATCTTGCATTGCGGTGTTGCTGCCCTGCCCTCCCGCTGGAGAATGACAGTGGGCGCAGTCTAATGATGCTTATTAGCTGCGGTTTACATGTGCGATTTCATTTGGCGTACCGCCCGCCAAGAACACACGCCCAACACTGAAAGTGTTTACCATACGGATGTTGGCGCTGCGTTTGATGCATGATCAAACCATGGTCAAGTGATGTGGTGGTGTACTTGCCGCCATTCAGAAATCCACTCCGCATCTTCAAGTTTGATATCAGTCACGCCACTGATAGAGTTGAACAATTTCTGGATGCCCTCCGTATCTTTCGGAAGTACAGCTGGTAGGTCGCGCCCCAATGCTTGGACCTGGAATAGAGGGGCTGGGTTGAGAGGCTTCAGTCCGATGCTGGATGAGAGTTACTTCAAAGCACCCGTGATCGAATACTGGATCCTCACGAAGCTATGCTCATATTCCCCCACATATGCCAGTGCTAAATGAGGGTGAGCTTGGAACGCAGCTGAAGATAGAATACGCACGTCCCTGTCTACTCCGGACGCATGTACATTGGCGACGAACATGCGTTCTGATTCTTTGGTCTCCCCAATGAAGGTAAGACCCAGTTGACTTCTGATTCGTCCTGTGGCGTATCATTGTCAGTCGCAGAGCCCTGCAGAAACACTCCACGGAAAGATTACCTTTAGCTCCATCCGCAGCAACAACGTACTTGCAGTCATATTGATCCTCTGCAATCTCTCCGTTTCGAGAAATTTGGAGGCGCGCCGTAACTTTGTCCGCGGTCTGTTGAATACCTACAAATTCAACACCGAGTTCCACTTTACCACCCAGGCTTTCAAGGTGCTTCCGCAACACTTTCTCGAACTCTGCTTGGCTCGTAGATGCAAGCTCCGGCTGCAGCGCGAATAAGTTCAACAGAACACTGTGATTGCATTGAGATCTTACGTAGGGTATGGAGGGAGAAGGCTCTGCATCTTCGTGCCATTTGGTTGTCTTCGAAACCCGGCCATCGGGACCATGGATGGCAAGCAGCAGCGCAGGGGTTGCGATGTCGAAGACGCCGTCTACTATTCCAAGAAAAGCTAGTAGCTCGAGCGAGCGTGGCTATACAAGCCCATCATGAGGAAGTAGTACATGCAGTGGTATCATTATCAGCACCTGTATCGCAGTCCCGCGTGCGCCACCATGAAAATGGGAGCGCTTGTCAATTATTCTGACTGGTACGCTATTCTTGAGAAGTGAGATGGCCATGATGAGGCCCGTTGGACCAGCACCGGCCTGGATGCCAACTTCAGTCTCGCGGACTCATCAGGTGTGCTCAGAATCACTTACGACCAACACGCCATTGACAGGGACGATAGACATTGACGACGTGGTTAGCGACTGGGGAGGCGAAACGCCTTTGAAAGCTGCAGACGCCGACGTATTTCAAGCAGTGCAAGCTTCCATCACTAGTAGTACGGTGTACAGCTTGAGCTCTGCCTGTCACCAGATGGAGAAGCGTGCACGGTCCAGGCATGATGCATAACAGAGTGTAAAGTCGACCTGCAGCGGTCCCCGGTCAGAATAGGATGACTTCGGCGTATCAAAAAAGCACTGTTCTTTGGCGCATTCAATGACAGATGGTCGACAGATGGTCGAGAGTTGAAAGCTTGCGGCGCTAAACCCCGCTTCCTAAGTGCTTGATAGCTGGGCTACGGAGTGGAGCATGCACGGCTCACTAAGATAGCACGTTCGCCGTGCAATGTAGAGTGCTAGTCTTGCGGGTTGGGGAGAGGTGGATTCCGGCGGCGGCTCAAGCTCGGAGCAGGCTGCAATAGGCGCCTCACGGCACTGCGACGGCCCGAGAAGTCAGCGGGCGACCGGCAGCGGAGGGGCGAAATGCGAGGGAGCCTGAGCGGAGAGATTCGCGGAATCCAACTCGAGCGTGAAGCGGCGGAAAGTCGTTGAGAACACGGCTAACCACCGCTAGGACGCTTGAATCAACAAGGGGAGGTGGGTGGGATGAAAACGAGTGAGAGGCTGTAGGTGCAGGAGGAACAGACTGGCGCTTACGGCGCCTATTCCTCCGCCTTCAGCCTCTCGCTTAGTAAGCACTAGTTTGACTTAGCGCTCGCGAGCTCGCTACTAAGCCAAACTCCACGCTTCCTAAGTGCTTGATAGCTGGGCTACGGAGTGGAGCATGCACGGCTCACTAAGATAGCACGTTCGCCGTGCAATGTAGAGTGCTAGCACTGGATGCAATTTCCAATAAGTTGAGGAGACTATGCAAAATTTATTTGAAAGATAGAGTGAATAAATTTAGTGTAAGTTGCACTGCTTAGAAGAGACTTATCTGAAAGTTATCCTAGAAATGGAAAACTTATTATAAAGTTATTTCTACTTTGGGATAGGTTTCAAATAACTTTCAGATAAGTCTCTTGTAAGCAATGCCACTTACACTAAATTTATTCACTGTATCTTTCAAATATCATTCGCATACTCCTGCCAATTTATTGGAAATTGCATCCAGTGTAGTCTTGCGGGTTGGGGAGAGGTGGATTCCGGCGGCGGCTCAAGCTCGGAGCAGGCTGCAATAGGCGCCTCACGGCACTGCGACGGCCCGAGAAGTCAGCGGGCGACCGGCAGCGGAGGGGCGAAATGCGAGGGAGCCTGAGCGGAGAGATTCGCGGAATCCAACTCGAGCGTGAAGCGGCGGAAAGTCGTTGAGAACACGGCTAACCACCCAAGGAGCGCAGCCCACAACAGTCGTGGCTCAACGTGAGCCCGCCGACTTCCCCAACCCAGGGCTAGCGTTCCGCAGCGAGAGATCAGATCAGAATGACAACATGCATTACAGCATAGACAACATGACAGCAGTGGAGAAGCATTACAGCGAGAGCAAAACTACAGTTGCAAGTATGGTAGACTACAGAGAGTACTTCTTCTTGAAAGAGTCCATAGCAGTGGAAGCCAGTTGCAAACGAGAAGAAGTAAACGACCGCGAGATGAAGAGAGGTAAAATAGACTCAATTTTCCGCCAATACTCGAGAAAAGCGCGTGATTTCCAGCTACCCTGCGTTGCGACCACATCCGGATGGGTACCGCGAAGCAGAAGCTCGGTCGCTCCTCCGATGCGAAAGCAGTGTCCTGTGAGGTGCTCAAAGCCGGCTGCTGCCCAGGCCGCATTGGCGCGATTGAGGAACCAGTCGCGGGTCATCGGCGCCCAACCCGCCGTGTCGCTCATTTCGAACGCGAAGAAGGGAGCATGCGCAGGGACACGGGCATTCGCCTGCAGATGGTGGCGCAGGGCAACGACGGCAGAGCTTGGGTCGCCGAATTCGGTGGCAATGATGTCGGTGCCGAGTTGCTTAGTCGTTTTGGTCCAGGGCACATGGAAGACAGCGTACTGCGTGCCTCCCGGTAGCGTGCGATATGCAACGGAAGCCGAGCGCGCGACGTGCTTCACAGGGTCGAACGCGCCCACAGAAGGAATGACCAGCTCGCCAAGCCTGTAGAACATCAGCGGAAGAACAAGGAGTGACCAGACGGCGCGTGCGTACCGACGACAGCACCAAAATGCGACACATGCTACCGCATATACCGCGGCATCGAACGAGTCGGAGAGGTCAAGGTTGGCACGTAATGCATACAGGTGCTCGACCGTGATGGGCGCCCGCTTCTCTTTCGAGGCTGGGGCAGACTTGGAAATAGCTGAACAAGTTACCCGGAGCATTTTTGCACCTTGCCATGGGGCGCCATGCAGTGCATGCCAGAAAGAGAGGCCCGCCACCCAGGTGTCCACTGTTGAGCGGGTCACGCGCCTGCTCCACTGCACAACAAAAGCGGCTAGGAGCGGCTCCGCCGCAGGCATGCGAAGGTCTTCGGAGATTGCAAGGCAATCACAAAACTGGGTAAAGCGCAGCAGCCCTGCACCGTAATTCTTCCGAGTGCCAGGGTCAAGAGAAGTGAGCATGACATTAAAAAGATGTACCAAAGTTGCCGAGGAGGTCTGTGCAGATAGAGAGGAATGAAAGTGAACCGCATGTGGCGTGGTCCAGAGCGCAAGGTGATCACGTGCAAGAACGTGAGGACGGAAAAGAGAGGGGACAATTTGGTTTTCAGAACGAGGCTTTTTAGGTTTTCACCGAGCCAGTGTTCGCGATGACGGGCTGATCTGCGCTACCCCAGCCTGGGCAGCATCAGACCCGTCACACCGGGTCGACGCGCTCGCATGTGCAAGCGCAGGAAGCGATGAGGTCGTGTTATACATCAGTGAGAAAGGCTGCGAGCTCAGCAGGGAGCTGGAAGGAGAGCTGACGATGGGACATCGAGGGATTCGGGTCACCGCGAGAGACCGAGTCCGCCAAGTTGTCCTTGGTGTTCACATAGCGTATGATGAAGAGAATATTGAGAGACATGGCGATGACCTCTGTACGACGGATGGAGGTGTTGACCTGATGATTGCGGCTGCGACTGCAAGCAAATGCGCCCTCGACGCCCTTGTTGTCGCCGCGAACAAGAATAGTCGCATCACCATGGCCGAGTGCTTCTATCGTTCGAACAGCGAGCTCGACGGCCACCATCTCAGCCCATCCGATGTCACGACCATCACCCTTCCATGCATCGGCCTCTCCCCGCCATCGCCATGCACTCCACTCACTGGATATGATGATTCCGATGCCCCAGGAGGAGGAGGCATCAACCCAGATGCCAAGATCCTGCAGTGGACCACGGGGTGTGAGCGAACGAGTGACGTTTGGCACGTTGAGGATGTGGAGCCACCACTTCATGTCCGAGAGGACAGAACGTGGTGCGAACCGGGGGGCATAGCGATTGGTGAAGGCAGCAATGAAACTGCAAAGATTAGTGAGGAAGGCACGGCCATGCGGGTAGACGAATGTGATATGGGAAAGTGTGCCATTGATGGACATGGTGTCACGTTGTAACACCCGCCCGCGCTCGACAGTGGCGATGAATGCAGTGAGTTTTGCCAGATATTTTGCGCGCTTCTCCTCGGGCAGGGCGACCGATTGCTGGCCAAGGTCCCACAGGAAACCGCTGTATATCGCACAGGATGCATAGTCGGAGTACTTGGTCCGATGCCAGGGGACGCCCAATGGATCAGTGATGCGGAAGATATCAGCTAATCCGAGTGCGTACTCATATGCGCCAGAGATGCTGCATTGGTTGGTGGGAAAGCGAAAGGTGATGAGGTCATCAACCCACTTGCGCGAAGGCCCGATATCATTTGCATCGAGAATGTCTACGATGGCATCCATTGGCTCGCCTTGCACGCCAGTCCCAGATGAGACTCCAAAAGGGAGGACGTGATCGACATAAAAATCACCCGGATCACACTGGATAACAAGGAAAGGCTTGTGCGCAGGTTTGATAGGCAGATTGCGGAATGCGGAGTCAATATCGAGGCACGCAGCTTGCGCACCGGCAGGTGCGTTAGCGATCTGGCAAGCAGGAGTTAGCGTTTGCGGCAGTGGACGTGTTCCGAGTCTGCATGTGCAAGCGATAACAAGTCGATATCCCGCGCACCGGGCATGAATCGAGTAGACAGCGGTCTCCCGTGCACTGGGCAATGACCGTGAACAGTGATCTCCCACGTGCCAGGCAATGACCAAAGAATAATGATCTCCCGCGAACCGGGCAATGATCGAGCGCAGAGATCTCCCGCGTACCGGGCAATGATCTCAGCAGAGCAGCCTCCCGCGCACCGGGCATCAACTGGGAAGATATTGAAGAGGGACTCACGATTTCTGCCACCTCGGCTGCAGTGCCCCATTTGGTGGGAAAATCATCAGAGTTGATCTGACTGTTGACGGAGACTCCGAATTCGTCCTGATAAGAGCAGTTTTGCACAAGACGGAATTTTTTCGAACCGGCCTTTGGGACAACAGCAAGTGGGGAAGATACGAAGAAAGAGCCCAAAATATGCTCTACCTGAGCCTGCGAATACGGGCCAGTCATGCGGCCAAGAGAAACCTGCTCGGAAATATATTGGTGGATGAAATCGATATGTTTAGCGCCAGAGGAATGGTTTGGAGGAGCAAAAGTGCGAAGAAGAGGATTGAAGTCACCAATTGGGAAACCGTAACGTAATTTTTGTGGCAAGAGAGGGTAGCGCTGGAACAGGCCGAGCATGCGAAGAGTGTACTTGAAGGCCTCAGCATCGTATGGTGTGATAATGCGTTCACACTCCGAGGCACCGCTTAGTCGCAGCGGCATGACCGTCGGAACCGCAGAAGGAGCAGACGTGCCCACCGGTTCCGGGACAGTACATACCTCGACAAGGCATGCGGCCGTGTTGGACGTTCCATGTGAGGCAGATCTCCGCACGTGTGGAGATGGCGAGCAGCTTCTTATTTTCCCAGACGGTGAATGCGGGCTTGCCATTCAACATGGTTGATCGCCCGCACTGACTGGCCCGATGTCCACTCTCACCGCAGATGAGGCAGAGCATGCTCGTGGACGCAGATGCTCTGCCTTCACGAAAGGGCTTGGCAGTGGAATCTGCCGCACCATCGCGGCGCGGGCGACGTGAATCGGGGGAATGTGACGGCGTGCGATAGGGGGTTTGAGACGAACCGACAATAGGGCCCGCGGGAATAGGAAGCGCGCATCGAGAACCCTTTTCGATATGCTCCAGGCAGATTTTGAGAAAGTGGTCATTGTAGCTCTTCGAGCCGACAACGAAGGTTTTCTTTGTGAGGAAATAACCGCGACGTACATTGATATCAAATGCAAGGATTACCGGAAAGATCCTTTTGAAGTCGCTCTGCTCAGATAACCACATGTGGTGTTCCGAGAAGCGCTTGACAATCTCGCCGTCGCATACACCTGGCAGAATTTCGAAGTAATTGCGCCAAGCATCGCGCCATTCCTCGGGTCCCATAGCCTGTTCGTCGGGCCACTGTGCAATGTCAATTAGAGCCCTCTTGATCCCCTTCCCATCGTGCATCTTGCGATACTGGACCTGTTCCGGGTGCTTGTGCATCTTGGTCATCACCTCGGAAGTGCACATGGACAGAGGGAGATGGAACCCGTTCCTTAGGAGTGCAGGAAGTTCCTGGGGCGTCTCGATAACTCGGCCCGCGAAGAGATCGGCCTTGCTCTCGGAATCTATGGTGATCAGTGCATTCTCACTGCTCTTGCCACCATTCCCTACGGAGGCCTCTGTCCGAGTGCCAGCACCGCTCCGCTTCTCAACACCCGCATTCCACAGTTTTAGGGCGATGCCCCGAGTATTCGGAGTCATTTTCATAACATCCCGAAGCAACTGCATATCATCGGTGCTCTCCGGTGTCCTGGGCCGCGAAGGCACGCCCGCAGGCGTTGCCGACGGTTCCTGGGAGTCTAACTGACCCGGAGATGTGCCATCTGATCCATCCAACATTCCCAGCTCCTCGTCATCACTGACGCCATCTTCTCCGCCCTGTCTACGTACTGCCCTAGCCGCGTTCCGGGCCTGCCGCTCCCGGTTTTCCTGAAACAAAGCCATCTGGGCCGGGTTGGGCAGGCTCGCGGTGCCTCCACCTGATCCAGACTCATCGGGAAGGAACGAAGACAAATCCTTACCACCAACGCTCGGGGGAGGTCCTTGGGACGGCATTTGTTACAGATCGGCGGAGATCGTGCGTGTGGAAACACCAGAATGAAAACGAGTGAGAGGCTGTAGGTGCAGGAGGAACAGACTGGCGCTTACGGCGCCTATTCCTCCGCCTTCAGCCTCCGCTTAGTAAGCACTAGTTTGACTTAGCGCTCGCGAGCTCGCTACTAAGCCAAACTCCACCGAAAATTCGCTTCAACACCACTTCCCCATCGTTTGCGGTTAACGCTGTCTCACGTCCGGTCATACCGTAAAGGTTGGACACAAGCGTTCAGCGCTGCAGCGGGAGTTCGTAACCGAGATAAGATTGTGATCGTGATCAATTTGGACCGTACTAGAGTTCGAGCGGCGTCGCACAACTTGAACTTGAAGTCCATGAGCGCGTCGAGTTTCACCATCTCATCCCGCACAGGAGCATTTCTTCAATTTCCTCACTTTCGAGTGTAGAGGAAAGATACCTGCACTGCCACTGCACGCAGTGGAAGACGTCGAGTTCGGACAGTACAGGCTCCGACGCGCGAGGTGGGAAACTCCCGTTAATTGCTGAGTTTTCAGAATGCAAATCGACCTCAGGCTCAATTAAGTGGCATATACACTTCCTCCTAGAACCGCGCATAGGTGTAAGTGGAGGGCAAATTCAGCCTTAGAACACCTTATGATGATCACGCCTTTCCAGCCGCAGGTGAGCCCTCAGTTTAGGAATTTACAAGTATGATCTCCAGATGAAGCTCGCCTACTTCCCACACTGAATTTTCTCGTTGAGTGAGTTCTCAACAATTATTTCATCTCCGTGACTGGCTGATGTAAATCCTTAGACCGGGCGGTGTATCTAAGGAACGACCTGTCTGGCTGCTGGAGGGTGTAAATTACACACGCTGTCAAGACGTAGACAGCGCCATCTTAAGATTACCTTGTTATAAGCCCGTCATATCCATATGGTCTGCTTGAGGTCACCTCAACAGCGCAGACCGACATGGACACCGATGCCACTCCTCAGACAGCAAGTTCAACGGACGTACTCATTGTCGGCGCCGGCCCGGCAGGCCTAATCGCAGCAGTGTGTTTGACTCGTCTGAATGTTAGAGTCACAATCATTGACAGAAGGTCAGTATTGATTTTTCATAAATCCAAGCTGTTATTTCGAGCTAGGATATTTGCAGACTGCCTGGAGAGACGGCCGGACAAGCAGATGGTATCCAGCCCAGAACCACTGAGATATGGGATAGCCTCGGCATGGGTGACAGGCTGAGAAGCGTAGGCTCCGCAATGTGCAGGATGGTACTGGACGTTTCCTCCTTGGTATTGCTACGTTCATGTTGATCCTTGCTATCACTGGTCGTAGGTCACGTACAGTACTAATGAAGATAGCACTGGGATTAAGGTATACCTCTGAATGAATCGAGTTGTATCGTAGGTCCTGATCGCTGATACTTTCGCAGCAAGCTAGCCAAATGCCGTCAGTCTCAACGTCCTCCACTCGGTATCCGTACGAGGTCCGCCGGCTTGCTGCTCATGTCGCTATCTCTGCAATTAATACTGAGGACGACTTAGATTGTCTTGCCGATTGAAGACACCGAAGGAGTCATGCTCGAGACTCTGGCTCAGCATCATGTCGAAGTGCTGCAGCCCGTCATTCCCCAGTCCCTTCGCATTTCTGACGAGGATGGAGTTGCGTTTCCAGTTGAGGTGTATTGCTTCGCTGTCTCGTTCGCGCCAGACAATGACCTAGTATCTCCAGGTCATCTGTTTGCATCTCAAGAAAGACCTCTTGAGGGATCGCGACATCCATCTGAATGCCAGAGAGGAAAGAGCGTCAGATCCTGAGTTCGTTAAAAGTGTGGAAGTTATCCATGCCAAGTATGTCATCGGATGCGACGGTATGTCCTTCTCAAGAATTTTACAATCAAAAATTTCCTCATTCTTCCTCAGGTGCGTGGTCATGGGTGCGCAGGCAATGCAGTATTCCGATGGAGATCAATACTCCTGGTAGACTATCAAGCTTCGTATTGTTACTCCCTCGCTGATATGCTTGACAGGTTTAACATATGGTGTGCTCGATTTCACGCCAGTTACGAACTTCCCTACTCCTCGAGCGAAGAGCATCATTCAGTCCCCGCTCGTTGGGGCCATTGGGGTAAGACCTACATTTCTACCTCGAGCTGCGAGACCCTGAAAAGGCGATAGTACATTCCTCGCCCCAAAAACACCGCTCGTGTCTACACTCTTTTGAAAAGGGTCGGAGAGTATGAAAGCGACGTAGCTCAGGTCATGAAGTCAGAAATTCCAGAGGTGCATGGCAAGGTCTCGGTCCCTTATGAGGTGTTCACCAGTTTCTAGATCATCTGGAAAGGTTTCCTCCCCTACGACATGAAAGTCACGAATCCCACATGGGGTTCGACCTTCTCCGGTATGCAGTACTCGTTCTCTCGATGCATTCTCATAACCTACTATTGTTGCAGTCGTTCAACGTGTCGCTGCGAGATTTTCGCACAAACGCCACGTAATCATAGTTGGGGACGCTTGTAAGGTCTTGTACACTAATGTCATACCCTACCATTGACATGCTCCTCCTTGCAGGTCACACGCACTCTCCCAATCCTGGCCAAGGCGCAAACATATCCATGCTTGACGCCCATAACCTTGGTGCGTCCCCCGAGTTCAGTAATACTAGTGCCGGAACACGAGTGAGTTGACGATACCTTATCCAGCCTGGAAGATTGCACTCGTGCTTGGCGGACGGTGCAAACCGTCGCTGCTGGACACGTACGAAGAGGAACGTCGTCCGTGGAGCATCGAGCTTATCGAGTTCGACCAGCAAGTCGAGAAGCTGTTCGGCTCCGAAGGGCTGTCGCCGGCGGAGTACGCAAGGTACGTCTATCGCTCCTGTATATTATTTGTTCTTTACTAACACATGGGCTCTTCAGTATCATGGAGCGTCGCAACATGTTCACAACGTAGGCAGCTCCTTCATGGCTAGCACCCACATTCTCATACTTAGCCGTGGACGCAGAGGCATCGGTGTGGAGTACAAATCCAGACTGACAGTACCCGGGTTCCAAGATATTGCCCCAAGCCTGAAGATCGGCCAACGAGTCCCTCCCGTGGATGTGCTCCGCTACAGCGACTGGCATTCCTTCAACCTGCTGGACCTTCTACCATACAGCGCTCACTTCAGCATCTTCATCTTCCCGGGGGACGTCACGCAGGCGCCCGTCCAAGAGCGCTTCCTCGCATTCATTGCAGGTCTGGAAGAGACGCTCAAGCGCGGTGACGGCAGGATGGTAGAGGTGTCTGCGGTTCTGAAAGTCGGGAAGGAAGCGTGGCTTGAAGATATGTTGGGGAGGTGCGCGCTGCTCGATACACGGTGAGCTTGGTCTTTCGTTGCTGGCTCCCCGGAGATAACAAGTGTGCAGCGTTTACATAGACGACGGGATCATGGCGAAGTCACGTCAAGGCGAGGTATATGAGTCTCTGGGCATATCTCCGGCCACGGGCTCAGCGGCTTTGGTGCGGCCGGACGGGCATATGTCGATGCTCTTGCCAGTTGACAGGGGTGAGGTCCACAAAGTCGGTGATTTTCTGGCTTCGTTATGAGCTACGCAATTGTTTGTTCCATCAGTTGCGATCAAATGTATGCCCAGCTCTCAGCACCCTCTGCACTGTAAATAGATAGAACTCACTGTTCTCGGCTTATCTATGCACAACTCGTTCGCAATCGGGACCCAGTATCAGATGTAAAGCAGGACAATCATGGCACGTCACACTTCATACGACTCACCCTCAACCCTCTCCGCGACCACGGCCCCCACCTCGGTCTTGCTGCTGACCAGTAAGTCTGCAGCTGTTTACGTGGGCTTTCGGCGCAGCGTGAGTTTGCGCCTGCCGACAGGCCGAGGAACTGCACGTAACGTCACGTTAACCTCAAATCGACGGGGGCCAGTAGGTAAGGAATATGCACCTCGATGCCCCAATACTTCACGAACTCGTTGGCAGTGAACGGGGGCGCGTCTTTGCTGGTGCCAACGACGAGCGCCTTGGAGATTCCGCGAGCGCGATGTCGCCCACCCGAGGACACCTCGCTGTTCTCCACGACGTAGTACACCGCGCGCCCATGCGCCGACACATCCGGGTTCTCGAGGATCTCGTCGAGCAGGATGACGTACAGGTCCACCACTGCAACATGCTGGTGAACATGTGGTCGGCGGGGATAGTGGAGGAGACCCCCAATTTCGTCGATGTGCACGATGCTCCAGACGGATTGCCCTTGCCAACCGTGCCGCCCTGGGCCCGGTCGAACGCAGCGCGAACTAACCGCAGATTCTGTAGTCCGCGTGCTGGATCCCCGCGTCAACGAGTGGACCGGTAGCCACCCGAAGATCGACGGCGAGGAGATGATGTAGCCGGATATAGGTCCTATGAAGCACTGGCATTAGCGTTCCAACTGGGCGAGCTGTATGGGGGGAACGCGCCTGCTGCGTCGGGTTCGACAAGGAAGAGATCGGACCACGCGGTGCGGAGCTGTTGGAAGCACCGACTCAATTTGCACGATATTGGCATTGGAATGGATCGTGTCTGTGACGTATTTTTCTCAGAAGAATCGATGAGAACCTGGTGTAAAGTTCAGTCTTTCATGATAATTCGGACTATATTCCTGACGAGTCCTAGGATATGGCAATTTGTGATCATTAAGCTCGCCATCACGACCACTCCAATTCACAAGGAACTCACTGTCTGGATGAAAGTAGGAACGACGCCTGTAAGCCCGTCTCTTCGCCGAACAGCCCACGATACCAGCAATAGCCGCCAATTTGTTACTTAACCTCTGCATACGCATGTATCCCACTACGGTACGTCCAAACGATCACCTACAGATTGGAAGACAATATACGACTGCGCCGCCAGCACCTCGAGGAAGTGCAGATCGAATAGAGATACAATGACGGCTTGACACCGAAAGCCTCAAACAGCTTGGCTTCCTCCGGTGAGTAGACGAGCACAGTAATTTCGAACGATTTCGCGCGGAGGTGTGATAAGAGGATAAGAGACAGGAAAGTACTGAGCCACTGATGTAGCCTATGGATTATTTCTGGTCAATACCAGACGGCGATGGAAAGAATACGCACCCGTGGTGATATGTGGCGTATTTAAGCTGGCTCATACGAGTTGCATACCGTAGAGTGTGTTCTGAGTTCATCCTCGCGGTCGCCTATCTCGTGCTTCTGGCAGAGACACTCCCTCAAACCCGCACTGCCGCATGGATCAGTACACGATTGCCTCTCGCATGCATATAGCAGACATATTGAATTACCTGACGACAACTTATAAAAGGAAGTATTTAGCAGTGCACGGTTCGGTCGTAACCGAAGTTCGAACCTTTGGACTCCTGGACTACTCCTAATAGATTCGACAAAGTTTAGATCATTCGTAGACTCGTAATGGCAGAGATGAAATGTCAGCTCTGTTGGGATGTTGACCAATTGACCACGTTGAAAGTTACGGAAGTTCGCGAGACCCGACCCGACGACCACGGCGCGTCGGTGTCACGTGGCCTCGCGTCGGCCTCGCGTGGCGTGGAGTCCAGTGGCGCATTGGGCGCAGCCACTCGTCGTAAGACTCTCTCATCTTGCACGAGTCTACAAGCGAGTCCACAAGCTTAGAGTGAAGAATGGAGGAGCTGTATTTCTTCTCTATATCTAGTAAGGCACAGAATGCACACTATCGAGACCGGAGCGAAGTAACTAGCGACAAACTATATGGCTACAAGGAGAAGCGAAATGCAACGACAAATATACTACAGATAAACTACGAAATGATGTCAAGTGTGAGAGGAGGGTATTATATACAGATGTGGGGTATAGTGCACGTCGATGCGATGCACAATGTACAATGCGAGAAGATGATGTCCGGAGAGCCTCAAAACTATTAAAGGCCAAAGACGCCGAAGAGCTCCGACTGGCTGCACCCCCACTCTGGCAGCGGCGACGCCAGCATGGCCATAAATTGGCTGGGTGTAGCCGCCGGGGGCGTTAGTGGCGGTGCAATCGCGCCCATGGTGGGTGACGCATACGGGAAGGACAACATATGATCGAGGTAGCTGCCGCTATTGACGGGGCTCCGGACAGGGGAGTCGCGTCCCAGCTCAACGCCGTCCGGATAGATAGGAGCCGGATGTACATCAAACATCGGGATGGCGTTTTGTTGCGCATATCCGTTGAGAGCACCATCCGGATGGTCGCCTAATAGTCCTTCGTACATGCTGTAGCTATCGTTGTCCAGCATAACGTCCGAGGTGACAGGAGGCTGGGGAAGCGTGGACAACGAGTCAAACGACAAGTCTGTTGACGAGAAGCTGCCGTCTGAGGTCCAGGCTGTCGACGAGTAGCCGCTGTCGTTAACCCAGGCGGAGTTATCGTTGCTGAAGTGGGCGAGAGTATCGTTGAAGTGTGCACGGGTATCGTTGAAGTGGGCGAGGGTATCGTTGAAGTGGACGAGGGTATCGTTGAAGTGGGCGAGGGTATCGTCATGGAAGTTGGCGGGGGTATCATCGTTCGCGTTGGCGGGGGTATAGTTATCAAAGCCATTGCGAGTATAGTTATCCAAGTTGGCGAGAAAAGCAGTGTCCGAGTTGTCAGGGGTATATTGGCTGCCGCCATTGTAGGGGATGTTGGCATAGCCGTTCGCATCGCCACTGGCGTAGCTGGTGCTGGCGCAGTCACCACCGCCGTCGTAGTTGGTGGCGGCAGCGTTGCTGCCGGAGGCATATGTCATAGCTGCGATGTTGCTGCCGCTGCTATAGCTCATGCCGGCCAAGCCGGCATCGAAGCCGTTGCTTGCACTAACATCGCTATTCCCACTCTCGGTGGAAAAGCTGGCCCAAGGACCGTAGGTCTCGGGCTGGACAACGGGGTTGAGAGACGAGGCAAAGTGCCCGCCGCAGAGGGCATCTTCTGGCAAGAATACTTGCGGCATGGGTATAGGGGCGGAGGCAGGGATGGATGCCTCGATGCAGTAATATGGATCCGCCGGTGGGACGGGCATGTATTGTTGCTGGATCAATTGCTCGGCAACGGGAGCTTGAGGAAGGTAGTGGTGTTGGATGAATGGCTCAATGACGGGAAGTGGGATGACGGGTTGCTGATTGTTAGACGACACGGCAGAAGACTCATAGTCCTGCAGGGTGGATGACATGGGAGTGTGAGTGTACTGTTCCGACTTCGACGGGGCGGAAGCCGCGAACGGGTATGCGGGAATGGACGATGGGGCGATGGACGATGACGCGAGGTACGACCTGTAGAGGTCGGGGTCATCTTTGATGAAGTACACCGGTGCAGCGGCGGCCTTTTTCGTGTTCTTGGCGGTAGCCAAAGGCATGGGGGACGCTGCGCGGCCCTGCTTCTTGGCCTTCGATTGGGCCTTGGTGGAACGGGCTGCGGCGACCTTGGCCTTGATCTTCGCATCGACATCGTCCTCAGCCTGGGGCTCGACGTCCTCAGGCTTGGAGGCAGCACCGTCGAAATTATACTCGAAACCGACGTTCTCGACGTCATCGTCGAAGCCGAAGTCAAATTCGAGCTGGTAGATGAATTCTTTCCCAGCGTTGTCCTTGGCGCACTTGGCCCTGCAGCCGTGTGCGGACCTTCTGTGCTCCGTGAGCTCGTTCTGGTCCCCGGTCTGGAAGGGGCACATCTCGAAGCTCTCGTTACTGAACACGACATGGTCGCAGACTAACGGAGTCGTCTTGTGCGTACTGTCAGATGATGACGCAGTCAGACAATCACCGAGGAAGTGCATAAGGGTAGCACGCACTGTTTCTGGCTGTGTGGTTTCAGGTTCCCTGCCTGGAGGGTTCTGTATGTGCACCCTGGGAAGGGGCAAGGGAACTTCCTGGGTTGAGGGAAGGGCAGGAGCATGGGTCAGCGACGTCAACGAGCATACGATGATACACGCACATAGCTTCACTGTCAGGATTGTGCACCAACTTATGGCGAGGCATGTCGGCGGCCCGAGACACGACTATGCCGCATATGTCGCACTCTGAGCCGGCCTTTCCTCGACCACATCGGTCAGTGGAGGCAGTGGGGTTAACCCGTACTGCGGAGGACGCATTGCGGGGAGCTCTTGGCATGGTGACGATGGGGAGGAGGATACTTGGCGGGTAGAGAAGGAGGTACACGCTTTGAGGGTAGTGATGGGGAGAGTGGATGCGATGAGGACAGGGATGGCGGAGGTGGGTGGGGTGGGGGTAGGGGAAGAGGAGGCGTAAGCGCAAGAGGGTCTAAGCGAGGGAGCACTAAAGCGTCCACGATAGGTGGGGGAGGATCCTCAGCTCGGGATGAGGGGAGGGAATGAGGGGAGGAAGGGTAGACGCCCTCCATTTAAGCGGGGGGGGACGTGGGCAGAAAGGCGCACAGCGCCGAAGCAAAGCGAGGACCTCCCCCCATAGAAGGAAAGTCGTCGAGAACTAGCGCTGGCGGATTGGATAGTGCTATATACAGTAGGGACCAAACAGTGACCCATCTCATCTTTAGCATCGCCATCACGATCCACGCGGACTACGCGTGAATTGCCTGGCATGGATACCTCGAGACCTGCCTCGTAAGGCAAGTCGCTCGAGGGGCGGTGAGACCTTCCATTATTGGCAGTTGTGGACACAGATGGAAGGTGTTGGTGTGATGAGATGTTTGGTCTGCCTCGTTGTCTGAGGCGTTGGTATGCTTTGGCAGGCTTTGGCTCCGCTTGCCGACCTGACCATAAATGAGCGCATCCTGATCCTCGAGTAGCCCACATATGACCACCAAAAAGCAGCGAGAGGGTAGAGGGAAGCAGACATTCTGTGAAGACAGCCAGAACATAGTGAGAGAAGAGGTTCAAGACACAAAAAGGGCGTTATCACGAGAGGGGGGGAGACAACAACACCTTCCCAAAACAGGATGCGGAGTTCAATATTGGATGCGCTCCAGCACGTGATCACGACGCGTGAAACTGAACGCGTCTACAGCCTCAAAAATTGTTCCAGCGGCTCCAAACAACGCGTAGAGAGCATCAATATCTGTACAAAATTGTAGAGCTCTGTTATAATCAGTCATCATAATACAGAAGAGAGTCAGAAGACGTCTTACAGCCGAGAACGTTCTCGCGGTTCCCATCCGGATCTATCGTCCAGCGAAGGAAGGCAGACAGACTACTCGGAAGTCTTCAGGAAGTTAGACTTATCGAACGAAGAGGCATCATCGTCGTATCACGAACGGAGCCCACGACAGCAGGTCCGACGATAACTCGGGCAATACCGCGATGCGCAGATTAACCGAGACGAAGAATACACGATGAAAGTGCAGCGTCGAGCACTCCAGGTTCTTGTTCCCCGATAAGTTGTTATACAACCTATTCGCGAACGAAAACCTCGAGAAGCTCGTGGTGGTGGGTCGAAACGTTGGGTGAGAGCGTGGGAATGGCTAAATCAAGGAAGCGCCGCGCCACCACCGTGACCCGCTGCCAGGCCCACCAGAAAATCAAACCACGTCCACATTGCGCTGGGAATGCAAACCCGTAGCACACCGAGCCCTTCGAAATCAATAATACTTCAGCAGTCATGAATCGTGAGATACAAAATTTATGTCGCAATTATACAATTACATTCCAGTGCTCTTCAGTCGTAGAACACCAGCAGCCGCAGCTCAATGGACTCCCTGTATGGGGTGCCCTCAGGGGTGGTCGGGTCAGCAAAAGCGGTATGCGGGGTGAACGTAGCGGTCTTCCCGTCGTTCCTCGAATCGTAGCTGCCAACCGGTCAATAGACGGCTCCTACTCCCACCGCGAATCCACTCACCACTTGATCAGCACATACTCGCTAGGCTGCATGCCGCGCAAATACTTCCACTGCTGCGCCTCACTATACTTGACGCCAAAGGTCACGCCGTCCTTGTCGCTGTCGGGGTACCGCAGCGCGACGGGGACGAGGTCCGCGGCAGGGTCAATCGAGCTGTAGTCGCACAGCGCGAGCGGCCAGTCGAGCGCAGGGTGATCGATGGGCCGCCAGAGGTTGATGATCTGGAAGCGCTTCTTGAGCAGGCCTGGTACGTCTGACGCGGGAAGGTGGCGGTGGACGCGTGCCACGGCGGACTGCGGCGTCTGGTCGACGTGCGCCTGCGGGACAGGCTGACGTTTGTCGGGCGAGTCGTCAGCTTCGCCTGGCCGTCTCCGGCGGATAGCTATCAATGGAACGTCAGTTTGGAGTTCGCGATGCGGAGTGAAAGGTGAGGTGTACACACTGTGGTCGAATGGGACAATCCTAGTCGCACCCGTTATACTCTTGACGAGCTCAATGCTCTCCGGATAGTACTCCTTCTTGACGTCCTCGTCGCTGATGAAGGCGGTGTGCTTGGCCTCCTGGTCACCGAACTGGAAACCCGCGCTGTCGAGAGTGAAAGTGCCCTGCTTCCCGCGGACGTTATCTATTTCGACGTCGTGATGTTCCCCAACCCAGTTCCTTTTCTCCCCGCTGGATGGAGCACTCGCATAGATAAAGGGAGGAGAGCCATCCTTGGGATGGGAAAAGAACACTAAGTCTGCTGTGACGGTGGCTGACATGGTCGACACTTGAGATGGAAATGTGAGTATGCGCCTTGTAGGTGACCTATAAAATGCACCGACAGCTGTCAAAGAACTGGTGGTAGAGGATGAAGGATGAGATGTATCGCCCACCGCTATATAGAGTCGCTTACCCCTATTGCTCGTCGCTTGGATTAGCTTAGCGGAGTATTGGTAAGACCGTTTGCATAGAGCACTGACTACGCAGACTGGTCGTCAGACCTGCGCGATGGGACCCTGAGGAGAGCCATGACGACGCGACTCCGAGATTAGTGAGCAGCTCAGGCTTAGGAAACAAACTCGGAGCACTGACCGGCGCTCTACTCATCCTGAGATAAACTCTGGGCCAGCAAGGCAGGCCAAATAACATGACTTCGTGTAAGCAGGCGGCATTTTCTGTGCTGGCAAAGTACAGCTTGAGTGGACCAGCGAGCTAAGTGACTTAGTGACTTAGCAAGGTAGGGCTTGGATAGTGGCGGCAGAGACTTCGGCGCTTAGAAGCGTCACGTGCACCGTGGGCATCCAAGCTTGCCGTGTCACTGTGGCGTGTCTGCTCGGCACGACGCTTTGATTCTCGGCAGATTTCTGGTGCTTTAGCCCTCCGGCGCTGACGTTGCAGTGCAGATGTGCCGGCTTGCGCAAGCGTCGGCGATGCATGGAAGACGGCAATCTGAAGTTGCTTTGAACTCAGGACTGATGCATGATGCCTTGCAGATCAAAGCGTTGTGCGGCGGCGCTGAAAGAATTTGCCTTAGTTGCAGTAGTGCGTATGAGTACCGCAGCCCTGCCGTGCTACGTCATCTCGGCAGAGTCTGTTTTGGGAAGTTTTGTAAACCGTTGGGCGCCCTTGGACTTCAGAATTAACAGAATTGGGTGGTGGTGTTGATCTGTCGAGTTCTGAGGAACTGCCCTGAATAGAATGGACACAGCCGCGGTCCAACCAGTTGTGACTCGTGCAAGGATTCCTCGGGTAGGTGCATAGGAATATGCTTCGTGCGGCCTCGAGGTAAGCGTCCGAGTATGCACTGCAAGTGACAAACCCATTGTTAGTTCAAAGCGTCGTTTCGGCATACTGACGCGTTGCTTCGAGCCGCACAGACGCGTTACGTCGACGGCACGCCAACGTACGCTTTAATTGACGATACATCTTAGATCTTGGATCTGAAGATCGTTTATTTGGCTAGGACCCATAGGAGGAAGGTCCCGATACTCAACGCCCGATGGCCCCCCTTCCGCATATGGGTGGCGACCAAACACCACGCGGTGAGATCTGCAAGATCCAAGGAAAAACATTTGCAAAGGGATGTAAATACTCCCAAATAACCTCATGTCTCGCCTACCAAGTTAAGATAGACCCAGTTCAAACCCGACCACTATCACGTGACCCATTTTGTCACGCTTACATTCTTTTGGCGGACGAGAAGGAAAGAATTTCTTATTTCTCAAGCATCATCACCTTCAAGGTAAAAGTAGGACCACAATCTTATTAAGAATATTTTGCTTCAAATAATTGTGGTCTCCGACTTTTGAGAAATCTCACACACTGAGAGAAATAAGATAAAATTTTACAATATGGACATGTTAAGTAATTACCACATTTCTTGCCTGTGGCGACACGATCCTTCTCCACTTTCATGGCGAAACGAAAGCTCGCGCACCGGCGCTCTATTGCAAACCTCGGGAACCATGCAAAAAAAAGAGTGTGCCAAAGACAGGATAGTGAAAAGGAAAACAAAGAAAATGTGAGTAAGTTAGTGCAATCTAGGCTTACAATACTCACCATTACTACAGGAACCACCTTCCGAACTTCTCGCCCAGACCGCAGATAGTTGCGGGGATACATCACCTGCAGATAAGCAGTGCACGACATCACACAGTGCCAGCGCCAGGGCAATACCACCGAGCGCCGGCACTGGCATGCATGGGCCACTTGCATTGGAACTCTCTGGCCACGAAGGTGTTGTGGAACAATATCAGATTCAAAATGCAGAGGACACTATGACTGTACCTGATAATGCCAGTGCATTCCCTACATCCAAATCACATCCCTACATACCTCCACCCACCATTGAAGATGCAAATTCTGCTTTAAGCGACATACTGGCATTGCTCCGGCCACGGCGGAAAAATGGAAAGGGAACAAAGCCATTTGATGGTGATGATTTCCTTCATCGGCGCATGGAGCAGATGAGAATGTTGCTGTGGTTCTATGTCAGTGGAGAGCCACCAGCCTGGATTGATGCATCATTCAAAGTTGCATATGCATACCAGAAAGGTGACTTCATTGCAAAGGCTTTGCGCACGTGGACACGATCATTCTTGGCTGACCGGCATAACCTTCCAACCAATCCATATGGGAAATGGAACAACTCAATGCTACAGAAGGAGGACCTAGCATCAGCAATCGGAAGACACCTGCAAAGTATTGGCAAATATGTTCGTGCTATGGATGTTATGGAGTTTGTTAACAGTGCGGAGACACAGAGTGAATTTGGACTCACAAAAGGTATTTGTCTCTCAACAGCCCAAATGTGGATGCATGCAATGGATTACCGCTGGCGCAAGACCCCACATGGACAATTTGTTGATGGACACGAGCGTGCAGACGTTGTCGATTACCGGCAGGAAATATTTCTGCCATTAATAGCCGAGCTGGAATATAACGCACGTCGTTGGAGCCGAGATGGTCTTGAGGACATTGATCAGAACGAACCTCGACCTCGTAATTGCCGTATGGTGTTTTGGTGGCATGATGAGTCAGTCTTCTATGCAAATGATCGTCGCTCAGTGCGTTGGGTGCACGAAACTGAAACCGCAGTGCCGCAGGCAAAGGGAGAAGGCGCATCAATCATGGCGGCAGACTTTGTCTCGGCAGACTATGGCTGGGGGCGCTCTAAAGATGGGACCAGATCAACCCGAATACTTTTCAAACCGGGAAAGAATAGAGAAGGCTACTTCACCAATGAACGTATCCTCGAGCACTGTACAATGTTGATGGACATAGCATCAAGAGACTATCCAGATGATGACCATGGTATAATACTCAACAATGCACCAACTCACCTGAAACGCGCTGACGATGCACTTTCTGCTCGCAAAATGCCCAAATTCCCACCAAAACCTGGCGCTCCAAACTTTGGTGTTATGACAAATGTTATTGGCGAGAATGGCAAACCTGTATATGGCACTGATGGGAAGATCCTCAAACGATGGATGCGAATGACAGAAGGAAAGTTTGCAGATGGCAGACCACAATCCTTGTACTTCCCACCTGGTCACGAGCGCGAGGGACTCTTCAAGGGTATGGCAAATATCTTGGAAGAACGTGGCTACAAGGGTGTTCAAAATTTGAGATATGAATGCCCCAGTTTCAAATGCCCCCCTGGACAGGAAAGATGCTGCTGTAGAAGAATGCTGTACAACGAACAAGACTTTCGAGATGTCGAGACATTAGTGGAGACTCACTGCAAAGCTCGTGGTTTCCATGTGATCTTTCTCCCGAAATTTCACTGTGAGCTCAATCCTATCGAACCTTGCTGGGGATTTGCAAAACGTGTATACCGCCAGTTCCCGCCTTCAAAGTTGGAGGCCGATCTTGAGCGCAATGTGGTCAAGGCATTGGATGCAGTCCCACTCGAAAGCATGCGACGGTGCGTTCATCAATTCTGATGTGATGTGATGTGACTCAGATCACACACAGCTTCTACACTCGCGCACAACGCTTCATGGATGCTTATCGCAAAGGTTTGAATGGTAAGCAAGCTGCATGGGCGAGCAAGAAATATCGCGGCCATCGCATCCTCCCAGAGAGCATCCTCGAGGAACTTGAAGCTGCAAAGATATAACTTATATTCATAGTTCAACTATCTTGTATACTTTCATTCTTGTGTATATTCACTATGTTTCTACCTCATACACTGAGAACGCTGACTCATTTTATGTCGACGCTCCTGCCGCTGTCGTGCGTTCAGTGCCTTTTCGGGACTTATCCAGGCGCTAAGTGGGTTGCACGTGAGGTGTCACAGTGTGACGATAGTGGTCGGGTTTGAACTGGGTCTATCTTAGGAAGGTTCTGCCGAATATATATGGCAGGTGCTCTGCAGAGACACTACTCCTCTACAGAGCAGCTGCTAGTAAGCACAGCATTGAAAAAAATATTCTTACCTTGTAACTCTCCGTCGTATTATAGTTATACCATCACAGTGCCACAGTAATAGTGAAAACGAGACAGCTATCTGGCGCGCACCCATACGAGGAAGGTCCCGATACTCAACGCCCGATCCCACCTTCCCAAAACGGGTGTATTTGCGGCAGCCAAACACAACACCTGCTAGATTCGTCCAAGCATCTGCAAAGAGCTGTAAATATGACCAAATGTCATCGTCTCTCCTCGCAAGTTCGGAAAGCTTTGCAAAATATGGCAGGTGCCTTCGCGTTACATGGTGATGAGCGTTGCATTGGGTTGAACGATACATGGAATACATTCTTATCAGCTTCTAGCGGGAGTACATGCCGCCTCCGTTATATCAAAACAAATAAATCTAAAAATCGGTGCATCTAGGTCGTCGCTCGATCTCTGTGAGAAAGAACAGGTGCTGGTAAGCAGGAGTAAACATAGTAGCAGGGACGGCACACACCTAACGAGATGCGGCGCTACTCGCTGCCGACTTTCTCAACGCGTCCGTCCTGCCACTGAACGGTAACGCTACCATCCTGCGTAAACGACATGCGTTAGAGCGCAATTGCAATTTCACAAGAGTATCACGTACTTGATCCCCGAAGTACGCTGCCTTAGCCATATGGCAGAACAGCCCGACCTCGACGACGCCCGTGAGCATCTTGAGGCGCGTCAAGAGCTGCACCCTCGAACATCAATACTGACCACATCAATAATCCGGAACGAGGCATGCGCACCGTGTACGGGTCCCGCATGATCTCCTCGGGGAACGGCGCGTCAATGATGAAGTTGCTGTTGTCCGAGACGACAGGGCCCGCTTTGGCCTTCGCCATACGGAGCACGGCCTTGGGCGACCCGAGAAGATGCACGTTCTGTAGTACCGGTGCGTACGCAAACGGCGCGACCTCGATCGGCACGCCCTGCGTGAACTGTGGGATTCTCGTCAGGTCCGCACGATACCTGGAGCGAGAGAACAGAGCGCACGTTGTGTCCGAGCACCTCGGAATTCTTGCGGTAGTCCGCGACAATGACCCAGCTACGGCGAGTGAGCTGCGGAATTTAATGGCTGGGCTAGAGAACCTACGTGTTGGCCGCTTCGGCGAGCACCTTCTCGCGCAGATGACAGGCGCCACCGCCTTTGATGGCGTTCAAGTTGTGGTCTACCCTGTGCTAATAGTGAGCGTCATAAACGGCACTTGGGCTGGCCTACTAACTCGTCTGCTCCGTCGATGGTCACGTCGATGGTGGGGTATTGGTCGATATCACCGAGGCGCAGGTGTGCTTCCACAATGAGCTCCTTGGATTGGAATCCTGGGAGAAGAGTGTTATGAAGGTGTAGCCATGGGGAACGTAATTTGGAGCACCTGTTGGGATGAAAACACGGTCCTTGTTGACTTCTGAGCCTTGTGCAACTATACGCTCGACTACATAGGGGACTGTCGAACCTACGCCACTGTCAATCTGGGGCATTCGTACCATGGACATAACGTACCTGAGCCGATACCGATAACCTTCGAATCATCGACATGTCAGCATAGTGTAGGGATGTATCAAAACTTTGCTGTCTGGACAAGATGATAGATTGGACTGCTGGACGAGACAGCACACTTAAATTCAACTGCGGGGTAACCCCAGTGTTCGCCAGATTTCTCGCCCAACGTCCAAGTAACACAACCACTCTGACGCAAATTCACCACATGGTACATACCTTATGTTCCGGTAATACATGTCTATCTACTGCTGTCCACGCCGCGAGCCGCTTGGCAGCCTCAATACCCGTTACCGCTGCACGTGTTATTTATCACTATGTGCACACAACCAATATACACGGAACTGCGTACCCTTCGGTTGTGACGAAATCAAAGGTGGGGGCGTACTTGTTGCGATGAATCCAGTTTTCTGGCCTGCTAGTGGTTGCCGAAGTGGCTGAGTGCTGGAATGTCCATCGCAAGAGTTAGGAGTACAACAAGTGTACACACCCCAGCAGATAGCGACACAGCACAGCACCAGAAACGTCGTGAATTTGACCAAGATCAGTGCTGAAGTCTCGCAGACTGGTATATACTCACGAGTTCAAGGTCAAGCTCGCGGGTGGAATCGGCATCCTGGGTTGTCTTCGGAGAACGCGTAGAGCGTAAAGGCTAGTATATGGGCGGCGGAGAAAGAGTATGGGTGATTGTGGGAGATGTACGGGGGTGACGAAAGGTCGACAGAGACGCATGCGATAAATATCCAGACAACCCGCTCTCACCTCAGTCATCCGCACTGGAACGTGACCTCACCTACTCGTTCCGCCTCCCGTCATCTGGATCTCTCTCGACACCCGTGTGCGCGGAGAGCTATATCAGGGCCGGGTCTTTGCATTTTGTCTCAGACCGGAGCAACTTCTGAGCCCGCTGGGGGTGGCGTGGAACTGACAGCGATAAGTTGTCGCGGTGGAACATGAAGGCAATCAAGGGCATGTGTCCAGATTCATTTAGTCCTACTAACTCTAACGAGAAGTCGTCAGGCGTACTTTTCACATGGTGAGTAGAGCTCTGTATTCAGATTCGGACATACGACGCCTAACCTCGCCGCCAGTGACTCTGCGGTGAAGCAGATCTTACTGACCATGAACGAGAGAGAGAGCTTCATCATCGAGGACTTGGACGATCACCATGTGGTAATAAAGGCGGACGAGGAGTGGAGAGTGAGACGGGAACTCGAGGCTGAGGTATGTTCTTCATTCGGGGCAAGGACTGCACTAAGAATACGGACTACAGTTGGAGAAAAACACATACAGCCTGGAGTGACTCAGGGGCATCGTCGACGTGCGTCTTTTACTTTGGAAATACAATGAGTTCTTCTGTCTACAAGTCCTCGTAATGCTCGACGCCGGACCAGCGCGTGCGTACTGCGAAATTCATTCACGTCATGTTATTCGAGTTTGAACTCTGACCATACCGATATTCAGTCATGTCAGCGGACGTTTCTGTCTAATAAAGTTCAGTAACATGGTGCGTCCTTCAGATCCTCAATACACTTCGCCAGTGTCTCTCTCGCCCACACAACCCTCTTGTCCTCATCAGCCATTTCCTCCCGCTTCGCCTGCACAAGCACTGCCACGGCCAGAAACAGCGTATACCAGATTCGCTTCGTCTTCTGACGTGCAAAAAGTACTAGCGGTCCACCGTACCCTTCCACAAGTGCGGCGCTCGGATTGAGGAACAGTGTCTCCAAGAGAGGGTCCCCCCAAAGCGCATGCGAGAACGACAGGAATGACGTGATGACGACCTCGTCTGCCTGCGCGGGCGCATCCGGGTCAATATCGAGCAAGACAGCGTCCTCGTCTCCCGTGAACGACACGAGCGACGGTACCTCGCAGTCGTCGAAGAGGAAGAATCCGATCGCGCGCGAGAGGAACCCACGCACGTCCGCATATGGCGCGTCCACGCCGCGCATGTGGGCCTCCTCTAGCAGATCCTCAAGTAGGCCCGTGAACGCCTCCTGCCAACTGTAAAGCGCATCCCCCGCCTGCGCCGGCAGGCCAAACCAGTCGTTCTGCACCCCGTGCAGCTGCTTGAGGTACGCGCCCATGCGCAGCTGGAGCATGAGCGCTTGCCGCTCGCTGAGCAGCCCCCGCGCCCGCACGTGTGAGAGCGGCAGGCCGCGCGGCCGCGAGAGCAGCAGGTAGTGGTGCGGGAGGAGCGCCAGCGAGGTGTCGAGCGCGTGCGGCGTCGGTTGCGGAATGGAGGTGTACTGCGCCAGCTGCTGCAGGAATGTGTGCTCCACAGCGAGTGTGTTTGGGGCGTATATTCCGGCAAGATTCGAGGGCGCTCTGGCTACCTTGAGCAGGTACGCACTGGTGTCGGATAGGACAACTTCGTAGGTTGTCGTCGGTGTAAATGCGCTACGGTATTTGGCATGAGTTTGAGCACGTACGAAAGCAAAGGAACGTTGCTGGACCTGTATCCGCTGCCCTTTACCTCCTCGAATGAGGAGATCGGCATCGATTCATTACGATGGTGATCTAGAATACGCTGCGCTTGGTCCAGAGTAACGAGCAGTGGTGATAACATAGGTGATAGGCCTGGTTCCATGTCTTTTCTGACACCGTTTCTCAACTGCGAGGATGCCGGCCTACCGTATAGTACAGCTGATCAAGGTCGGCGGAAAGCCACGACCCATGTTATGATCGAAGGACGATAAAGAAGGACGATCCCGAGAAGAGGCAAATCTTATCATCTCCACAGTCCGCGCGGCAGACTCAGGAATGAATTCGAAACTGTGGAAACAGCGTTGGATTCGTGATCATTCGTCTACTGTACTGCTACAGTTCGTTTAGTTCTACAGTGTTCTACATGAGCAGGCGCTTCGTGAACCCTTTCCGAACATTGATCAAGAAAACGAGCTCCTTCCAGTACGGTGAGTTGCCCCTAAGCTCCCTCTCTGGATCACCGCGGCGCCAATCTCGTTGGTCGTGTCGATGCTCACAATCGTGAATGGGTGCGCCTCGAAAGGCAGCGCAGAGACGGTCGGCATTAATAGATACGCCGTCTGGCCGGGGCTCCTGTTGAAGTGCGAGGGGCGGGAGTGCTGGAGGCGGATGAGGGGCGGGAGAGAAGGCCCACTGTGCCATCGGAGCTTGCGGAGGGTTTGTGCCAGAAGTACAGGTGGTTCATTTAGATTGCGATGCTTGAGGCTGTAGGATCAGGTCGGACGACATTTCCACAAGAGACAATGTGTACTCGACGCACCTGACGAACTAAGGGAATAACACGATAGCTGTCAGCAAAAAATGTCGACTGATACTCTCAGAGCACCCACCATCGTGGACTCAAAGTAAAACAAACATCACTCGTCAAGTCGTTTGATGCATGTAATTCAACTGCGGTGGAAAGAAATAAGTAATCTTCCCATGTAGCAGACAGGAACAACTACCTTCGCAGAACTTATGATATCTTAAACATGCAGGGGAGTGAGATTGTTCCTCAGGCAAAAAAAACAATGATTATTCACAGGAAACAACGTTGTTTTTCGTACCAAGGGCCGTAATGAGAGGAAGTTGAGCAGACCCGATGGCGCCTGCACGATTGGCCCAGATTTAGCTTCGCACCAGAAATATTAGTAGGTGGGCAATCAATGTCAGTTAGTGGTCATCTCAAATTCTACGAACGACTCACTGTTTACGAACTCCCAAGTGAAGATGATGATAATATATGCACGAGTATAGAATACTTCTGTGAGATTGAGCGTATACGAGCTTCCTATCTCCAGCATCCAGCGGAAGGCCACTACCCGTTAAGTGCTGACAATAACCGGGGGAAGGCGTGGCAGGAAAAAACGTCTACCAGGGCTAGCATTGATCGCGCCCACGGTGAATAGGAACGGCATAATCAAATATTCAGGACGCGGTACCGGACACATGTGCTCGACCTAAAGACTGTTCGACTGCTCTGTCGATGAGATTGGAAATCACTACGACGGAAGCGCTCAGTGGGAGCCAGAAGATTCAGATGCAGCTGTTGACACAATTGCGGAAAGGTGATGTAAGTATTTTCGAGGTTCTCACTTAGATCATAGACTGGCGGTGAGACAATGAAGTCATCATGGCATACAAGCTTTTAGCGGACTCACCTGGTGGCACATGACATGGACCGCAAGTGGCAAATGCCAACTACAAACTTCATACAACAAGAGGTCCATGCAGCAGACAGCTCTAGTGAAAGGAACGGGTGAATGACATGATGACAAGTGAGTAAACTACGAAGAGACCGAATGTTGGTGAGTGCAGCGGCGCGGCCAATAAAATGATGAGCACTAACCTGGATTATCTGATAGCGTAAGAGATGATCATCGCAGTCGCGCATTCTAGATTATCTGATAACATCTGATGAAGATCATCGATGTAAGTAGACCCGAAGATAATCAGGATTTGCGGGTCCGTAGCTTCGAAGCATCGGAAGTGACGACATACCAATTAGCCCAAAGGGCTCGTCGGAACTTGAGTGCAACCAGACGGACCTGTCTAGGCTCACCATCCAAACAATATCTTCCAAAGGCAGCTTTTGTCTGATGCATCGCCCCGAGCTCAACGAACTCCAAGTTGAACAAGTTTCCGCAGGAGTGAAACATCCCAGATCACATTGTACTAAGAGAGCAGATTGCTTGAGGGGAAACTGTGGCATAAGTTGACGACGTACCATCCGCAAAAATAAGCCTCTGCTTCCACGACTCAGGCCTTTCTCACCGCTCTTTCGATCACTTCTTTGGCACCCCGTCAGTCCATCTGAGGACGAAACAAAACTCTTCTTCTCCGTCGGCATGCCGATTTTCTGGTCCTATGAGCTTCCTCGTACTTTACTTCCTTCACAGAGATATGACAGCACGAATCGCCTGAACTGGACCTCGAGCACGACTATTAGGCATTTACTGGGAAGGTTTCCACAACGAGTCATCAGATCTGACAGTCCACTCTGCGGCTCTGAATACATTTTAAACGCACCATAGAATGCCCTGCTAAGATAGACAGCCTCACTTTCATCTTGGGGAGTTATAGAAACTTGTGTACCGATTCAGAGACATAAGACACGAGTTGCACAGTTATGCCGATTCACATGGAAAACCTCAGCCTCATCTTGAGAGCTGGAGAAGTAAGGATTGCCGATGGAAGATCGAGAGCCCCGTCTACTTCTGGAACCATCCGGTTGGAAGGCTTCTTGAGAACGGGAGAGCTATTTCAGAGAACTAGGAGCTAAGTTACACAGCTATACCACCCAAATTCAACGGACGTACTTGCACAGCGTGCTACCTAAAAACTCCGACGGACTTTTGCGAAGATCCCGTACTTCAGTAGTGAGCATGATGGCGGATGTCCTACAGATATTTCATGGTGTCACACCGACCTCCGTCAAGACGTACCCAACACAGGATCCACTAGTATGAGGTAGTGTGTGCCATAGAGCATGCCGATTTCCAGAGGACAGCACTAGGCTGCCACTGGGACTCTGCAGTATCGCCAGGGAAATCTGTGTGGCAAATCACACGACGGATGGAAGGTCAGCACAAGCACCGCGTTTTTATCGAGGAGGATCGATACCTGGTATTGACAAACACATAAAAATAGGCATTGTCGTGTTCCTGGGCATTCGCAATGGACGACCATACAACCCTGGGAGTGAATGTGTAATGTTGAGCTGGACTAGACGAGGTGACCCGCGGATAATGGCTGGAAAACTGCAGTATACGGAGGAGAAAAACATGAAAACGATGTTCAATGAAACCCCGCGGTGCCAGGTCTGCCGTATAAATACCTTCAAAGGACGGTCAATGATGAGGGTCGAAGTCGACGAACAAGTTCCACAACGTGTATCATTCTTTCCAGTCTTGAGCCTTCTGTACTTCCAGTAAGGATATGAGTACTATGTGGGCACTTGAATTCAGACAACCAGGACGGCCGATAGAAAAGACAAATGCCTGAGACGAGAGCATGACAGTTCGAGTCGAAGTTGAACTTGGACACCATATACGTCGTCACCAGGTGCGGTGATCGCAGCGTCTAATTTACGCCTCTGTCAGTACCGCCGAAACAGTTCTGCCGTCTGGAGCTGCGACGAGTCTGAAGTGTATCTTATCAGATACACCACTACGACGGCCCCATTCACCAAGTTGAAGACCCGCGGCATCATTCCATCAAGCGTCGAAGACGACTCACGGTTCGTCTACGAATGTTTTCCGCAATTGCTACACTGAAACCAGTCACAGAAGTACAGGCATATGATACAACCTTTCTCAGAAAGAGTGAAAGTCCTTATGCATAGCCGAACGTCTCAACGTGCAGCACGACGCTAGCGCATCCCTGGAGGATACTCTTCGGACCGGAGACAGGGAACCTGAGAGCGGCACGACAAGCACGCGCTATCGCTTGAGACCCGCAGACTGAGAGGAAGGCACGGATTATCAATCACTTCAAGAGTAAAAGGCATTGCACAAGCACGCACCTGTCACAGACATCCGACCGGTATTCGCCAAGGCTTCGTCCCGCAGCAGAATGTGCAAATCAGGTCGACCGCTGACGACCTGCACCGCAGGCGACTCGAGCAGAGATGGCGCACGACTCTTGTCCTCACTGTTTTCAGAGCCATGAATGGAGTCGTCGTCCCATGCCTTCGGGTTGGTCGCAGGAAGGGGTTCACGGCTTGTCACGTAGATCCGAATAGATATGGATAGGTATGAGGGTGCTACCTCGAGTGCTTTCGATAGCGTCTTGGAGATCCATTCAATGTGGGCTAGTAGGAGTGAGCTCAGTGCATCGACGGATTGCACACATTTTTCCACTTACCAGCATCCCGAATGGCCCAGATGAAGATGATTTTACGGCACGAGCTCTTTCCATTGCGAACATCGCTGATGCAACCATCGATGTAAGAAGAGACGTAAGGAATAAGGGAAACCCTTACTTGACGACACCAAGGAAGCTCGATAGCGTGAACGTGATGCCAGATCCACCTGAAGAACCACATCAAAAACGACAACGAATACGTAAAAAAGGCGCCGACGACGCACCAGAAATCAGAACCACCGTGTCGTCAACGCTCAAATCTGGAGAAAAACCGTACGGTCCGTCGACGGCCACCTTCACTTTAGCGCCTGTCTGAGCGATAGTCGCAAGGCGCTTCGTAACTCCACTGCGGACGTTGATCAGGAACACCAGCTCCTTCCAGAACGGCGTGGTTTCTCCCAATTCCTTTTTCTCAAGATCACCCCCCATTTCGTCGCTCGTGTCAACACTCGCAATGGTGAACGGGTGTGCCTCAAACGGGGAAGCCGAGACGGTCGGCATAATCAAATACGCCGTCTGACCAGGTCTCCAATGGAAGTGCGGGGGTCGGGAAAGGCGGAGGCGAAGGAAGTGAGGGGAAAGGAGCTCCACAGTACCGTCGAGGCTCCCAGACGACTTGAACCAGAAATACTGGTGGTTGAAGACCACAACGCGCATCAAGCGTATGAACCTGTCGAGAGCCCAGAAGATGAAAGAAGGCCAGATGTAGTAAGACATGTTCTGATCCTTCGCGTGGAAGTAAGCCCCGAGCAAGAAGATGCTATTAACGCGGTGAGCACGACGACGACTGGTGAAGAGCCTTGCATTACTCACAGGACCATCGAGAAGTGGGTGAGGAAGAAGAACTCGTACACGTTCGCTCGAATAGGACGCAGAGACACCAAGATGAGGAGGCTGAATGCAGCCATGGCAAGGATCCCTGCACGGACCCAGCTGGCATCGATCTCGCCAGGGTCGAGGCTAGAAGATTGAACTAGTCAGTCCTTCGGCAAGAGCTAGTGCTAGACAAACCAACCTATTGAACTAAGAGCGAGGATGACAGTCATCAGTAAAGACATAGGCTCATACACGGGAAACTGCCCCACCTTTGCACCGCCGTGAACCCACAGTAAGACGAACATGACTCGCGCGGTCATCCGGTGAATGTAATTCAACTGCAATATAAAGATATCGGCAATCATGCCAATGGGCTAAACGTAGGTTGCACCTTGTCGTAGCTAATTCCGGTGATATCTTTACAAACATCGTTAAGCTCAGCCCGAAAGCGAAGTCCAAACCAATCACGTACAGGCGACAACATTATTCTTGGTACCAAGTGCAGTGACAAGAGGGATTTGACTGGCAGCAATGGTGCCCGCGCGGTTGCCCCAGTAAGTCATGTCCAACTTATGGCCCTCAAGGTCAGTGGCTATGTGACAGAAGTCAGCGACGAATCACCCTATGATCAGCAGATGACCCACTGTTGCCAAACTCCCAGATGAAGATGGCGATAATGTACGAGCAAGTGACGAAGACTTCTGCGAAATTAAGCGTATACCAGCTGCCTATTTCCAGCGTCCAGCGGAAGGCAACAACCCGATACGCATTAAGAATGGCCAGGGGAAGACGTCGCACAGAGAAACGTCGGTTTGGACCAGCGCCACCACCCTCGGTGTCGTTCTGCAAGGCCTCCTGTGCAGCAGCGCGTCTCCGGAGAAGTTTAGAAATCGCCCAAGACCCATACTGGAATATCGCCACGGTGAAGATGAAGCAGGAGACAAACCACCAGACCTCGTTTGGGTAGCTTTTGGCTCTGCCAACGCGGATGGTTTTGTCGGTTACCATGACAAATAGAGGGAGTGCACTAATGACGAGCACTGCTCACAATCCAGTAAGAGAATGGGTGGTCTGGTGGATTTCTTGCGAGCTGAACAACACTGTTAAATACTCCGACAAAGGTGTCACACGAAGACACGACCGGTGCTGATAAATGATGTTAAATGCAAACGCAACACTGCGACATGAAAGCGTCACATTTCCATGATGGCAAAAGCGGCATAGAGCTTGCGAAGCATTGAAAGGCAGCGTGGTGGAATTCTGAGAAGCTCTGCGTGGTATGTGAATCCTTCACCGGATCAGGTAGAAGAACATGGGCGTGCGCAACGTTCGGATCTCACCTCGTATCTCCCCGCCGAGGACATCACAAGTAGACGGGGCCACTTCGATCAGGGTATGTGGACGTCCACGTGTAGCCTATGCTACCATCTGTTACAGACGGCGTGGGAAGCGTCAACTTCAATTCGCAGGGTACGCCGGAACCTTTACCACAAATGATGTAAAACTGGATTTTTGTCGCCGTCGATGTCATTGATTCCATGAGAGTGGCTACAAAACAGATACAAAACAGAACCGTTAAGTTTCCCGTTGGTCATTGGTCCCGCACGACCATGGAGTAGAAAATACGACAGCATTGATTGACAACACACTCAACTTTAAGCGCAAATTCCCGACAGTTGATGGCAAGTTGATGGCAGTAGATACCGGGGTTTGGACCATTGACGAACGTTCAATGGGTGAGCGTTGCGAACGACGTGGTGATAATCACTACCTGCCTAATATAGAATGTCGACCAACACAAAATGAATCCCCGCGACCCCGCGGTTTAGCTCCACGCGCGGAAGATGGAGCGAAGCTGCATGCTACAGAGTACGCCTGTACTTATCACTAAAGATGCAATGCATGCACCACGCGCTGGAGAAGACGCAAATGGTTTACGCCCACTAAGTACTCGTGGAGCTGCACCGCGGAACAGACTCGACGAGATTGTCTGAAGCACCACGCATTCCAGAAATGCACCTTCAAGGCTGAAGCTGTCGAAACCGCCAAATAATGCAGCGGTAACCACTGATAGGCAGAAAAGACAATTTACTGATATAGAAGACAATTACCAGATGGCCTAAATCCCCCGCAGATTATCGCGATTAAACCGCAACCCTGTGCCGCGCAGACATTGCGAGGGACACCGCGACGACGAAATACCAGTGCACACGGACACCGATAGCTCCAGATATCATCTAGAGGTCAGAAAGTTCGTGCAGCACATCGTCAGAACAATCGTAGCATAAACTTAGCTGTGCTCGGATTCCCATTACAAACAGAACACTCGCTTCCGGACAATGCATATGACCGCTGGTCCCCACGTTCGGAACGTTGAATTCGGGTCAATTTGAAGAGAGAAAAAAGCACTCACCATTCATATGTTTACAATAATACATTCCTTTGAATCTTGGCGGTCTCACTATTTTCGCAGAAGGGATACCATGCAAAAAGCTGCATCGCCCTGCAGGAAGCGCTGTCTGGGAATCCAGCTATGCACTGAATACGGACCAAGGTCTTCGAGTAAATGCCGGGAGTCCCGAACACTTGTAGCATTTCTTCCGGGGAGATCATGAAGCCCAATGCCCACCCGCTCGGGACGAGCACACGCGTACAGACCAAGCACCATGTATTGCTGGACAGAACTCCCACACCACGATGGGATGCTATGACTCGAGCCCGCTGATCATCTGTGCTCTACGAGGATCGAACGATGGCAGCTGCCCGTGAACCAACGACGAAGCTCTGAGACTCTAGAATTCATGATCCAGTCCAAATAGATGGACAACACGCCAACCACACATGGGCAGGTATCAGCCCTATGAACTGCCAATGCAAGTCGCACTGCACGGCCGTATTCCTCAACAAGGTGGCTTGACCACAGGCACGATTATTGAACATACGCTCTGAGAGATGTTCCCTGAGGTTCCTGACAGATCCTCTCACCTGGGAAGACTGCGTTCTCCGCCGAGGACTTTGAAACCAATCGATGAACCCGTTATCCTATCCACAAGACCTTCGTGACAATTGGTATTTGTTCACAGTGGACCGTGACCATCGATGGATAAATGGAGCAAGAGCAAGAGCTCGGTGACAGGGCCAGAGCGACGAAAGACGAAAAATGACGTTCTGTTCAGCAACAAAGCGCACTGAAGTCACCTGTTCTACATGATACATGCTCGATATGAATTCCATGAGGAGTCGAGCGGCTAGCAGCATGGGCCTTCAGACTCTAGGGGCCTATCGTCCATATTTCTTGAATGAATGCCGGATTCAGCCACGGAGTATGCACCCTTTTCGCTTTTCCGGGCAACCTTGGCGATCATCAAGGTTTCGAGACCCTTCACAGTGGTACCACAGCAAGCTCGCACCAGAAGCCATGGAGACTACATTGTAGTGGCTCTGATCAACGACTGTGGAGCGGCAACTTGATAGTATCCGTCGTCCCATGGGTGGTGCGATCCCGGCGACGATGCAGCAATCGTCATATCGGTCTTGAGGCTCACGGCTATGGACGACAGAGGTTGCAAAACTTTCGATGATCAGTTCGCATCAGAAGGCGAGGATGGAATCGCAATGACTGGAAGTAGTGGACGGTGGCCTGCCCATGAGAATGAGGCATGTTGCTGACAGGTGTCCTGTGAAACCGCATAGTAGCCAATGCAACCGCCCAGCGACATGATGAGCGCTGATCAGGCTTCCAGCGTTGGTCCGTCGCTGTGCCCGCCAAAAGGCGTATCTGATAAGCGTCATGGGATTATCTGATAAGCGGTTGCAGTCACGGGATTATCTGATAAAGCACAGCGAGATCTACTCACTATTTCATCGTCGTGTGAAAGCAAATACAGTTTCAGTCCCATAGCCAGTCTCTAGCAGAGGGAAAATGAGCAGGAAGGGCACGCACAGCATGCTACCCAGGTACCCCGATCCTCGTGCTGCAAGTTTCGTGCGATGAGACGGGCTCAATTCGCCGCCCTTTGTGGGTGCACTAGGAAAAGATCTATCGCATTGGTGGTTCTGGAATCACTTAAAGTCCCGAATTCCCATCGCATTTAGACGTACATGAACAGTGGTCCTTCTATACCCGCATACTTGGCCACGGGCGGCCGTTTCGTTGCGTCCGCTTTACTCTCACTGTCGTCGTTTGACTCGAAAGAACAGAACTATAGCAGAAGGGACAGCATTCCTGATCAGGATTGTTCAACAACATACCCAGCTGACAGCTTACCGCTCGTCAACGTGATCGTCACTCTACCATGGGCGTCGCAGGTCCTGCACCTCCAGGTGTACCTTCCGGTGTCTGGTAAGCACCGTTCCCAAGAACTTCCTCGAGTTCGTCTTCTTCGTCACTGTCGTTGCTTTGTGCACCTTCAGGCGTACCTCCACTCTCCCCCTCTTCGCTCATTTCATCTAGAGCCGCGTCCCCTTGGGCACCCGTGATCTCCTCACCAAGTAGGCGAGGGTCCCACTGGAGTTCCTCCGGCTCCTCCTGGTCTACAGCGACGCGCGCCTTCCAGTCATACTTCTCCCGAAGCATTGCCACTGCACGAACCGCACGTTCAACCCGTAGGTCATGCTCGACACGTATCTGTTCGCACTCCCGCAGTACGTCCTCGTACTCCGTCTTCCTCGCCTGTTCCGAACGACCGGCTTGTGTGAGTACGCCGAGGGATCCTTTGGTCTCCATATGTTCGGACAGGTGTCGCACGACTTCGTTTTCCATCCGAAGCACATCCGTCGTCTGCTGGTTCCGTAACAGTGGAATCAATTCATTGTCGAACTGTGCGTCCGTCATGCCCAAACTAGGATGAAGCACGAGCTTCTCGAACGGATTCCCAGTACCGTGTACTCCGCCAGACTGGTGTACTGCAAGAAGGGCTGTCATGATGCTATGGGATTGCGACAACAGAGTGTTGTATTTCGAAAGGATGTCCGGCCACGCAGGCATCACATTCTGACCACCGGATTCAATGATGCGTTGAAGAGACTGGATGGATTCTATGATCTGGCTTGTTCGGGATCGCAAAGATTCTAGTTGTCCTATAGGCAGAGCAGACGAATTGAACGACATCCACAAATTACTAGCTCCGGTGGTGGCAGCAGTCGACATGGTCGTAGAAACGAAAAGCGAATTCAGCACAAATACTTTCCTATGTACGTAAATATAGATTCAGTACAATGCACCCTTCAAAATGAAAATCTAAGGTAGAAACGGTTAACTCTAAGCTGTCCGATAAGGGTATCCAACTTCGAATCGATACCTGAAAATCTACCTGAGTTAGTCGCATCTCTGTTGCAGCGATCCACCATGTTCTAAGACAAAATCATATATTGGATATGTGCAAAGTGGCACACGCCAGACCAGGGTCATTTGAAGAGAGCCGCAACCACGGACTGCAGCTTACCGTCACGAATTGCCTACAGGAAAGTGTCAGTGTCAGCAATCTGAGCCATATATGGGGGATAGGAGCGCACCTCGTATATGAAGGAGATGTTCTGTCCCACTGTAACATCCTCGATGTTGAGGCCAGCCTTGAACATATCCAGATTCTCCGAGCCGTGCATGCGAACGCCCAACGTCACACGCACAAACTCGTACACGGTGCGCGTCCTTCCCAATAAATAGCTTGCCGGAGCAGCTCCTCTCTCACCCGACAGGTATAGTTCTCTGAGCTTTCCCAACAACTCCGCGCTGTGTTCTGCGACTTTCTCCCGGAAAGCGGTGATTTCAGCCAGAGCCTGGATGTACCCGCGTGCTGTGCAGAAGTCCACAGCGGGCGTTGAGCTCGCATTGGCGACAGCTCGCATTCGTGGTACTGCATCCATCGTGCTTGTGCTCTCCAATGCGTCGGCCATCGCTCGCCAAATAGCGCCGAATAACTCCTGGATGTCCGCCTGAGACAGAGACCGAGCGAAGCATCTCTCCAGCTCCTCGTGCACAATCTCCTTCATGCCCAACTGCAGCTCATGCTGGAGCGCGCGAAGATCAAGCGCTTGGCAGAGAGTGTATAGATAGCTCGCCGTCAGTAGTGAGAGCACCTGCACGGCATCGATGGTCGCACGGCCGCTGATCAATGCCAGAGAACTGCTTTCGTCAGTAAAATCTCCTGAAATTGTGAGTGTGAATGAATTCACTTTACGGCTTGATTGTGCATCTCTGCTGACTGCACATGCGTCGACACCGGACTCGCTAGATAACCTAGCTCACCAACGTAGGCAGCAACATGAATATCAATCCCCTTCGCATGGTAGTTGAGCGATGGATCCGTCGCCGCCAAGCTTGGCGGCAGACCGCGATTCATGCTGGGGTTCATCAGCTCGGTGCATTGCGAGAATAACAGCTTCCCTATGTGGTGCAGCGCCAGCCTCGTCTTCTCCATAGCATTCGTCACGGCCATAGCTTGGAAGTTGCCACCATGATGAACCTTGCCTGAATCGCCGTCAATCAGCGGATTATCCGTAGCTGGCACAAGGTACGGCGTTAGATAGAAACGGCGAAGGCATCAGAGTCCAGTACTCACTGGAATTACACTCCAGTGTCACGGTCGCAAGCGCAGATAAGAGATCTTCTATTTGAGGACCAAGAAACTGGGCGGCGGTACGCAGAGGATAGCGGTCCTGCCGCAGCTCCCCAGCATCGTCCGAGATGTGCTTCTCCTGCTCCTCAGTCACCGCCAGATGGGTACCGGCCAGTAGGTCGCTGATAATGGTGGCCGCCTCTATCTGCCCGGGATGCGGCCGTGCTACTTCATGGATGAACGGTGCAAACGAGCCTTGGGCACCTAGCAGTGCTTCTGTCCCCATCGCGGTGCACACCTGAGCAAGCAACGCGAGATGCAGAGCGTCGTGTAAGGCGAGAGCAGCTACAGATGCTGAGAAGGCGGTGCCGTTGAGGATTCCCAGATGCTCCTTCGAAGCTAGCGAGATCGGCTCGATGCCATGGGCAGTAAGAGCTTCGTTTGCCAACACGATCCGACGCGATCCAAACTGTGTAGGTCCATCGAAGGCACGGATAAAGGGATTTCCCGTCAGCAATCCCGCGATGTACGACAAGGGTGACAGATCTGCAGGTAGAGAGTAACGAACGGACCAGGGACGTCGAATCAACAACTGCTAGTATGGACATCGTTTAGACAAACTCACCCCCAGAAGCAGAAATACTGCCACGAAGTGGGACTAGCGGCGTGATATTCTCCCTCAAAAGATCGTTCATCTTCTCGATAAGCGACCATCTGACGCCAGAGTGTCCGCGAATGAGCGAGTTCATGCGGATGAGGATTGCTCCGCGGACCCAAGACTCCGGCATGCTTGTGGACGTGAGTGGGTCCAAGATCGGCAAGGCCGGAGGGGCACTGTCTAATTGAGATGGGAGCACGCCAACATGTTGATGCTGCAACAAAGCGTGTCCGAGAGCCAACGGGTCATTTGTACGTGTATCAGCTGTAAGGGCGTGGATCATGTGAGAACCATGCCAAATGGCCCATTTCGTTTAAGATACGTACCACTACCACCGAACCCAGTGCTGACACCATACACGCTGGCCTCTGAGTTGACCTTATCGACGATGACGTTTCTGCTCTTGATCACTTGCTTCTTGACCTCAGGAGAGTCGTCCAAACTAACAGGAGTGTGGTAACGTGCGGCTGCTGCAACTGCAGCTATGGAAAGGGAGTGACCATCGACGAGGACAGGCTTCCCACCCCTGCATTGAGCGCCATGAGCAATGAGATCGGTGATCTAGTCATGGAACGTACTTGTGGGCATCAAGCTGTTGGTGAGCTTGAAGGAACTTAGACAGCAGGGTGGAGCCTGCGACTTTCGACTGGTCCAAATCTGCATGTCCGTTCATCGTGGAGATGTTTGCTGGAGTAGAAGCAAGATTGTCCGCGCAAATATATAGAAAAGCAGGATAATAAACCTACCAGTTGAATACAAGGGCATGCTGACGCAGAGGACAAGATGGGAGGGACTACACACAAGATGGTGTATTAATACTGCCTGCCTTCCATCTGTTAGATCAACAGCTTTCTCACCGCCAGAGCTCCCCCTGCAGCGTCACCGATATCCATCGCTTCCTCTTGAAGAAATACGCAGCGATTGCGGGACGCGTCTTGTCATAGTGGACGGGATTCGGCAAATCTGTGGGAGTCGTTCTCACTGTGCGCCCAATCAGAGAGTCTGACGTCGATCCATTTGAGCCCATCCAGTAATTAAGGGCTTCGCACTGCTATTACTGGGGTTCTACTGGCGAGAACCTGCGAACATGTTCTATCAGACTGAGTCTCCGGTCTTGTCGCGCGCGCAACCATTTGACAACAGAAGACGCACGTGCAGGAGGTTCTCACCAAAGTAGTGATAGTCATCCTTTGTCTCCACGTCAGAGCCAGCGCATTCCCATACGCTGTGTATTCACGGTATAATTTAGAGAGACAAAGCCTTGATGACACGCGTTTGGATAGGCTCAAAGGAGCGTGATACTGCCTGTAGTAGTTTCAATAACATTTAGCGACTCGGCAGTAGATCCAGTAGTACGTGGCGCACAGGAATGGCCATACGACGGTGTGGGCCTGATGGTCCGAGTCCAGATGACACACAGCCTAATCACACTGATTAGTTACGACGAATTAGTTCGTAATTCGTAGGATTTGGTGTTGTGCTCGATTGTTCCACGACAGCACAACCCTGAAGGGGAGTCTGTGTGCGCCAGACGTGCTTGAGAATCTCCCACTCGACCGACTCAGTTTTGCGCGGAGTGCTAATAGATCTCACGTTGCTACAAATCACCCATGCAATGTAATTTGTTCTTGCAGGAAGAAACCGGGCGGAACGAACATGAAACGTAAGAGAACGATGTCAACGGAACTGGGTACTCAAGCAATGAAAAACACACTCACAACTAGCCCTACTTCTCCGCACTCCATTAGAAAACCTCGCTCCGATCGCGAATGTTGCGGCAGAGTCAAATAGGAGGCACAGGACAACGAGCAAACGGCATGCTTTGGTTTTCATTTACCGACCATTGGGACAAAGATCAGACAGACAGACATGGCATAGCTTACTTGGCAAAACTTGAGAACACCGGTTCCATCAAACGTTCGCTGGGAGTGAGACTGGCGAGCTAGTGGTCTGCGACGGCGCAGATAAGCTGAGAGATAGCAAGAGGGTACGACAGCACCCCGACTTACCTCAAGTTTATACTGAGGATGGGGGTCTCCACCTCGGGACATCTGTTTGCAAGTAGGCATTGGTAAATCCACTAACACCGCTGAACGTGAACACAAAGTTCACGCCAACGAGCCATGGGGTGCACCTTCCCCTCGCAGCTCGGCTCGAACCTTCCTCGAGGACAACGCAGGCCGCCTCTTCCCGACTCTCAAGCATTCAGAAGAATGCACGGTCGAGTCCAATTATGAGTAGTACAATACACGGTTCCGCCGTGAGCCTTTGTTATTCACAGCGGGGCAATGAATGAAAACCGTGAACGGGCGGAGCATAAGCGCACACAGGATAAGATCTCACACGTGACCATTCAACGCACATCCTGTCGGAGTAACCCGGAACTGTCACTGAGATTATTTAAATTCTAAATAGACAGAGAAATTGACTTACTGCTGTGGCTGGTTCATTCATTAATCATCTCCCTCGAAACCGCTTGCTTCGGGTCAATGTTCGATACATCTACCTTCTCTGTTGCCAGTGACAAGGACTAGACTCATCAGACGACGTTGTGGTAGAGAAATAAAACGGACTGACTGATTATTCTTGCACGAGACTTTTTAGATCGACGCGGCACGATAGTGGGGTACGGAAATTGCACATTCTCATCTTCTCTTTCTGGAACCTCTCCCTCTTGTTGGAGCTGACAATCCGAGCGCATGTGTCTCCGATATACCCGAATGTTCAAACATTTGTCGCTAACTTTGTTCCCGGTTCCCGTACTACTACTATACTTGGTTTAGTTCCCGCCGTGCGTACGGTACATACATTTCTCATTTAAGGAAGTCTCGTAGACGTAGCACACCTCAGACGTTGTTCTCTCGCCCGGAGTGCGAACGGCTGAGGTGAGTAGTTTACATACATGTATTTCTTGCCGTGTTACTTACAACCCTGTACAGCTGACTTCTGTACAGGTAAATACATTTAGACGTTGTTCTCTCGCCCGGAGTGCGAACGGCTGAGCTGACTTCTGTACAGCACGCACTCCTTACAGGTTATGAGCCCCGGCTCTTCATAGCCTCGCACGTCTCACGAAAAATCCCCTGTGTCTATTGCTTCAAACTCTATTCTCGTTATGACTACACTTGTCTCGCTATCCGAGTATGCCAATGCTTTCGAGAAGCTCGATACGACCGGCCGGAACTGGCTCATGTTCCAGCATCGTCTCGAGATTGCAGTTCGCCAGAAAGGCGTATGGCCACACTTCGATGGCTCGTCGAAGAAGCCCGTCGCTGCGGATCCAAACAAGCCGACGACGGACGAGACAGACCTCATTCAGGAATGGCAGAAGAAGGAGAATCTTGCTCTCTATCTTCTCACACAGAAGCTATCTGACACGACAGTGACGAAGTACCGTCGGAGGAGTAGCGTTACCGAGATCTGGTCTGCCATTGTCTCGGAGTTCACGCAGAAGTCAATATTGATCAGGTCGAACCTCCGGACGCAGTTCTCGAACTTGTGTTATACCCCCGGTGCAGACCTACATGCCGAATTTGACCGTATCCGTGTGAAGCACGAGGAGCTACTCAACCTAGAGATCAACATCAGCGAAGCCGAGTATGCTTCACTGATCATTGCTTTCCTACCTCCCGACCTCTCCGCATTCGTCTTGCAAATCTCTGCGACAGCCAAAGCCACGATGCTGATGCAGCAGCGTGCCGCGGCGATGTCCAGTACTACCCCCAGTACCACCGCTGTGTTGAGTCAGATTGACCTCGACAAGGAGAAGCCACTCCTTGATGCCGAGACCTTGATGGCACTCGTTCTTGAGGAATGGGATCGCCGGAAGATGTTGAAGGGTGCTATGCCAAAGGTGAAGGATCCCGGTGTCGCAGCCAGCGCGGTGTCGACTGAGAAGCCGAAAGGTGGCAAGGGAAAGGGTCCACGCAAGCCTGTTGGTGTGTGTTGGAACTGCGGCGGCAAGGGACACAAAGAGGCCGACTGCCCGACTCCAAAGCAGGGCAGTAGAGACAAGGACAAGGGCAGCAAAAGTGCCGAGCCATCCAAGTCCACGTCGAAGCCTACTGCAGCGTCAGCAGTCACCCTTGACGACATTGCGGGTGCCTGGTCAGCATTCATACCTGCCGACTTCTCGGATGACAGCGTGTCATCTGTGCTGGACCTCTGGTCTGTCAGCGATGATGACTCAGATTATAGTGCACTCACGGAGGCCTCCACTGACAACGACGAGATGCCAGACTTAGTGTCCATGTCAAACTTGTCTGCCAGTGAGTTTGATGATGAGAGCGCAAGTGATGCGCAAAGCTGTGATGCCGGCGATGCCATCTCGCACGAGGACGGTCTTGAGGTTGCCAGGGCACACGAAGCTGCCCGCCACCCCGTGGATGTGTTATTGAAGATGCTGTGGGTCGACGATTGGGTAATTGAGGTTGCAGTGGCCAAAGATGAATCGAACGAGGAAGATGCTCCTCGTGTTCCCGATATTGTCTTGGCACTGGCGGCTACAAAACCCAAGTCAAGTTACCCTACAGACCTGTATGATTCAGGCGCGAGTCATCACATGTCACCATTCCGAGAGGACTTTCTCACCTTCCACGAGACAATGCCGCAGCCGCTGAATGCAGCAAACCAGCAGGACTTTGTTGCTACTGGCGTTGGAGATATGATTATCGCGGTGCCAAATAGTCCTGGACCAACGAAAATGAAACTTACGCGAGTCTTGTACACCCCCGCGATCGCGTTCAACTTGATTTCGATTGGACGCATTGATGATGCAGGCTGCACCGTGACGTTCGGTGGGCAGCACTGCGAGATCCGCGATCGTGATGGCCATCTTCTCGGAATGATCCCGAAGATGAAGGGGCTGTATACAGTGGTGCGTCAGCATGAGAAACCCTCCGCGTATGCTGCACGACATGTGAAGAAACTTACCGTCATGCAATTACATCGCCTTATGGGTCATATTGCGCCCCGCGTGGCGCGCGAGCTTGTGACGAAGGGCCTAGTGCGTGGTGTCAAGCTCGTTGAATCAGATGAGCCCAAACTTTGCAAAGTGTGCATCCGCGCAAAGAGCATGAGGCGACCAGTGCTGAAGGAGCGCGAGGGAAAGCGGGCAACCGAGTTCGGTGGTGAAGTCCATTCCGACTTGTGGGGGCCATCTCGCATCCAAACTCTTGGTGGTCGGAAGTACTACATCAGTTTTATGGACGACTGCACTCGCTTCTCAACTGCTTACCTGCTGCGCCAGAAAAGTGAAGCCTTCATGTCATACAAGGCCTTCGAAGCATGGGTGAAGACTCACATGGGTGTTGACATTACTGTCTTGAACACAGATCGTGGTGGCGAGTACCTGAGCGATGCATTTGTCAGGCACCTCGAAGAGCAGGGCACGGAACAGAAACTGTCCGTACATGATACTCACGGCGAGTCGGGCATCTCGGAGCATTTAAATCGCACTGTTGCCGAGAAAGGCCACGCAATGCTGATTGCTGCGGGCTTACCGCGATTCCTGTGGGGGGAGGCTGTGCTGCACGCGATTTATCTGAAAAATCGGACGTCAACGAAAGCACTGAACGGTCGCACACCATACGAAGCTGTGACAGGTGACTTACCGGATCTGTCTGGTATCCCCGAGTGGGGTGCACGCATCTGGGTCCACGATACAGCTACAGGGAAGATGGGTGAGCGTGCAAAACCTGGCCATTGGGTCGGTTTCGATACGCAGAGCAAAGGCCATCGGGTGTATTGGCCCGACAAGCGCTCCGTCACAGTTGAGTGCAACGTGCGGTTTGGGGAACCACATGCTGTGTTGCCAAACTCAGATGACGGCCTCGAGCTTGAGGGGGAGGAACCTGCTGGTGACAAGCCCGAAGCTGAACTGTCCGTCAGTGCGCCCGACCTGCCCATTAGTGCGCCCGAGCCTGCATCAAATGTGCTCGTGCCGTCCAATGTGCCCGCTAAGCCTGCATCGCACCAGACACCTGCCGAATTACCACATATACCGCAGCGCCCTGTTCGTAACCGCCA